TAGCAGGCATATGAAAGGGGCATCTCTCAGCTCACTGTGGAGCCAAGTTGACCAAACCTATTGAAGCACAGAGCGAATTTATTTCACAAAATGATTCAAATAATGCGACACAGATGGATCCCGATATGCAGTGAACTATTTAATAATGAACTGGCTAGTGGCTATCGCCATTCCGAAAATGATGGAAAGAGAACGGGTATTGGAGACCGACAATAATGAGCCGATTAAGATCACTGAACGAAGTTCAACACTGAGCGGAGATAACAATTTTAATGGCAGAAAATTTGGGACATAATAAAACTTGGTGTAAAGTCATGACTAAGTTCAACAATGAGCCAAGGACGTGCTAGGGCCCAGGCAGACCAAAGTTAGGATACTTTAGGAGAGGAGGCAGGATCGTGAAAATTTGAGTTCTGTGGCACATGGTAGAATCGATTTGGTGTCTATATGAGCCATGACATACCATACATTGACACGTGGTTAAGGGATTATGATTAAGTCCTAAAGATATGAACGTGAACATAGTTAGTTGCTTAGGTTACACAGAGTAATGAACAATTTGAAAGCTAGATGCTTTATAAATATTTCGGTTTCCTCCCACTGCTAAAGACCCCTACGCGCAAGCGAATTATGGAAATAAAATTGAACCATATGTTAGTCCCGAAATGACCTAGTTTGTGTCGAGTGAACCATAAACCCCATTGCTCTCACTCTCCCTCTTTATAAATATGTTAGGTGTGCAAGTAATTTAGGGACACCAGATGACAATGGAATAATGTCCCGTCGTCAAATGTCCGGTATTGGCATGTCCAAAAAGTAGGCGTTGTAGCAGCGGTCGCCGGTTATATTTGTTGTAATGGACCGTCTGCTAGTCTTTCTTACTGACCATGTAAAAGACAACGGTGCGCAAAAATTAATTTTGACACCTCGGACCGTCAAGACCTTGATACAGGCTCCTCAACTTCAATAGCGTTACAGCATTGTGCAATAGTAAAAGATAACGGTGCGCAAAAATTAATTTTGGCACCTCGGACCGTCTAGACCTTGATACAGTCTCCTTCACTTCAAATCAATAGCGTTACAACATTGCGCGATAGTGAAAGTTGCGACATTCCACATAGTATTTTTCATCGAGCTTGAAATCACGACCATAATTTCTCAGCTTAGCCGCCTTATTGACGCTCCCAATACCCGTTATTTCCGAAATAATGTTGGCCAGATCATTATCAAATGGTTCACTGCATATGTGACAAAAAGGTGATACTGTATCCATCGTGTCTCAACATTTGAATCAGTTTGTGAATTGAATTAGCAACATGCTTCAGTAGGCATGATCAACTTCCGCAGTGACCTAGGAGTGTCCCCAGTTGACATACCCATACGCCGCTACCGCATTGAGCTGGGCGACACTCCAAATGAAATTTAGTTGATACTCGATGAATGTCATTGTATTAGCTTTAAGGTAGGAGTATCATTAACCTCCATTCCCTAATCTGTAATCTAAATCCCTAATTGGAATTTCACCTATAGTGACACGGTGAATCACTTAATCACTAAAATATGTACAACAATGGATTCAGCTACCACGAAAACGTATATTTTGACTACAAACCCTATCCTTAAGTAAAATTCGAACTTTCCCGCCAAAACTGTCCGCCATCTTGAATAACTCCCAATATTGACTCAGTGGCAACACTTATAACAAAAGTATGTATGGAAATGGATTCAGTTACCCCGAAAACATATATTTTGATACCAAACCCGATCATTTTGAATTTTGGCCAATTTGACCCATTTTGGCACGGATTTCGAACTGGGACTTTTTTTTGGTGATAATATTGGTCCAGGCCGACCATAGATCGTTGTCGGCATTTCTATTGCAGCAATTGCCCGCATTTATGCTATCCATCCATCTACAACCTCAAATGAAATGGCTAACAAACCATCAAAAAGGAACAATTTTAGTCATGACGTCATAACGACCCATTATGACGCAATGACGTCACATGGAAACATTGCACAACACTCAGAGTGATGAATTACAAAGATATTGGTTTTGTAATAGCACTATTTTACACCTAAGCCTTTTACAACAACAGCACTTATAGAATATGGGCAGAAAAAAAAAGGGATTTTGGTCAAATGGCGGCCATTTTGTTTGACGTCATATTTAGACCCTTTGCGCTAGCTCAATTTCAGACAACTTTTGATGTGTTGTTGTCTAGACCATATACTACAGGAAACACCCATAAAACGTTTTCTTGCAATTTTTTTCGAGGATGGCCCATTTTTTTTCATTACTTTGACCCTACTGATTAGTAGAACCGTTTATTTGTATTCATCTCTAAACTATAGCCTCACTATATAGGTAACGACGAAGCATACACGACATAATATGCTTACTATTTACAGAATATACGATATCCCTTGTTTTAGGCAGTTCATATAGCTAATATATGTAATTATTTTTTCTGTATTTAACCCACTGGATTCTAAATCCAAACTGGCAGCCCACTTAGCTAAAGGGTGTAGTACAAGATAGAGGGCATGTTTACTCCCCTGCTCCAATACTTATTTATTTATTGTCTTCTGACATACATGTTGTATTCTCTAATATTGTAAACGTGCTGAAATGCAGGTCACATTCTAGAAAGTATGTTTTAAACTTTCAGGTTCTGGGGCCTGTTTCACGAAATTTTAACTAAGATTAAAATCCAAATTTTGGTAATTTGATTGGATAATATTAGATTGATTTTAGTGCTTACCTAACCAAAATTTAAGTATCTACTAAAATTTGGATTTTATCTTTAGTTAAGATTTCGAGAAACAGGGCCCTGTGTTGCACAGATAAGTTGTAGAATTTCCTTAGTTATCGATACGACCATAGATTATCATATTTGGCGATATGATAACTAACTAGAGTAATAATATTTTAATATTTATAGTGGGTGATTTAATTGATTTCTCATTATTTGAACAGCCAGTGCACATTATTTACTTAATATTCTACCATAATACACCTTCTCTTCTTATCCGCAATTACAATTTCATGTTGCTTCCATCAATCAGTATCATGCAATAAATTGAAAGACATTTTCTGTGTGTCTAAATCGAAAACCTAAATAAATGAATATTTTTAGGCGAGCGTAACGTCTATAATCTAAAGTAATGGTTGTGTGCTGGCAAAACTGTGTGCAATCGTGGCGAAGTTGTTGTTGTAAATAATGGTACTTTACGTTCGCTTCCACCTGGCTGATATCGTAGGCAATGTGATAAAGTTAAATACAATTTTATGCTGTGTCTATCGTAGCAACATTCTGCAAATGTAACTTAAATGCGAAAGTCCAACAGGAAATTGTACGCTAACAATGTTCCTCTTCCAGAACAAGTTAATACAAAAACTCGTTCCATATGTTCTCATTATAGACCGCAGGCTTAGTACGTGGGGTGGGGTGGGATGGGGATCCCTCAAATGGACAGAAAACCACACCCAACTTTTCTAGAGTAAAATGTTGCGTAGAATACGATGCCGAGTGGTAATCAGTCCGCCGTTGGGGCGTTTTCGAGATCTTCGGGGTCAAAGGTCAAATGAGATCAAAGGTCAAATGAGATCATTTGCACTGAAACTGAATGTGCAATCATTCTTGTGTCATGAAAATATGCTGTAAATGATCGAAAATAATCACTCTTTTAATAAAAATGTAAACGTGCTAAATTGACCTTTGTGTTAAGCGACCCCGGAGGTCAAAAGGTCAAATTTTCCGTTTTTGCACTGGGAAGATTTAGAGCAATAAAATGTCACGATCTGGTGGATTTTTTGAGGTGGTAGCGAAGTCGTGGTGTATGCGCCAATGGACGTAAGGTCGTTGTAACCGCGTTGCGAGGATGTGGCAGGAGTCTTTTAGAACGTGGTAGCAACGTGGTGGGTCGTGGCTGGGCGTCGTGCGGGTGTGTGGGAGCGTAGTTAAAGCGTAGAGGTGATGTATTGGGCGTGCTGTACTCGTAGTGGAAATGAGGGTGAACATTTCTGCGATTCTGCGCGTACTGAGTGAGTAGGTTTCTGCATTTCACCTCGACCTCACCACGCTCTATATAATTTTTGCACGTAGTAAGCGCGTAGCGAGGTCTTTGATGTGTGTGAAAGGGACTTCACGAAACAAGGCAGCATGAAAACATTTAGAATATTTTCTATAATAAGAAATTAGGAAACGAAACTGGTAAAATACAAACATTCTGAGAAGAAATGTAACACGGAAAGTCGCTCAATCTGTTTTCAGTATAATATTCGAACCAAGTAACATGAAAACATAATATTCTGCCAACAAGTTCAATCTGGGAGTCAGGGAGTAAGGCGCTCGCTCGCTAACCAAGAGGTCTCGAGTTCGATCCCGGTGTTGGCCTAGAAATGGGGATGAAAACAACGGCCACGTGTTCCCGTTGGCGTGTACGTCAAAGAATTGCCGGTATGGAATTTGAAATAGGGAGTAAGCAGTAGCGCAAATCTTGCAAAAGAGCACATTTCATGGCATATGCCCATCTTCATTAGTAGGACGTTAAACCCTGTTTCGCTAATCTTGTAAATACATAACCATTGGGGCTACCTCAGGACTTTTAGCTGGACTACCTCTTAAACATATTTACCAATTGCAGAGAGTGCAAAATTTTGCAGCACGCCTTATTATTATTTACTAAATGACATGAACATATTACACCTGTACTATATCACCTACATTGGTTACCTGTTTTTTATCGCGTAGATTTTAAGATATTCGACTTATTACTGTTTACATGCCCTGAAGAAACATTCGAAGTTCATCTCACAACTGTCTTTCAAAACCAAAATCAGTTAACTCTTTTTTTATATAGAGAACAGTCTTTTTTCTTATTAAGATCCAAAACTTTGGAATAAACTCCTACTTGATATTAGAAGCAGTCCCTCGGTTGAATCATTTTTAAAAAAAGCCTCTTAGACTCATTTATATGTTTTGTTTCTATTTCAGATAATGTTACAAGATTTCAATGCCAAAAATGCACAATTCCGTATCTTGCCACAATATAAAGTAAAATCTGAAGGAGAAGTTGTAAGTATAGATTGTTTTTTGAAGAACTTCTTCAACCCATCCATCATCTGCAAATGGTCCGAGCCGCGGTGGCTCAGCGGGTAAGGTGCTGGCTCGCTAACCAAGAGGTCCAGTGCTCAATTCGGATGCTACGAATAATTAAGGTCCCGTGTACACATTAGCGTACACGTAAAATACTCCTTGGCAATTGGAACCTAGGACGTTAAACCCCGTTTCATTCAGTCATTCGCGGAGTTGTGTGGTCGATTGGTTTAACACCAGCGTTGTAATTCAAATTGTCTGCCACTGAGGCAAGTGGCGTGGTTTCGAGCTCACTCTTGTAAAAAACCGTAGGAGCCATTAAATAATCCTCGTGGTATTTTAACCGTGGTTTTTTTTTTGTAAGAACTGCTCATTTCAAATTACATTAACATAATAAGTATTCAATAAATAGTCTATAGAATGAAACTTGAGTTAAGAACATAGGGCTTTATTGCCTTTAGGTCCTGTACTTAAGATACGAGTGGTGGTTAGAATGTTAATTGTGTAATAAATCCATATCTGACTAATATATTAGTTAATATCATTATATCATATTATTTATGATCTTGTGTCTGTCTACCAATTGTTTATTTGTTTCTTTTTACATGAATCTGGCTAGTCTTCTATGTTTGATTAATTGTTTATCTAAACGGATACAAATTGAATTGCAATTGTATATTACATCCTTTGTAGGTACAAATCTATGATCAGATCGTGTTTGAAAGCATAAAGTCTCCTGGCCATTATTTTCATGGGAGTCAACCTTATCATATTGACTTAAATACCTTTGGGTAAGTAAAACGTTTTCCATTTTATTTCGTATTCCTTTGTAATGTGTGTCATGGGTATAGCGGTAACTTTTTGTATGACGAACTTGTATAAAGTAGGAAGTAATGACAATATCAATTACAATATAATTAGTATACAGTACACCATCATTCTGTTGAAGTAAACAAAACCAAAATATCCACGGTCGATAATCGCATTTAATCGGATTTAAAGAGGGCATTAAAATTTCTCCCTACCCATTATAGGTGAGACTGGCCTAATTGTATCATCTGCCGAGGAAAATTACAAATTCCTCATATTTGAACGGAATTGAACCATTTTGGGCTGATATTCCTGTAATTTTCTAGAGACTCAGCATCCCTCCGATGATGGTCAGCGGCTGAAACGAAATGGTGTCTGAACACATGTGGATCTCTCATGTTCCATTGCCACGTTTGTGCTCAGCCATCCATCGTCATCCACCTACTAATTGGCAGATTCACTCGAACCGTCGGATTGACCTACAGGTTTGGCAGCAGGACCGGATTAACCTTGTGTGGGAGTGGGGACAAGTCAAAATTACGAAGTTTTCTTTTTTGTGTAAAAAGGGGCCTTATCGAATGCAACAGCTAGGCGTTGAAATGGGGCCCCTGATTGTGGACCTAATGAGGACCCAGATAATAACCTTCATATTTTCAAATCTAAATTAGAATCTGTCGGTTATCCAATGGAACTTTTTTTTCTTGTACTCAAACCCAAATATTGGTGTGGGGTGGTGGGGTGGGACATTTGTCCCACTGCCCCCTTCCTCCTAGATGCGGTACTGCTTGACAGGCTGAAGTCTAGGGCCACAAGATCCATGATTCCTCCGGCCAAGGTGTATAACACTTTTGACACTGTCATAAGCCTGTAGTCGTAAACATCCGTCATAATCCCGGTGTTGCTTAAGGGCAATGTAAAGTGACAAAAATTGTCACAACACCTGAAATGGGGGAGGGGGGGGGGCCTCAAAAAATCATTCACAACATTTGTAGTGCCTGTATTTTGGTATCTAAATCTGTTGAGATGATATTGAACTATAAAAAATGGATGAAAATCAAAAATAATGAACATACAATTTGTAACTTTGGAAAATATGAAGCAAATATAGCATTCAGCAGTGTGCAGCTACATGGTAAACAACACAGCATGGGAAATCACAAAATCTCACACAGATGACTGAATATATACACTACAACCATCAAGACTTTAAATTTTGAAAAAACTATCTTTGTTTTAGCACTCAAAGTGCATATAATCAAACTTTTTTTTTCAAATATCGTCCATTTTTTCCAAGGGACTACTTTCAGACTTTTTGTATGAAGTACCATCATAAACATCATCTGGATGAAATATTTCAGGTCTATATGGAAAATAATAAATACTGCATCAAAATTTCCTTCAAACTCCTTTTGTTTTCGGCTATTTTATAGGCTATTGAATACACATTGCTAACATTTTTATGACTTTTTTTAATTCATCCTTCGAACTTTTTGCCTGGAAGCATAAAGATACATTGACAATTAAACATTGGACATATGAATTTACTAAGTTTTACATTAAAATATTTTGTAATACATATTATTCAATATTTATTCACACTCATCACAGTGTTTAATCTTTGTTAAACTGTACACTAATAGTCCACAACTGAATGTGGAAATGTCCACCTGAATATTTGATTGGAACATATTGTGTTGCAAATGGTTCTCCATAGAAAAGAATTTGTCATACAAAAGTTATATTTAGGTTACAAATTCTATATAAAACCCTCAAGATGCTTATTATTCTAAGACAAATGAATAAAAATCTATCCAAAATTTTGAAACAAGCCTTTTTGTGAACGTTTACCAAAGCTTAGATTTTGACAGTCGGTTTCATCAATTTATAGAACGCTCCATATGAATAATGTTGACATTAAAAAATGTGACAGTTCTTGCAAATGATAGTCAACAGTCTATAATATTACGATTTAACACCTGATCGATCGATAATTGTGATAGTATAAGTCAAAAAGTATTTACTGCATCTTTATTTACCTTTCTGTTTCGAATTGGCGCTAAACGGAAGTGCTGATTACGACAATAAGTTCGTGAATAATTTACTTTTTAATCAAATCACGTAAATGTCACCTCATTTGTATTCAGATATGAATTAATCTTATTCCGCAGTTGCTTAAATTCAAAATATAAAAATTTGAAATTAAAATTAACACTTTGCTCATTGATATTAGCAGAAGGACAGGGACTTAGACGTTCGGACGCAAAGGTAAAAATCGTTAGGTCACAATGTTGACGTTTATAAAACGGTGAAGTGTTTTATTACTAAACGGAATACGGCATAATTGTGTGTATGGTGGTGTAACACATCGATATAATATTCCGGTAAACGCTGTCAGTTCAGTGAGTATTCGCATCGCTCGTATAAAGACAATGAAGGGTCATTTTCAAGATTGAAAAAACAACAACAAATGGCTGACCCAAACAGCGTGGTAACAAGGACGCGGAAATCTCACACTACATGGAAACAGGAAAGCAACTCAAAAATCTAAAACTCGACTACTGTACTACATAGATCAGAGTATCAATAGAGAGTTAATAGCTGTCCCCAAATTTTATCGTTTTGTCTGTAGGTGTAACGGCGATTGGGCAAGAAAGTGATGAAATTGAAATTTTCGTTTACATGATAACACGCGGGTGTACGAATTAAAGGGGTATTGACAGTAAAATAGTGCATTGTGAGTAATATAGTTTATTTGGTCTTTTGTATCCAGGGGCCACTATTCTGTGTTGGAAAGTAATATGTTTAGCCTGGTTGGTGTCGAGACTAATTTGCAACAAGGTGGCGTCGCTTTACCTTGCCATTAATTGTGTTTAAAAGACGTCTGTCATCTACCTCTAATCGCGAGGATGTGGGTTGGGGGCGTGGGGTGCTCATAAGTAGGGTCTATCTTAATCTAAATCCGGTACAGCACTTGAAGTACATTGTGGGATGTATTGTTTTGGGTAACAGGTCAGTGTACACGGTAGTATGAACGTGCATTTCAAATCCTTACTTCAAGGAAATATTGGCTATCATTAAAATGGCACATTCGATTTGATTTGAGTTAGAAACAAAATCGTTGATTTCATTTGATTTTATATGCTGCCTGGAATGACAGCCTATTACAAGTCAAAATTTATGGTGATTTGAGCAGTGTTAAATCCCCTAAAAATTATTTCTGTAGAATGGCGTGAGTATCAAGCATTCCGGTAATTCTTTAATAGTATATCTAGGAATCTAATCATTGATAAGGCATACTTATCCCGTCGAAATCGTGAATTCATGCACCAGTATTTAGCATAAATATTCCCCAAACGATCTGTCTTCTTTTTCTACTAAGCTAACTGAATTTGGTTACATTATACATGTATGACACCAGTTTGTCACAACCTGCTGTTTACCATATGACCAAACTGTTTAATGTTAATGCAATTATGAATATCTATAAGTCCTAACATGCAAGAATAAAACAAGAATAGGGTCCTAAAACTATTTAGACCAATAAGGGTTTATATCGATTTGTATTTCCTAATGTGTCTTGGGTTTTTACTAGACCGTGCTTAAATACATAATAAAACAGTTTATAAAATAACACGTGCTTTCTTAATTTTAAGATATATTGTACCTTTGCCCACTTGCCTTTGATTCGTCATGAGTCTATAACCGGAAGACGAATAGGCGAAGCCTCGGAAGGAAGAAGGCAAGAAGTGAATTAACTTTGCCTTCCGGTTTATATCTGGCATGATCAGTCCTAGAGAAACCGAAAGATGTACACATTACAGATACTGACTTCTATAGACCAATAGCGGAGCGCAGGCAAAGATTCGCACCGATTATTTCTTGTCTACTTGCCCTCGCGGTGTTAACTCATAGCGAAGCCAAGCCGCGACGGACCGAGATTAGGACCATTTTTGCGACTTCCAGGCGGTTCCTTCGCATTTAATTAACGCGAACGCACTTAGGAGCGAAAGTGTACTTATATATACATTCAAATCAAATTAGAATAGAATATACGAAATCAAGAAAACGAAAATTTTTCTGGTTATATACATTCAAATCAAATCAGAATAGAATATAAGAAATCAATAAGAATCGAATACTATTTGACACATGTGGTAAGTCTTCAAACCGTAATTTTATAATTCAATTTAGATGATATGCAGACAATAATGATAATAACAATTGTTCGTTCACTTCCAGTATGCGATTTGGGGTTAACACACATTTCATGTGGCACAGCAACATACCGTAATTGTCAAACAACTTCTGTGAAATTTACAGAATAATAAGATAACATTAATAATATCTCAGATTAGGCACGCGGGTCAGGTGGGGTTTGGGGAATCAATATAGACCCCAGTAAACTATACCTACCATTTGGAAACAAGAAACATTACATTTTTTAAATATAGCAACAGATGTGTGTGAGTGTTTATGTGGGTGCGTGTGTGTGTGTGTGCATTTTATTTTATCACCATAACTAGACATGATTACCTTAGTGCGCCGATCTTTCAGACGTGATAATCAGTGATAATCTATTGGAATCTTCATGTTTTCAAATGATGAATGTTATGTCTTTAAATTCTGATAGAAAACATACACAAAAATGTTGGGGTGTTTCCATAGTAACCAGACATCTTCATAATACATGTTGACTAAAATCTATCTGAATTTTGATGGATTATTTCCCATCGTATTTGATGTTTAGTTTATTAAAGTGGGTGTCATTTGGAATTTGATAGGTGTTATTTTTTATGTTTTAGTCATATTTTGGAAATAATATATCTCAACACGTCATTGACAGACAAAACACTGTCTGTCATCTGTTCAGTTTTAAAAAGATCGTTAATTTTTATGAAGTAGACAACAATAAGGCGTTTCACATTTAAATTAATGTTTTAATTTTCCAACCGTAAGTCTGCGTCAATATCCACACCATCGTTAAAATGTCGGTGTATTTGATTAATTATTCAGATTGTATTCTCACTGGTCCTATGTTCTGTGTACTTGGCAATCTAGAATGACATGTAATGTTGTTCTCTCAAATTTTACTTTCATTCCGCATTTGCTTCAATTCATTATTGTACTTCCACAACACTTCTTTAACGTTTCCGCATTATATTATTATTTATCACAAAACATTTATATGGCACTGCCTTCACCAAAGTGATTATATGAGCTTTGCATTCACGTAAATGTTAGCAAAATATCTCAATTATAAAATGTTATCCTTTAGTGTACATAAATGTATTTAACACATATGCACAAATTATTTGATTGACACGGGCCGGTCGGACAAAAAATGAAAAAATAATTTTGTCCAATTCGTCTAAAAAAACCTTTTTCTGCTAAACATTATATGGTGTGTGTGTGTGTGTGTTTTTTCGGGGGGGGGGGGTGGCTTTAACATGATGATCATGTTGTATATGGCCGGTGGCTTTAACGGGCCGCCACGCCTTCACTGGAGTCTGGAATGGGCTGGTATTATAGACTTTCTGGGCCGGGTGTGCTGGGTGTGGGCCGGAATTCGGAATCCTGCAATGGGGATTCCGAATCAACTAGCGCTCCCGGCAACAAAAATACATGTATATGTAGACCCATCGAACTATTGAAAATCTACACACTCACCTACATATATTCACGAGCGTTGGTAAATGTTTCTTTAAGTTATTGTCACTTTTAACATGATTTATCTTAAAATGTTCTGATATGCAATGTCTTATTTCAGGTCTGAATTAAACTTGGGTGTAGAGAGGTCAGGGTTTACATTAGTCAGGTTTTGTAAAGAAAATCCAGAAATCGATCTATTTGTTAAGGTAAACATATTAATTACTTTGTTTCAAAATTTTGTTTCCAACAATTTGACACATTTATTATATTTTATTATTAATTATTGCACTGGGTTAAACTATTTGGGGAAAGTTTTTAAAATTTAATTTAAGGTTCCTGAAAAATATTGATTGGTTTAAAAAAAAGCAGTGAAGTAATTACGGTGACGTGCAGAGGTTTGAATCTTGATGTCCATTGGCCAATCCTTTGATTGTATGTCTCCTATAGGGCCTAATACTCAGAAATGTGAGAAAAGAAGTCATTTTAAATATGTTAAAACATATGAAATAAACAATATTAGTGGGGCAGCTTGTTAAGCAAAATTAACAGCGATAATTTCAAATTTCATAAAACTTTATTCAATTTCACTCGGTGATTGGAGCCCCCCCCCCCCATCCCCCTGAAATGGATGCGGACTTTTGTCCCTTCTACATATCACGGGGTAAATTGCATTTTGCTAAACGGTTGTTTGAAGAATTTTCAAAATTTGATTAAAGCTGCTGGACTTACATCCATACAACCAAAACCCAGCTTAACCGGAGGGGGGCTCTGGGCCTGACTAGAATCGCAGGACCCCTAACGCGACGAAAAGATTATTTCATATCCTTTTGAATGACACGCATGCGTAACACACAATTAAACGGTCTGTAATACAAGAATAATTACATAATATTTGATCACATACGAAATCTATTCAGTTCCGAATGGCATACAATGCGGGGAAATGTCATATAAAGGCGATTACCTTGAAACTTTCATCTGGAATTTGAATTTTTTCTCTTTTTGCCATGAACCGCGGGGCCCCCTAAACCGCGGAGCGCTGGGCTTTGCATACAACGTCACTCCGTCATTGGTATACGTTTTGGTATTGTACTTCATGATTCATTTAAAATGTACACAAAAATGGCAGGGATTCAACTTCTTTATCAAAACACACCTACTTTATTTTAATGTTGTGTTTGACTGCAACTACCTATGTAGTACGTACAACACAAGGTAGAAATTGGTTGTTAAATAACTGAACACAGGAACCCATGCATGATTTCGTTAGCTATTAGCCTATTAGATGTTTCGTTTTTACGAATTTTATTTTGGTTTCAGCGAGGAATCACCCAGATTCCAAAATACATAAAGGTAGAGGTTTTAAATGATACCCCGACACCCACATCACCTATATGGTTCTTCTTAAATGTCTGCCGCCCTTCCCTTCCTGTTTTGCTCTTCTTCCCTTACACAAGAACGGTGGTTTCTTTCTGTCATGAACACCTTTTCTGTTGTATAATTATGAGTACTATATCCAGATTGCAATTTAACAATTCAAACTGTGACATGGATGAACCAGATAACAAATGTTCTTTACACCGCCCCAAATGCCTATATCGATATAACGTACACGTATTTGAATTGAGATCCTCAAATTGATTCGAATTAAGGACAGAAAGGAATCCAAAGTTTGTCTAAATTACATTTCCAAATATGTCACTCATCACAAACTACCCCTCTCCTACTTTTCGAAATTTCTTCTTGAATATATATCTTGATCGAATAGTTTCACTTTCCAAATATACATACATATATTCACTGAAAATGTTTGTAAGTACACGCTATTCTGTTATCCTCATAAACATTAGCAGCAAGGGATACTGGAATCAAATCATAGAAAAAAACCTCTGATTGGTATTACCAAATTAAGCGAAACCACAGGAATCATTAAATCTATTTCTTATTTTTATACGGGTTGAGTTCATGGACATGGCACTTATTTGAACTGCATAATACCATTTCTAAATGGGGTCTTAATCTCTAGGTTTTATACCGTGTTTCAGTAAACAATATTACCAATCATGTGATATAATATATAGCAACACGGCACAAATAAAATACTCAACGTTTGTACACTTAGGAATAAAAAGAATATAAATGTATCCAATATAAATTAAAATCAACAGATATAAACGTCAATACACGTAATTCAGATTCTAAGGAGAAAACATGAATTATGGACAACTAGAGGGATAGGTTATAAATTTTATTTTATCACGGGGTCTAATTTAGTTAACAATATCAAATTTATTTAGCTGCTCTTGAAGACTTTTTGCAAGTGAATAATTTATTCTTGAATGAAAGGGGTCAAGTAATTGAATTGTCATCACCAGTTTTTCTTTATTAAAGTTTGTGTGCAGACTTCCGTTTCGGGAGTGGCCTTTGCTTAAATTTCATCGAAAGATTTCAAATGCATTCAGTTATAAAATCATTGAGATAAATGTCTAATGAATGATTCTTTAATTAAATAATCTCCTGTAATGTCACACATAGCATGGTCAATACGTACTCAACTATATATACCTTCATTTATATATTTAAAAAATGCCTGCGCTACGCATACCGTTTTTCAGGTTGTGGGAGTTGGGAAGCAATTTTGATCGAAGGTCTTGTTCATGATTTTATGAAATCTGTTAGAACTGCTTGTAGTTTTCTAGAATTATTTAGATATTCTTATAGATACTCTATATCTTGCAGAATAAAAAAATAATTCATATGAAGGTTAAAAATACACAGTATATATGCTCAAGAACTGTGGGGATTCTTCGTGAATATTGGTTAAATGTTTCTGGTAAATGTTAAATTCAGACTGCTTACTAACAACTATTTAAAAACATTAGAATTGTGGGGACTTTTTTTCCTACTTAACCCATTAGGAACTTTGATCTTTTGCAGGGCGGTTGTGTTATACGCTTATTTCATAAAGAACTTGAAGCATATCTAGTTGCTGAAGGGTTATTTGATGAAGACGTTACTGAAGATGGTATAGTATAACATTTCCATATTTAACTGATTCAATACTATTTCTTAACTCAATCATGCGATGGTAAGCTATGTATAAATTCGTGTTCGGGATATGGAGCGGAATTCACGTCATACATTTCACCCTTAAACATGGAAACATATTATCACTAGCATTAGGTTAACAGAATACTGAATTGTAGATTTTTTTTCCAAATTTTCTAACTGTTTCTTGTATTTCTTGTCTTTTCAGTACATTTTCGGATCCGTGTCATGGATCAACATAAACCACGGACATTATCACCGCCATCATCTGGTAATACATTTTGGCAGATTGAATGCGAAAACGGTATACTAAATGGTATGTAGGTTCATATTGTACTAGCTAAATTACCCCGCGTTGCATAGTATAGTTTTGATTTTGATTTACATTAAGAAAATAGTTTTCAATTCATAATAATACTATAATTTCATTTAAAGAGTTTTCAATTCATAATAATATTATCTTATCCCACAGGTGATGTTATCCGATGGGAACAACAAGTTCGTCTACGCCACATGACTATACGGAAATATCTCCGAGTAGATGCTAATCGGGAAATAACTTTAACGGACGATAACGAAGATCCCCGAACAGTTTTCCGACTTCACTCCGTATTAAGTGTAAGTAAAAATAACCATCATTTGCGAACTAATGAATTCGTGTTTGTAAGAGATATTCGTGTTCAGTTGTACACACCATACGTGTGTTTGTTTTACATTTTCGTAACTCTGTTAAAGTATAATAAGAATGGGGGAAACTGAAATCATCGGAATAGTCTAATATTTATATAGATAATGGTTTGGTTGTGTTGAGATTTGTCACTTTATCGTTATGTATCAAACAAATCCGATAAATGTACAGTTTGATTATTAAATCGATGAATTTATTTAAGGAAAGGGATGAGATCCATTTTGAAAGTTATGCCAGAATTGAACATGTTTTGACTGGATTTTGGCTGCATGCCTTAAAAGGTAGGAAATAAGTCTTTGTGTGTTGAAATATCTTTCTATTCAAAATTTTCCTGCGTGTAAAATATATTGATTGGGTTCCTGTATTACACGAATATGACATTTAAATGGCCCGGGGCTCTATTTTATGTTTAGCAGTGATGAATGAATTTATTAAATGTCTACATGCAATAATATTTAATCTGAATAATATTATTTTAACTTGTCAAATAACGTGAATCTTTGTTACATTCTTTTTTCAACAGCTTAACTTTTCTTCGGTCTTTCAATAAGATATATACATATATACCCCTAAAAAAAAGTAGGGGATATTCAGAAACAGTACAAAACTGTGGAAATGCACTGCTGTTTTTATTAGAAGTAACCAGTGTATGTTAATAACAGGCCAATTGCCTACACATGAACATAAACAGTTCATATGGGTTGCTTATCTGACGGTCCCATTTCACTTGCAAAGACATACACTGACGAGAGTGAAAATTGACGTTTTTGATTTTTGTCTTAATAATGAGTAATTGCTCCACCAATCCTCAGACATTCAGCAGTTCGTCGTGGCATGCTCCTAATCGACCGTCCAATCACGACTTGGGTCAATCTGACCCACTCCTCTTGCAGTGTCACGGTCAGTTCTTGCTGTGTTTTCGGTTGACGATGACGTCGATGAACACGTCTCCCGATCATGTCCCAGACATGCCCTATAGGGGAAAGGTCAGGACTCATGACTGGCCAAGGCATATGGACAATATGGTGACGCTGGAGGTGTCATTCACGACACGAGCGCGGTGGGCACGGGCATTATCATCTTGAAAGATGAGACGTCGACCTGCACGTTGAGCAAAGGGCAGAACTATCGGTGCCAGGGTGTGGTCACGGTAGTACACAGCAGTGACCCTTCCTTGAACAATATGTAAGTCCGTTCTGCCAGTGATGGTGATTCCTCCCCAAATCATAACACAGTGATTGCCAATAGCAAGTAGACGTTCATCATGTTGAAGACGTCTTATAGAAAATTAAACGTAACACACTAACGCAAAGATACGCTAAACAGTAAATCTTATTCAAGAACGGATAGGAAAGCAAACATGGATAGGATAAACCAGCACGCGGCATTTTTCCTCGACCCTTCCTTGAAGTGTCAAATTTGACAATAAACCCCTCCCACGTGTATGGCGCTATTGCGTGTCGCATGTGCAGCTCAGTGGTTCTGTTGGGGCGATAAGGTCTTCATCCGTGAACATACTCTCAAAACATGTCAAGTGTCCATGACTATTTATCAAATCACAACCTGCATAGGTATTTGCATTTCAATATCCCCTACTTTTTTTGAAGAGTATATGTAAGACAAGGGTCAATTTATTTTGTTAGATGAGGATTACATTCGCAAACAGTTTCGCCATATTGATGACAGCACAGATCAGAGTATGCGTGGGTTACGGTGGGACACGGCGCAGGTTCGACAGGTCAGTAAGATGAACATTGGAAAAGTTTCATTATAAATGTAATAAATTAGTTATGCTTGCGTGTTTAATATTTAGTTTTGAAATATATGTAGATAACATATTTGTGCGCCAATTTATTGAAAAAAGGTATAACTATCATTTATATGCTGTTTTGTTTCTCTAACTAATAAATCATATCTATGTTTGTATAATATAAATTGTCCTATGTCAATATAAACCGCTGAATAAACTGTCATGGAATTGTTACCTATGGATGATTTACTATGTTTACGGCGCCATAGCAATTGAAAAACTTGAAAATATCATAGAGTAAAACAATATTGTCTAGACATATTTAAAGATACAGAGTAAAATTGGATGTATAATAAAACAAAATTAATATAATATGCAGTTAAAATAAATAAAATGCATGTTCTATTTCTTTGATATCAATAATTTCTGAATATATTACTGTAAATCTCCTTGGGTCTAAAATTCTGATTAAAACATAACTTTGATTAGAAGTTCAGATTGAAGCATAATTTTGTTCAGCAATTCTGAAAATGGCATTTCTCTGAGTGTAGCATCAGTTTGAAATTCTGTTTGTCATATTTTGTTATGGTGTATATATCTTTAGGTGGCAGCTAGCGGCGAGAGTATGTATGATGATGCTTTTACTATACAGTTTGTAGAAAAACAGTTTGTTGATGATTTTAATTATGTCTCAGGAATGGTTCCCTGTCTCTTGTCTTTAATACATGATGTAAGTTTCATTTTATTTTCCATATTTTCCCCGTTACAGCATAAACGTTCGCTTTACAAATTAGCGACATTTCTGGAGTATATTAGAATTACTCTTCTTGGTCATTTTTATGTGACGAAAAGTAAACATTTGGATCAAAATTGTCTTTAACATGTAATTAAGCGGGGTGACACATCACCCCAGTGTTATATTTTTCAATTTGTTATTTACATACGAGATGAGGTCCAAAATATACTTTATATGTAACCAACTATTAGTCTTTTATTCGTTAACAAAGTAAATAGTTACAATGTTTAGCTACTGACGATCAAACTTTAAGTCATTTGTGCAAACCTTCATAATGCATACGTATATGTTTACTGAGCTTGCATTGTATTTCGTTAAATGTTAATGATCAACGAAATGATCAGAAAATTGGTCTTCACTGCTTGATAATAACCCCTAGAGAATTTATAGTATAACGTATTGATGAAGTTCTAACGTTTAAAATGCTATAAAATTGTTGAATATATTGAATGAATATAAATTTTTACAGCGTGCCGAGGGTCATATTTTAAATGCCAAGAAAACCCACCAAACTCTAACAGTAAGTGATATTGGATAATATCGTATGCAAATAGTCAAACAATGACAATTGTGTAGTTGGTAGCAGTATAGCCATTTTATTTCATTCACAATAAAACATGATCTAGAAAAAATTAAGTATAATATCATTCAATACCTCCAGAGTATTCAATGTATCGACAATAATCGATTCTGTCATTATTAATGGCTTAATAATCTTATGTTATCAAATTGATCAATTTGAATTGCGTATTACAAAGGAAAATCATTCTGCTCAAAACATTAGAATAATTAAACATATAAATGTAATATTTGTTCAAGGGGGGCATATTATTTCCTATTATATAACGCTTTGTGTGGTTTTGTCTCATTTTATAGGCCATGGAGGAATTGCGGAAGTTTATGTATGTTGGTGGTTTAACCAGTAAAAATCGCCAAAAACTGATGAGAAATTTACGGGTTAGTAGTACAGCCATCCATTGGTTGATACGTAATGCTCATAGTTATACTTAAAATCAGTCCATTTTCAAAGAGAGAGAGAGAGTGAGAGAGAGAAAGAGTTATACTTAAAAGCAGTCCATTTCCAGAGAGAGAGAGAGAGAGAGAGAGGGAGAGAGAGAGTTATACTTAAAAGCAGTCCATTTCCACAGCCACAAAGAGAGAGAGAGAGAGAGAGAGAGAGAGAGAGAGAGAGAGAGAGTTTAACGTCCACTCGACACAAACCAGGTCATTTCGGGACTAACACATGGTTCAGTTTTATTTCAATAATTCGCTTGCGCGTAGGAGTCTTTAGCAGTGGGGGAAAACCAAACCGTACAACTATGGAATCGAAACCATGCCAATTGACCCAATGACAGACCTTATGATACAGCGCGCACGTGCTAATAATAAGTCGATTCTTGTAATGGTCTCAAAGATAATTCCAGTTCAAATAGTATTTATGCCCCACTCTTTGGATAACTATCTGTAATGTATAAAATTATGTCATTCATTCATATGTGTGTATGCAAATCAAAGAGGTAATTTGCATATAAAGTTGGTCTTCCAGATCTGATTTACCTCAGATTCCCCATGCGTTTATATCTATCTACAAGAAAGTTGAGGCGTTGAGTAGTTTAGATAGGTGTTTTATATTGATAGGTTATAGATCTCTTGGTAAAGATATTACAATGTCATCTAGATGGTGTCCCTGATGAAGCTAATCTAATACAAGTATTTAAAGAAGCTTATGATACCTTGTATACCTATATGATAGGTAAAAGTAGGAAGAACGCTCTTTATTTTGCCAAATACATTGACTTCTTCCAAACTCAGTTTACTCAAAAGGTAAGTAGTTGTGTATTATATTTAATAAACAAACATCTCCACACAAAATACAAATAAACCAAGTTAACTTTTTTATGTGGACATTTTTCAAAATATCGTATATTGGTGTTGGCCTCTAAGAGGCAGTTTAGCATTAACTGCTCAGCAAAACACAGAACTGCAAAGAACACCACAGGCAACTTAGATTGTCAAAATAATCGGCACATGCCTTTGCAATGCCATCAAAAGAATAACCGACAAATGTTCTAAAGTATTATTGCCTTTTTGTAATAAAATGTTGATTTGGTACCTTTGTACGAAAACTGTGTTTCAATATAAGACCAACCAGAATTAGTCCGTGTTCTTTTTTCAACAGGGAGGAATTGGTTTGAACGTGGCGCAGATGATAGTAGAATTAATACGAGACAAACGTAAGATTGTAGATCGTATAACTCATTCACAGATTGATGAATTCGTTTCACTTCTACAAACATCTCAGGTAGGTTTAATGAGTCTCAATCGGTATTAGCCTAATTTGTGATAAACCCAATGAAGGAGCTGTACTGCTTCGGTCGATCAAAGCCGATCGAACTCGTACAACGTCCATTCTATATGAACAAGGCCCACCACTGCTCTTGGGATTTTAATTTACTTCATAAAATAAATATCCGTATCGCTACTTTGGTGTATTTTTGACAATTAAGAGCCAGACTAATTTTTCATTTCTGGATATATTGTATGTAAAATAGTTTGTAAGCCTCTACATTTCACAGACGTTGGCACAAGATCTCCGAAAAAATTAGGGATAATTGATACAACTGCTGTCCAAGGAAAAACATATAACGATTAACGAATCCCCTTTGCCACCGGTTGGTGACATCCGGTTTAATGACCATCTCTTGTCTGACTTAATGATTTACCGTCTGTAAGACCTATCCTAGGGCTAGGCAATTTTGAGAAAAATAGCTTTGTCTGGAGCTACGGTAAAACGCATAAATTTACTCGATTAACTTTACATACACAGAAACCTCTTTAAAGGAGCCAAATCGCTATTCTTTGGCACCTAGAAATGGACACGAATGGGTCGCAACACATATAATAATGTAATACGAATGTATATAAACCAATTTACATTCAATCGTTTCTGTTTTTACTGTAATTTCTAATCAGTTATGTTCGGCGAAATATCGGAAGAGTTCGAATTGAATGGCAGTCTTTGGTGTTTGGTTATTCCAGTCTATAGTATTGTCCTACATAGGATGTGTTTAGCCTCGGTCATCGAGTCGCTTCATACAAATGGCGCTCGAAAGCATTCTGGCACACGATTCCTGTGCTAATTTGAAAAAAATTATTTTGTCCTAAATATTGGATATCAGAAGCCTATTTTTTCACGGTAAGATAACAACATCAATGTTGATTTAAATTAACCAATAAGTCGTGTTTACAATGTCGAAGACTGTGGGTGATATTGAGTTAAAGACTTGCCTCCTTTAAATATCATTTATAACCTAACATTTATCTTCTCTCCATATTTTCTCAACAGAATTATAGATTTCTTGATCTCCTTCATGTTCTGTGTGTTTGTGACGATGTTGCTATTCCGAACAACCAGTCATACATTGTTAAACGGTGGCTCCAATGTGAAAAGGTTAGTTTATACAATAACAAACGATTTATCCCTTTTCAAAAATTTTATTTGTGTTTTTTAGATATGAAGACAAAGTAAGATTATACTTTATAGCATGCTAGTATTGTTTAATTTAACTCAAAATTGCGAGTATTCCCCAGTGCTTATTTTCCATATTATTTTCTTTTAGAAAGGTGTCTATTTAACTGCACGTGGACAGGATATAAACAGACAACCTAATATTCTCTATATATCAACAACTAATGGTAAAGACTGGATGGCTTTACACGAATTCGTCGACGTAAGTTTGATATAATTAGCAATATTATAGAGTACTAATGTGTAGTACCAAAGCTATAAAGTGTTAAAGATCCGGGTATTGAAATTCCCTGAACTCGGTTACTTCAAACATCCACAGTCAGATTGTGACTCCCCATTACATGCAGGTTTGGTTATCAATATTTGGGCGAAAATCACATGGTTTAATTGCAGAATTTCAGATGTATACTCACAGATAGTTGTAATGTCAATTAGTATGATGAGATTCAACCGAGCCAAAACTATTGGGGCCATTATTTTGGGAGAATAAAAAGTACCTTTATAGTCTAAAAACCATCCATACAAGATAGATTTGCCATGAATTACATTTCATTGCCCAAAACACTTTAAACACACAAGTTCACCAGAGGTACGCCATTATGGCGGTATATTAGATTAAAAATTCTAAATTTGTTAATGTGGTGTTATCGTCTAATTTCTATTCATGTAATTTCTAAATTAAGACAATGTATAATCAAATTTCTTTACTTGTTCAGCGTAAATTTTAATTCTAATTTCATGTTATTTCTGAACTCGGTTACTTCAAACATCCACAGTCAGATTGTGACTCCCCATTACATGCAGGTTTGGTTATCAATATTTGGGAGAAAATCACATGGTTTAATTGCAGAATTTCAGATGTATACTCACAGATAGTTGTAATGTCAATTAGTATGATGAGATTCAACCGAGCCAAAACTATTGGGGCCATTATTTTGGGAGAATAAAAAGTACCTTTATAGTCTAAAAAACATCCATACAAGATAGATTTGCCATGAATTACATTTCATTGCCCAAAACACCAGAGGTACGCCATTATGGCGGTATATTAGATTAAAAATTCTAAATTTGTTAATGTGGTGTTATCGTCTAATTTCTATTCATGTAATTTCTAAATTAAGACAATGTATAATCAAATTTCTTTACTTGTTCAGCGTAAATTTTAATTCTAATTTCATGTTATTTCTATTATTTAGATGATAATGTCTTTTTCATTGACGCTTGACATGTTTAGCATGACCATCGAACAAATTAGAAATTTGACCCTTCTACCTAGCAACCATCATTATGACTATGACGTCGTTTGGTGTCGCCATTGTGTTGAACCATAAGAAAAGCGAGTAGTTTATACCAACGTAATGGTCCTGACCAGATTGAGCACGCAGTGGCGACACCAAACGATTCCATAATGACGGTTGCTAGGTAAAAGTGAAAAATTATAAATTTGTTCAATGTTTATGCTAAGCATGTAAAGCGTCAATGAAGAAGACATTTTTCGTCTTAATAATAGAAATAAGATTAGATATAATTAAAATTTACGCTGAACAAATAAAGAAATTAGATTATTTAGAAATTACATGAATAGAAGTTAGACGATAGCACGATACTAACAAATTTAGAATTTTGAAACTAATATACCACCATAAGCCATGTGTCATTGGGCTTTTCTGTATCAGTATTAAGAGTATAGTATAGAAAACAACTTTGAAGGATAGATTCTGTAAATAGTTTAGACAGGCCTAGAATTATTGTAATTGTAAATTATTGAAATAACTCACATATCTACATAATAACTGATATCTGGCCCATCATTTTGTCACATTAGGGTTACATTTGGATCATTGACGGGAATAAAAATGATATTCATTATATCTGCGCTTAAGTAGATTTGAAATGAGATTGGACTAGAAATTTGGAGTAGTAGTTTAGCAATTATCATCTTGTTTAACTAAACTAAGTCTTAAAACATGTATTTTTATATCTACCCACTGGGTTGTAGTAATATACTTTCATGTTATTAAAAAAACCGATTCAGTTCAGTTGTCAGCAAGTAGGTCAGTTTAAATAAAAAACAAACAGAAACATAGGCGTACGGGCTCGATGACAGTTAGGGGGGCAGAACCCGAAATGCCCGAAAAAATTTTGGCCTTACAGACAGCGTCGCCGGTCTTCCTCGAGAGGCGAAGAAGCGGAGCTTACCTTGTATGGACCCCCCCCCCCACCCCCAAAGACAATTTTGGAATATTTGACGGCTGCAAACACGTTTTCCTCTATTTAAGCCGGCGAACAAAGCAACTTCAAAGTGGTCTTATATAGCCTAATTAAGATGGCTGACTCGAATTCCAATCCACGGAGACGGGACCGTTGGGAGAAAATTTTGAAAATTTAACTGCCGCAAACGCGTTTTTCTGCTATTCCAGCCCGTGAATACAGCAACTTCAATTTGGTCCAATATAGCCTACCTGGCTGACCCAAATTCCAAACAACCAATCAATCGTCGCGGGATATGGGGCCTCACCCTCCCGGAGAAAATTTTGAAAATTTAACCACCACAAATGTGTTTTCTGATTTCTAAGCCTGTGTAAGCAACTCCAAAAGTATCCAATGGTTTTGTAACTGAAATGCCATTCTGAATTCCAACCATCCAATCAGACTGTTGCCGCTGCATTCACAAAATAATCGATACCCGAAAAATGTCGCACAAAGTAGAGTGGCTCCAGACAAAATGTTTTAATCCATAGTCAACTCAGTACAAATTCGTGGTATTCAATTAAAAGAAAAGTAAAATTAGTGTTTTATTAGGGCTCGATGACAGTTAGGGAAGCAAAACTAGAAATGCCCGAAAAAAATTCAGGTTTACAAACAGCGGCACCGGTTTTCTTCGTGAGGTGAAGAAGCGGAGCTGACCTTGTATGGACCCCCCAAGAAAAATGTTGGAATATTTGACGGCCGAAAACGCGTTTTACTGCTATTCAAGCCCGTAAAATTAGTGTTTTATTAGATTTCGGGTACTTTATTTTGCCAAGTAGATGAAAAGTCAGCTTGCCCGAAAGTTTGGGGGGCAGCTGCCCCCCCCCCCCTGCCCCCCTGGCTCGTACGCCTATGAACAGAAATGAGAAATGTAGATGCTTGATTCAAAGAAGAATATTGCGATGTTAAATTTCATACTGTTCTGATACAATAACAAAAAAACTTCAAATGTAACATGTTTACACTGCGACGCTTGTGTTTATATTAACTTTATGAACATTTAATAATTATGAATTTAATTTGCATTTTCATTTTTGATTAGAATTCAATGGTTTTTGTTTTGGAAAGAATGGTATGCTGTATATTTGTAACTGATCTCAAGTGTACTAAATATAATCCCGTCTTTCGTTCCTTTCATTTTCTAAGAGATCTTTCACGATATTTGTAGACACCTTGTACAAGCAACTGGTTTTTCTAACGGTTTTGAGTGGATATTTTCATTCTATAATTCGCCCGCATTATGAAATGTCTGTCGGTCGGTCCGTTGTCCACAATTACTAGTGGACGCTTGAGAGTCTCAAGTTATCATCCGTTGAAATATATATATATCCAGAGATCATGTTCATAAAATAATGAAGCTTATTGATTTTCAATGATTTCCGATAATTATTGTAAACGTTGATCGATTTGAAAAATCGTGTAGGCTAAAGGTAACATCCGTTTGATTTCAAATGTATACACAGCTTCAGCGATATCCGTTAAACATACATTATGCAAGAGCTAAATCTGCCTATTGCATTTCTTTCTTTAGGCCTGAAATTTTATATAAATTATTAATTAGACATTTATTATTATGGCAAGACCATAATCAACTCCCGATGCCATCGGTAGTCTGCGATATTTAGCGGATTAAAATTTTTAGAAAAATAATTAAACGTAAAGCTGGATAATCGAGACTTTGTTTTTTTTTATCGTACTGACTTTAGTAATGATGATTGAGGCTAGCCTAAAGTTCAAAAGCTAATATCTCGGTTGGTTCAGAGTGGAGCAATATTTATTTGACTGAAAGTTTCAGCATATTCTGTTTACGTTATCTATTTCTAACTATTATAGCGAGAACTGTCAACTTTAACATCTAATTTCTATAGTTATCAATTGCAGCTGGTCAAATTTTGATTTTTCTGATAATTGCGTCATGGGTTTTTCCTTTTGATCAGGGTTTAGTATCTTGTAAATAAATGCCCCCCCCCCCCAGTACCCACAAATGAATATATGAGATTATGCATTAACATTTAAGGACTGTCGGACAACCTTTTCTCTTTTTATGAAAACAACCTTAGGAATTACTCAAGTTTTGTTTGTCGCGGAGTTACAGGTGTAATGTGCGATAAGGGGTATGGTTTTTTTTGTGCTGTTGTATTCCGTCATTTTATGTTTGACGTTATGTACATAATTCACTATTTCCATTTAAATTGACTCAATTTGAAGTACTACTTTAAGGAATGGGCACCCATACTTGTGTAATATTAAAGGAATTTAGAGATTGTTGTGATACGTGTTTTGGTTTTAAACACCTATTTAACAATGGAGTTATTTTGCGATGAATGAGTTATGAATTGTACCAGAACATCATTTTTCTGTTTCAGGAAGCCAATCCGTATTATAACAAAGACCAGCATGAATTTTTGATACACCAGTTGGATTTATATAAAGCTCTTAGTTATGTAAGTAAACATGCAAGCGACTCATTTAATTAAAGGATTACAGAGAAACATTTTGTGGTATTTTATAGTTTTTTTTGTTATTGATTTTCCGTTTGCGATATTCTTATTCTACAGATTCTAAGCAAATCACGGACAAACAGGCTGTACCCAGAGCTTCCAGGCAAACATCATTAATTCCGGGAAGATGATTGTGAAGTGTTGCCTGGAAATTTTACGGGATCATAGACATAGAAGCAATGTATTGATTTACAGTGTTTCGCTGGATCTTTTCACACAACAGAGAGCTGTAAATAAAATTATAAGGAAAGTACATAGTATAAATTGTCAGAATCTGCATTGATTCCTTGTAAAGTTTATAACATGACCCAGTCAAATGGTCGACGATTTATTGAAACTTTATAGAATTTATAAGAAAAGAACACTTCGACCATTCACCGATCAATATTTCTCTTCAACTACAGTTGAACTACAGTAAATAAATTAGTACTTGCATCTAATTATATATATATATACTCTTCAAAAAAAGTAGGGGATATTCAGAAACAATACAAAACTGCGGAAATGCACTGCTGTTTTTATTAGAGATAACCAGTGTATGTTAATAACCGGCCAATTGCCTACACATGAACATAAACAGTTCATATGGGCGGCTTCTCTGACGGCACCATTTCACTCGCAAAGAGATACACTGTCAAAAGTGAAAATGAACGTTTTTGATTTTTGTCTTTATGAGTAATTGCTCCACCAATCCTCAGACATTCAGCAATTCGTCGTGGTATGCTCCTAATCAACCGTCCAATCACGATTTGGGGCAATCTGACCCACTTCTCTTGCAGTGCCACGGCCAATTCTTGCAGTGTTGTCGGTCGTCTTTGAAGCCTTTTCATACGTATTCCTTATACCCTAAGGATGACCTTAATTATTTTTGATGCATGCCCGGCCTCCTGGGACAGAGCCACGCACAATTTAAGTGTGTGTCTTTGTGTCGCCAACAGGCCGCAATTCTTTACAGATCCTTTTGAAACTTTGCATACCTATTTCTTATACCCTAAGGATGACCCTATTGTTTTTGGTAAATGCCCGACCCCCAGGGGCTGAGTTACACATATTTTTACTTTGTGTGTGTGTGTGTTGCATACAGGCCACAATTTTGAATGGATCGTCTTGGAACTTGATATAATTATTCATTTTTACTTTGTGTGTCTGTGTGTTGCAAACAGGCCACACTTTTTAATGGATCATCTTGGGACTTGATATAATTATTCATTATAGCCTAAGGACAGCGCTACTGATTTTAGTGCATGTCCCGATTCCTAGGGGCAGAGCCACGCCCAATTTTTGTGTTTATCGTATACTGGCCGCAATTCTGAATGAATCATCTTCAAACTTGGTATATGTATTCCTATTAGCCTAAGGGCAGCAACTATTGATTTTTGTGCATGTCCGGACCCCAGGGACAGGGCCGCGACCATTTTTTGTGTTTAGCGTCTGAAGGCCACAATTCTGAATGAATTATCTTGGAACTTAGTATACCTATTGCTTATACCCCAAGGACGGCAACTATGGATTTTGGTACATGGTCTGCCCCCTTGGCCCAAGAAAGGCAACTAAATTTAGTCTGTAAATTTGGCAAAACAAACCCAACGCCTAGCCTTCTTTATTTTAAAAAAGTACCATATGAATCAAAGCAGGAATGTGTACGTATATTGCAGCGATAGCGATGCTCTCGTTCCAAATTGACTTCGGCTTCAGAAGCCATATTATTGCTTCAAATAAGTACTGGCTGGTGTCGTGTTTGAAACACGTAGCTTCCTCTTTACAGAGCATGTAATACCAATTCACATATTAAATTTAAGATCAACTGATCAACGATTCTTAATATAGACATGTCACCTTCATGTCATCTAGTAATACGGTTTAACATTTCATAATATCAAATATATGATTAGGTAATGTCTGGCCCGTTTATACGCCCATTTTGAAATGTCATCGGTCCATCATCCATAATTTCTAGTGAATACTGTACAGTCTGTAATGATCATCTGATCTTTATAAAATGTGGGCCTATTGAATTTCAGGGGTTTGTGTTAATAGCTTCCGGAATTATTGCCCTTGATAACTTTGTAGAATCGTGTAGACCAGTGGTGGTAAACCTTTTACATACCAATGTATTCACGCACGAATTCAGATGCGTCATACAACTCTTGTACCCGTGTCTTCTTGTAAAAATATCTTTTTACGGGAAGACTGCAGAACAAAGTCCATCTTTCCTGGTTTGATTCATTAAGCATATTTGTAACTGAAACCAGATTAATATGAAAGAAGAGAATATTCACTAATAGGGATGTGAATGAAATAATAAAATCACTATAAACATAATGAGTAGGCTATTGCCTTACTGTATTAATATCACAGGGATGCAATGTGCCACTTCTAATACTCCAATGCACCGTGTTTGGCGCATGCGCCGGAGTTTCGCCATCCCTAATGTAGACGCGTTAACGACAAAAGTTTCTTACCAAATACCGACTACACCCTATAAGTACCGATAATATTGATCTTTTGTCAAAGTATTGCAAAAAGTGAATGAGCTCATAATAAATTGACAAAATTTCCTTGTCGGTGCTATTGACAGAAAAAACACTTTGCACGGCATATATATGCATCGTTTAAATTAGTGAACCGAAGGGGCCAGTCAAATTTCAACAATGTCCGCTAATTTGATCTAGTATGATGGCCCTTGTTCGTTTTGGAGAATTTTCTTATGCTAGCGGCAAAACTTATCATCCAATCTGATTAAAATTTATATGCATTCTTCAAACTAGTGAAACGAAGTGCTGTCGAATTTCAACAATTTGGGGGACTAAAATTCATACTGATTTTCTGTTCATGACACCTGTTAACTTTATACATAATCTTGTTAATACTCTAATTAGCGGTACAAGACAACAGTTGTCGTCCGATTTGCTTGAAATTGTCAAAATTATCGAAATCAAGAAGCCTATCAGATAACAACAAGTTTCGTTAATTACTTCTAGAGTTATTGTGCTTGCAGAATCTAGATAATCATAGATCAGTTTTTACAAGAGATCATCACTATGTTTCAATTCTAATAACGTTCTGTATCATTTTGCTTCAGTGTGTTTTAAATATTGTACAACTCTATTTCAGGGAAGAAATGACTATGCATCAAATATAATCACTAAAGAATTACGTTATTTAACGTGGGAAGAAACGTTTCTATCATTAAGGTCTGATATTTTACCTGATGCTATTAGAGCCAAATATTGTGATCTTACTACAAGTAAGTATTATTGAGATACACATACATCATCATACCATGGCCATTATTCAATTAAATTATTATAATTATAGGCTATTGCAATTGCCTACATTCAATTGTGATATATTATCTTAACAATAGGATATTGCAAATAGTCAAGGCTTTTTTATATGATCATTATAACTGTAAACTTTTACAATTAGCTTACGTTTAGTTACATTGTTATATAGCATCATAACCATAGGTTTCTTTTATCCAATAAACTACGATTAGTTATATCAGTGCAGTCTATTACAAATAACCTACGTTTAGTTGTGTTATGATATACTTTGATGTCTATTATAGGTTATTAACTATATATAGTGTATCACATCGCAAATAGACTACGCTCAGTTATAAAATCTTCATAGCTATAGTTTACATTTAGTTAAAACATCACCATAAGTAGGCTATAGGTTATTACAAATAGCTTACGTTTAGTTATAACATCGTGATAAGTGTAGGTTATTACAAAAAGCTATAGGACAGTGGTTCTCAAACTTTTTTGCCAACGGCACACCTTGGAACGCATGAAAAAATAGCGGTACACGTGGCTAAATATATATGAAATATATTTGAATTTTGCAAAATACAAACATAGTAAGTCAGACGGAATACAACCGTACACAGAGACTCAAACTAAATAAAGAATCACACAGCTATGAACTTATCAGTGGACACCAGTGAATATTTAATTGGGATCACGTAGTTTTTCGCATTTTTTTAGTGTGCCGTTCAAAATTTCGCGGCACACTTAGGAAGATCTCGCGGCACACCTGTGTGTCGTTGCACACTGGTTGAGAATCACAAACAGCTTACGTCTAGTTATAGGGAATCACAAATAGGGTACACTTAATTATAATTATCAGCATTACGTTTTTTAAAAATAGCTTACGTTTAGTTATAATACCATAAGTATAGGTTATTACAAATTGCTTAACTTTGGCTAATTGAAAAGGGTTCATCAGTCCGCCTGTCTACCCTAATGATGATGAGCATGTCCTGTTTAGGATAAATAAAGTTAAGCATTTTGAGTAAAAATTTTGTATATAGAGAATCTCCTACCAGTCTTTTTTTATATCAAAAAAATATCAACACAAGTCGATAAAGTAACAAAAAACAAGCTCTGCCGAGTTTTTTTTTACTTTATCAACGAGTGTTGATATTTTTTGATATCAAAAAAGACGAGTAGGAAATTTTATTTATCACCCAATCCCTTCTTACATGCACAAATAGATAAATATAATTCTTTGCTGTAGATTTCACGTTTACTGAACATTACGGCGTAGTGATACATCATTTTTTGACAGCAGTTCAACCATTGCAAAGTCCTTTATATTGACCCAGTGTTTCCATCAAGGTCAATTGAATAACAATAGTTCATTTTTAATAAAACAAAAGGTACTTTTAATAAAAAATGAACTGTTCTTTGAAAATAAAAAAAGTAGTTCCTTTCCAACTGACCAATCAAATTCATGTAAAGCGATATCTCCTAAGGAGATATCGCAGTAGATTATGAAATATATCACACAAACAATATCTACTGTAGAATGTATTATTGGGTGATAAAGATTCATTACAGATAAGTAATCTGATGTGTCGATGTTTTTGGACACGATAACTCTTTCTGATTGAGAAATGGACACGATAACCCTTTCTGATTGAATGAAGGAGCGATGAGGGTACCTTGTCTAAATTCGATAATGAGTATCTTCTGTTAATGTAGAGCAAGATAAGCAGTTTGATTGCCAGATTCTTTGTAAAAAGATAGATGCTGTATTAAGGGGTAATTAAGTGGTGTTATCTTTCGTTTGGGAATTTAAGTGAAGGACATCCGTCTCACTTTTGGCCTCTTATTTTAACCATTTGGGATATTAGGAATGGCCACCAAACTTTCTAAGTGCCTAGTGTATAATGTAAATTAAAGCTGTGAAGAAACGTCGCGATTATTGATCGTTTAGGTACCATGTAACATTTCTCGGATAGTATTTTGCGTAAAATTTCAAGTTCGGGTGTCTATGTTTTATATATATATAATCTGTGATATATGTAGTCTATGGACCTGGTATAGAATACTTTATATTTATTGTTGTATGTCGGTATCTGTTGGTGATTGTCCCTATGTTACACTTCACCAGTGTACTATCGCCCCATTTACCAAAGTTATATTTTGTAATTTACAATATCCTTTACACAAGAATGCGATTAAAGAGTAATCATCCGACCGTTAGAAATCTACACGGTGCACGACTTCATTAAGCAACAACTACACAAGAGAACCAATAATTTCATCAAGTAAGCTTCACGTTGATATCATATAAAACACAACTGTGATAATGAACTTGAAACTAAATCTTCACACCAGTAGTCTATTAAACGAGGCAATAGAATAGGACTGGTGCTATTTTCCACCATCGGTATAAATTAAGTGTAAAGTCTGGAAACTTATATGTGATCGTTATTAATAATACCTGAAACAATATGTATTCTTCATTTACATCTGAACTTTGAATGAAGCCGAGTTTGTAGCATTCATAATATAAGAATGTTTGCTTTTCATGAAATAATATTTTGCATTAAAGGACAGTTGTAAAATATTTAATATATTGACGGCGCTGCTTTCGACTAGCTTCTTTGAGTGAACCGGTAGCTAGTGCAAGATTAGCGGCTAAATCAGTTCGTGAACTGACAACTACTTTGTGAATTAAAAAATGAAATAAAAAAGGCAAAATAAATTGCATGTCTAGTTGTGCTTGGTTGAATCAAATTTAAAACGAACATGTATATTAATAATGAATACAGTATAACGAAAACTATAACGTTCTCCTTTACATGAAACTTGGTGTCAAGAATAAGAAATTGAAGTAATACATGAAATTGAAGTAATACTATATATACTTAGTGTTAATTATTAACAGAACTGTCAAAATGTATTAATACATTATATATGTTAAATATCAGACAACCGAGGACGACGGCCATATAAACCCTATCAAATAACGGTCCCTCTTCTGTCGGTAGAAATATTATGGTTAGTTACACACTGATTCCTCCTAAATTATATAGAATTAGTGATTGACGTCATACTATATCATAATCATAACTGTACTGTAACATTTATGGATGACTAAGAGTAAGACTGGTTAGGTTTTTTTTATATTTATAGGCAATAATGTTATAGTTATTTGATTGGGTTATTCAGCCGGTTAGCTTAATTTAATCTTGGTTTATATCCCTGCCGCAGGGTATATGTAATTCAACTCAAACTCATTACCAAATTATCATGGTCATTTGAACTAATCCTGACTGTCTGTTGTTCGTTATTGGGAACAGGCGCATAAGCAATGTCATAAAAAATTCAAGCGCAGCAAACCAAAATGAAAAGTACATTATATCGTATCTACTCATTCACAGCTATTGTTATCGTGTGTATCCATTAACAGAAATGAAATGAAAAAATGGGGTTTAACGTCCTACTCTTCTGCTCCGACTGGGCTAATAAAGACGGGCATACGCTAACAATTTGGTTTGAGGGAAATTTTGCCCGGATAGCGGCACTGCGGACTAGTCTTATATCGAATTCCAAGTGTCAAGGGATATTTTACATGCACGCCCACATGTACACGGGGCATTGGTTTTTCGTACCATCCGAACGACTATACGTTCTCCCTTGCCAGCCCCGATGAACTTTCTCGGCCAATGCTGGGATCGAACACGCGACCTCCGGGTTAGCGAGCAAACGTCATATCCGCTGAGCACCCCGTGTGCACATCTAAATAACACAATCATGTGGGTCCTTATCAACTATAATTTAACTAAACTTCTTTGTTTTAAATCAAACTACAGTGCTGGGACTTGTATGACAAGTTATGTAAATTAGTGATGGAACAAAATCCACAGGAATAAAGGTCCGTTTCGGATTATTACGCAAAAACACTAATATCGTTTCTTTTTTTTTCCTTAATAGTTAGGCTTTTCGCTTAAAATGTCGACAGTGGAACACAAACCAGCCGTATCATAGCAATTGATATCTGTGGACATAAACTTTAAAATATGAATAGATATCCATTTTAAACTAACATATCAAACTTAATTGAATCAATATTTTCTTCTTTTAGTCATCTGTCAGGGAAGTGATGGAGATTTATACCAGTTTAGTTTTCACATTACATATAAACTTGTTAAACATACATTATTCAAGAGCTAACTTTGCCTATTGCAGATCTTTTTTTAGGCCTTAAATGTTATCTAAATTATTAATTAGACATTTATTATCATAACAAGACCATAATCAACTCTCGATGCCACCGGATACTCGAGATTTTAACTAGATTAGAACGGTTCGGCAATTTAATGATTTAATTTAAAATGGGTAAGCGAGGCAAAGCCTCGAATATACCAGCACCGTGGTTACGATAATACACAATCAATTCCCACATCTTGTCAAAACTACAAACAATGATAACTTGGCTCTGAATAGAGTAGTATGAATGAAATTTTCAATATATTCATTTTCCGTTATCTATTTTGAAACTATTATAGGAAGAACGGCCAGCTCTTTATCCAAATCTTACATAATGTATCCTTAATTAATGTTTTATCTCAGAGATTGAAGTAACAATAGTCCTAAATATGAATTAGATAATTTATGTACAATTGTAAAAAAATGAAGTCAGAAATATATTAATGTAGGCCAAGAAAATGGGATAATTTTAATCAGTTTATAAAAAAGGAAAACAAATTGTCCTTGATTTTCCATTTAATTGCCTTAGACATTTTGGTCGATTTCTTCTTTTGTTCTCTAGAAAATAGAGCAAGGTTTAATATTGTATTGTGATCTTTATCAGATAACCAATCAAATATGACATTTCCTGAAAGATACATCAACATGTGTTTTAATATCAATATAGTCAATGAGAAAATTAATTGTAAAACATATTCTTAGTTATGTGATGGGTGTATTGTAGTCTGGGAATTATGGTCACGCTATGTAATATTAATCAATCTATTTAATTGGATGCTGACAAAATGAAAAGAAATGGGCGTTGTAGAATCAAGTCAATTAATCGACGGTATATACTGGGACAAGCTAAACACCTTAATTTCTGGTCTTCTGGTCTAAGACGTCATTTGCTTGAAACACAACACTGCTTTGCCACAGCTTAGCTGTAATAATAATAAATATGCAAGTATGAACAATGAAAATCCGTAATTTTGGGGTCATGCTTAATTTACAGCCATTAGAATAAACAATTTATGTGTAATGTTATAGACTACTGAGTCTGCCATTAGACGAGGGGTTAAACTACTACAATACTAGCCACCCCAATGAGTGTAGGGTTATACATCCGAATGTGGTGTATCAATGTGGGGCTACTTAAACATACATTATGCAAGAGCTAAATCTGCCTATTGCAGGTCTTTCTTTAGGCCTGAAATGTTATCTTAATTATTAATTAGACATTCATTAACTTACCCAGACCATAATGAACTCCCGATGGCATCGCTAGCCTGCGATGTTTATTGGATTAGGTTCTGATTTCCTGTTCGACTTCCATTCATAATTTAATTATTAAATGGAAAATAGAGACTGTGTTTTTATCGTACAGACTTTAGTAATGATGATCGAGGCTAGGCCGAAAATTCAATCGCTAAAATCTCGGTTCAGGGTGGATCAATTTGACTGAAATTCTCAGCAAATTCCCTTTACATGATAGTGAGAACTGCCAGCTTTTTATCTAATCTCCCATAATGTATCTTTAAGTTAATGTTTAAAAATATTCCTAATATAACCAGCGTCTTTCATTATAATTGGCTTATCAGGCATATTATTGAAAACCCGTCTGTGTACTAAATGTCGTAATAGGGTGTCATTTTTGAATGTTCTTCTGAAGCTCATAATGTAAAATGAACTGTAGACTAGCGTGTTTAATGTTAGTCTAAATCGTTAACAGAATCGTTGTTTGGGAATCTGAAACTTGAAAACCGTAATGCATGTATTAAATCTAGTTGCTATATTTGTGTTGTGTTAGTAGTTTCGTATTTTCTTATTGCCAAATGATACCCTTTACTATAGGACCAATATTTTCAACTTGTTGTCAGTTGAACCTTGTATTTTTCATCGCGCTTTTCACACGGTTTAAGCGAACGCAGTGTGTAGCATTTCTAATCATTTAACCTTTTCCCCAGCGAGTTACTCCTCTGGATTGGGGCAGGACCTGAACAGTCCACTAGACACTGTATCTGAAAAGGCACGTTTACGCCTTTAACCATTGGTATGGAGGCCATCAATTTTCTTTCTCGGCCCACCCCTTTATATTACATTCCAAACCCAATGCCTATGTAGCCTCTGAATCACAACGTTGTATCTCAAAAGGCATGGTCGTACCTTAACCAAGCAATGGAGACGATGAGTTCACTTTCCCACCTTCTCAATTCCACCCTATGCAGGCCTGGCCTCTTAATCGCGCCTGGTGTGATTACTTTATTGTTTAATATAGTGTAATTACAAAGATATCAAAAGGATCAGGCAAAAGTTTCAAATACTTCGAGTTGTTGTGCTCCATTTTTTGGGGGAGCGAAACGTTACGGAAGCAGTAAGGAAATATGTTCATATGAGTATGGATATAAAAGAAACGGGAAAGTAAATGAAAAATAGTATTTTGTAAGCAGTTACGCGTCGAAATTTTATTTAAACCTTTTTGACCGTTTTATATATTTGTGAACTTGTACGAAAAGAAATGTTTTCTTTAATAAATCTGTATATATGGTAAATGTTAATAACAAACAGGAAATAAACATTTAGGACCATTTACCACAATAATATCAAATTAATCCGAGATAGATATTTTTAGATGTTGTTTTTTGACAGTATATTGTAGCAATATACCACAAAGAGTAATTGGCGTGTAGCCTTTTGCAATTTTAGTGAAACAATGTAAAAAAGTTGTAAATGCTCAACAAACACAGTAAAACAAAATGACCAAGTTAATAACAAGACCCTTTACTTTACAACAGCGTAAACAATAGAGAATTATATAATGTGAATTTTACCAGTATGTCAGAATGATAACAAAACTGTCAGCTGAGTGGACCGGCCACATGACAATATAGCTGTCACAGTGACATGGAGATCAGGTGTAAGCATACCCTGTCACAAACCAGGCCCGTGTTTATAAAAGCAAGAACGGTCCGACGAAATTTAAAAATGGTGGTAATGTCTAGTATATGAAGTGATAGACCTGGAAAAGTAGATTCCACAGAGATACAATACAACGGAGAAAACTAAAGACATTCCAGCTTAGCGTTTAGTTTTCAGACAACAAATTCCATTTTTGGGAAACTATTGGGTTTTCTTTCGTCCATGATCTGACCTACAACAAATAAATTTATTATAACTTGTTCTATTCTCTTAATGATCTTATTGATGGTTGAACGTGTTCAGCTGATGGCCCATATTAAACTCATCCCATTTCTATTGTTTTCTCAGGTTTGTTTGTGGATGTTGGTAATAACTACTCGGTACTAGATCACCCTAACATCTGCTTCGTTTACGATTATGTCGGTTCTAAAGATGAAGAAAAAAGCCAGGGGGACTTTGTAAGTTATTAAAGTACTATATTAACCTTATAGTCAACATGAACAGTAATCAGTGTTAATCGGCTGTAATGATATTTTAAATTAGATGATTCTTGACTGTACAGACTATGACTGACTGGGTTGTTCTTCTATTTTTATTTATTTATTTATTTATTTATGTGTGTGTGTGGGGGGGGGGGGCACTGTTTTTGATACTCAAAAGAATTTTGTTGCACTTTATATTACTTAATATCTGTGTATGCATCCTTAATTTGATTGCTGCATCTTTTGTTAATGTAAAATATATACTAGTATTTTTCATTCCCATACTTTAAATAAATTCGGATACCTGGTTTTTAAATATACATTGTAAGCCCTGCAGAATTGCTTCAATTTTGACATTTAGTAAATTAGATGTAATAGGTAAGTTCATAGTTGGTTAGGGTATTTACACAAATTTTACATCTACATATTCGTACAACCATTTGACTTTTAAATTAAGTGTTACGCTAGAGAATTTGAAAATATGAAAAATACCAAATAAATACCAGTTTTGAATTTTATTAATACCCTGCCCTTAATGTTTGATTATTAGATCATATTATAACCTTGACACATGGGCGCTGTGTAGACATAACAGACATGTTTAATGTTCTAAAATGATCTACTAATGGAAAGTTCTTTATTTCCCTTGCGGAATCCAAACCATTCATCATGGCACATTATTCCAGAAACTTCGGGAATATTCGAAAATTGGCTAATGTTGTTCCAGAGGATTATGAACGAGTGATTTCCACAAACTATAACATCATGCTATAATTCATATATCCATGATAACTTCAATAACTGATAAATAGCTAAACACCAGTTCAAGTACCCATCATTTTGTGTCCACTCAGTTTAAGTATAGATCTGTGGTTGTGTTAACATCTCCCCAAATGACCCCAAATCTTCAAGTGTTCGAGCCAAGTTTTCAACTATAAATATTTAACAAATGAACAAACCATTACGTTTAATAATAAATGAGTTGTTTTATCTATGAATTGTGAAAAGTATATTTGACATTTACACACTGATATTGAATGTGTTGCAATTTCCTGGGGACTAAAATATGTAGACTACAAATAAATGTTGAAATGATTGAAATGTCGTCTAACGTCTACTTTTCGTTGTTTTTTTTACGTCCATCAAACGTGTACCCGGAATCTCAATTTATCGTCCCGCCAGAACGCTAGGCATTTAGAGTTCGAGAAAGAGACGTTAACGCCGCAGTCTGTTTATTTTAGTCTCAAAATGACCCGAGTAAAGTGCAAAGGAGATGTTAAGCTGGATTGATGTGAAATTTGTTCACTCACCCCCGTGCCCACAATATGTTCATAACTAAACTGAGATATTTGATAAACTTTAAGTGGCATTTAGCGATTAGGAAACACATTAACAGGACACAATTTTTATGGGAAACACACATTAAGCATGTTGGCTACTGCTCGCTGTATAGAAACCATTTGAGGCATGCCAATAGCACGTAGACGTACATCATGTTGACGACGTCTCATAGCAAATTAAACATAACACACTAAAGCAAAGATACGCTTAACAGTAAATCATATGCAAAAACCGATAGGAAAGCAAACATGGATAGGACAAACCAGCACTGGGCAGTTTTCATCAACCCCTCCTTGAAGTGTCAAATTTGACAATGACCCCCCCCCTCCCACGTGTATGGCGCTATTGCGTGTGGCACGTGCAGATCAGTGGTTCTGTTGGGGCGATAAGTTCTTCATCCGTGAACATACTCTCAAAGCATGTCAAGTGTCCATGACTATTTATCATATCACTACCGGCATAGGTATTTGCATTTCAATACCCCCTACTCTTTTTGAAGAGTATATATTAACCTCAAATTTACCAAATGTCAGTGTACTTATTAGCGATAAGAGGATACTTGTCGAAACGTGCTTTTAGAATAAAACCAGTGATTGTTTTCCCATAGAAATTTTGTTCTGTTAAGATATTTGGTACTCCGAAAACTGAGCACGATTATTAAAAATTGAAAAATGCCATATTTTGAAGAAATTCTTAATAATTTGATACAAATTGAACAAAGAATTTAATATGTTCTTTATTGAAAATGTGAATTATTACTTTTAGGTTATTAAAGAATTGGTGGCCATCTTTCCAGTATTACGAGATTGGATTGCCGAGTTTTTACGAGATAATAGTTTTATGATAGCCTGTAATATTGGTCATAACATGTTGATAGAACAGGTACGCTGTTGATTTACCGGATGTAGCCTTACTCCGCAGAGGTTCAACTCCAACCCAGGGAGTGTTTCTTCATTCTGCGAACGGGTTTTATTTAACCGTTAATATAAAAGTTTACCCCGGCATCTATATATAATCCCAATATAAATAGTGGTCAGGTATTGTGGAAGAATAGAACACCTGATACCACTTCGCATACAAAAATATAAGACCACATTGGGGCATATGAAAATAATATTTACTTTTACGTTCTAGGACTTTCCCTCTAACTTATCGTTATCTAGTATTACTTGTAGTACAAGGGGTGTTGGTGTTTATATTTACTGAATGTATTTTGTGTTTGTCTTACTACAAAGGTTTTACGATTGTTGTATCATTTGGTTAAGTTTGGATACTATCTTGATGCTGAGGATGTACGAAACCTATTGCCGCCTTTACTTAATCTTCTAGATGGTAGACACGATTATCCTTTTCCCCAAGACAAAGAAAAAGGTGAGTAGATAATATTAGAATGTTGAAATGTAGAAATAATACAGTTCGTATAGGCCGATCAGTACTGTAAGGAAGCTACGTGTGTCAAACTAGCATATTAAAAAAAAACATACAAAGCACGAAGATCAACGACATCTTTATCTCCTATCACTACAAATCCACCGGGACTGTGGCTGTTCTTGCATTTTTCACTTTAAATAGGAATACACCCCCCCCTCCCGCGCACACAGTAATGGAATTACTGGACCATTGCTTTAGTACTAGTTGTTTATCTTAAGAATTTTATATTTTTTCAATCCCAGTTTATTGTTACAATAAAATGATTATATATTAATACGAAGGGACAAGCGGACTGTAAATTTAATAATACAAAAATCTGCTTCTAAAAGCTTTTAGATATCGAGGTGGCCATGTGCATCGAATCGTAACAACAACTCATATTTGTATTTACATGTACCCAGAGAAAGCACCTACAATAAAACATACGGTGAATGTGATTAACTCAACCAATTGAATATTTTGTTTTCTGATAAAATTAAAAAGTACGTTTTAAATTGAGTGTTCTATATAGTAGTATCGTCGAATTGGTTGATATTAGTCGCATAATTAAACAGACATTTACTTAACTGGTACATAATGAAGAAAACCTTCCAACCCTATAAAGTGCAATTACCATTAGTAGTGGTTTGTCTATCTTTTTCAATATGTCACATCGTTACTTCGATACCCGCTCAAACCAGTTCAAATCCAAATATCACGATTCTTGCAATTCCAGTGATATCGTCATTTATTCACGTAATAAAGTTAGTGTCCCAACAGACCGTATTTGAAATGCTAGTACCCATCACAATCGCCAATCGTTAAATTTTGCATTTCACAATTTTTGAAGGGTTTTAACCCTTAAAATTATTAAACGTTGTTAAAAAAATTCAAAAATACATATATTCGATGCCTTATTCAAGGAGTCATCTTTTTAGCAAAGACATCAACATAGACTTACAAGAAATGGCAACACTTTAATATTACCCATTAAAAAAAGATTTTTATTTGTCTAGTAAAGGGTTTATTAAAATATTTGATCTATATATTGGCGGAGTTTGGAATACATATATTTATTAAATGGAAGCAGTACCAAAACTTTTTTTACAAGAGTTTCATAAATCTTTGTTGTGATTCGTCACGACCAGATTACGACTTTATTTTAAAATGGATACCTGTGCCTTAAATTGTTCGGAAGAAAACTGGTGTGTCTTGTTGTCAAAAGATTCCAAAATGGTAAAAAGGACAATAAGCTCCCTCTAAATTTTGAAACCGGAAGTGTTTATCTGCTAACTAATAGACAATGCTATTTTTACAACAGGTTATTCTAAAGATGCCATGAAGTGTGTTTTACAATATCAACAAGTAGATAGATACTTAATTAGTCCAGAAACATTGGCTATCGTCAATGCTAAATTCCAGTAAGTAATACCTCGTGGTTATTATTAGAAATAATAACATTCTTTGTTGCTAGATCTCATTTGGCCCACAATGAAAACGCAGCACTTTTATAAATGGATGATTGTAAATGTTACAATGTTGTTAATGTTGCAATGGGGTTTTAACGCAGAATGAACTATGTGTCAGATGGCCTTACGTTTCACGAATTCTGATTCAACGCCGTTAGCGAATGTTGATTTTCCCACTTATGTCTACATGTTACCGCAAGGCCTCCTTCGTCACCCGTGGGTTTTGCGTGATTGTCTTGTGTCGGTAATTGTCCAGCCTACAATCATGCCAAAAACAGAATCACATTTCAGTTGCATTATGTCTCTCTAGCATTTCCAGTCAAATCAGTTGTGCGTTTTCATAACGTCTTAGTATATATATTTTTTTAAAATCCATTAGATGAACTGTGATTTTCTTTATAAAAGGACCCAATTTAAACATTGTATTTTATTATTCCAGGGCTTTGGAAGTATTAGATCTTTTATTAACATATCAAAGGAACTCTCGGCTGCAGGTAGTACATGAAGCATTGGCTCTTTTATATATAAATACTTGAATGATCTCTATGAGCAAAGTAAACTGAATTAGTCTCTGGGAAAGTGGAACCAAAAAGAGTCTTGTTGAATTCCACAGATATAATTACATTTAGTTGCTCGTGCAGTCATGTATCACAATTTAATTAAAACACAGATCCTGATACTACTACTCCTAGATCAGGGTTATCATCGGCTTCCACCAATGGTGGGGGGGGGGGGCGAAAAAGAAATCACAGCCCCAATCCAAAAGATTAATGGCGTAGAAATGAAATGGGGTTTAACGCCCTACTGTTCTGTCCCGGACTGGGCTAATGAAGACGGTAATAGGGTAGGTGTGTCAATAGGGATATAGTAATAAATGTACCTTTTCAGAACCACTGGGATGGTGACAGACTTGTGCTGACTGACTCGTGATAAATAAAGTCGCCTCGCTCTGACCTGAAAGGGTTTGATTTAATGTGTCGGGGCCGATTGACAGTTTGGCACTAAGTGCCCTGGTCGTCATTCCAGACCCAACCTAACGCGAACCTGTCGGGTACAATGTCGCGAGGCTACGACTTTGTCTGACCCCGAGACTCATACCAAAACAATAGCAACTTCAGGGGCCACCTGATTTCCCTTTACGTTGGGATTTCCAGTCGGTGTTCTTCCGGGTAATCAGTAGGGTGTCACGGTAGTTGGGTCCGTAACAGTAGGGTGTCACGGTAGTAGGGTCCGTAACAGTTTTTAAACAAACCACGTTCTGTTTAATGTGGGTGGAAAGCCAATGAAATAGACTATTTAGTCGAGCTTTGCTTAAGCTGTACGAGGTAATCTTATTCGTTTGCCAGCTTATTAAAGGAGGGTTATAGTAATTTGCTATTAGGCATCCCCAACACATTACTACCTCAAGTCTATGGAAAACATTTTAAATATAAATGTTTTATGTCATTCTGTCAAAGTTCACCAATTTGTCCTCCAATTAAACCGGTCAGGTCTATATGGAGTGGAGACCACCAAACGCGTAACGAAATGGGCGTAAGTTTAGATCTGTGTGTAATGTTATGTTTTCAGAGTTTCGTGGGTAAATTTAAAATAGCAGAACAATCCTGTAATCAAAAGAGACAGAACGTACTGGCTCCTTTGTTATATGATACCTTTAACCCTCATGAACAAACAAAGTAAGTACCAAATTTAGACTTAAAAGTGTTTGTATATTTTTTTTTAAAAAGAACATTATTTTAAAACTGTATATGGTCATTATTGTTTATTTTTCAAAGGCACATTTTGGCACTTTATTTATGAAAAATAAATGCTTTATAAAAAATATATTTATAAAGCGGAAAATTCGCATACACAATATACGTAGAATATTCAATAAGCCTATATGTTTGGGTATTTGCTGGAGTGTTTCGAATATGCTTGATTAATATTTGCCATGTCTTTGATTTGACAAATCTTCTGGAAACAGCAATGCATAATTGCAATCTGGTAATAATATTGACAATATGATAACCCAAACCAATCTCATTTACGTTGTGCTTTTTCTAAATATATGGTTTTTGTTTAAAAAAAAGAATTGTTAAATATTAGTACTGCTTTTATTTAAAGGAAAGCCTTAAAGAAACAACGACAAGTTATAAAAGAGTTGCGAGACATGTTCAATGCATCCGCCATATTTGATGTTGAATTATTAACAAAGATATTAATGGTAAGGGGAAATTTCATATATAAACATCTCTTTATAACAATGACACCCAATTGTAGATTATTGCGGAGATAAAACAATCATATGACTGACGTAATCATATTTTAATCCAATTAGAATAAGATCTATGACAATATGACCCTCTATATTAGTAAATAACATTCTAGTCAAATCAAAACAGTATTTATAACATATTACCTTCTAGATAAGCTCATTGCATTCAAGTCAAATCGAAACCAGGCCTATGCCATATAATATATGTAATCAAGTTTTAGTCAAATCAAGATATGTTCTATGATATTTGACCAATGTAAATAAGGTAAGATTGAAATAAAACAAAACCTATAAATGGAATATGACAGATGTAGCCACATAATAGTCAAAACAAAAGACCACGGATCTGATCATAGACATAGCAGAGTACGGCATGTGAACAAAATAAACCCCATGAGATAATCGATGTATCAGTTACGAGTTAGTAATGTAGAATAGCTTTTTAGTATAGCTAAACAACCAAAGTATTAAAATGTTCTCTTAGTTATTTGGCTACTAACTGTGACATTATCCTGATGCTCATTTTAAATGTACACAAACATGCCATTAATATATCTATCCAAAAATATTAGCACAGCAGTAAAGCTACACTACGATGAAAAGCTAAAAGATCTACCGACACATACTGGATTCAACGCTGGTTTAATATCAGTTTAACATTTTAAATTACTTTTCGTCCGTCTTGGGACTATTCATGAGTAATGTCATTGCATAAAGATAGACACCATACTATAATATTTATACACATTTACATAGTAACACTGTCGTTTTAATTGTCTATTGTTACCATTGTCTGTGGTTACATAGTATATACATGTAAGTAACTAACAGAAAGCATGTAAACACGTGTGTTAATCTGTTGTGTATGGGTACAATTTAGGAATAATGAGCGCAAAATAATCTCGGGATAGATTAAGAAAATCGATGGCCCGTTGTGGTTTTTTTAATACAATGGTTTTCCATTATTTTCCTTTTCGTCGTGTCATCGACTTCAATTTTATAAAAAAAAGAATATTTGAAATTTTACTTGTAGGTGTTGTGCAAATCTAAAGATATGTCTATTTACAAATAAGGGTCCTGCATTTTCAATGTTACAATACCGTCGATGTTTGCGTACTCTATCCGGTAGATGTGTGCCCGTCTCACTGATGTAAAAATTTCGAAGACCATTACAAGTCAGGATGTATATGAGGTATTTTGTGTCACAATTCATATTGCTGACGCTAAAAGTAAAGTTATGAAACTTATATTTGTTATTTGGCGTTATAATATATCCGGGCATATAGATACACAAAAAAACGGTCCTTGTGACATATGAATTGAATTTTGCTTTGGTTAGAAGCCGTTTCAGATTAGGTGGCTGTCTTTGTGATTGTGATTTTCCTGCTCTGGTGCAGGGTTTTAAAGAAGTTGGGATGTTAGGGGTTATGGGTAGCGACAAAGGTAATAATGTTTGGCTATCAATTGCCAAAGCCTTATTTATCCCAACTTCTATTACCTCGAGGGGGTAATACTGTTTCAATAAATAATGATAGGTAAATAATGGTACGAGATACTTGGTTCACAGTGGGTTATTAATGCTGCCCAGCAAGTAAACCTAATGAATAAATGTGTCTATTTGCGTTAATGGCTTCAAGTCCTTGACCACATTACACTTAAATAGTTTACTTTTGTCGATCTATAAAGATGGTTTAAAACACGTCTGTGAAAGAACTGGATGGAATCGTATTGCTTACTGAAATTGATTTAATGGGAAGCATCCAAACGACTGGAACTCGTGTAATAGAACTGCCACATTAAGTTAAAATGCCGATGCCAATAAATTGCACAATTTCATTTGGTTCTTGGAAGAGTATGTTCTTATCACTTGCTGCCGAAAAAATGTCGATGTTATTAATACAAGTTATGTTTTGTAGTTATTAAGGACTCCAATATTTTATCGATTGATAACTATTACCCTTTCGCAATTTTATAGTTAATACGATGCTTACCGGGGACGCTAAACCCAAGATATAAATTAGTTATATTTTAGAGAGAGAGAGAGAGAGAGATGGGGTTTAACGTCCACTCGACACAAACTAGGTCATTTCGGGACCAACACACGGTTCAATTTTATTTCAATAATTCGCTTGCGCTTAGGGGTCTTTAGCAGTGGGAGGAACCGGAGAAAATCCACGAGGTTGGACAGGCGACCCCACTCCTTGTCACGTACAACCGGGGAATCGAAACCACGCCAGTTGACTCAATGACAGACCTTATGATACACGTACGTGCTAACCATTCAGCCATCCAACCCCCCGGTTATATTTTAAATTTTATTAACATGTTCCTCGCATCCTTTTTACTTTGCTGTCATGGTTACAGTAATATGGATGTGTTCCGTTTATGACCCCATACGCTCAGCACAGAATCGTAAAATAAAATGGCTGATACGATGGAAGCCATTAATTCATTAATTGTACAACAATTTATCAAATAGAAAACATTGTCAAATCACCTCACGTTATACGAATCTCGCGAGAGTTCTTGTTAATATACGAGATAGGCTGAAGTATTCCGGGGTGTATTGATAGAGTGTAACATACGCTACTAATCGACGAGATTCTTTAACATGAACTAGATTACAAATTGTAAAAATTCCCACATCTAAGATTAAATGATAGATTCTTCCATTTTAACGAGCAACTTTGTAATCCCACTTTCTACTCTCTGCTAGACTGTAATATAGATTGTATGTGTCAAGGGGTTTATAAACACAAATCCATCTGCAACGAAATCTATTATATTTTGACTTGTGTAAGGCTATATAGCTAAGACCCTTTGCTCTTTGCCCGCAACGCTCTCGACGTAAAATATCCGGGTTAGCGAGGTTAGTTCTAAATACATATTAAGGACAATGAGTAAGAAATTGAATTGAAATGCGTTGCCAGTCAACCACTTTAGCACTTTGTAACATGTGCCACTGAATCACAACTCAGTCATCATCAGTCACACGGATTAAAAACTACTTTTTTAATAACTAAATTGGCTAATTGATTTATTAATGAACACACGTGGTTGGGTTCAACCTTTCATCTACGTGTAATTACCAGACTTCATACCCCGTGAGAAGTATAGCCTATGCGTGTGTTAACATTAATTATTCTGTTCACTTTACGATCATGAAATATTATTACAAGATACAGGAACATTGATAAATTTTGCAGTTTATTGGATGTTGGTTAGAAATAATCAACTAATGGGACCCATCCTTTTCCCAACACACAGTTTAATAGAAATCTTAATATTTTATAACTCGTTTAGTGTAACGTTGTATTGTGCACTAATGTAAATATTTTGATAAATGTTTAATTCCGAGATGAAATGTCAATGAGATATAACTCAACTAAATGGAAAATAACCCTGTTGTCAAAGTGGGGTTCTAGAACATTGGTTAAATATGCAATAATTTGATTAGTAAAAAAGTTCTAGAAAATAAAATGTGAATGGACAGTAGTTGTAGTACGTAGGTGGATAACATCAGCTAATGATTAAATAAAAACTAACGCTGACAATGTTATTGTACTTAAACCACTCTGGTTCCACTTTCAATTTCTAATGAATTCACACAGATCAGAAACTAGATATTCTTTATTCTTTACATTTACAGTTTACTGACTATCTTTATTTATGCTTGAAAACAATAAGAGGACCGTTAGTCGAAATGCAGTGCCGTGTGTATTATACACCAGTGGTCATATTCCATTAAAAAAAACAATAATTGTTGCATCATCTCTTTGCTAATTGGACCCTCTGTGACCTTGTGACCTCTAGAGGGGCCACAACCTTCGTATTACACACTTCTACACAATTTGCGTACAAAGTGTGACCGTTTTGTCGGGCAGTTTCATTTCGATTTTCCCGATATTCGAATTCAACCTGCATTATGGAGGAATCGTGATGTATTTAAACGGTTTTTAAAATCTGGAAAAAATTGTGACCGCTAAAAATGCGATTTTTCGAACAATCAGGGGCCATAATCCAAGAAGTTAAGTTCGGGTATCCGCGATCTTAGTGTGTAATGGTGATATATTCACACGTTTTTTTTTTAAAATCGGATAAAAATTGTGACACCTCTACAGGGACCACAAGCTAAAAACGTGATTTTGGGCCATAATTCAAGGAGTTACGATCCGATATGCGCGAATATCGAGAGCAACCAAGATCTTTGGGTTATAAACATAAATGTCAAGTTTCATCGAAATCGGATAAAAATTGTGACCTCTAGAGGGTCCACAACATTGATTTACCAGATATTTACACTATTTGCGTACGAGGGGCGGCCATTTTGTCCGGCAGTTTTGGTTCAATTTCCACAAAATTCGACTTCAACGAACATTCCGGTGTAACGGTAATATATTTGAACGTTTTTTTTTTTAAATCGGATAATAATTGTGACCTCTAGAGGGACCACAACCTAAAAACGCGAAATTCGTACAATCAGAGGCTATAATTCAGGAAGTTACGATCCGATATGCGCGAATATTGAAAGGAACCGAGATCTTTGGGTTATAAACTTGCATTTCTCAAGTTTCCTCAAAATCGGATCAAAATTTTGTCCGGCAGATTTGGTCCGATTTAGGTGAAATTCAAACTCAGACAACATTAACGGTGATATATTCGGACGGCTTCTTAAATCGGATAATAATTGTGACCTCTAGAGGGACCACAAGCTAAAAACTCGATTTTTCGTACAATCGGGGGCCATAATTCAGGAAGTTACGATTTGATATGTACGAAAATCGAAAGGAACCAAGATATTTGGGTTATAAACATGCATTTCAAGTTTCATCAAAATAGATGAAAATTATGACCTCCAGAGGGTCCACAACCCTGATACACAATATTTTGACATTTTTTTCGAACGAGGGGCGGCCATTTTGTCTGTTAATTTCGGTCCGATTTTTACGAAATTCGAACTCAACCACCCTTAGGGTGTAACGGTGATATATTCAAACGTTTTTTTTTTAAATCGGATAAAAATTGTGACCTCTATAAGGCCCACAAGCTAAAAACGCGAGTTTCGTACAATCAGGAGCCATAATTCAGGCAGTTATGTCCCGATTTGCGCGAATATCGAGAGGAACCGAGATCTGTGGGTTATAAACATACATTTCAAGTTTAAACCAAATCGGATAAAAATTGTAACCTCTACAGTGTCCACAAGCTAAAAACGTGATTTTTTCGTACAATCAGGGGTCATAATCCATGAAGTTACAGTCCGATACATGCCAATATCAAAAGGAACCGGGATCGTAAGGTGATAAACCTATATTTCAAGTTTCATTGAAATCGGATAAAAATTGTGACCTGTAGAGTGTTCACAAACAATTGTGGACGGACGAACAGGGGCGACGACAATATATGTCCACGTGAAAATGTGACCTACTAACCCTCGAAGGATTATGACACAAAATACATGCATAAATTATGTCAGAGTTAAGCAGTGAAACAGAACGCGCCAGGTGGCATAGCGTAATTTGGGACACCTTTGTAATAAAATACACTATTCACGACAGTTGCGAGTTTGAATTCATTTGCAATTGAAAATGATTTTAAAAAATGATTTTTTTTAAAAAAAAAAAAACACTTCCCAGGTGACGAAAGGATCGTGACCTAGGAGATCCGAGAAGAATAAAGATGTCTGATAAAGTGGTTATCTATTTTTCATACTGGCTAGACACTTGTGTTTGGTGTTCTCGGTCAATCACAATATTGTTAACGGAAGGCTTTTAGTGAGCCCTGACGGCCCGGCGGCAATTGGCTTAAATGATTTCTCGATTAACGAGAGAATTATCGAGGTAATCCACGATACCCGATTGATTGCCACTGTCGGTGATTTATAAAAAAAACAGCCGATCTTTTAATATTACCAACAAAAAATCGTTTCTACGCCCTATATTGGCAAAATTGGAAGAAAAGTACCAGGATTATTTAGAAGTAAGGATATTTTCCTATTGATTGTTCATGGAATTGTAAAACGACCCAACGAATATATTTTCTTTTTAAAACGTAAATTAAATAATAAAAAGTAAAAAAAAAAAAGAGTTTTGTTGAATTATGGTAAATGATGAATAAATTAATAAAGTGCAGGTGAACCGCACCACAACAGAATGACAAACAACAAAGGCCTATAATAAGCATGCATATACTCGGGTGAATCTCGTTGAGGTGGTGTGGTGGGCGGTGGGGGTGGGTGTTTGGGGCTACCCGTAAGTGTCCACTGCGCTATAGGCTACAGTTCCGGGAATGTTGTAAGTCCTTATCGACTTTGTGCTTTCAAGAATTTTTATTTTCAGCACGGTTTGTAGCTATTCAGTTTATGTGAGCGTCGAACTGTCTCGAAATTGACCCCAGATGGCCATACGCATATGGAATTTTGAATTTCGCGAGAAGATGGCCAGAACTTGGTCAGCAGCCTACAGTCACACGATGGCACCCGAACCACACACGAACTTTATACAGTAGTTTATGCCTGCAGGACACACGAATGCCACGCGATAGCTCTGCAGAGTTGCTCAGGACCTACTCAGTGAGATGCTTTTGCGGTGTCACAATTTCCTGAATTTGACACCATATTATCACACGATGAAGTAAATGTTCAAATTCGGCTCTGATCGTAAACACATCGGGTCATTCATGGGGGCACCTTATATAAGCCATCGTATGACCGCCTGTGGAGTTTGTCAGGCTCCGGCAGCAAATCGTGGGCTCTGGCAAAATCTTATGGCATGCCAAAAACTTGCCGAAAGACCTTAGGATTGTTCATTTTCGTGTTGAATTCGTGTGTCCATTTTACCCTCTATAAAGCCCTCGTGGGTGCATCTTGTCAAAGTGTGTCGTCTTTATTTTTACCTCATGTGATCATTGGTACCATTGGACAATTTTCTCGTCACGAAGACAATATTTTAGTATTAGAGACTTTTGGCAAGCGGAAGTTTTCCCATCCGTATCACGTATCCATATCGTATACGTGATACGTTGAGTCAATGTAACTTTAGAGTTTTGGCAGATTTTCGAGTCGAGTAGGTATGCGTCACTGAGCTGAGCTGAGTTCTATATGTATTACGGCATGATGGCAGATATCTACCAAGATCACCGTAAGTACTAGCCTACAATTTCCTGGAGGGACTGAAGTCGCTGGGCTATTAAAAAAATTTAATTTCGAATCTTATCAAAAATTCTTCGACTTAGATTCGTCAGAAATTTTTGGTTTCACTAATGTATCATTTCAGAAAGTTTATACCCCTTTACCACAAAATAATTTACAGATTTGCATGGTCCCACCTCCCTAAATTTAGCACGTAGATCAATCAGCATGCAGACAGATAGACAGGAAAAGTATGAACATTCCGAGAAAAACCCATCAAAAATAATAATTAAATTCCAGTCGTTATCATGGCTAATAAAAACGCTATGATACAACATTTTTGCGTCTATAAGTAGCAAAAAAAGATGACAATTTTATACGGACCTTTTCCGTATGACAGCTGTTCGATACGTGCTGCCGTATCCGTGTGTCGTATCACGTATGAGAAATGCACACATATTGATTACGTCACACTCAAAATCCATACGGATACGCGATAAGGACAGGAATTTACACTTGCCAAAAGTCTCTATTGTCTTTGTGAGGATAAAATGACCATAACATAACATAACGGCATACATCATTTTAGAGAAAATCTTGGACTGAATACAACAAATGAAATGACATGAAATGGGGTTTAACGTCCTACTCTTCTGCTTCCACTGGGTTAAAGAAGACGGGCATACGACATACAATATGCTATGAGAGAAACTTGTGTGTGTCGAATTACGCCAAAAACGTTAAGAACGACCAGGACGATATTCCTGTTAAAAGCTATACCGATTATAATTAACCATTTAGGAATAGAATTGAATAGGTAAAAAACCTTGCTCTAGTCAACTGTATCATTGCACGAGATACCACTTTTATACGCCCACATTTTCATGTGGACGTATATTGTCGTCGCCCCGTCCACAATATTTATAGTACCGGTAACGGCATGACGTTGCGTCTATTGTTCTGTGTAATCTTTCGTAAATAGGAATGGCCTGAAGATGTTCAGTATGAACAGAAAACGCAAGCCGTTAAATTAGTATTTTGGTGTCTTTCTTTAATTTCGTTTATATATACATATATTAGAATAATAGATTTAAATGACATTATCAAAAGGTTATAAAGTATCATGACATTAATTTACATAGTCTTCCTGGTATAATCTGACATACAATACAGGAGTAATGAGATGAAATAAATGTTCATGGACCTTATTTGTCTTCGTTCTACAGGATTTAAACCAGTATAAATACAACAAACTTATCACCAAGTCACTGAATATATTAAATAAAGTTTATTCATCTAAGACGAACATGTTTAAATTATCTACTAAAGCTGTGGTAAGTTTGATTCGCCCACTTCATCTTTAACCTATGTGTTTGATGCTCCTTGCCCGTATTATACATAAATTTCTTAATTCTATAAATATTCTTATCTCTTGGAACATTTAAAAAACTGTTAACTGATTACGTTAATGCCAGGATTGCTACTTATACTATATATTGTACATAGTTAAATGGTTAAACTAAAGGTACCTCTGTACAATTAATTAAGGACATGATTTTTATTCAAAGAAAATATTTAGATTTTGAAATTGTCTCCGCGCTGTACTAAAACCAATGTGATTAAGTTATGTTTTTGATGTTATATATAACTTTTAATGTATTTACTTTACTTTTACCGAGTTTACAAACACACTGTATGGTCTAGAGATTGCTTTATTATACAGGTTTTACTTACTCAAGATTCGGCACGAGTTCATAGAGAGGTATTAAAAAATATGCCTCTATTGAGGAGGTTAGCTAGAGCTAAATTAGATGATCAACAAGTAAAACTGATGGGAGGAATACTTGATGATTTGGCTGAGTAAGTATTTACATAGCCGAGATCCACAACATAAAAATATATCGACATGCATATACCTGCATTATATGATAAAGTTATCTTTTTCTCAGAAAAGAATTAGAAGTGGAAACGTGTCCCTGTTGTTAAAATATGATTTTGAAATCTTTAAATACACTCCTCAAACAGAGTGGATCTCCCCTACCAACGGGTCCCATTGCTGTGGTCAAAAATCTTGCTATGATAATGGTTTCTGTATGATTTAAATAATAAAATAAAAGGAAGGTCATAATTGTGGTAAATTAATTTGGTAGTTAGTTAGTTATCTACATTCTTATTTTGAGACAGTACTTGTTACCATTGGATTTAGCTAGGTTTTTTTTTATCATAGAACCGGTTATGCGGTGTTAATACTGCGAAGTAATGCAAACATACCATTTTTATAAATGGTTGATTTAAATCTCGTTTGAGAGATACATACACTTTAGAATGAAGTTTTCATGATGGTGTAAACGCACCACAGATTTATTCTCTCAAACACAAGCATGTCGTGTGTGACATCTCGGGGTGGATACACGTTGTGGACTTTTGATTTTTACCACTTGTGTCTAAACGTTTTACTACTGTAAAGTAGGCCTAAAGGTGATTTGGCCTCCGTCGACTATTGTTGAATTTCTTGTGTCGGTATATGTCCAGCCTACAATCATGCCAAAAATCAGATTTCAGCACTATCGGGTATTGCCAGCACTTTCACTCAAATCGGGGGTGCATTTTCATAAAAAAAATCAAAACGTATAATTATGTTAAACAAAACTGTTGAAGGAATGTAGAAATATGTCAGATAATTTCAAAACAATCACTGTTTTTGTTTTACCGGTTTTCGTTTAAAAATCTTGATCTATGATCTAAGCCCGAGTTTACAGATAAATCGACGACTGAATCGAATAATTGAAACACGCGAGTTGGATTGGATCGACTGAAATACAGACAGGCGCCATTTCTATTTAACAAATACTGTATGTCCGACAGATCACCCATTTCGAATTCTAAAAGATATTGAATCACATATTAAAGAAAAACAATATGAAGCAGGAATAGTAGGCCTACAACAGACGGTGTCATTTCTTTTCCTGTGAAATTTATGACATGCCTTGTTCAGGAATAACTATTTTGTCTATCTTGTTCAACAATAAATCTGTATTCCTCCATTATTAGGTTCTGCCATTTGCCCATGACGCCAGATGAACCTCATCCAATGAATCAAAATATTTTAATAAGTAACGGTAAGAAAATGTCTTTTACATGATTTTTAAGTGATATGCTGTGGGAGATCCTGTTTTCAAAACTTCAGTATAAGCAAGAGCAAAACTTTAAATATCCGTTTTCATAATTATATTATCACAATTTGAAAAAAACTCCAATCAGTAATTTAATTATCTAAACATTGATTATTTGTTACACCTTTCCTTTCAGGAATCTTGCACATACTTTTTGATATTCTTGTGCAAGATATCGATATCAAATTATTCGTAAGTATGCATTTACATTGTAATGCAGCTGGTCGTCATTTGCATTTGTCACACCTTAATCTTCGCAAGGATTGATTATTTAACATTACATTAAGAACCAAAAGTATCAATGGTAGGTAATCTCAATCGATTACAAATAAATATTATAGATGGCTTTGGCTTGTTATGTCAAAGGATACTGAATATTGACATCTTTGTAAATACAGTTTTCTGTACGTGAGTAACAGTCCATGAAATGACGATCAGTGGCTTTAATTAAAATCTTAAATTATTTTAAATTTTTATATAATATAACATTTAAAGTATTAAATGTTAAACTTGATTTCTTTTGATTACATGCATATACTTGATATTAATACTGGCATGCATCCTGACTGATTTTTTGAATAATACTATACCCCTATAGTCCAGTGGCTGAAAGTTGTTGTGTCTATTTCGAATACGTTTCTCCAATTCAGGGGAATGTGATAATTTTGATATAAATGGTGACCATCTTAGTAAACCATTAATTTCTAGTACTGTACATAGCTGTATACTTGTATCGAATTAATGCCCTTTGACGGCTGTTTATTAGCTTTGGGGGTAGGGGCCTCAAAATGTATGTTGGGGGACAAAAACGACTAGAATTGCAATTGTATTTTGCTTTATTTTTCAATATTCTTAAAATATGTCTTAACTATGTGTATTTGTTATTCCTTGTAAAGTTAAGGCAGTTGATAATTGTCGGGCCTACTGGCTTTTAAGAGGTTGTCCTGGAGATTATTGGTAAAATTATCGCTGTCTACAAAGTGTTTGAGACCCCACATGTCTCACAAACGCCCCAACAGACACTTGTTCACCACCAAGAATCAAAATTTAAACAAGAAAGGCAACTCTAGTAAATTCTCCAATCGGGTGGCGAATATCATCCCCCCCGCCCCCCTCCTTTCAGCCATTAGACTACTCCCCGAAAACATATCTCTTTAGATCTGGCTTTATGATCCTTACCTTCTGTTCTCTTCTGGAATGGTCTTCTCTCTATAACATAACATATATTCACGAGTCACCTTTCTCCAGTTTCTTTCTCTGTTATGCATGTATATTAAAGACACGGTATCGGCGGAAACGTATTAGCTAATTATCATCAATATAGCAGTAACCCTAGTCGACATTGGCTAGATTCCTGCAAGTTGAAAATAACATATAGCATTCTAGCTAGTAGATAGTGACGACCAGGTTCTTCATGTAACACTCAAATAAATGTCGGATCTAAATACCCTGGCGGTAGTCTATGAATTGGTTTTAATAGTAAAGTGTTAGTTATCAGTAGTTAGGTATAGCAATTAAACAACAGTCTGCTGATTTTCATCTCAAGATAATATACCTGTGACTTTAATATAGTTGTAGTAATCACTGTCTCTCACCTTTTGCATGCCTTTAATGTCAGGATATTTTTTCATCCAAGTCTCGTCCACAGGAACAATATGCTGGCATGAATGCTGTCTTTAAGAAAACGCTCTACCTTCTAAAGTTACTAGCAAGAGAGAACGACAAGGTTCAACACCATATATTTGAGAGACTGGATGTTTTACTTGAAGTTCGTGTTGTTGAGTCAGATCTTGCTATAGCCTTAAGGGAGGTGAGTAATATTATGTATGTTGTTTTAAATGCCTACACAAATACTGATTACGCTCACGTTTCAGAATGAGGCGTTCACATGATTATTTTAGTGCACCACTTTCAGGTATATCAATGGGTAGTAGCAGTTGTAAATGGTATAATAAATATTATAAAGGTCCCATTTAGTTGAGATTTATGATTGTATTAAATAATGATTATCCAAAATGAACATATTTCAGGTGTTTTCTGGAAACCAGAATACCTGTCTAAAGATCAATCCACGACAGATTCAGAAAGTTGTGAATCGAGCAGCAGAGTTACAGGAACGCGGTCCAGAGTTTCTGGATCTTCTAGGAATGATTGTTAAAGTGACAGGAACTGGTCTAACATTAAAGAGAAATCAAGCATATGTGATGAAATACATCATGCAGAATTATAAAAAGGTTGCATTTGTGCTGGACACAAATCGCGAGGATAGGTGTGTATATGTTCATTATACTTTCTCACCATTTCCTGAACAGAGGTAGCTATTGTATAGGTGAATAGTCTGTTGTATAGTGCTTTTGGGGCTTTGGGTCTGCTAGCATTATTTATTCTAAATACATCTTTTTAGAAACATATATAATTAGACGTAATGAAATTGGATGCTTGTAAATCTCATTTGAGAGTCTTGAGACATACAAGTTAATCTTCTAATTCTGAATATAAGAACATCAAATCATGATGGGAGGATGATGTGTTCACGATGGCATAAACGGTTAAACCCATCATTGATCAATTCTCTCAAACATCAGATAATTCAAGAGAGCATGACTACCAGAGTCACTGGAAGCAGCATATCAACAAGGCCTATCTCCCCCACGCGGTGATGTTACATAGCTTCTTTGGCTGCTAGAGGCGGACACACACATTAAAATGTCTTATGAATTTTACCCCGTGTGCCTATGTTTCACTGTAAAGTAAGTTCTTATTGCATCTGTAGGTTGTCCAGCCTATAGTCATGCCAAAAATCCTGTCAACACAGATCAGTGGTGTGGTTTCATTGTGTCTCAGATGACATAGATTTGGTTATCTCGAGGGACAATTTGGGAGTTTTTACTATGAAAACTCTCTACATCATAAATATTGCATAAACCAGTTACTATCCTTCTGGCGCTTCGGGCTATAATCTGATTGATATCTGAATTGTGTTTTTTTTTAGAGAGATAATATTAACTAACCCTGATCGGGTATCAACATTAAGATATCTTCTCAGTTTATTAGATCTGTTGGCTGCATGTGCTGAGGTAAGTCAGATTATGTTTTCGAAAGGCTGGGTACGAGTAGAGCCGCCGGGTTTTGTTTATCTGTGGTCAAAGGATGGAAAATAATTTATTCTATTGATGATCTCCTAGTACAGAGAATTCCAATACACTAATGAATAGATTAATCTAGATCCCTATAACAATTTGCCAATTACCAATGTCATTATTAATTGCAAGCTATATTCGGATGTAATCCTATGAAAGGTGTCTTAAAGTTTATGTGTATACAAACTACGTAAGAGCAGAAAAAAATGGAAAACAAGTGGCACACTTGGACTTCTAAAGAATGATATGTTATAAATATTTTACTTACTTCCAGGCCTTATTGTGCAAATCTAGATTGCATGTTTCGAGGCAGAGCTTGGTATATTTATATGTTCAAATATTTGAACATTTACAGATACGTGTAGTTCAATTACGTTCTATATCTAGCTATTTATCTATGTATATCATTAACTACAGGGAGAAAATATGTTTATCGAGTCCCTGTGTCAAACGATTTTACCCATGGAAGATTTGTTATGGGTTCTTAACAATCCTGTGGTTGATAATCACCTAAAGAAACCCTTTCTTCGTTGTTTACATCATGTATATATGAAAAGTAATGGTGCCACTGTGGATGTTAGTACCAGTGAAATACCTCATGATAGGTAAGTTTTTGAAAACTTAATAATACATGTTAAATGTGATGACAAATATACCGAGAACTAAGAATGTTGTTACATGTATCTGTAATTTATAACTATAGTACATCGTTTTCAAATTTATAAACAAAAAATCATAAATTCATTTGTAATAGTCACTGAAACATTTATGAACACTGATGGATTTTATTTATTGATTTATTTATTTATTTTTGTATTTTATGTTTTTAATTGTTTATTGTGCGGTTATGACTAGAATTGAATAATTAGATATAATCCTAAATTTCCCGTTAAAGTTGCTTTAGTGTCTGTGTTTGTTCATGTTTGTTCATGTCCTCTATTTTATTGTTTTTGTTCTTTGTGTGTATGACCAATCTGTCATTTACTAATTATCTTGTTATGTCTTGGTCAGATTGTTTCGTCCACATTCTTATCTCTTTCGCTGACAGTTTGACCAGATTTCTGTATTCGTAACTTTGCTCGAGTCGTTGTTTCATTTGCGATTATCTAATTTACAACCCTTACGACCATTTCTTTTAACTTCTAGCCAGTTTCTTTCGTTATCGATCTGATCTGTTTGTTCTCGTCTCCATCTTGTTCACTCACGATCTGGTCAGATTGTTTGCTCTCAATATTTGTTTTAACAATTAAAATTTCTTGATTGTTATGTATGTCCGTTTCACTGTTTGACGAAAGACATATAGCTTGTATGATATTTTACTGCAATTGATAATTAGAGTGTTTGTTTCGTGCACATTTTGTCCTTCAAAATATGATCACACAATCTGATTTGATTGTTTGCTTTGTCAAACTGGTATGTTTATGTTCAGCTGTGTTTACGTGTGTGTTAATTATTTGTTTATATTGTGATTGGTTTTGTTCACTAATTAATGCTGCATCTTTGTGTACATGTATGCCATAGTATTGTATTTTTGTTATTTAAAAAGTACCAATGGTAATCAATTTTTGGCTTAACGCGCTTAAGGAATAATTGACATTTTATTTATTTTGATAATCAAATCACATTCTTATTAAAATTTGAACTTATTATTTCAAGATGGCTGCTAACCCATGTGCATATGGGAAAGGGTCAATCAAATGCGGTCATTGATAATCTTGGGTAACTGGTTTTTTATTATGAAATCTACCTCTTATTTAAAAGATAATTTATATTTCTGTGATCTGGTTAATCTATGTATTTTAACTTATACTGCTTGGGCCTGATACAATAAACGTAAATAATTCAATTTCTTTTCTTTCCTATATGTATGGAATTTCATTCATCAATTGTAAAATTATGCTTCGAATGTTTGAGAATATTGAAAATGATGGAACGCCTTTTACATTGAAATTTGGCCGTATATTATTGTTGCATCACATGTTTGCCCATCTGTCAGTTGCTCACAATTGCTAGTTGACGCTCTTGGATTTTCGCCCTTGATGACAAAATCCCATGGACCTGAAGTAAAGTTATCATTCGATTATTTAAAATTTATTCATGATATTGTACATGATTTATTTCAACACCATTTGGAAACATTTTGTGGATTATCTAGTTAGCATTTTATTGCCTAAAAATTTATGTTCATGGGATAAAAAAGCGTGTGTATTATCAACGATTTCGGAGTTATTGAGGCTGATATCTTTGAAAACTCATGTGGATGCTGCACAGATTATGGTTGAATTGAAATTTAGGTACAATATATATGTAATGAATAGTCCATTGAATGGCTATAGTTATCGTCTGATTACCGCTAGAAAGAATTATCAATTTTTACTTCAGTCTTTAGTGTCTTTTAAATGCTTCAATTAGTCTACCTACAAAAGAATACAATATGACAAACTTTACGGGTTCTGGGGACAACTTGGCTCCTGTGGGCGTATGTTTCATTGCCTAGCAACCTTTCTTTCGTTAGTGTACTTAAACATACATTACCTTCGAACAGCCAGTACAGTGGTTGAAATTATTGCACATGTCTTTCAAACCTTCAAAGGCTAATATCTTCGCTTGCAATAGAGTAATTTGAATGAAATTTGAAATTTTCAAATTATTCATTTTACATTATCTATTTTCGAACTATTATAATTATAGCAAGAATGGCTAACTTTTTATCTAAATCTTACATAATGTATCTTTAATAGAACGTTTCATGGATCCCAGTTCTCTATAAATAAACGGAATTTTAAACGACATCAAATTTCTCCCATAAATATTCTTAACCTATTTATATGCCCAATTTTAATGGATATTGTGAGACATGTCTTCAGTGCTTCCGGTTGTGTATAAGTCATTTGTTGAAATATTGACGATAAAGCTGCCAAACAAAACCTGCAATGTGACACGAAGACAAGTAGTTGTGAATCTATTATACATGTACATTCAAAAGTAGAAGAATTACGATGCCGCTAAAACGGTAGACATTTATGTAGTACTGATAAAAATCAATTCATGTATGGAACAAAAATTTAGAAAATTAAATAAGAATTCAATTTTGGAGTGAGGTGGCCACCCTCTGTTTGGATTCTATAGTTAGCATTCTGTGCAAATGGTTTATGTATTCTATGTTCTGTATGTTTTTATTATGTTAAATTTGATATTTTTAAATTAAATGTTTGTGTATCTCGTTATGTGTTGTCATATTGTGCATTTTAATTAGAATATATCTGAGTTGATAAATACCATAACTTACTTCTCCAGCAATCTGATTACAATACACATCTATATTTCATTTCGTTTTTTTATACTTTCGATGGCCTACATTACATGAAGATCTGACAGGTTGTAGTGGAAGGTTGTGTTAGGGGTCATGCAAGCAGCTTTTGACCCTGTGACATCAGACATGGTTTAATCAATCAGTGCTGACGTTTCTATTATAGTGGTTTACCCATAGTTTCGTGCATTAATCCCTCACATCAGCAAGAACTTGGGTTATATAACAACTCTTCCAGATCCTAGTGTAGTAAAGACAAGTCAAACAAAATTTTGAACTATAAATAACGAAACGAAATAGGATCTGTGTTTAAATCAAATTGACTTATCCAGCTGTCCTAACAGAATTATGTGGGTAGCAATAACTGCAATATATATTATGTGTATCTTTTTCTTTACCTGTTTTTACTTTGATTTATCCTCACCTCACGTTTTTCTACCCTTCTTCCCTCAGTCTAGCTGCGGATATGCCATTACATGACCTCTATCGACGGTAAACATGTATATTGTATCTATGTATTACTTGTTTTTAGTTTGCTTTGCATGAATAACATGTGAAGCTTTACTGTGATAATACCAATTAGTAAATTTATAATAGTCAAGTTGCTAGACACAGATAAGAGTTTAATTTGCAATATAGACACATTGATTTAGTAAAAAATAGAAAAAGGAAACAGAGTATAATTTCCAGTCGTATTTACAAAGTGATAGGCTTTATTAGGAATCTTGAATTCGTGTAGAACACTTGGTAGTTTTAGATCTAGAAAAAATCATGGCTATTCAAATTCACATCTGTATATTATTTTTGATCCTAATCTAGAAGCCTAGCCTATTTAAACAGGATCATCCTATCTCAAGTCCACAGAATACCAGTTATCACCTAAATAGAAACCATAGTAAAATTAAGTTCTAGATTCTTGAAAGATTAAACTATTCATTTCGAATAAGACAAATTTGAATTGGCAATATACATGTTAATAGTGATGATAATGTGCGCTTCTAAAAATACATTCTGAGATTATCATATTTATAACAGTGATTTATGGGATTACCTGACCTCTCTAGTAACAGAGATAAATAAGGTTACAGATACAGCTAAAGAAGATCCAGATAAATTGGCTGCTAATCTGAAATCACCACCAGAAAAGGGTGGACAGTAAGTACACAGGACTGACCATTCTTGATTTTTTTTATTTTTCTCTATATCAAAAAAAAAGAGAGTAAAACCTGTCCGCTGCAGTGGCGTATGGAGGATTTGAAAAATCTTGGAAATGGGGCAAAATAGTTATATGAATTCAAATTATATAGCCCAAGTTGACACATTATTCGATATATTGCAAAATAGTGGATCATATTACAAAACGAGTCTTGGTCATTTTGTCTCTTTAAAACTGATATGAAATCTCTCTTAAAAACCTTGTTCGATCAGAAACGTAAAAAGAAATGAACTGTACATGAAATAATTCTTTCACTGCAGTAATTCTTTATGTTTTATATATCAGGAAGGTAAAGGCAATAATAGCCGATGTATCATTTTACCGTCCGCTTCCTCCAAGTATCTGCAATTTTGCCTAACAAAGGTTTGACTCTTTCCTAGCCTATTTGATGGCTATTGTATTTGTTGATATCCAGATATTAAGATCCTGCTTTTGTCATTTTGTTTAGCGCACGTTTTTGAGAATTTTACAATGATTCGAAACTTTCTCTTAAAAGGCAAGGTATTTATTTGTTGAAACAGGACAGAACCTCCACAAAATACCAGAAAGATACAAATCAAAATTTTGATATATTACAAAAGTCCATGGACAACAGGGTATACAGATAGCGGTATGCAAGAAATATAAACTAATACAAATTTCAGATGGCCATTATTTAGAATTGTTCTATTTTAATTGATTAATGTTTGGACTAACGTGGGTTTTTTTTAGTACAACAACTTTTGATTTGTTGTTTATTACAAATTTCTTGATTCTATTTACATGCAATTGGTATGTCCGACTGTACAACCAAAAAAATGTTGATTGATATGTTTGGATATTAACAAAACACTTCAAATCCATTTTCCCTGAAAATCGTTTCAGTACTTATGATCTTGGATCTGTTTCAAAATAATATCTTTGACTCTGTGTGACTCTTTTAATAAAAACCTGTGAGAAAACTGTAGAGTCTCCTTTTTTATTCCAGATTCATAACTAAGGCCCGCTTCCATGTATGCGTTTTCGCCAGCGGTAAAACGCAGCGTACCTGCGCGCGATTGTATTTCTATTTTTATAATAACACCATGTCCAAAAAATTGCCATTTGCAAACAGAATTTGCAGTATCAAGAGAAGAGAACCCCTGTTTATATGCCGGAAAGTTAACATTGGGTAGGATACGTATGTGCACACTTCACCTGAGAAACAGCGCTGCGCAAAACTTGCTCATCGAGTAAGCGAAACCGCTTACAAGGAAACGGTCCCATTATATGGCTAGATCTATTTGTTAAGGCCAGTTCAATTTTCGTCAAGGTTGCTGATACGTAAATAAGGTTAAGGCACGTGATTGTTGGTGAGATTGTAGGTTAGGTTTAAGCACTGACCTAGGAATAATATAAATTATGGTTCGTGATATTTCCTAGTTTTATTAAAAATACATGCAATACATTAGATTAATATACAAAGTTAGTTTCGCTGTTTTTTGGCGCTGGTGGCGCTGATGGTCTTCCTTCGGTGCCGCTTGTGTTATTCTGGTATTTTGGCTTCTGAAGAAAAAAGAATAAATTTGAGGCGCTCGGGTGAGAGCCACATTAGTGTGTTTCCTACTAAGGATTTGATTTTCTAAAAATGATTTTTTTTCACTATGCCGGGGTTAGGGCTAGGGATTCTTATAACTAGTTAATTTTATTTACTAAGAGTTAGGGCTAGGGTTTGATATTCTTTGCTTTGGGTAAGGGTGAGGGCTGGTGTATTTTGGTCTAATTTACTGTGCACAAGGATGTCGTTCAGATTTTTATTTTTTAGAATATGCAATTATATGTTTCTGTGTGCTGATTTTCGGGTGATTTTCTTGGAGATCAGTATTTTGGCGGTGGAAATGCGTACATGGAAAGCAGGCCTAAGGCATCGCGATCACGTTTCATGAGATATTATGCTCGAGACCCTGCTCACAGTTTGTGCCATGTTGAAATTCAACCAACCTTGGGGTTGTAACATGACACCCTCCACCCCTCTCAAATAAAAATACAAAATTATTATGAAGAATGAACAACTTACAGCCATTTCTAACATGACATAAATAACAAATATACAAAACATGTTTTTGGGATAAAAATAAACCCACAATGTAATCATTTAAGAGTAGTGATCAACACTTGCTCATATTAATATGTAAATATCTAATTTTCAGTAATTTCCTCCATGCTGAAGATGTTGACACATCTATTTATGGAACCGTCTTATATATATTGGAGGGATCTTTTCCTTTTCTTGAGACGTTTTTCCGAGAGTTTTATTTCCCAGATAACACTGCTAATAGTAATGAGTTAGAAATAACAGACCAACTCGCTAAAGCTGTTCTTGTAAGTATTTCAGACACTTCTTAATTAGTCCGGTGGCTGAAGGGGGGGAATCGCCACCCGAGCTGTGAATTTATGAGACCAAGTTTTTCAAGACCAGTTTTTTGCGTAGATTCCGGATCTGGGTGGTGATCAGGCGTTTGAGGGGGTGTTTTCGAGATATAGGGGGTCAAATGTCTACAATGGGGGGGGGGGGGAGATGTCATTATGTTGACGTAATATATTAATAAAAAATAAATTTCTAAGACTGCCCATCTATAAATAAGTGTTTATGATGCCCCTGGACAACTGTTTTGATTTGTGGGGAGGTGGGGTGTGGACAGCAAGTGTGTGTGTGTGGGTGTGTGTGTGGGCGGGGGGGGGGGGGGGGGGCATTATGTTGACATTATATATTAATAAAACAAATTTCTAGAATTGCTCGTCTTTAAAGAAGTGTTTATGATGCCCCTGGACAACTATTTTGATTTGTGGGATGGGGGTAGGAGTTGTGCGTGTATGGATTTGGGGGGTGGGGGGTACAATTGGCAGGAAGTGAGTTCAGTTGATGATTTTCTTAGAACTTGGTAAAAACATTACTTTTTATATGTGTATACGATTACCATTGTATGGGGGAGGGTAAATGTATTTTGGGGGACAGAAACCACTTGGTTCAAAATTGACCTGAAAAGTGTATTCTCGAGTTTTCGTTCAGTGCCAATATCGTCATTCAAAACATTAAATTATAATGGTAGTTTTCGAGAGATCTGGAAATGTACATAAAAAACACATGTTTAGATGTTAGTTTATTCTTATAATATGTGCGGGATAAATATCTTCTTGATATGCGTATATCCTTTGGATATGCTTCAGATACCCATTCACATTGTAAATCTTCATTCCATCCTTGTATCGCAGAGTCATCTTGTTCGATCATTAATTTTGCAACCTGCCTCTATATTGCTGCAACATAATTATTGCGTTTAATGTGCAGCAAAAGACTACTCGGGCAAGATGGTAATAAAGAAAGAAAGTTTTGTTATTTTTTCATCATAATTAAAATTTCTCCAGAAGATACTTCTTCTAGTGTCATCTACTGATGTAAGTCGGTTTTCGCCGTACAAGGTACATGTACAAACAATTTTTTCTAAACCAGCAGTTACGTCATCAGAAGCATCATTTGTCTATCCCAGCTCTTTAAAAATTGTTAGAAAGTTGGGATTATCTTGAAAAAGAAAGACAGATAGTCATTACCACAGAATGCATGTAGGCCGAGATATCCTCGACACTTTCAATACTAAACTTAATTGGATTAAAAAATATCAAGATTAGAATTGAAAGTGTCAAGAATATCCTAGAACTTACAACCAACCACAAGGACACCAAAATATCTTACCTACCCCTCTTCGCATTGCAAATTAATGGATGTGCTGAAACAAATTGTATTTTGCGTTCTTTTACGGGCGAAATAGACATCCCAATCATTCTCTTCGCAAACGATGATCCAAATATACAAATTTTGATCGATAATGAGACGGGCAAAGGTAGAAAATATCGCGAAAGACGACTTAAATCACTAGATGACGTGACGCTAGAAAAAAGATTTTCTGGGTGAAAAAATAACAGACCTTTCTTTATTACCACCTTGCCGTATACATGGTCTTTTGCTTTGCTGCATGGCTGGAATGAAGATTTACAATGTGAATTGGTTTCTGAAGCATATCCAAAGAATATGCGAGCTGTTGGCCAGCAACCAAGAAAATATTTATCTCGCTCATATGAACTTTTGATTTTGAATCTTCTGATGAAAACAAAGAATAAACTAACAACTAAACATATCTCTGAGTTAATGTGTTTTTGATTTACATTTCCAGATCTCTTGAAAAGTACGATTATAATTTAATATTTTGAATGAAAAGGCTAACGAGATACCACTTTAAGCTCAATTTTGAACGAAATGATTTCTGTCCACAAAAATACACGCGCACACCTGCTACCCCACCCCACCTCGGCATAAATCAAAACAGTTCTCCAGGGGCATTATAAACACTTATTTATAGATGGGCAGTCCTAGAAATTTATGTTTTATTAATATATTATGTCAACATAATGACATCTCCCCCCCCCCCCCCCCCCATTGTAGACATTTGACCCCCTATATCTCGAAAACGCCCCCTCAAACGCACGCCTGATCACCACCCAGATTCGGAATCTACGCAAAAAAACTGGTCTAGAAAAACTTGGTCTCATAAATTCACAGCTCGGGTGGCGATTCCCTCCCTTCAGCCACCGGACTAAATTTATTGGTAGTCGTGCTAATGACTCTTAGAAATCCAGTTATTAACGGTTCCAGTATATTGATCTATTTAATGTGTTTTGTGGAGTAATTTGCGAAAATTTTGGTCTATAAAGTTCTATCGTTTAAATATTTCAGATGTTTAGTGAAATTGTTGGACCATTATTATATAAACCTATTCATATGAAGAACATGGTAAATTGCCTTACTGTTATTGTTCCTGCTTCAAATTTACCAAATTCTGTAAGTTATTTTCTCAGTGTGATATTCACATATCGTTTTCCAATAATTATTTAAAAATACATTTAATAGTAGTGATATAAATTACATTTGACACCCACGTGACTATCAAGTATCTCCCCAATCTAAGTGGGGATGATAAATATATTTCAAACACATATCAAATACCAGATAGTTTGAGATTCATCTGTCATATTGCTGTGTTTGTTGCCTATAGGAAAATGGTAGTAGCAAACTTTATAAAAAATGTTACAATATAACGATCTTCCTGTGTAGTATGTGATTCAGAATAGAAATTTGATCACACCCTTTAATTACAGTCTAAGTTCAACAAGTTCCAAAATAAACCTGAACACAAATTTAGTCAGGCTAATTAAACTTTTACGGTAGGTAGTGTTAGGTTTAAGGAGACAACTTATCTATGGGAATTTTATTGAAACTGAACATGTTATAGACCGATATGTGTAATTTTAATAAAACCTATTTTTGTTGTAGAGCCTAGAGAATGTTTTAGAGAGATTTGGATCTGGTATAACTGTTGAGGACACATCAAGTGCCATACGAAGAGTAAGTAAAGAGGAAGTTTAATTTGAAATATTTATTACGTACAAATTGACTTTTATAAGCCTCTGTTTGGTAACATTGGATTTTATTTATTTTAACAGGGAAATATAGAATATTATGCAGACGAAGTCGAACTCAACGCCAAATTTCGAACGTATGCAAAAAGTTCAGCTGTAGTGTTTGCAGGACATAACAGTGTTAACGCGCAGCTTAGAATTAAATCTAAAAGGGGTTAGTGTGCTGTTTATCAAATCGGTTTTGAATGGTTTATTTGTATGGTTTACTTAATATACTATGCGAGAACGAAGTCGGTAATAATATAAAGGTAATATGTAATTGAAAAAGCTATGGAGTAATCATATGGTTTAATCTGCTTAAATCTTCAAACATTCATCATTTTCACTTTTCCTGTTTTGTGTTTATATATTTGTAAATGTATTTCTTTTAGAATATACTATTATTGCTGGTGATGAGGAATTGCCTCTTGGAGATGAATTTCAGAGTTTGGTGAAATGCTTTGTTCATTCTAATGAAAAAAAACCTATTAAAAAAGTAGAAACAGCTGCTAAACTCATAGAGCAACTCGAGTAAGTAAATTTCAGAGAGCATATAGAATAAGTAAACATCCTAGAACTACTAGATAGGGTAAAGCTTAAAGAATTAATATATGATGTAAAGCTTATAGAATTACTAGATGATGTAAAGCTTATAGAATTACTAAATGAGGTAAATCTTATAGAATTACTAGATAATGTAAAGCTTATAGAATTACTGGAGTACATTATAGAGTGTGTACATTTTATAGTATTGCTAGAGAAAGTAAAGCTTATAGACCGTGATATAACTATACCCGAGTAAGTAAACCTTATCGACTAATAGATTAAGTAAGCATTGTATAACTGCTAGAGAATGTAAACCGTATATGGCTTTTAGAACAAGTAAACCCTATAGAGTGAGTAACCCTTATAGAATCACTTGCATGGGTAAACCTTTTAAAACTACTTGACTGTTTAAATATTATAGAACTAATTGAATGAGTAAACCTTATGGAACAACTAGAGTGAGTAAACATTATAAAACTACTAGAGTAAGTAAACCATGTAGAACTACTAGAGCAAGTAAACCTTATAGAACTGCTTGAATGAGTAAACCATATAGAACTACTTGAAGTAGTAAACCTTATATAATTACTAGAATGGGTAAAGGTTGTAGGACTACTAGAGTGAGTAAACCTTGTATGATTACTAGAGTAAGTAAATCGTAAATACTGCTAGAATGAGTAAGCTGTATAGAACTGTACAGGGGGAGAGTAGAGATGTTGGACTACTAGAGTGAGTAAACCTTATGACTACTAGAATGAGTAAGCTATATAGAACAATATGGTACTTGAGCGTAACAAAACAAATCGAGCAAGCAAAGCCAAATAAAAAATATACAACAGTGAACTTTATAAAACCACTCCATTAAATAACTTGGGTCAGTAAACCCTAAAATAAGCACTTTGAGTAAGTAAACCCTATGAAACACCACGATTAAATAAACCTTATAGAATATCTTGTATATATTAAACCCTACAGACCAATTTGACAGATAGAACAAATAAATTAAGTAAGCCGTATAGCACAACCAGAATTAACCCTACATAAATATGTGGAGACTTCTGGAATTCGCATAACACACATTTCAGAAAACCGTGAAGAGTTAGTAAATCTATTTGAATATATATGATCTAGAATATTTTGTCTGTTCCAGTATAAGTCAGGAATGTAAGAGATTATCCGAAACAGCAAGACAAGAAATGGATGAATTAAATATAAAATGTTTACAAGTTTTACGAGCTATAATTCACAATGAAGAAAGGAAATTACCAGAAGATTGGGAAACAAGAACATCTGAAATAAAAATACAACAGTAAGTTCGCACTTTACTAGGAATACTTGATGTATTATATAGTTTGGAAATTGTATTTAAATTTCTAAATAATAAAATTGGTTAAAAACAATATCTGTACGACGACGGCATCAAACATGTATTTGCTGTTGTGGAAAAGAATGAATAGTATTTTATAATGGTGGTTGTGTGTTTCAAGTACGAATCCACACATTCTTTAAACTTGTCTTAAATAATATGTTGCCAATGGATATGCCACTTTCATGAAGCCCTATATGTACAAAGTGACCGCATTTAAATTTTGTTGCCATAAAATTTGAATATTGTGTTTTCAGCAGTGATTGTCAATGTCACATACCATGAGACACTTTTATAACAATTTAACCTAAATTTAGATGGCTTTTAACATAATTTCATTTTTTGTTGTAACATTTTCAGACAACTCAAAATGATATCCACCATACAGAATTTCTACGATGCCAGGGGTTCTATGAATAAATCTCTACCTCATTTAGCTTCAAGAAACGATGAAATAGCTAAAGAAGTTTTAGCTTTCTTGTGCATAATGTTATTTAATGCTAATGCTGTGGTCCAATCCTCTATGTTAAAATATTTTTTATCAACACGAGAAGAAGTGTTCTTCATGGCAGTTAGAGACAGGATGGCATTATCAACAAATTCTATAAAAGAGAAGTAAGTAGAAATTGTGGTCTTGTGTTTTTACTTTCTGGCTGCATGTGCCTGGGGTTAAGAGGTTCAATGCTGGACTAGTGGAAGGGGGCCAAGGAGTGCTAATGGTCTACGAAATGGGTGGCGCAATACTTACCTTGGTCTGGTCACTGGCAACCTACCCTCATCTAGATCTCTATTTCCACCAGTTGTTTGCTAAAAAATCATTCACGAATGAATATCTGCTTGTAAGAGAAATCAGCAAAAATGTCTGTGTTACATATGAGTTCGAAACAAATGAGATCCATACATCAGTCATTGTTGTAGCCATGATGCTATATTTTCTTTACAATGAAAGAAAAACTTTGAAAAATCCCGTTTAATAATAAACACATCATGTACATAGGTTTGCCAGTATCACGATTTTGAGTTTGATGTGTTAAAACATGATGCATCCATATTTTTTATTATTTACAGACGATCGTTACAAGCGCAACAAGACGCTAAACTGAAAGACTCCCCAGAAGGTAAAAAAGCTGTCAGTACTACATTTGCTGTGAGTTTGGCAGCTTTAAAGGTAGGAATGGCTTCTTAAATTTTTTAAATCATTAAGATAATCACCAAATGGCAATTACTGAATTTTAATCGCAGTTACATTTTTACAGTAATTCTCTAGAAGCATAATACTGAAACAGTTAGAAAGAATGCAATGTGAACATAGGCACAACCATAACCAGGGAGGTTTACCAGGTTGTAAAGTTAGGTGTGGCGAGGAGTGGCCCGTTGGGGGGTGGCGGGAGGGAGGTATGTTGCGACACATAAAAAGGCCATATGACATCAACATTTTGATTTGTTTACAAAATCAAAACACAGGGTGGGGGTAGGGATTCAAATAGATCGAGTAAAGTTATGCCAGTGCCCTACAATTAAAAAGAATAAGAATGCGGCACTTTTGAAAAATATACTCTTGGAGAGTGATCACTCTCCATCCGAACGCCACTGACCTCCACATTAGTGAAACAACTTCAATAGTCAGGATAGTCAAAACTATTTCAACAAATTTTAATTTCTAGTCGAAATTTTGTTTTAAAATCCTATGACATAAAAGTTGATATTTGGATATTTACATATGGATTATGTGCTTTTTTACAGCAAATCCAAGCCTATGAAGATGCTTTACGTCAACAAAGGCTTGGAGGCTGGGTAAGTATTCTCTGTTTTACCATGTTACCTATAGTCCATGTAATATTGTCATATAGTTACATACAATATTATCAAAACTTTTATACAAAATGACCTGAGTTTGGGAATGGATATTGTAGAGGTATGGCATAGACAACATTCAGCTTAAAATAGCACAGGATACAAGCTGGACCATTTCTGTTACATAAATGTGTCTTATGTTCAATGTCAATGAAAATATTTAGCTAAAACCTGACTAATTGTTTGAGTATGCCCTAATATAAAATATATGGTAGAGAACTGATGGAGCAGTGTGAAGATAAATCGTGTTTCATTATTCATTATTGGTGATTGATGAAACAGAACCCTTTTCGTTATTCTGGATTCAAATTTTGAATAATAAATAACGAGACAGAATGTGTTTCATTATTCGGGATTCCAATAAAATTATTATTTTTTTCTAAAACTTTTTGTATCATTATTGTCCATTTGTCCAGTAAACTTTTATTTATAATTAATTGACTTATAAGAAGGATGCCCCAGCAGTAAAAAGACGTGTTTTCCCTTATATGTCATGTAACAATCCATTTTATACGCCCACATTAAAATGTGGTCGTATATTGTTGTTGCCCAGTCCTTTGGTCCAGCTGTCCGGACACTCTAGAGGCTAAAGCTAATATCCGATTGACTTTAATTTTATACACAGTGTTTAAGGTCATGAGACGGAAGAAGCCTATTGATTTTAAAGATTTCGGATAATTACTGCCAGAGTTATGGCCCTTGATCACTTTGAAATATTTTGTGGACGCTCTAGAGGCTAAAGTTAATATCTGATTAATTTTCAATTTATACACAGTGTTTAAGGTCATGAGACGAAGCCACCTATATATATTTTCAAGGATTTCCGATAATTACTGCCAGAGTTATGGCCCTTAATTACTTTGAAAAATCTTGCAGATGCTCAACAGGCTAAAGTGATACCAAGTATTGAGATGAGCAAATATATTGATTTTCAATGAATTTTGATAACTTGAACAGCTAAATCTATGATATGAAATGTTTTGTATTCTATAAACGTTAGCATGGGATAGAACTAGAAGCCAAACAAATTCTAACGATTTCTGATAATTACTTAATGAGTTCTTACTCATAATAAGATTCTAGTGTATTATAAATGTGCGACAACCTTTGTTGACTGCCCAGACAACTTAGCTGCTGTGGGCGTATGTTTCGCTGCCTGGCAACCTATCTTGCTTTACGGCCTACTCTTTTTTCAAATTCCCACTACCATGGGTTATTTCGACTTCTGTCACCAACAACAGACAAGAGAAAACCACACAGAAAAATCCCTAAGAACCTGCTTCTAGAAATTGATGGTGGCAGGAACTGTCTGTGAGTTAGTCTAATCTTGCAAGAGTTGAATCTTGCAAAATACCTATTAGCCCATTTCTTGTTGTCACCCATTTGTTTAACCACTTATGACATATAAGTGAAAAGAGTTCTTTTACTGCTGAAGCACCCTTCTTTTATAAGTCAGTTAGATATAAATAAGAGTTTACTGGAAAAATGGACAATAATGATACAAACTTTTTTAGAAAAAATAATAATTTTCTTTAAATCTCGAATAACGAAACACATTCTGTCTCATTATTCAACAATAACGAATAATGAAACACACTGCCAACTGATGGTTGCATAGTTTTAAAGTGTATCATAGGTAAAAATACAAAAGGTTAGCAAAGAATGTTATTTTGGGATGAATTATATTTTCCAGTCCAAGAGGAAAGGTTCCGAGACCGGGAAATCAAAGAAGAAAATCAAGAAACCGAAAGAACCTAAAAAGAAAAAAGACCCAAAGAAAGGAAAGAAAGAAACACAAGCTAATGGTTTGAAGAAAGAAGTGAATTTCTCTAATCCACTAGTTATAAAAGAAGATCAAGCTCTAATAGAACCACCAGCTGATCACGAGCTAGAAATAGCTGTTCAGATAGAAGTAAGTTGAAAATCTGATAGCTAACTTAATAAGCTATAGAAGTAAGTTGAAAATCTGATAGCTAACTTAATAAGCTATAGAAGTAAGTTGAAAATCTAATAGCTAACTTAATAAGCTACGAGAAGTTGTTCAAATAGATGCAAGTTATAGAGACATTATTAAATAGATCAGTCATATATACCAAAATAAGTTAAATAAAAACAGTTCAAAAAGAAGCAAGTTATACAGACATTATTCAAATAAAGATAAAATAGAAATAAGATAAAACAGAAACTAATTAGAAGTAATTATACAGCCCAAAAATAGTTGGTTTGGAACTTACAATCTCATATATAACAAATATTCATCTTTACGAAAGTATCAGTGAGTTGCAAATCGTCTGTGTAGCTGCTACTGCTCTCTACATCAGTTAGTAACAATAACTGTTTTTCATCCGAACTTTTCTTCAACTCTTTAATATTACGTTTCAACCGTAGCAAAGATCAGCATGTTAAAATTATATCTGGAATGTTTTTAATCAGTTCTATCACATAATAATATGTAAAATTGGTGGACAACAACATTGATATCAGTTAATTCACAGGTAATTTGATGAGTGTAAGAATATGCTCAAGTTTATTTTTTACTAATCTGTATACTGTTTTAGATTGAACCTGAACAGGAGGCGCAGCCTGTAGATGAGGGTAATAATGCACTAGAATATAGAAATGATGGTTATATAGAACTAGTACTTAAAGTCATGGCTAGGATGTGTGATGGCCAGAATAAACAACTTCAGGTAGGTCTAACAACTTTAATATAACCTTATTAATTAGTTGATGCGTGCCGTTGTTTTTGGAATTATGTTTTTTTTATAAATAGAATTGTTATCTTTCATAAACATCTATAACAGTCACAAAATACAAAACTAATAATTAAGATAATGTAACACGTGCGACCCAGGTAGCCAATTCTTGATTGTTGTCGTAGATTATTATTTTTCATTGTGTCCCATGTCACCCTTTGTAGACGTGGGTAATAAACCCAGGTGGTCAGTTCATTTTTTAGTATTTATTAGTCATATATATACATGAATAAATAAAAAATACATCCCAGTAAAAAATTCACGACTACTTCATTCTGACATACATTAAATCATATAAGCTAGCTGTCTGTCCTCAATGATGGTTGTCTTCATATATTAATAATGTATACAAAATTTTAAAATTTAACCATAAATATATTTATGCTTTCGTAGAATAATAGATTTCCATGGCAATGGATTATAAATAATATCAGGTACCGTACAACAAGAGGTTATAAAGTAGGTGTATTCCTACGACGACGCGTTACAGAGCGTGACCAAAATTAATCTTTCCCACGAAGGCGCAGATATCAACTTGTCGGCTTTTGTTTGAAGAGAGGCATGTTGTTATTGTTAAAGATTTTATGAATTTATGTTCACTCTGAATTTTATTCACCATTTGGCAACTAATGATGAAAATCATCAAATCATCCAAGTATTCAATATGAATCTTGATCACCAATTGGCAACTAATGATGAATATCATCCAAGTAATGTTCACATATTCGTTCACTCTCTATCAGATCCAAAAATAACTGTATTGGGGGAGGGTGAATATGCTACTAATAAACCATAATAAAAGAAATTAATGAATTACAGGGTTTAAAATCTCCTTATACAGTGTCGAAGTAAAAAGTGTAAAAACATATTAAGATTTATTTAAATATTATTAGAATATTAACAGGTTGGGGTGGGAGCAAATTAGGCATTTAAGTCTGGTAAGAATGTGGTCAATAAAGTATGATTTCATATCCGGTCTTTTGATTGTATTGCCAATTTTGACTTTATAAAAAGGAAAAATACTAAATTTAATATTTAAATTCTTAGCACAAGTTTTTAAATGTTTAGAGACTTTACAAACAGGATTAGTTTATATACTCTGTTGCCCATATACTCAGATGTGTGTGCATAGTTCGATACTGTATTCCCCTATATAAATTTTATTGCACTGGTTGCACACAATATGTAAACTGGTTTGGTTGACAACATTGTGTTAATGTGTATTTCCAGGATTACTTAAGAGAACAGCCAGATAATGTTAAGTCATTTGATATTATCGCTGAGGTTACTCGTTTCCTGAATGTAGTTTACTCCAACATTACTGGCAAAAACATCGATTTAGTTATACAATTGTTTGAGACGATGAATGAATTCACAGCGGTAAGTTATTTGTTTTAATTTTAAACCGAAATTATATTTGGAATCTTAATCATCTACCTGAAACGTTTTCGTCATTTTAATGATCTATAATTGATATTTTAAACAGTATTTTTAAATGGGGTTACCTTATGTACCACCCCACCCACGTCATCATCATTAAATCTTGTTTGGCATTTCTACCAACTATCGTCCAATCGCTTTATACGTCATTGCAGAACAGACGTGATAAACTGGCCCTGCAGTATGGTACGAAAATTGCATCACTTTCAAATCATGTTTCATTTAACACCATATTTTTACCTTATCGTGAGCATTTATATCTGGTCAAAACTAACGTTATTCCATCATTCGTTATTCGTATACAACCTCTTTTGTCTGAGGCTGGTATCAACCTTGACAGTATTGTGAATACCCCTTTCTTTAGAACTCCACCATGGGCCATATCTCCTCAAAAGGAGATATCAATCTTACTCAAAGAGAGATACTAGCTCCTTGGTGTTCCAGTCTCTCTTTCAAGAGCTGAGGTCAAAATATGGTGATTATGCTCCAATATATACAGATGGTTCGAAAGATGATGATCGTGTAGCTTTGGCTACCATGACACCATCTGAGACCGTTTCTGTAAGCCTTCCATCTGCTACTTCCATATTTACAGCTCAACTCCAGGCCATTCTGCAAGCTTTGAAGTTCATTCAATCATCATTAAATTTAAAATATATAATTTTTACTGATTTTTTGTCCTTACTACAAGCAATAAATAACGAACAACTTGATCTTCCATTAGTAGCAGAAATCTATCGTCTACTATATCTATTATCATATGAGTACATCAGCAAGGACATAGTCCTTTGCTGGCTCCCCAGTCATATGGATATCAAAGGGAATGATAAAGCAGATTGGCTGCCAAGTCTGCTTTTATCTTCCCATATCCAAATTTTTAACACCATATAAGAATATAAGGATTTTAAATCTATTATTAATAAATTCATTTATAATCGCTGGCAACGGTCTTGGGATCTTGCAGGCACAAACAAACTCCATCACATTAAACCTGTCTTACTTAGTCTTAGGAGATTGGCCAAGCTCCTATAAAACTAACAGGAGAGATGAAGTTATTTTGTATTGCTCTTGTATAGGTCATACTTTTTTAACACACATTTTCATCTTGAAACGAGAGCCTCAACCAGAATGTCAACACTGTCATGTTCCTTTTACAGTTAAGCTGTAAGCACATTCTGATTGAATGCAAGTTCCTCAAGAACATACAATCAAAACATTTCCGTTGCCAGTCTTTAAATCAATTGTTTGCCCAACCCGATCTATATTGTAAAATCCTAGACTTGTTCATATTCCTGAAGCAATGGTTCGAGAAATCTCTCTCTGCCCATTGTTGGATTGGCTTCTGATACTTGAGCTTTTGAGGGAGTGTGTGTATTCTTCCCGTTCAATCAAATCTATCCCGAGTACAGCAACATGACAGCCCTTCGTTTAGTCTGGGGTCTTCCCTAAAACTTTGGACAGTGAATTAAGATATTAAAAACGGTGAAAGTATTCTTCGTCTCCATACAGTATTGTTTACATTGTATTCGTGTTGATAGCCTCATTTGTCATGCAATTAGTTTTTCTGCAATTTTTTGCTATGTACTGGTTAATTGGGTCATGACCTAACGTTATGTAAACATATTTGGTCCAATTTGGAGCTTTGTTTAAAATGTAAACGATATTGTTATGCAATTAGCTATTGGTTGTTAATCGGACTAATTTGGAACTGAAATTTGCTTCCATTAAAGCAGTGTTTAGTGGGATTAGCTCTAATCTATTTGCGCATATCTGACCATAACTTCCTGAATTATGGCCCCTAATTGTACGAAAAATCATGTTTTTAGCTTGTGGACCCCATAGAGGTCACAATTTTTATCCGATTTAAAAAGTTGTTTGAATATATCACCATTACACACTAAGATCTTGGTTCCTTTTGATAATCGCGGATACCCGAACTTAACTTCCTGGATTATAGCCCCTGATTGTTCGAAAAATCACATTTTTAGCTTGCAGATTCGTGAAAATCGAAATGAAACTGCCCGACAAAATGGCCACTCTTTGTACGCAAATTGTGTAGAAGTGTGTAATACGAAGGTTGTGGACCCTCTAGAGGTCACAATTTTTATCTGATTTTGATGAAACTTAAAACATATCTTTATATCCCAAAGATCTCTGTCCCTTTAGATATTTGCACATTTCAGGGCATAACTTTCTGTATTATTGCCCCTGATTGTAAAAAAAATCATGTTTGTTTTTTACTTGTTCTCTATCCATCTCTTGCAAAATGTGGGCATATCCTGCCTGGCAGCCGCTAGTTAATTATGTAATATACTGTGATATTTGTTTTTCATTTTGTTTACATGAGTAGGCCTACTTTATGTGATAGCATATAGTTTGTCTCATACTTTTCACCATATGTTTGGTGCAATATAGCCCGGTTGGAGCTGATGTACCATAAAACTCTATTTCATTCATTCATCCATTCATTGTTTGGCATCTGTTGTTCGTAATCTGAACCATCTACCTAATTGCTGTCCTTTCTACAGGGATGTTATTTCCTTTGATCTCCCATGCATGTTATGAAACCTATCCACCTGTTGTGACGTCATCAGGGGGTGATGATGACGTCACAACAGGTTTACCGACTCTGCAATGAAAAAGGACACAAATTCCTTCTTTTAACATTTTGTTTACTTTTTTGTACATTGTTGTCAAATGAACTTTGCCAGTCCCATGTTACTTAGTTTCTTCATCTGACCATCAAGAACTTGTCTAAAACTCAAATTCTGGATTGTGTAGTATATCCACATCCGTTTTTTTCGCAATCCGTAAATGCGAAACTTTTCCCATAACTAAATATGGAATTCAGGGTAATATTCATCATTTTATTTTGCTTACTTCCAAAATGAATCTAGACATCCAAAAAATAAGATCTTATATACTCATCTTCCAGCACACATAGGATTTATTATTGTTTATTATTCGGCCACACTGACCAACTGTTAAAAACAAATCACTGCCCAATGATGTCTGCGTAAGGTATTTATGGGCACGACATTGTTGGCACATTCACTGACGTCTTGTCACTCAAAATTGAAAAGCGTTTATCGTTTGTTTCTTCCTCACAATCCGAAATATCCAAGTAATTAAATCCTTGTTAAATATTTTCTGCATAAATTCTGCCCTTTGACTAACTTTAAATAATTTAGAATCTAGGTTTTCTTTTTCAACCATATTTTCTACAAACAGACTTGCTCGAATCAGTTTGTAGTCCAAATCATTGGACAACATTGCACAAAATGAACGCTAGTTCGTGAACACGTGGTTACTAAAATGTAATTCAAGTGCAACTTACGACTTGTTTTCTTAATTTTGTCATACGAGGTTGCAGGGCCAATATGGGCTAAACCATTGTCTTATAGGTGAAGTCAATTAGGATAGATTTAACATTGATGTTGGTGTGTAAGACAAATATCACACTAAAACCCTTGGTCGATATGTGAAATAACCGGCAACCCCTGGCCTTGGGTTATTTCACATATCAACCCACGATTATGGTAATATTTATCTCTTAACATCCAAGGGATTTCTTTATATCCTGCATTGTTCTATTAGTATGTGGTTAAATTTAATTATTTTCCTCTTTATAGGGTAATCAAGAAAACCGCGTTGTGATCTATGATAATAAAATCATAGATTATATTAATTTTATCATGCGTGCAGCTGACTTTGCTAACTGTACAACTGATAAGGTTTGTATTTTATATATCTAACTGTTTAGCAATATAACCGGTTTAAAATGTATAATTGTACAGCTTGGAACTTGCTTACCAACATAGATGTATGTAGATACTACCTTGAATATTAAGTTATTTAACATATTTTATTGATCATTAGCTCTATTACTGTTTAAAATGTGCATAGTACAAATGTAGTGTTATTGTTGTCTTCGTACCAGACCATCTTGTGAACTTACCTATTGAAATCACCAGAAATGGACGAAACTGACACAGGGCAGTCATCAAGTACCTGCAACTGAAAGGACTAACCCCAACACAGATACATGCCGACATGGTCTCCACTTTAGGGAATGATGCCCCTTTCTTTTCCACAGTAAAGAAGTGGGCTGCAGAATTTAAGCGTAGCAGAGAGACCTTGATGATGACCCGCATCCTGAAAGGCCATCAACAGCAACCATTCAAGAAAACATTACCTGGGTGCATGCCATGGTGGTGGCTGATCGACGATTGACCACTTGACATATTGCCAGTGTTGTGGGCATCTCTCTTGGGGGGGGGGGGGGGGGTTGAGCACATTATCACCAACGAGTTAGGAATGATGAAAGTTTCTGCAAGATGGGTGCCAAAGCTCTTGACTGTGGATCAGAAATGTGTCAAATTCCTGACGCCCTGTGACATTCTGTGCCATTTTGAAGCAGATCCTAACAATATTTTGGCCAGATTTGTAACCATGGATGAGACCTGTTTCTAAAAATTGAAAAAGCAACTAGCCGATCGTCATTTTCCTAGTAATGATGACATCATGTCGGCTGTGAACGACTTTTTTAGGGTGACTGAACAAAATTTCTTCCTGACCGGCCTCCAGGCTTTGCAACATCATTGGCAAAAGAGTGTAAGCCTGGAAGAGGACTATGTAGATAGAAGTTTTCAGCCAGCCCTCGTACAGTTGGTGATAAGTATAAAATTCGAATCCCTAACGATCAACCCTTTGACCTGCCTCTTGAACAGGGAGAGTGAGAGAGAAATGGGGGTTTAACTTTCACTTGACACAAACTAGGTCATTTCGAGACTAACATATGGTTCAATTTTATTTCAATAATTCGCTTGCACGTAGGTGTCTTTAGCAGTGGGACCCGAAGAAAACCCACGAGGTTGGACAGGTGACCATACTCCTTGTCACGTACAACTGGGGAATCGAAATCATGCCAGTCGACTCAGTGACAGACCTTATGGTACAACACGCACACGCTAACCATTCGGCCTTGACCTACATAACAAATGATTGTTACTCTTGGCCCCACCCCACCCTGCATCACTGTGTTGTTATTTGTTGCTCGTCTTACTATGTCTTTTGTTTTAATTTTAGATTCTATCCCTTAGGCAGAGTATAGCCAACTTAATCATGTCTTTAATAGAGGAAAATGGCGAAGGACCTTCACAAGTAGCAATAGTAAGTTATATAATGATATTATATCATCTGTGAACTATATGATATTGTTATAGAAGTAGATAATGAATATGGTACCCATCATACTTTGTCTATTTAACTGTTAATGATTGATTTTATTTAGGAAGTAAAAGATACATTAGATAAGAAAGCAGTGGTTGCACTAATGACTGAATGTTATGAAATGCATCAACCAGATAAAAACAGAAAAGAAGATATGAAACTTGCTATGATGTCAGCAGGGGGGGGTTCGGCCAGTTACTTAGCAACAGCGAAATCGTTCGCTCTTGCTGGAGGGAGTTTTCTTCACGGTGTGGTGGTAAGTAATTATAAACAATATTGTAATCAAACCTATCATGGGTGTAAATCATTTCCTTTTGTCTGGTGCACTTTATATAATTATATAGCGGACAAAATGATGTTTTGGCACCTGTAATATAACAGTCGTTTTAATAGATTTTTAATAATTTGATATAAAACTCCTAAATTATTTGGGGAGTTGGGTGGTCGAATTGTTTAACTCTTTTGCGTTAGAGAGAGAGAGAGAGAGAAAAATGGGGTTTAACGTCCACTCGACACAAACTAGTTCATTTCGGAACTAACATATGGTTTAATTTTATTTCAATAATTCGCATGCGCATAGGGGTCTTTAGCAGTGGGATGAAACCGGAGGACCCGGAGAAAACCCACGAGGTTGGACAGCCGACCCTACTCCTTGTCACGTACAACCAGGGAATCGAAACCACACCAGTTGACGCACCTGCTAACCATTTGGCCATCCAACCCCTGTTTTGCATTAGAACATAAGGTCTGTCATTGAGTCAACTGGCATGGTTTTGATTTTTCGTTTTTAATGGTAACAATGAGTAGGGTCACCTGTTCAATCTCGTGGATGTTCTCTCGGTGTCATGGTTTCCTTCCACTGCCAAAGACCCCTACACGCAATTATTGATATAAATTTGAACCATATGATCTACTTTGTGTCGAGTGGATCTTAAACCCCATTCCCTTCACTCCTAAACTACTTTGAATGTATGTGTTTGATGTTAGGTAGATAAGTTGTATCAAGCAGCTTTAAATGAAAAAGTCATAATAAAGCATATATTTTAAAGAAGAAATAAATCATACATACTTCTTTCCAACAATCCACTTACCTACTGGAAACCACCTTTTGCTTAAAGGGGAGTGTTTTTATTACAGGCCCTGTAAACTACCAGTTAATGTATAAAATTGTAAATGTTTATTTTGTAGAAGAAACAAAGAGAAGAGTTCTCGGATGAGTATATGGATGTTGGATTTAGTTTATATTTATTACTCAACAGAATGCTAGATATAGATGTTAAACTTTTAGAAACATGTAAGTATAGATGTTGTCCATTTAACCAACAAAGTTTAAAGGAGGTGATCCATCTAACATCAGATAAAATGGTGACAGTTACTTGAATCTAATTCTAAGACCTCTGTTCAAGCAGTATCAACAGCATTGGTAAAAGCAGAACTAGTAATTATTAACTTCCAGTGGTGACGATCTCACATTTGTTAAATTATGGTAAAAATTATGGAAGGGTATTGCTGTCAATACTAAATGCTCTGCTAAAATATCTTTTCGATTGGTTATGTAAAAATTATAATGTACAAACTCCTAATATCGGTAATGATCAGTTAAATGTAAAACGTCAAATGTGACGTGTCAAACGACAAATGTTTTATTGAAAAATGCTGTTTTTGACGTGTCTACATTTTACATTTCTCTCATTACATTTTACATTTGCGCTCTGACATATCTCATTTGTCCTTCACGCTTTCTACATAGCATGTTATGCATAGCACTAACTTTGATATGCAAATGTAGGATATCACGTGACTTATTAACATATACGGAAACGCTGCTGAGATCAACCTGGCACACTATAAATCAGCATACTATAAGGATATTCACCACATGATAATGTTGTAGGGGTCAAATGCCGGGGCTAAAATGACCACACACAAGGGTTCATTCCTTGAAAATACTTTATTAACTATAAAAAGAAACCCTGCAAATATACAAGTAATATAATAAATACAATGCATAAAAACAGTATTAAAGCATGGTTTAAAAGTAATAACGACGATAATATAAAATCATATGTATAATATACATGTAACTCTTCTCTTAAGTGACTTAAACTATGAAATACAGATATACTCGTAAAAGTATGAAATATACTTATTATTGCAGCGTAAATAATAATAATACTAATTAATACTAATAATTAGATCTTAAGAATAAAACTAATATTGCTTACCCTAAGAGGGGTTTTATAATTACTACCAATTGGTATAAAGGTGAAATACCTTTAAACGTTGGAACACTGTAAATGAAATATAAATGTGATGTAAATGACTGTAAGTGTATATCTAAAGTGAAATACTTTAAATAATGTTTTAACTATATAATGATGTAATCTTTCCCCATTTCAAACTATCAACTTATACTTTAAAGAAAATCAACATGGCTGCCACTTTAAAACAAAGACTAATTCCATGAATATAATTATAAACATACCTGATAAATAAACTGTCAAACCACTATTGAAGAAGCTTCAATATTTACATCTAGCAACACTTGTATACTAATAAATACGCAATACCGGTTAATAACCTTTATATAACCAAGGAGAGGAAAAGTGTCATCCTTTGCATATAAAAACTTTAGGATGAATGTCCCAAGGAAACTTTCATACAACAACTCACTAGACAAATAGGAAAGGTTAAAGTTGAAGATATGGTGAGTGGAACTCACTACAGACCAGGTACAGAGTGGATAGTATAGGATAGGTTTAAAGGGATAGTACAACCATTATTAGTTTATATTAAGTGCAGATTAAAATGACTAAAAACCAACTGACTATATATATTAAAAATATCACTCTGTCACAATAAGAGGAAATCAACCTGGAACACTATAAGACATTTACTTACCTTGAAACAATCAAATTTGGATGGTACTAAACTCTATTACTATGATTATGGAGGGGGGCATGCAATGTCAAAATACAGGTCTTAATATATACATATTAGTGAAAAACAATGTTTATTTCTCTTTGTAAATATGTAAATAATTTCCTGGTACATTTGTATTTTTATAAGTTGAGAAAAGATCATATGGATGGTACTAACCTCTATTAAGTGACTTTGTGTGTGGAGGGGGAGACGGGGGGCATGGGGCGAGGGGTGATATTCTATATTAAAATATGGTTCTTTATACAAAATTCCAAATATCATGTTACCTATAACTGAAAAGCACGTCTATTGCCCTTTTCAAATATGTAAATAGCTCTCTGGCACATTCATATTTACTCACCTTGAAAAACGACCAAAGTTGGATGGTACTAAAATCTATTGCCATGATTGCGGAGGGGGGAGTATTCAATGTTAAAATACGGATCTTAATCCGAAATTTCAGATACCATGTTAGTATTACTGTAAAATATGCTTATTTCATATATATATAAATAAATATCTGGCACATGTTTAAAGTGCACATAAGATGGGCTTGGAAACTTTTGGATATGTGTAGCCAATGGTTACAATATCAACTTTACGGCAAGTTCACACCAATCTGATTGAAATTAATTCAATTATCTTCACTCAAAGTCGTAATAATGGACCTCTCGTAAAAACGACTTTGCCAATTATCGAAAACACTCTTAATCCCCTCAGACGCCAGTGACGTCACAGTGACTGAATGCATATTCGGAATGTTTATTCCTTAATTACCTATATACAGCCGGCGTGTGTACTCATTAACACCTGACTGGTTCCTTAATCCCCCTTAGTTCCTTAATTAAATAAAACAATTGACTACAGAATAATTTGTTTTGTAATTCATTTTAATGTAAGATTCAATTTAGAATTTGTTTCTCATGACAGCAATTTTAATACCCTCTAACATTGTGTGCAGTCCAAATGATCAGAGATACATTTTCATCAAAAGAGTAGTGTGGTTCTAATTTCCCCGAGTAAAAAAGTACAGGGGTAAAAAGATGTGGTCACGCAAATTGTATCATAAAAGTCAAACATGAATGAAAAGCGATTTGTAAATGACGATCCGTTATCGTCGTAGGCTTATTTGACTTCATTACTCTGAAATAGACCGTAAAAATGAAATGCGAAAAAATATCTCAATATACAGTACAAATAAATTTTGTTGGTAACCATCTAAATGGAATAACAGACAGATTGAGAAGTGTCATCTAACTATCTTTGTGTATTGATAATAATAGTCGTGTCGTTAACATCAGTCATTAATTAATCAATCCGACTAAACTTATACAGACTTGGGGGTCATTAATTAATTTACATCTCGGTGTTAGCAGTGATTATTAGTGGGATTAAGAATGCTGATTAGGTAATTTTCTTTTTTACGCCGGCCAGATCAAAGGCATCACTCTAGGTGGAACAGTGCGTAGTACCTACAAATGAACTAATGGTAGAATCGTACACACACATATTTACTGTATAAAATAATTAAATTTTACTCATCAGTTGTTTATAATTATTATTTAATTTTTGTGTTTGTGTAATCAAGTAGGATCGCATTATTTGTTGACTGGCGTTTAAACAACATTTAATTGACTTGATATGAAATATTCTTTATAATAGTATTTTACAATTGCATTGACAGTTTAATCACTCACCAAACGGCATCAGGAACTCTGCGTATTTAATATGCATGTCCATGAATCTCATGAAATTTTCGCGCCAAAGTTTAACCTCAGTAACTATGCCCGTAGTGCATGGAACCGTACATGGCAATAAGATTCCCAACGTTGATTGGCTGAGAAATGAGGGTGATCTATGCATGCTCATCGGAAAATTCCATATTCGCTGTGAATTTCAAATTGAGTTACGATACAAGTTGTTCTTTGTGTATAGAAATGGTTATTATTATTATGTATAGCTAATAATGAATATATCGACAATTGACTGGCATCATTTGTATTTCTGTACTTAAGTTTGGGATATCCGCAAGTATTACGGGGTTATCCAAATTTCCGGTAAATGCGCTAATTGCTTGAGTCATCTTCATTTGACACGTGGCCTATTTAAACAAAGGCAGCTTAAATTGATCTAAGGCATGATACGGCATTTTAAATTCACTCTAAAATATTCCAATCACAAATGTCTAATCTATACCAATGAAAGACGATAATTCTGTGATTATGATTAGGCCAGTCACGTGGTAATTGGACCATCAATAGACGCTTGTCCGGTTGCCGTGTGTATTGATAGTGCTATATTGTACAGACAGTGAGATATTGTATAGATAATGTATATCCTATGTGTAGTGCCAGTGACGTCACCAGCCTATCAACCAGATTAAGGTCGTAATTGTCGGATACTTAAACGTTAACAGCGGACTTAATTTTAATCAGATATAGTAACCATGGGCTATACGTACATTAAATTTAGATTTTTGATCTTACGTGGTCTTTAAAATGTCAAAATACAGGACTTAATACGAATTTCCAGTTATCGTGTTATACATCACTGGAAAGAAGTTTCTATGGCTCTTCGAATCTATCAGTTATTTCCTGGCACATTCATGATTACGTACTGTGTAGAAGCTTGAAGGACAAACGAGATGCAGCAGAGCGCAAATATAAAATGTAATGAGAGAAATGTAAAATGTATATACGTCAAAAAACAGCATTTTCCAATAAAACATTTGTCATTTGACACATTATATTTGACGTTTTACATTTAACTTTGGATTTAGAGGTATTTTGACTTCATCATTACCGGTATTAGGACTTTGTACATTGTACTTTTTACATATAAACAATGGAAAAAATATTTTAGCAGAGCATTTAATATTGGCAGCGATACCCTTCCATAGATAATTCTGTGATATACTTATAATGAAGAAACAGAAAAATACATATGTCCAGTAATAATCTTGAATATATGATAACAGCTTCACAAATAGTAAGATATTAATAAAATAAACTGACTATAGATAATAGGAAATATATGATTAAATGTATCTTGTAGAGGAAAATATTCATATTCAATATCGATAATAGGAGCAGAAAAGGGATTATATATGCCTATCTTACACTCACACTTGTAATTTTTGTTTGTGGTCAATGAAGTTTAACAAGAGTAAAATCAGTAAACCTACACAATGAATGCAAATCTGAAAATTATCTCAATGAATTGTTGTGGGCAGGGTTAGTCATGCAAAAGAAGCGGTCTTTTTGATAGGGCAGACATTGTATGTCTTTAAGCAACTATATTATTATAGAGCTTGGATTAAATGAAGAAATGATCACGAGAAATTACATTTAAATTGTTATCTCCAAGCACTAATACTCTCAAAACAAAACCATTTATTATCTCGGAGAATCGATATTAACAATCTGGCATTGATCATCATTATTTTTAAAATAATTACTAAAACCACTGAAGCATATGTTTACACTATTTATTTACAGTAAAACTAACTCCGTTACAGCAGAAAGCTTTTAATTTTTATAAGAAGAATTCTATGTCTATAGAGATAGTAAAAGAAGATGTTCTACAGAAGATAAACTTCAGAGTGAAGAATAAGGTTTGTATAAATCAGAATGTTTGCATAAATGCTAAGTTAAAAGTTTCAGGAATAACATTTTTAGGAACTGGGTAATGTTTTTGTTTCCTCTTTATACTTGTCTACTAAGTACCACACCTACCTAACATGTAATAGCACCAGTTTTTGCATTTAATTTAGAAGAAGTATATCAAATAGTTCATCTCGGTATTTCATCAACTTTTTTGCAATATTATTCAACTTGAATGAATCTTAAATTGTTACCCCATCCATACCATCCAGATCACAACCTTCTCTGTATTTATTTATCAATATAAACACCAATAATTGATAGTTAAACAAATTAATCTGGTAATATCAATATTTTTTATGAGAAATCGAGATGCTGGCAAAAAATATATGATAATCATTTTATTCGAAAAGCCATCTTTGTCATTTGAATCAAGATGTGCAATTTTTTGTATCTATTGTTAAACATTTTATATTTTTTCAGCGTGTGTTAAGAGAAGAGGTGAAAGAAAAATTGAAATGGAGTGTTGATAGATCGTCGCCTAGCAACAAAATACGGGATCTTATGGCATGGACTAAAGATATCATGAAAGATATTGCTTATCAACAACGAATTTTGAGTAATTTTATTGCAATATGTCTGACAAAAGGATGGTAAGACATTTTAGAGGACAAAAGATTGTAATTGCCTTGGAATTGTCGAAATGATTTCACATCTTTTTCTTCTTCAGAACCTACTTAGGGATGAATATTGAAAATGGCTTCGTCGGTCCCTCTGTCTTGATTTTATTTCTGGAGCAAATGAATCTTTGTACACACATCTACCTGTTATAGTAGTTGTGCCTTTTTACTAACAAGCAATTTCTAGGATTTGATAACAATTTTTGTGTTTCTGTGGCAACAAATATGACTTTGTTTTTGATGTGCAATTTATATTCAGGGGCATACCTCTTAAACTATTCAAAAATGTCTTCATGATATAGTTTGTTTGGGTTGCAATTGTTATTCCAAAGCACATCTAAAAAAACATTCAAGACATCTTTATGAAACCTTATAAAATCGTGTTTTCATTCATAAATCTAGAACTGAACATATTATAACTTTTCAGTCTTTTTTTACACTTTGATAGCATAACATGCTAGTAGTAATTTGCAATAGAACTCAAATGTCCACAATAACTGGAGTTCCTTCTACTAGTTGCTATACATCTTGTAACTAGTATTTGTTTGTTGATTACCGATAATAATACGATAATACGAAGACTGTCTATGCCTTAAACATCCTAAAACATGCTCAAAGACGAAGACTGTCTATGCCTTAAACATCCTAAAACATGCTCAAAGACGCAGATAAGGTTAGTGGCCGACATAGACAAACGTGTATAGTATACTTGTTCTAAAACATTTATATCGGTAAAAAAATCTGTTTTTTTCAGGCTGTTATGGAACCATGCAGTAACTATATTAAGTTTTGCTATCAATACCTTAATGCTAGTTACCTGGAAGGCTAAGGCGTCATTGGAGACGCCGGGTATAATGGATAATACGACAGGTATACCACTATCAGTATTGGAGTAAGTACCAAATTTGTCACATTTATTGTCCCCCGGCTTTCGAAGAAAGCAGGGGACTATTAAAATCTGTCTGTCTGTCTGTCTGTCTGTCTCTGTCTGTCCATCCGTCTGTCTGTCCGTCACACTTTTTAGGACACAATAACTCTCTTTCTAATTGAGCTAGAATGTTCAAACTTGGTATAAATGTTTATTAGGCCAATGACTTGATGGAGTTCGAAGATGAGCATTTTCTGTTTAGGGTAAGCAGAGATAAGCAATTTGATTGGTTGATGCTTTGGGACACGATAACTTTAGTTCTAATTAAGTGAGAGTGATGAAACTTGATGTATAGTTTCATTACATCAATACCTTGACTAAGTCTGATAATGAGCATTTTCAGCTCAGGGTAAGCAGAGTGATAAGCAATTTGATTGGCCGAGACATTGAAACACAATAACTGTCCTTCTAATAGAGCTAGAATGTTCAGACTTGGTGTAGGTGTTTATTATGCCAATGCCTTGGTGGAGTTCACGGATGAGCATTTTCTGCTTAGGGTAAGCAGAGATAAGCAATTTGATTGGTTGATGCTTTGGGACATGATAACTTAGTTCTATTTAAGTGAGAGTGATGAAACTTGGTGTATAGTTTGATTATATCAATACCTTGACTAAGTTCGATGAGCATTTTCTGCTCAGGGTAAGCAGAGTGATAAGCAATTTGATTGGTCGAGACTTTTGGACACAATAACTCTCATTCTAATTGAGTTAGAATGTTCACACTTGGCGTAAGTGTCAATTAGGTGAATGCCTTGATGGAGTTTGAAGATTAGAATTTTCTGCTCAGGTTAAGCAGAGATCAGCAGTTTGATTGTTTGATGCTTTGGGACACGATAACTTTAGTTCTAATTAAGTGAAAGTGAGGACACTTGGTGTACAGTTTTATTATATCAATACCTTGATTAAGTTCGATAATGAATCTGATAGAGAGTGATGAAACTTAGTGAAAAAAATAAATATGTGTCATCTATTTATTTTGCAATTTCAGCGGGGGACATTAGCCTCACTGTTGGCTTGTTTATTTATGGGAGTCTGCATGCTTCATCCTGGATATGATTAATTCGCTGCATAATCTCCATATGGATTGTTGATGCATTTCACATGGTTGATTTTATGCATAGGTAATGCAGATCGTTGTCAATCATGTCAATTTTATAGTACAATCTCCTGGAATAAAGCTGTTTTACCCACCCCCTTATATGCCTTATAGAATGAAATGTCTCTGATTGCCTTAGAATAATTTTGAGTTCTTTATAATTTCAGTCCAGTACCATCTATTATCAATTTGGGTAAGACTAATTATGAGATAGCGCTGAAGACAATGGGAGGTACACATAATATTCTGGCGTTATTGGTACTCATCAGTTATTTTGTATGTAATCACCCTAGACTTCCTGATTTTAAGAGTATAATCACATCATGCAGGTAGGAATAGTTTAAGGTGGAATCAAACCATCTTGTACGCTAGGTTAATTACTACTCAAGACACTATTCAAATGCAACGAAAATGTATTGTTCAGAATATTTAAATTGACAAAATTAACCTGCTTTGAAAAAAAAACCCTAATATTTACCTATTATTTTTTATTATAAACAATACGATAAGGTTTCATAGAATCTTCACTTTTCATTTTTTTGTAAAAGGATATTATCTTTTTTAGCAGTTTTTCTTCTATATCAATTCTAAGACCTTGCTGTGTTATTTTTTAGAAATCGTTTAAAGAAGAAATCAGATGATGATGATCTAGATGACAGAAAGAAAGTTCATCAGTCAAAATTAGATGCCCAGTTTTTTAGTTTTACAACATTTTATTATGTGGTATGTTGACCAGAAAAGTAAAATATTATTTACCAATTCATGTTCACCAGAGAAAAATGCTAAATTATTGGAAGAATTGTTCATAATTTGTGTTTTATAGCAACAGATCAGTTGACATTTCAAATATTCCATAAACCAATAATTTAGGTCATATAGAAGAACATGACATATACAATAGAACCATAACAAATACTTGAAATAAAATGAGGAAGCTGATATCTATTATATTAATGTAATTTGTCTTTGGTGGAAAATCCGATAGTTTAAATGTCCGGTTAGTTTCGTTGTTTATTATCGTAACATTGACATACACAAGTCTTATTATGTTTTATGTCTTCAGATGTTTCTTGGTCTATCAATCGGAGGAACATTTACCAGTGGTTATTTTTTTGCCTTCCATCTGTTAAATATTGTTAATAATAATCAGTTATTGAGTGGAGTTATAAAGGCTGTAACTCAAAATGGTAAGTAGGCCATATTAAATTTGATATGCCATGTATATGGGTATATTAGCTGTTTCCCTCATCATTCATAACCTGGCATTATCATCTTTATTCAATATGATAATGGCTAGTATAAATAATGGCGATACCAGGGGTCCAAAACAATGTTGCTTATAATGGTAGTTTAGGAAATGAAATGAAATGGGGGTTTAAGGTCCTACTATTCTACTCCGACTGGTAGTTCAGGATCATAAAACAAGAATCGTCTGGGTCCCATTGCAAGTAGTATACCTAACTAGTGAAAGTTCTGCGGGGAGAATTTTAGTAACTGGATAGGGAAATACATTATAACTGATATTAGCTTCAACAATCAGGAAAGGGTTGCCATGACTGTTATGCTGTAACAGAATCATGAGGACGGACACGCTTGTTCTTCTATTTTCATGCGGAATGTTTTGTGTTTTCAATGAGACTCACTGTATTGATTATTATCCACAGGTAAATCATTGCTATGGGTAGCAGTGTTAGGTCTGGTAGTATTCTATCTATATGGTATAATAGGCTTTGCATTGATGAGGAGTATGTTTGATCCTAATGAGTATCTATACTGTAATACATTATGGCAATGTACAATAACTGTTATAAGATATGGTCTTATTGGTGATCTTTTTGAGGTAAGTAAAACATAAATGAATCCTAAAGCCAAAGCATATCCCAAATGTTGACATATTATTTTTGGGCTCACCCGTTGTGTGCTAGGAATAACACCCCGAACAATCGTAGAGTAAGTGTATCGCACCCTGTTCGATCAAGCCTTTCATCCTTATTATGGTTCATATAGTTGGGGTAGTCTTAGTTGGTAAAAGATAAACGACTATTGGTTTTATATTACATTTGTGGCGTCGCAATTGGGTAAGGGATTATTTGTTTTAGATGCTCATACGTTGCCAAACGTACAGCGTAATATACACATATTTCGATATCTGTCGATCTATATTTTAATGATACATATAATACACAGAGAATTCGATATTAAATTTTACAGGGCTGAAACAACATAATGTCCATAATGTTTCTTTCTCTGCATAATCAAAATATGTTACTACTACTGCTGCTCAATTTGTTGACCACATTTGACACCGGAGATCATGCTATCCTACTAAACCGACTCTAAATCCATTTTTGTATTACTGGAACTGCTCTTTAACTAATACGGTCATATCTATAATGTAAAACGCATCATGGTAATATCACTCGAAGTTTCTCTTAAAAATGTCATCTACAATATGGTGTGCCACAAGGCTCTCTTTTGGGAACACTACTTTTCAGGATGTACTCATCTCCTCTGGAAATAATTGTTTGACAACATGGCTTATCATTCCAACTGTACACCGATGACACACAATTATATATTTCTTTTAATCCATCTGCCACAAATCAGTTTGATAAATTAAGGATTAAGATGGAAAGTTATAACAACTTTGGATGACTGCTAACTTCCTCAAATGGAACGACAAGAAAATTGAAAAAACTTGATCAAACTTACTGACAATATGGGTCAGTCTGTGTTGGTGAAAGAAAAGTTTCTTCTTCCACTAGTGCTAGAAACAATGGAGCCATATTTGAATCAACCAAATTAGTAATATCTGTAAAACTATAACCATCTGCACAATATATAAAAGATTAAACAATCTGTAACTGTTGATACTGTTAAAACTATAATTAATCATCTTGTGACTAGAAGGTTGGATAATCTAAACTCTGTTTTTGTGTACCCTTAAAATTTCTGAACAAGCTTCAGATACATACTTCAAAATTCAACTGCAAGACTTATTCTCGAATTTCTTACTGCGATCATACATCTACTGCCCTGTTTAATCTTCATTGGTTACTAATTATTTTGCTATTAACTTTTACATGTTTAAATAAGGTTGCCATTTCTTATCTAAACTATCAGAATTACTTAATGTATATATTCCTTCTAGTCATTTACGATCCCACTGCCAGTCGAGCGAAGGTCTTGGTTTAACTCATATGGTGAATGTGCCTTTGTTTTACAAGCACTGCAGCTCTGGAACAAACCCACTCTTGATATCAAACAAATCACACCACTTTCTGTTTTTTAAGTCAAAAGTCAAGACTATCTTTTCACTCGAGCTTTCAACTAATTTTATGTCATATTATTATCATTATTGTTATATTTACATATTTTTTATCTGCTTGTTTTGTATTGTATTCAATCATGTTGTATTGTCTACTTGATGATGATGATAATGAAGATGCTGATGAATTAGATAACATGAAACTAGTTCAATAATTGTGCATGTATATTTTTTCAGGTAATGAATCCACATGACAATGAGAAAACATTTGAGAAGTTTGGCTTTGTTGTTATATATCATGTGTCTTTCTTTATATTTATCACCACCATTGGTCTAAACATTATATTTGGTATCATTGTTGATACTTTCTCAGAACTCAGAGATTTAAAGGTAAGTAACTTCTTTAATACACGTACAATCAATCAGGATGTGGATTCAGAGCTAGAATATCGATGTTCCCATCTGGATGTGGTCCAGGAAGTATCATCAAGGCATTCTCTTTGTCATGGGTAACACCTATAGACATGGAAAGCAGAACGTCCCTGGTCATCAAAAGATTGATTCCCTGTGTACTTTACTTTTACCAGTTTTGCAAGAAATACTTGACATCCGATACAGTACTCAAAATATCTAAGTACAGAACAAGGTCAAGCGACATGATATATCAATTTTCAGCTGTTGAAACACAGGGTCCAAATGAAATCAAGAAATAAATAAGAAATGCTCTTTCATTTCAGTCCCACTCAAAAGATACTGAATCATTGCATGTAAATTATTTCAATGCCTTTCCAGATTCGTGCCTAAGATCACCGTTCCTTATTTGAGAGATTTTGAATTCCTTGCACTATTGTGAAAGTCGAATTGTCCCATTCCGTTCAGTATTTAAAAAGATATGATGAACATTCCACATTCTCCATAGACGATAAGATCAAACGTTATCCCAAACGGCCAAAGTTCACTTTGATCAAATCGACTAACAATATGGTCGTTTTGGCGCTTATTGACATGTGATTTTCCACTAAAATCTTTTGATGAGCCTCTTTTTAAATCTAATTGAATCCAAACTGGGCGAGTACCCACCGTTAATATTTTAATCACATCAAAGATTAAAGTTTCATTGGAGACTATGTTAACATTTTATTTCTATATTTTGTAGTGGACAGCTGAATCAGATATGAGAGATACATGTTTTATTTGTAGCAGAAACAGTTATGATTTCGAACATCATGGAAAGGTAAAGATATTTAGCACACTTTCAATTGGAAACATTAATTACACACAGTCTTATAAAATGCCAAATCTATCTTCATATTTAAATTCATTTTACCTTTAACACCATTGATAATATAGTTTTCCTGACCTTTTTAGGGTTTTGATCATCATGTACGGCATGAACATAATATGTGGGCGTATATATTTTGCTTTATTCACCTGAATGGTACAAAGGTCAATGATTATACAGCTTTAGAAATGTATGTTTATAAACTGGTAAGTTGACTAATATTATAAAGTTATTTGCACCAATCTTTCTCTCCATTTATACGGTTGATACTTTTATAGTACCCTTAAGGACACCATTCACCATTTTATTACACCATTGGGTAATGAAAAGATTATGCTATAGGATGGGCATTTTGTGAAATGGAAAGCCGCTTAATTGAAGGCAAATTATATTAATGTCCAGTGTAAATCCATATGATGGTGTCACTGACTGGGGGATCACGTGGCTAAGTGGGTAAGACACTGGCTCGCTAGCCTGGAGGTCGGGTGTTTGATCCCTGCATTGGCCGAGAAAGTTCATCCAGATTTTCCGGCGTGGTTCCCCCTTGTCAGTGATGCAGGACGGAGGGCCTGACAAGGGCAGCTGTCTAGTCCTTCGGATGATATGGAAAACCGAGGTCCCGTGTATAGATTGGAATGCACGTAAAAGATCCCTTGGCTGTTGGAATTCGATATAAGAGTAGGCGACAGTGCTGCTGCCCGGGCAAAATTTACCTCATAGCACACTGTATGGCGTATGCCCGTCTTCATTAGCCCAGCATAGGAGCAGAACAGTAGGACGTTAAACCCCATTTCATTTCATTTCATTTCATTTCATTTGTGTCACTGACTTCCCCAGTTAGAACATTTCAGAGTGACGGACGCTATGTCAGTCACTCTGAAATGTTCTAACTGGGGGAAGTGCACATACCAAAAACTTTCACCATTTATAATTACACTGATGTGAAGTATGTTGTCAGTAAATATTTCAAACTATTTACAATTACAGCTTCAAAAAGAAAATTTTGATTTTTTTCCACTGGACAGAGCGTTATCTCTGTCAGCAATGGGTAAAGATTCAACCGAGTCTAAACTAGATGATCTCTTATATCAAGTTACAACAATAGTAGAAAAACAAAGAGTAGAGGTATAACTTTACATTACCATAATACACCATTTTTATACCCCACATTATATTGTGTGCATATTATGTCATCGCTCTGTCTGTCCGTCAACATTTCTGAACGCAATAGAAGATACAGTTTTTAAAATATTTTTTATACCCCACATTTTCAGGTGGATGTATTATGCTGTGTCGCCGCTGTCCTTCCGGCTACAATTTGTTTGTGGACACTCTACATCCACTACAGGTCACAATTTTTATCTGATTTTCATGAAACTTGAAATATAGGTCTATCTCCCAAAGATCTCGGTTCCTTTGGATATTGGCATGTATTGGACCATAACTTTGTGAATTATGGACCCTGATTGTACGAAAAATCATGATTTTAGCTTGTGGACACTGTAGAGGTCACAATTCTCATGATATTCGCACATATTGGATCGCACATTCCTGATTTATGGCCCCTGAGTCTACGAAAAATCGCGTTTTTCGCTTGTTGTCACTAAAGAGGTCACAATTATTATACTATTTAAAAAAACGTTCAAATATATCACTGTTACACCATAAGGTCAGTTGAGTTCAAATTGCGTGAAAATTGGGCTAAAACTGCCGGACAAAATGGCCACCCCTCATACGAATATAGGGTAAACATCTGATATATCAAGGTTCCGGACAAAATGGCCACCCCTTGTAGGGAAATTGTGTAAAAATATGGTATATCAAGGTTTATAACCCAAAGATCTTGGTTCTTTTCGATATTCACATTTTTAGCTATTTGTCCACCTAGAGGTCACAATTTTTATCCGATTTAAAAAACCGTTTAAATATATCAACGCTACACCTGAATGTAGGTTGAGTTCAAATTTCGAGAAAATCGGACCAAAACTGCTGGACAAAATGTCCGCCCCTCGTATGCAAATTATGTAAAAATATGGTACAACATGGTTGTGGACCCTCTAAAGGTCACAAATTTCATTCGATGGAACTGGAAATACATGTTTATAACCTAAAGGTCATGGTTCCTTTCAATATTCGCCCATATCGGAACATAACTTCATGAATTAAACAGTCATTATATATAATTTTCAAAAGTTAAATTAAGACAGCCGACATAATCCATAGCTTAACACAACAGATGACAATTATTATTATCAGTTCCTTTTCACCTATTAGTATGTAATTTCCCCATTTCAGAAATAAACATCCATTATTTAATCAGAGTTTGGGAGCACCCATGACAAATATTTCACTAAATGGACATCTGAACTGGCCCCTGATTGTATGAAAAATCGCGTTTTTAGCTTGTGGTTCCACTGTGGTCGCAATTTTTATCCGATTTAAAAAAAAACATTTGAATATATCACTGTTACACTGTAATGTTCAGTGAAAATCGGACTGAAACTGCCGAACAAAATCAACGCTCCTTGTACACAAATAGTGTAAAAAGTATGTTATACCAAGGTTGTGGACCCTCTAGAAGTCACAATTTTAATCCGATTTTGATGAAACTTGAAACGTATGTTTATAACCCAAAGATCTTGGTTCCTTTTGATATTCTATAACTTCCTGGGTTATAGTCCCTGATTCTACAAAAAATCGCGTTTTTAGCTTGTGGTCCCTCTAGAGGTCACAGTTTTTATCCAATTTAAAAAAAACGTTTGAAAAAATCACCGTTAAAGTAACGTTTTTCAGTTCAAATTTAGTGAAAATTGGACCAAAACTGCTGGACAAAATGGACCCTCCTTGTATACAAATAGTGTAAAAGTATTTAATATCAAGGTTGTGGAACCTCTAAAAGTCACAATTTTTCCCTGTCGCCTGTCCAACCTCGTGGGTTTTCTCCGGGTCCTCCGGTTTCCTCCGACTGCTAAAGAACCCTAAGCGCAAGCGAATTATTGAAATAAAATTAATCCATATGTTAGTCCCGAAATGACCTAGTTTGTGTTGAGTGGATGTTAAACCCCATTCCTCTCTCTCACAATTTTTATACAATTTTGATGAAACTTGAAATAACTTATAACCCAAAGAAATTGGTTGCTTTGATATTCGGGCCTATCAGACTGTAACTTCCTGGATTATGGTCCTAATTGATTGTAAGAAAAATCATGTTTTTTAGCTTGTGGATTCTCTAGAGGTCACAATTTTTATCCAATTTAAAAAAACATTTGAAAAAATCAGGGTTACCCTGTAATGTCGGTTCAGTTTAAATTTAGTGAAAATTGGACCAAAACTGCTGGACAAAATGGACGCTCCTTGTATACAAATAGTGTAAAAGTATTTAATACCAAGGTTGTGGACCCTCTAGAGGTCACAATTTTTATCCGATTTTGATGAAACTTGAAATATATCTTTATATCCCAAAGATCTCAGTCCCTTTCTGGATTATGGCCCCTGATTGTACGAAAAATTGCTTTTGTTTTTAGCTTGTGCTCTATCCATCTCTTGTAAAATGTGGCGTATCTTGCCTGGCAACTGCTGGTTTCAAATTTGATGGGAAGAATTGGGGTCATTAGAGGATGAACACTATTGATAGTTTGCTTTCTGTGAATATCCATGTTTTCCGTTTGGATAAGATGCAGTTGAGACAAAGCTACCTGGCTATATTTTAAAAAATAACAAAATTGACAATTCTGATGTACAGGTAACAATGATTTTGTGCAGTTATTACATTAAAACTTAGGATATGACATTTCCGAATGTTGGTTAAATTCCTATTAACAATGTGGCATTAAACGGAAGTCATCTAGAAATAGACGATTGCTCAATTACTGTTAATGGTATGGTCTTATCTACAGATCTATCTTGATTACCATAGGATTTTTATTCACCATTTATGAATTGCATGAGAAATGTGAAAAAAAGATATATTTGGAATTTATTGGTTTTGACATGTTCTTGTGTAATTTGTTTTTCTAGGAGCTAGAGAAGAAACGGCGCGAAGAACGTATGCGTCAAAAGATATGGGAACAGAAACATCGTTTAGGATCATTCAGGCGTCGTGCACGTCTGCCTGGTCCAACTGAACCAGATCCTTTGATGCAGCTTCAGGGAGCATCGGGTCAATTAGATGACACTAATCGATTATTACAGCTCAGTCCCTTGGCCCAACTAGCTCAGCTTGGGCAACAAGTGGCTCGTCGTGCTAGCCAATCAGCAGAACATAGAGACATTGGTTCCACATTGAGACAACACAGTATCTCATCTCAACATGGAAGACATCCACGAGGTGGTGGTGGTGGTGGGAGTCCACTTCGACATGATTCCATCGATCAAAGATATTTCCGTGGTGCAAGTCCCTCGCGTTATGATGAAGAACCTTTTCCTCGTAATCTAAGTCCAGTTCGTTATGAAGATAGAACACGAAGTCCATCAAGATCTCGACACGGAAGTGAACCCGACTTAATGGGGCTTAGTCCTGTACATACAAGACGTGAACCATCTAGAGATTATGGAATGTTGAGTCCCAAATGGGTTGAAAGTCGGGCAGCTAGTCCCCGAGGAGCATCGATTTTCTTCCCGGATTCTGACTCTTTGTCCGTTCATAGTTTAAGAGATGGTCAGCCTATGGGTCAATTGCCTCTTCCTGATCCATATTTGGACTCACTGGATACAACATCTTTTATTTTGGATCAAGAAGCACAGCGTCGAGAACGAGATAGAGATACAGATGGTGACAGTGGTAATAGCGGTGACTTCACACGTCTTGAAACTAGACTTTAATATGTACTATGTATATATGCTGTAAATTATTGCTGATGCATTTTAACTGCTGTTGTTTTATTAATGTTTGACTAAAAAAAAAAACACTCAAGGTAAAAATAATGTGTTTAATGTGTAGTGTCTAGTCCTGAATAGCATTTAATATTTAAAATAGAAGTTGTTAAAGGAGTAGAAGTAACATATTTGTATAGGTCCTCGATGATATAGTTGTCCTCGATGATATAGTTGTCCCAAGATTCAATACTTCGAAAAGATTCCCAATTTAGATTTACTTACGGGTAAGCAAAGCAAGCGTTTAAATAAGATGTTTGCAATGTAAGTGGTATGTGATAAGCCTAGTGGGCTTTGCGTCATTATACCTTTCTATTCTAAGTAAAGTTCAGTATGTATTTTGCTTAAATCAATATGATTAAAACTAAATAAAATATTACTATAGACATTTCTTAATCTTAGGGTGGTACCCCGACTAGCTAAATCTCTATAGTCAAATATGGGTTTGTCCCTATTGTTGCAGTAATCTTTTAGCAGATTGTGAATATAAATACTTAAAATTTAGGTTATCAGAAGTCATAGCAGAAATGGACATTCCACCTTATTAAGTAGTATTTGTCTTATTATAAAAAAACTAAACAATGTAATTGTATATATTTGTATATGTAGGAATTATTTGTATATGGTTGTGAATTTGTAGACTATATACATACCAGCTTGTATACATGCCACTAAAAGAAAGGTAGAATTTCATTTGTATTTTATAGAATACCTTGTTGTGACCAGAAATGATTTTAGAATTAATACTAGCTACCCCTTTTTAAGCTGAATTTCTCTGTATTCACAGTGCACATTATTTGCCAAGATCAATGCAAAATCCATTCCTCTGTTTGCTGTTAAATGGGATCAGCCAGTAAAATGGAAGATGTTCTATCCTTTCTCTTCTATTTTACTGTCAACTAGAACATTCCATTTCTGCATTTTAAAATAAAAAATCCCAACCTTTGAAAGTGGCAGCTTATAAAAGTGGTTTGAAGTCTTAATGTAGTTGTGGTATTACTGTAATATCCCAACAATACTTATACCTTGACAATTTGTTTCCTTATGTGATATACATGAACATTTTGAAATTGTGTTGGTTTGGAAACCAAAGAAGTTCTAGGCCCTATCATGTTAACAATTAATTGTTTATTTCTTGAATGTTCAGTGGCTTATTTCCATGTCTTATTTCCATGTCCGACAAATAAATGTATCGGCTTTGTAATGGAACCAATATTGCCATATTTATTAAACTAAAAATCTCAAATAATTTAGTTAAGTTTGAGTAATTCTTAAATTCTAAAACGAAGTGTTCAATTTGTCTGAGTCCCAGCATTGCAAAATTTACCATTTTATATCACTATGCTTCACTGAAAACACAACTTTAATGGAGGGGACTGTGTGGTGACATTGTTGCTGTCTTGCTTTATATTTATAATCAAGTCTCTGTTATATTATTTACCATTGCCAAAAGACATTATTGGCCCCCTCCCCTTTGTGGCAGCATGTACATTGGTTAAATATTATATCATTTTCCACACATTAATTATTATCATTTTAAGTCTTTATTTTCTTTTAACAGTTTTAAAGTAGTAAGTATGTATTTCTATAATGTTGAATCATAGCCCATTCATGATTTTCGTATATTTCCATGAATTAGGTCAAAATTTGTGAGGCCTAATCATATATGTTGTTGTAATATTTATTTTAGATTAGTTGTTGTTTATTATAGAGTTTATTGTAGTGTTTGTTAGTGATCATTGTAGTGTTATATTTATTATGGTTGTTATTTATATTATTTATATGGATGTGTGTATGGTCATTGTTGTTATTATTATTATGTTAAATATCACTGTATATACACCATTTATGAGAAAGTATAATAGAACAAATTTTATTAATATCTAATTATTATTAAAATGTTATTGTTATTATTTGTTTCTGATACTATTATAAAATATGTTGCGATCATTATTTAGATTATGCATACAAAGTGGTGATATCTTTAATCCATTCACATGGTACATCTAGATCATATCTTTCACAAAATAAAGCATTTTATCTTAACCAGATGCCCTCAGTAGGAAGACTAGACCCACCTCTACATGAAATGGGGTTATAACTTCCTACCTTTCTGCACCACAAGGGCATGATAATGGACCATGCTGTGTACTATGATGGAAATTTTGCCCAGACAGTGGAGTTTCAGTCTACTTTTCCAGGGTTATTTTATGTGCACACGATGCACATGAAAGGCATCTCGGTTGTTGGCCCGATCCTTGTTAGTGGGCCAGCACCTTACTCACTTAGTCACTGTGGCTGCCCATATGTAGACCTAAGACGAAAAACCACCAATATTTTGGTCTGGGAAAAAAATTAGAATTACACAAATTGGCAATTAATAATCAGTTAAGTTTTTGGTGAATGATACAGATGAATAAATATTGAAAAATTAAGAATGTTGTGGTTAAATTCATTCATTAAATATTAAAGTATATTACTATAAAGATGTGCACTTATTATCAATGTACATGTATACTGACACTTTTATATTGAATAAAATCTTACATTATGCACAAACTATATTCGCTTTTCATAATTTTGTGTGGGTAAATGCATAATTAAAATGACCTAACTTAAGTAACGATTCAGGGATGGGGTTTTCTTCCCAGTTTTTTGTATTTATTTTTTTTTATTTATTTACTTTTCAAGTAAAGGTTAGGCCTAAAACATGACAACAAACAATATAGATATGAATATGAAATAAGAACTATGTGCTGCATTGTATGATTGAGAAAGTGACATGAGATGAGAATAGAGAAATATGGCAAATATGGTGTCATGAAAAGACCTTCACTTAGGATAGCCCATAAAGCCTGATATACATGTATATAAAATTACATGTTGATTATTTCCAATGTGGTCCAAAGATGTCATGGTTGGGTCAGGTCATCATTAGGAGACAAAACCTAATAAATATGCCATCCCCGCAATGTTACACAAATAATTAAATATATTTATGTCTACATGTTATACATCAACCAATTTTATTAATGGTAGATAAACAAGCATGTAGGCCTATCACAGATTAATATTGTGCTGACAATAAATACTTCTTGACTGCTGCTTTAAAGCTGTATGGTGAATCAAAGTCTTAATATCATTCCAGATATTTATGGCTATATAATAAAATGATGTAGGGTGTGGTGAATTTTGACGGCTCAAAAACAAAATGTTTTGTCACCATATTTCACTTGTGTGTCTGGAATCATGCCTTTGCTTTGTCTACACTAAACTGTGATTTGAAATACAAATATATGATGGATAATTACTGATCAAATTTAATTCAATCCATGAATTACTAGCATAACGAATGGTTTAAATGTGTCATAGCATTCCCCTTTCTTTACAATATTATAGGCCTACAACTTATTGTGGCAGAAATTGTTCTTGTTTGAAGGTCTGGAAAATCTGACCGATACTTGATGGAAAAAGATACTTGATGGAAAAAGATACTTGATGGAAAAAGACGAGAATTAACACAAGAATGCTGAAGAATGGCAATGTGAATATACATTATTGAGTTACCGCTTGGGGTATATATGAAGCTTGGGGTATATATGAACGGGGCATATATAAACGGGGGAGGTGTGGGTGGGGGGGGGGCACTTGTTCACACTCTTTTGTGTGGTTGCCAGCCAGCATTTAATACCATTTTGGCTCTATTTGCAAAAATCTCAAAAGGTTGTAATACACCTAATAAGGTTCAAAATTGTACACCCAGACTGCATGAATGAGGGTATGCTCCATATTTTTCAAGAAGCCACTATTTATTGGGTTGGATTAAAATTCAAAGACTTCAATAACCAGTTGTTTTTAATTACAGCCATGGAGTGTCAAAAAGCTCTAATAACCATAATGTAAAAAGAAGAAAATTTTTGTATATTTTATTATACAGTTGAATAATATACAAGAGATAAATACAGTATATTTTGTAATATATATGAGCTTACTATTTTACAAACTTAGATCATGCCAGACTTCATAGACCTCTCTTAAAATACAAACTGTTAACTTAAACAGTCATTATATATAATATACAAAAGTTAAATTAAGACAGCCGACATAATCCATAGCTTAACACAACAGATGACAATTATTATTATCAGTTCCTTTTCACCTATTAGTATGTAATTTCCTCATTTCAGAAATAAACATCCATTATTTAATCAGAGTTTGGGAGCACCCATGACAAATATTTCACTAAATGGACATTTGAACTGGCCTAGAATATTTTTTTAGTGCAAAATAGTATATAATTGCATTTTTAAACCAAGACCTTGGTGATACCTATAGGCAATACATACAATTATCAATCATTAATTAGTTTTGTTTTAGCCATGCCTTGGGTATTTTTTTGAAACTTAGTCCACCAACAATTTGTAGGTTGCTGATTTGTTGCGGATTAGGCCCCAGTAAAATAATCAATTACTCTTTAATTAAATATTTAGAAGACAATGAAACTTAGGATTCTGAAAATGGGTATACCTCAAAAGAATGCAACACCTTAAATCAATGAAATATTATATTTATTCCCAAAAAAGTTTATTTTGAAATGTTAATCATTTATCAAATGAAAAAAAATAATTATTTTAGAAATAGGTCCTAATGTTCTAAATTGTCAATTCTTTGTTAATCATACATGTACTATGTAAGTTATAACATTCTGAAAGTATATATCAACTATTTACATTCAATTCTCTGGACTGGTGACAAGTTTATTCTGAGTATTAAAATATTTATTTGACTAACAGTAATAAACCATCAGTTGAGATCCTATCCATAAATCCAGATCCTACATGTAAATACCTATCCATCAACCAAAAAATGTATTCTAACAGTCAGGAAAATATATTTCTTATCAAAAACTTGTTATTTATCCAGACATTTTAAACAAAGTTCTTATAATCTAAATTTTAATCCATGATGTATTATACAAGAATGGATGAGCCTTAGCTTTACTATGGAACCTATCTTGGTTATTAGAAATATACTATTTATGCTAGAAGGAACATATCTCTATGCTTAAAATTTCTATTCGATAAAATAAGTTTAGATGACTTAATTCTTGATTGAAGAGATCTTTAAAATTTAGGTGACTACCCAATTAAAATATGTTCGCATGACTTTATTCAAGAATCTATTTGACAGTTTCAGAAAATACAGATTGCAAGGCAATGATACATATCAGCAACCAAATTGTCTGGGCAGTCCACAAAAGGTGTCACATTACAAAATGAAGAAGAGGTATAAGTCTAGAAATAATCAATGGATATTGTTGAACCAATACTCCTTTTTTTCACTAATTTAAAAAAATGCATTTAAATTTCAAACAGACTCACAACATTCTATAAAGTGAACAAGGGTAGTAGTTAGTAACTCTGGAGTAAACTTCTTTCATCACTTATTTAAATAATGCAATAATGCCTATAAATTTAAACATATAATGATGTATTCTAAGATTTTACAAGTGATCATGGACAATAACTCTGGAAGTTATTACTAGAAATTGCTGAAAGGCTTCATCACACTCATGTAAACAGCATGTGTAAAATTATATTTTGAGTGTTCAAAAGAAATGGGAAAACTGAATGACAGGCAGGGGCAACATCAACATCAACCACATTTTAATGTGACTATATAAAAAGTTAAATTATAAAAGTTCAGATTTATATAGTTAAAATCAAGTAAACACAAAAGTTGTTTGATAATCCTATGACTTAACCTTTTAAGCAATGACTTGTACTTTCATTCAAGTTAGCGCATAGATCTATTCTCACCGACATCAACCTCAGTTTGAATTTTCCAACACTACTTATGCTTAATTTATATTTAAGTAATGTTTAAAACATTTTAAATATTGTAAAGGTTAACATCTTGATTATAATACATTTCTGATAGTATTTATATTTCAAATTGTGTTTTTGTGTTCAACCTATAATTGCATTGCTCCACAACAAATATGGCTAACACTGTTAGATAAAACAAATATCACTGTTATAAATAAGCATCCAGGGTTTATTTATAATTAATATTAGAGAAAAATAATTTACAAAATTCAACAACAAATGACAAGCATTTATACAAGAATGGCTATGATGTAACGGGGCAGCAAAGTTCTGTAGCAAAAAAATAAATCTCCCTCATGTCTTGAAAAACATCCCACAATAGCACTTTGTAAACTGAACATCCTTAAAACCACTTGGATAGTTGATAATTAACTGTATTATGTTCATAAGTATACAACTTGACTAGCTTCCTTCTCTTAATGGCAGTTCATCTACCGACTTGAGCTCATACCAGGTCTCTGTATTGGATTGTACAAACAATGTAATACCAGTTTCATATACAGCTGGTATAGAAATATGTGATGTTAATTGTGTTCTATAACCAGGATTATTGGCCAGACCTGCTTCTCGCAATACATTCACTACTTGACCTACAATACACAAATACATCAGATATTATTTAGAGCAGGGTTCTTAATCCATTTTCAAACGAACCAGCCAGCATTAGGTCAAATGAGCCCCCGGTAAACACTATTTAAAACTAAACTAGCTTGCTGGTTTATTGACCTAATTCCAACAAATGTCATGTGTCATCAGGGATTCGGCACTGGAGATTCATAATATATTATTAATGACTGTTTCTCGGTATATTCGGTGTTCTGTCTGAGGATTATATTCAACTGGTCATTAAAACCATTAAATTATGATCCAGTTATTATTTTAGTATCGATCAGTACACCTGAAATTCATACAGAGCTTCAAAGGCGCGCGATAGATGCACAATCCATGCCGAGATTGTCCTCCTTCGATTGCCACGTGGCTTAATTCCTCAAAGGTAACTAACATAACGCTTGTTGTTTTTTTTTTTACCGGATTATCAAAATTACCATTATTCGTGCTAATTACTCGGTCAGATTATGAACCACATGCCGATTCTCACCAAGGTTTGACTGTTGATTGACTTCTTAATTAACAAATAATAATTAACCTGTTGTAATTTAGCCGAAAGTAGATTGATTTATGAACCATAGTGGCCGGTTCGTTGTTTTACCAATCGGCTTCTTGAACTTCAAGCGGCTAAAGCCGACAAAAAACAACCGATTAAGATCCTTGTATTAGAGAGATATACAATTATCACTTGTACAACTGACAGATGGCAACTATATGGACCAATGCCATCAGGACAATTACCGCACATACAACTATCACTTAGATCATTTCAACCAGTCAACTGCCACAAGGACATTTATAGACCTGACAGCTACAGAAAACATGGACTAGGAAAACAGTAATATAAGATAACAGCTACCAGGACATACAAATAACGCCCTGAAAACTGCTGCTATGATATAGCACCCAAACCATGTCTGCTAAGTGAACTGCTGTTCAGACAATAAGTTAAAATAAGTCTGTTGAACAGTCAACCAATGTATTCTCTTGTTTTGATGTTCATACATGTAGGCCCCATTAAGAATCAGTCAAGACATTCACCTAATGAACATCAACACCAAGTTTGAACACTTAACCTCAATTAGAAACTGAGTGTCCGATAACATTTAAATAATATCCTACTTTCTTCAAAGGTTGAGGCACACTTTGACAATACAAACTACTTCGGACAACACATTAGTTTGTATTCTTAATTATCAAACCTCACCCTAAATAAAATCTTAAGAGAGAACAAGAACCACTACAACACAGGTATCATGTGGTTGTGCTGTTATAGCAGGAGTTTCTGTATTTAATGTTTAGTTTCAAACCATTGTAGGCAGATTGTTCAAATTCATTGAGAATCATAAAAACATGATACCTGCATTGTAGTGAACTGTTCTACAGTTTTATTCAATTGATCAATTTTCACAGTTCTATAGAATAGATCAATCAATCTCAAAATATTCTGGAAAACCATAAACTGTACAAATAGACCAGAGGCTCAGTGCGCGGGGAAGTCCATAAAATGGGCACAAAAAGCAGACAACTTTTCTATAGTAAAATTTTGCGTAGAATATGATGCCGAGTGGTAATCAGTCCGCGTTTTCGAGATATTTGGGGTCAAAGGTCAAATGAGGTCATTTGCACTGAAAGTGAGTGGCAGTCATTCCATTCTTGAATCATGAAAATATGCTGAAAATGATCGAAAGTAATCACCCTTTCAATAAAAATGTAAACTTGCTAAATTTCAGTGCAAATGAACTCATTTGACCGTCAACCCCAAATACCTCGAAAACACCCCAACGGTAAACTGATTACCACCCAGCTTCGTATTCTACGCAAAAGTTGGGTCTGGTTTTGTGCCCATTTGATTGACACCCCTCTGCACTGAGAGAGAGAGAGAGAAATGGGGTTTAACGTCCACTCGACACAAACAAGGTCATTTCGGGACTAACACATGGTTCAATTTTATTTCAATAATTCGCTTGCGCGTAGGGGTCTTTAGCAGTGGGAGGAAACCGGAGGACCCGGAGAAAACCCATGAGGTTGGACAGGCGACCCAACTCCTTGTCACGTACAACCGGGGAATCGAAACCCCGCCAGTTGACTCAATGACAGACCGTATGATACAGCGCAGCGCGCACATGCTAACCATTCGGCCATCCAACCCCCCCCTATGCACTGAGCCTCCAGACTGAAAATACTTGAACATTTACCTAAAACATTCATTGTACACCATCTTTCATCTGACTGTGTAAGTAACTGTCGTAAATCTATATCTGAATCTTCATGAAATCGTTGTACAATATCTTGTCTACTGATTAGTAGAACAGAATCACTGGTTAACTGTTCCATAATGATCTCCTCTCTTACTTTCTCTTGTGGATTAGTTAAATATATATCTATAATAAAACATCAAAATTTAAACAATTGTAGGGTCGGTCGATCAACAACATGTTAAATAGAAGGGTTATTTAGAATGGCCAACTTTATACCTGTAATTGCTAAGAAACCTGCATTTAAATAAGTAGGAGGCCTATCATTATTCTAGGTTATTGGGCAACTTCAAACAGATATAGCTCAGTCAATTTTTGCCTGATTCATACCAACCATGCATTTTGAAGGTATCGAGGCAGAGAACGTGAAAATAACAACTTAATTTTCAAAATTTCCTCATTGCGACTCATTTGCCAGCAAGGGTCACATATGTATTCTAAAATATATATATATATATATCCAGAAATATTAGCACAACCGTAAAGCTGCACTACTTTGTTTCAAGGTAAACGATGAAAAGATAAAAGGTATGCCGACACAAACTGATTTCAACACTGGTTTAATAACATTTTAACATTTTAAAGTACTTTTCGTCCGTCTTGGGACTATTCATAAATAATGTCATTGTATAAAGATGGACAGTATATTAACACTGTGGTTTTAATTGGCTTATAGTTAAATTATATATATATATATATATATATATATATATATATATATATTTGAAAATCATATTGTATATGCTGACATCAGACACAAGCGTTGTATAAGAATGAGAACCTACAGTAATGCTGTATACAGATTAGAGTCCAGTAGGAAATGGAATAAAGGACAGGAAAGTCTCTCATTATGTATACATAATTTGCCAAAAATGCACTATATACACACACAAGCCTCTAATTTTGGTTGTTTCTGTTGAAATCTATGCAAACACAGCTTATTCAATTGCCACATTTAAAAGACTGGGAGAATTCAATTCTAGAACATTCAATCTAGTATCCACATAATTAATAAATACCTTTAGAACTAACACCATAAACCATTTGATGATGCCAAGCATCTGGTATAGGCTGATTGTTACCAACACCTCTCTGTAGATTTAATGTTGCTAATGGTACTGCTCCTGTAAATGTTGAAGAGAAACAAAATAAAAAAATAATTAACATGTAAAACACTGACAGTACCTATTGACTAAACATATGATGTCATGGTTATAACACATTAAGAAGAGTCATTCCACGAGAAAACCATGCAATATCAGGCATATTGTTATTCAAATGGTCAGTTTATCAAATCCGACTCCCCTTCAATCCGCTTTGCCAAAATATTCAGTCTCGGTGTGGTTTGGTATCCAGTCTACAAATCCAAGATGGTGTCTCCCAGTAATTATGGATTTTCGCAAATTCTCGATCTAAAATGTTGATCCTGATTATTTCAACATTTTTTTCAATGAAAAACGAGAAATTTCAATTCAAAATATTGAAAAACAGACGAGTTAGAGCAGATGAACGTCAACAATTATGCAAAACAGACCCAATTTCCATGAAAATCGCCTATTTGGCCTTGACCGTGACCATCAATCAAGAGGTCATCAGGGATACAATTTGAAGTTCACACATTGCTCTATCGACAAACCATATCTCATTCGAAAATATTAAAAAACAAATGAGTTAGAGTTGGGATTTCAAAAATGTTCTTGTCGGACATTTTACCGAAAATAAAGGGGTATAACTCTTTATCGTGTCAACAAAATATTCAAATCACGTACGTAATAAAAATAGGTTCACCTTGGTATTTTTGATATTTAATTCCCCCTGTCTTCATTAGCCCAGTCAGAGCAGAACAGTAGGACGTTAAACTCCATTTCATTCCATTCATTCTATTTAATTCCCATATGGTTTCAAATTTATGTTATTAATATTCGTACAAAATTACGTGTTTTCGATATACATTGATTGAATGAAAGCTTGCCGATCCTGCTTCGGCTTCAAATTCACAACAGCTATATTCCTTCAAAATTACATGTCATCGTTTATACGACATCAAATGAATGCAGAACTTCCGAAATAAGAATAGTTTGTGATGTCAAAACATCATTTTCTTCTTTATAAAATGTCAACAAAATATTCAAATCCGCAAGTAATAAAAATAGGAACACCTCGCCCCTGTCCACCTCTTTCGTCCACAATTTGTTTATGGGCACTCTACAGGTCACAATTTTTATCCATTTTCAACAAAACTTGAAATATAGGTTTATGTCCCTAAGATCTCGGTTCCTTTTGATATTGGCATGTATCGGACCGTAACTTCATGGACTATGGCCCCTGAATTTACGAAAAATCATGTTATTAGTTTGTAGACACTGGAGGTCACAATTTTTATCCGATTTTGATGAAACTTAAAAGGTATATTTATAACCCAAAGATCTCAGTTCATTTCGATATTCTCTCATATCGGATCTTAATTTCCTGGATTATGACTCAGCATTGTACGAAAAATCATGTTTTTAGCTTGTGGACACTCTAGAGGTCACAATTTTGATCAGATTTTGATGAAACTTGAAATGCATGTTTATAACCCAAATATCTTGTTTCCTTTCGATATTCGCCCATATCGGATTGTAACTTCTTGAATTAAGGCCCCTGATTGTACGAAAATAGTGTTTTTAGCCTGTGGTCCCTCTAGAGTTCACAATTTTTATCCGATTTAAAAAAACGTATGAATATATCACTGTTACACCCTTATGATGGCCGAGTCCGAATTTCGTACAAATCGGACCAAAACTGCCGGACAAAATGACTGCCGGTCATACGCAAAAATTGTAAATATATGGTATATCAAGGTCTTGGAACCTCTAGAGAGTGGACACAATTTTGATCCGATTTTAATAAAACTTGAAATACATGTTTATAACCCAAAGATCTTGGTTCTGTTCAATATTCATGCATATCGGATCATAGCTTCCTGAATTATGGCCCTTGATTGTACGAAAAATCACTTCTTTTTTTGAGCTTGTTCTCTGCCAATCTCTTGCAACATGTGGGCGTATCTTGCATGGCAACCACTTGTTTAAAAATGTGATACGCCGGGAGGGAGTTTTTTTTATTTTGGTGTTTTATTTCGTCAAAGGATCATGTGGCGCAATGAAATATATATCACAGCATTGTACAAAAAGTCGCGTTTTTAGCTTGTATCCCCTTTAGGTCACAATTTTTATTCGATTTTAAAAAAACGTTTTAATATATCACCGTTACACGCTAATGATGGCGGAGTTCGAATTTCGTGAAAATCGGACCGAAACTGCCAGACAACTTGGCTGCTCCGATTTTACGAAAAATTGTGTTTTTAGCTTGAAGTTCCTCTAGAGGTCACAATTTTTACCCGATATAAAAACGTTTTAATATATCACCCTTACGCCCTAATGATGTCTAAGTTCGAATTTCGTGAAAATTGGACCTTAACTGTTGGATAAAATGGCTGCTTCTCGTACGCAAATAGTGTAAAAGTATGTAATTCCAAGATTGTGGACACTCTAGAAACACAATTTTTATCCAATTTTGATGAAATTTAAAATGTATATTTATATCCCAAAGTATCAGTAGAGAGAGAGAGAGAGAGAGAGAGAGAGAGAGAGAGAGATGGGGTTTAACCTCCACTCGACACAAACTAGGTCATTTCGGGACTAACACATGGTTCAATTTTATTTCAATAATTCGCATCTGCGTAGGGGTCTTTAGCAGTGGGAGGAAACCGGAGGACACAGAGAAAACCCACGAGGTTGGGCAGGCGATCCTACTCCTTTGTCACGTACAACCGGGGAATTGAAACCCCGCCAGTTGACTCAATGACAGACCATATGATACAGCGCGCGCGTGATAACCATTCGGCCATCCAAGCCCCCTTTATATCCCAAAGATCTCCGTTCCTTTCGATATTCGCGCATATCACACCGTAGCTTCCTGAATTATGACCCCTGAATATAAGAAAAATCTCTCTTAATGTCACAATTTTTATTTGACTTGATTAAACTTTTATATTATATACTTTTACATCCCAAAGATCTTGTTTCCTTTTGATATTGTCGCATGTCGGACTGTAACATATTGGATAGGGCCCCTGGTTGTACGAAAAATCGCTTTTTACTTAGCTTGTTCTCTGTCCATCTCTTGCAAAATGTGGGTGTATCTTGCATGCCACCCGCTTATTCATATCTAATTCCCGTATGGTATTCAAATTTATGTCAGTAATAGTCCTACAAAATTACGATAGAATGAAAATTTGCATATCCGTGCCGGTTTCAATCAAATTCACGCCAGTAATATTCCTCCAAATTTAAGAGTATTCGTTTATACGGCAGCAAATGAAAGAAAGGCATCCGAAATAAGAATTACTTGTGGTGATGTCAAATCATTTTCATAACATGGTATTTTAAAATTACATTGATAGTTAAATCACTTGCAAAAGGCATACATAACTTCAGCGTATGGTATATGTGACCGTTAACATATAACACATAACAGTAATTTCGTAGTAAGCACTGCCTTATACAGTAAGGGATTTTCGTGCGATAATCGAGATCGCGGAAAAGTGCCATTGTAGATGGGAATTTATATATGGTGTCTTAAAAGAAGTAGTTTCTTTACAGAAAATAAGTTAAAGGTTTAATAGCTAACAACAGACAGAGGTTTTGAAATTTATAATGACAATTAAGCAGGTAAACAACGTAGGTGTATAGACGGTATAATACGATAAATACGCTGATCACGTAATTACCTAATCAATCCAGCCTATTATCAACAATTATCGGGATGAGTGGTAGTTATACACTCAGTTTACTATATTAATTTTGAAATTCTGAATATTATTCATCATATCTAAGTGTACGATTGAGCATATTCCTGGCCGGACATCTGGAAAATAGTGTAGGACATGTCCGGAATATACGGGCGAAATCCCAACACTTAAACCGAAATTCAACGCGTAAAGTGACGAATTTCTTAACTTTCGACACAAATTTTCATGCTGTTGAAGGTTAGTTGACAATGATTTTATTTTTTATGTTGTTAGAACAGGTCAAGCTGAAAATTGGCGATTTTGGCTGGGGAGTAGGCTCGATGGGTCGACCAAACCCTGTAAATATGAACTCAGTCGGCCGACCCCCACCTTCGAACCTTCTGCATGGTTTCTCATGGAATGGCTCTTAAATTGATGGCAAATTATGCTTCATTAGAATAATGATATCTTACTTTCAAATAGAATTCAGAAGAAGTATTTTCTATTAAATTTACCTTTTTTCATCCAGTGACCTAACCATTTTACTAGATGTACATCTCTTGCAGGCCAGAATTTAAAAAACCTGCCTCTAAGTTTACCTCTAGTTAATGTTTCTACACCTTGTAATAGATCAGTAGCTTCAGTTCCTGAAAACATAAACTCACAATCAACAACTAGCTCAAGATATACATTCTGCTGTCCAGTTTTCCAGTGCAAAGAAGATATTTAGAAGATATGTGTGATTTAAACACTGAAACAAGTGTACATGTACAGCTGTTATCCATGTTGAAAAGGTCAAAAGAGTTTTCATTCGTAATCAAAATGGATATTTCTCAACATGTGTTTGTAAATTTGAATTTTTTAAAATAGACATTGTAGACTCAATTGTACAACTAGTGAGAATTAGTGAGTATGTAGGGTTGTAGATTTCATGACACCTTTCTTTGGCAATGCGTTTCTACCTTTCCATATAATATCTACTGATAGAACATGAAATTTGATAATCTCTCTTACGAACATGAACGAAATAGACATTCAGACATAATACTAATAGGCCTACAGGCATTTTAAATTTATTTTTGAAAGATTTGTGTTGTATTGTATATGGAATTTTATGATAGCACTAAGCATTCTATTCTTGCTAACAGCAAGATATTGAGATATAAATTCTAGTAAACCAAAAGATGAACAGACAAATTTAATACGAAACCCAATGTTACTTTTTAAAGTTGTTGTCACAACTTTAAATCTAATAAATATTACTTTAATTCAGACATGTTAATATTAATATATATTTTCAGGGCTTTCTTATTTCATAAATCAGCTACTGCTGACAAAGAATTATATCAGAGCTGCTGTAATCACTTTAGAAATTGTCATTTGCGGTTGAATTCACTGAAGTTGATCTTTTATTAGTAGAGCCTATTTCTAGCTGTGTCGGACACCCTACCATAGGTATTTGTTTGGTAATTCCTGCAATCAAAATTCCAGAATATTGTATGTGTAGGCATATTGCCAATATGACTTATTAGAAAATACATCATTCTTGCAGATCTGTTTTTCTCAAAAAAAAAATGTAAGCTTCTTAAAACGAGGCTATATTAAAACCGATCTAATTAGTCTAGTAAAACATAATAAAACTCTATGTAACCACAGTAATTGTAAAGCTTACTCACCTGCTACAGCTCTAGAGAATAAATAAAGTGGTATTGGTGCATCTTCCATTCTTAACTTAGCTCTTATAACACGACTTACTTCTTCCTTATCAATATTCATATCTAAGGCTTTCTGTAAAATAAATCATTTCAGATGATTTAGTATGATACCATAACTACACAGGATATGTTCCACAGGTAAATAAGACTAAGCTGTTCAAACATCCATGATCAGATTATTATAATTCTACACATGGTAAACTTTGTATTTAGATCTACATCACCAAAACTGTGTATTCCATTTTCCTACTTAATGTAAGACATGTTTGATTGCACATCTTTATTTGTGTCAAATTACAATTGATTCACAGACATATCGGCATGGCTCGAAATGTTCGCACTGACAGACGATTTTTCAGTCTGACAGGTAGCAAGTAAAACTATCTGTCACATGCGACAGGTGGGCTAAATTTTACTTAATGTTAATTAAATTGACTTCAGACTACAATATTTACGTATCATGTCGCCTATATTCAATTATTCCTTTTCCAAAATACTGCAAGAAGCCGCCATTTGCACTGTTTTCACAGAGCTATGTCGTTCAGTTACTCACAAGTTTTAGTCAAATCGCAGTCAATTTTATAACATCAGCTACGCTTGTTCTGACACTAGTTTATAGCATTATGAAGTATCCACACATATAAATCTAATTAAACTATTAACGAATCCTCCAAGTCATACTTAGTTGACCAAGGTCTACTAACACGGCAATAGCACCACTGTAAATATTGTGACTTGAGTAGAAATGCACACAGCTCATTGTTTTGTGAATTCAAAACTATGTCCAAAGATAGGTTGCCGGGCAATGAAACATACGCCCACAGCAGCTAAATCGTCTGGGCAGACAACAAGAGATGTCGCATATTTTTACTTTTTTGGGGTAATGAAACATTTATAATACACTAAAATCTGATTAAGAGTAACAACTCATTAAGTAATTATCAGAAAATCATTAGAATTTGTTTGATTTTTATAAAGTTCTGCCCCATGCTAATGTTTAGTATACGAAACATTTAATATCATGGAAGTTACGGTCAGATATGCGCGAATATTGAAAGGATCCAAGATCTTTGGGTTATAAACTTACATTTCAAGTTTCATCAAAATCAGAAGATAATTGAGCCCTCTAGAGGGTCCACAACCTTGATATACCATATTTTTACGCCATTTGAGAACGAGGGGCAGCCATTTTGTCTGTCAGTTTTGGTCTGATTTTCACGAAACTCAAACTCCATCATCCGTAGGGTGTAACAGTGATATACTAAAACGTTTTTTTAAATCGGATAAAAATTATGACCTCTATAAGGTCCACAAGCTAAAAACGTGATTTTTCGTACAATCAGGGGCCATAATTCAGGAAGTTATGGTAAAATATGCGCGAATATCGAAAGGAACCGAGATCTTTGGGTTATAAACTTACATTTCAAGTTTCATCAAGATCAGAAGAAAATTGTGGCCTCTAGAGTGTCCACAACCTTAATATACCATATTTTTACACTATTTGAGAACGAGGGGCGGCCATTTTGTCTGTCAGTTTTGTTCCAATTTTCACGAAATTCACCCTCAACCTTCCTTAGGGTATAACGGTGATATACTAAATCGTTTTTTTTAAATCAGATAAAAATTATGACCTCTATAGGGTTCACAAGCTAAAAACATGATTTTTCGTACAATCAGGGGCCATAATCCATGAAGTTACAGTCCGATACATGCCAATATCGAAAGGAACCGAGATTTTAGGGAGATAAACCTATATTTCAAGTTTCGTTGAAATCCGATAAAAATTGTGACCTGTACAGTGTCCACAAACAAATTGTGGACGGACAGGGGCGTATAAAAAAAGAACGATGTTCTTTCAACATGGGGCAATGGAGCTGTGACACCTATTCATTGACATAAATACATGTAAAATTAATCGGATGATAACATTAGCTTTTAGAGTGTCCAAAAGATTTTTCAGATTGATCAAGCAATTCAATTCAATCTGATGCTTCATGTAACTTAATCCTCTAGAACATTCACAGACGGGACGATAGGGATAATATACATGTACAACCACATTTCAATGTGGGCATATAAAAATATCTTACAAGAACATTGATAACAGCTGTTGGTCCACAAGCTGATAAACCTATTTGTTTGACTTGTTGAATATAGGCTTCATATTCACTCCATATCATAACCTTCTCTACATGACCTCTACTACTAGTACTACCACTACTTGTCTTTCTTTCTCTCTGGCGACTTAATGGTGGCTGAATCTGATAAAAAAAATCATGTACATTATAGAACTTGTTTTGAACAAAAAAATCAATGACTTTTTTAAATTTTACAAACATAGTAATTACATGTACAAAATTAAGGGTTGAAATTTTAATAATTCGCTTGAGAGCATGTCTTCGAGAAATTTGGAAACAATGGAAAACCATCTGACAACCCTCATTGTACGTCTTGTAAAGTATAAAGGTGGCATCGAAATTACAACCCCAGATAACTCCCACCCCAACCCTTCCCTTGTAACAGACCAATTGGTTTGAAAGCTCAGGTATGTATCTTTCTTAAAGGGACCGTCCTGATTTTAACAGAGTCTCAGAAATAAAAGTCTGTGTACATATGAAATTTAAACTCCAAAATATAGAGGAATGGTGTATTTTAATTTACCTTGTCTCAAAATTTAAGCGCAAAATATTAAGTCTCTTGGATGTGAATGTTAAAACAGCTTATCCGGACACATAAATTTTTTAAGATTTTGGGTCAATTTCTTCATTGGGTGACCTGGTAATCTATTGCCGTTCCTTTAGGGGTCTATACAGTGCATGACCCAGGTGCTGTACTTATAACGAAAGGCAAATTTCACCTACACGTTATTTTTATAAAATAAAACTCTGGTTTTATCCAGACACCATATAATACAGGTCTCCATTTCCAGATGAAGACTGACAGGTTTGAGTTGTTTGAAAACGTATCATGTATATTGAGTTAGTTGTTCAGTCCCAAGGTAGGGGATTTTAATGGCTTTTAACAGAGAATTAAGCAGTTTTATATAAAGAGCACATAAGGCCACCAGACAAAATTTTTTGTACGTATAGCCAGTGGTCACTGTATACACTTTACGGCAAGCTCATACCAATCTGATTTTAAATTATCGACATACTACCATTTTAGTATCAGACACCCGAAAACACTTTTCAATTACAGTCTTAATCCGGTTGATTTGCCGGAGACGTCACAGGGACCACACATACAACACTATTCAAGTCTTATCACTATCCATACACACCGTGTGTATTGACGGTTGCATTAACATACTTACTGACCTAATCCTTACCTGATTATAATTATCTAGGTGTAAGCTACAAATCAGTACACTCAAATCATTTTTAAGAGCGGACCTTTCTCGGATTGAATTGTGATAGATTACATACTTGTGATGGAATATGTTAGAGTGCATTTTAAAATGCCACATTATCTTTGTGTTGTTGAGAGTTGTGGAAATTCCAGCAAAGAAATTCTGTCCAAAGTAAATACATTCTCAATCATGAACATACCCCGTACTGCAACCAATATAGGGTCCACAAGCTAAAAACGCGATTTTTCATACAATCGGGGGCCATAATTCATGAAGTTATGGTCCGATATGCGCGAATATCGAAAGGAACCGAGATCTTTGGGTTATAAACTTATATTTCGAGTTTCAACAAAATCGGATAAAAATTGAGACCTCTATAGGGTCCACAAGCTAAAAACGTGATTTTTCGTAAAAACAGGGGCCATAATCCATGAAGTTTCGATCCGATAGATGCCAATATCGGAAGCAGCCAAGATCTTTTGGAGATAAACCTATATTTCAAGTTTCGTCAAAATCAGATAAGAATTGTGACCTGTAGAGTGTCCACAAACAATTGTGGATGGACGGACGGACACTGCCGATGACAATATACGTCCACATGAAAATGTGGGCGTATAATAAAAATTGTGACCTCTAGAGGGTCATATTTCTAAAGCAATATGCTGGATTGGCGTAGGATACTTGAGCTTTTGAGGTAGTGTGTCTATTCTTCCCATTTAATCAAATCTATCTCAAGTACATGTACAGCAACATGACAGGCATTCGTTTAATCTGGGGTCTTGCCTAAAAATTTGGACAGTGATTTAAGATATTAAAAACGGTGAAAGTATTGTTCGTCTTCAAACAATATTGTTTACATGTATCCGTGTTGATAACCTTGTTTGTCACGCAATTAGTTTTTCTTCAATATTCTATACACTGGTTAATTGGGAATAATAAAATCGTGAGTCGTGACGTAACATTATGTAAACATATTTGGTCCAATTTGGAGCTCTGTTTAAAGCGTAATGATATTGTTACGCAGTAAGCTATTGGCTTTTTATCGGACTATTGACCAGTCATAATTTAGAACAGAAATTTGCTTCCTTTACAGCAGTGTTAAGTGGGATTAGCTCTATCAAACGAAACACTGCGAGGAGTACGCTAGACGAACCACAATCTAAAAACGTAATTTTTGTGTGCAATCAAGGGCTATAATTCTGAAAGATACGATATGTGTGAATATAGAAAGGAAACAAGATCTTTAGGTTATAAAAATGAATCTTAAGTTTCATCAAAACAGGATCAAAATTGTGATCTACAGAGGATCCACAACCTTGATATACCATTTTTTTACACTATTTGCATATGAGGGGCAGCAATTTTTTCCGGCAGTTTTGGTCCTGATTTTCACAAAATTCTCACTCAACTGTCATTAGGGTGTAACGGTGATATATTCAAACGGTTTTCTAAATTGGATAATAATTGTACAATCAGGGGACATACATGTAATTCAGGAAGTTACGATCTGATATGCGCCAATATCGAAAGGAACCAAGATCTTTGGATTATAATCATGCAGTGAATCCAGTTATTAATTTAATATTTTCCGGTACCTGGCATTCACACAGACGGAGCGTGGAAAACACACAATTCATAAACCATGCCGAAACCGTCTTCAATGGCCACATGGCTTATTTTACTGAACCTACATGTATTATGAATCATCAGCAAGCTTGTTTTGTTTATTTTACCCGATTATCAAAATCATTGTTAAATGTGCTAAACACTCGGATTATGAACCACATGGCCGATTCTCAATAAGCTATGACTGTTGTTGTAGCCAACAAGCAAGTTGATTGTCTTCTTAATTAACAAGTAATAATTAACCAGTTGTAATTTAGCCAAAAGTAGATTGATTATTTACGATGCCATAGTGGCTGATTCGTTGTTTTACCAATCGGCTTGAATAAACATCAATGAGCTAAAGCTGAAAAATACAGCCCAATGGTGAACACTGACTGACATTTAATAGTCGGACTCGACAATTCTACGAGATTGTTTTTTTTGTTTTTTTTTCGCTCTTGCGAAAATCCTTGCGCGAATTAGATTCGAAGATTCGTGTGAATTTCTAGCCCTGTTATTTCTTGACTTCATAAATGTTTGTAGTGCTGTCAATAACAATTTTACACCCATCATAGAAAGCGAATTATTGTACAAGTTTACTGTTGGCTTACAACAAATCATTCTTATCAAAAGGACACAGGGAATGTGGCTACAGCGACTGTATTTATTATGGTATTATAAACAAATTCTAAATTGGATCGTATCGGTACTTGAATTAAAATAAATTACAAAACAAATTATTCAATAGTCAATTGTTTTATTTAATTAGGGGATTAAGGAATCAGTCAGACATTAATGAATACACACCTGGGCTATATATATAGCTAATTAAGGAATAAGGAATAAACATTCCAAATATGCATTCGATCACTGTGACGTCACTGGCGTCCTAGGAGATTAAGAGTGTTTTCGATAATTGGCAAAGTCGTTTTTACAGGAGGTCTTTATTTGCGACTTTGAGTGAAGAAGACTGATTTAATTTAAATCAGATTGCTTAAAGTGCATATAGTAACCACTGGTAGGGTGACCCATGTACTCACAGAAATACAGTCCACCGCTGATAGTTCGAGACTACCACTGAAGCGTGCACATTCGCCGTGCCAAGACCAACTTTCTGACAGTATGATACTATAAATAGCCATGGCACGTGCAATTCTCTACAAATCTATCAACTATTACAGCCGTATTACAAGTCCAGAAAATTTCGTCTGGTGACCTTATGTGCTCTTTAAATTTATCAAAATGTAAACTGTTTTCTTTCAGATTTAAAATTTTATAACAAACCTTGTTGGTTACATTTCGTAATCAATTAATTAGGTGAACTGAAACAGCTACTTACCGGCTTTGGTTCTGAGTCTATGTTTTTTTTATATTTTTCTGTAAAACCTCCACTTGCTCCCATTTTACTATTATCTTCACTCTGTTCACTACATGTACCTTCATTAATATCTTCATAAATAGGTTCTGATACACCACATCTACAAATATTCATTGTTATTTCATTGATATAAACACTTATTCTGTAGATAATCAATCCAAATTCTTATCACGTATCCATCATGTCACAGTAAAATCTCTTTCTCTGATTGCTCACGATAAATACTAGACAAATAAACAAAATCATTCTCTTTACAGATCGGTGCAACAAAAATTAGAATAGACTACAATTGAAAGTGACTATTGACGGGACATTTATGAAATAATTGTGACTTGCTTTCCAATCAAAGTTAAAGAATTGAAATGCTGTAGCTTATGTAATTTCAGACAATGACTGTGTCAGCATTGCTATTTAGCAGATGATATTACCCAACAGAGAACAGAGCTATAGTTTCTGATAAAAAAAATTCTGGATGTCAATTTTATTACCTTAGTCGTGTACATGTACATGCATATCGATGCAGAGTATAACACAAAGTTTTCAATTTCGCGGAACAAAGTACATGTATTTACTTATACCCAGCAAAATATAGTAAGATGCTACATGTATCAACACTACACATAGAATTCATTTTTTACTTACTCAGATGTAACAGGCATGTGTTCACAATTAGAAGCTAGTGACACATGAGGTGACTGTTGTGTATAGGAAGACATGTCCGAACTTTCAATGGACACATGTGGTAAGTTAGGTTCTTTATCACAAGACAATTTATTACAATTACATGGTGTCTGACTGCCACACGATTGTCGACTCGATAAGATTGGAAATTTATTAAATATTTTCTGTTTCTTATTACTTTCGTCATTTTGTAAGTTTGAGTTTTCACTACCACTATTTTTAACAATATTTGCATTTGACTGGGCTGTACAAGAACTATTTACAACAGGGCAACGACACCCCGGATGCATGAGGGAATTAGACACCTTTTCACAGAAAAACGCTCCACCGCTGGCATTCATACCATGATCGTCTATTTGCTCATCAAAACATGCACTTCGCGAATGTCCTACAGCGTCTCTTGGATGATTTGATGAAGCCATGAATTGTTCTGAAGACAAAAATTCATCATAGCGTAGAACACAAGGTTCAAATAAACCTTCGTCCACATTGTCGTCATTTTCACTTTCACTGCTGTTGTCAGATTCATCATGGCCTATTAAATGTAATTTATCTGAGGGGTATAGACTTCCATCTTTATTTTTGTCAAAGTTACTTCCCCTGTTTGCAACTAAACAATTTTCCTTTGCATCAAATGGTGGTGAGCAGCCACCTCGTGTGTTAACAAAACTATATGATGGACCATTGCTAGATAAATCATTTCTCGGATCAGGCGCAATATTATCAAAAGTATCTTGCGTTATTTCATCATCACTTCCAGACAAAGATTCTGATGAATTAGGTCCGCTAGCTTTAGAAGGAAGATCAGTGTCTATAAAATCACCATTATCTTCTGTGTTTGAATCTTGTATCACATGGTCATCACATCGAACAGTTCTATAACAGTGCACACTTACTGATTGAGCTGCTGCTCCGATTCCATCATTGTTATGCTGAACAAATTGATTAGAGAAAGAATTATGTCTCGGACTATTCAACTGTGGATGACAAATGTTTGATGTTGATTTGCATCTATCAACTGATAAATAGGGAAATAAATCTGGGGACTCAAGTTCATCAAAATTATGATCATCTTCAATCTCTAAATTATCTACCTCATACATCTCCTCATATTCTAGATGCTGTAAACGATCAAAATCACAAACTGCTCCTTCATCTATCATTTCAGACAACCCACCATCAGAAATATCATGTGAAATCCCACCGTTAGTTAACTGCTCCAAGTTCTCTTCTACTTCGAGAACTTCGTGAACATTAACATGCTCTGATTCAAAAAAACAATTTCTCTCCAACCCATTGTCAGCTTCCTGACTGGTTTGCATATTAGGATTTATGAAACCATCGATACCACCCCCATTAACATCATTCCACCCTGGGCTTTTGTCTTTGAGGCCATACACAGAAAACATGCCATCTTCATCATTTAAATTAGTATTATATGAATGGCTACAAAAAATATCACAGCAAGCCGAATTATGTTTTTTATACTTTTTACTCGGTTTAGGAACTGAATCACAGGAGCCATTTACAATACATGGCTTGTCTTTATGCTTATCTCCTGAATATTGTTTCTTTAATTTTCGGAAAATGGGACATTTAGGAATAGCACCAGAACTAGTTTCTCCATGATTATGCTGTAATAAGCAGACACCATTCTGATTTGGATTAAAATGAATCTCTTTATCTTCCTCATCTATTGACAGTTGATGAAAATCATTCTCTACATCATCTGTTGCTAACTCTGTGAGACCATTGACGTGATCTGTTTCATCTGAATTACCATTTTGTACCACAGTAACTTTTTGGGTTATCACATTGTTGTGTAGATCATCTGCTGACTTCTTTGGATTTGGCTGTTTATTTGCCATCTTCCTAAAAGATAATTCAAAACATTAATCAATTCAAATGCACAGAAAAATATATTTGTCAGGACTGTCAGTTCTTACGAATATTATTAATGCTTTGTTTTGTTTATTTCATTGTTTCAATTCTGTGTTTTTGCTGTACCTTTTCAGCACTGTGGGAATTACAGGCAAGAAAGAAATTATGTTGTTGGTTCATGTTGTATTACTGAAAAACAAACCTCTGTTCCTACGCCAGGTGTTACAAAAGAAAATAGTCTCATTTGAGAACTCAATCATTAGAAAAAATTATTCTGCCCACTTCCCCTTCCTGCCAAAAATGATTAATCAAATAAGGACAGTATTCAGTATTTTGCTTTAATTTTCTGCAGCTCAGGTTGGCTTACCCACAGGCCACATGTGTCGACATACATCTACTAATGATAAAAACATTCAAAAATTGTTTAGTGCAATTATAATAGGTTGTTCTGTACATGACCATCATGGACGTCATTAAATATATACATTTTGAAAAATTTTGAGAAATAACTCCAATACTGTTAACATGTAAAAGTCATAGAAATTCTAATTATTTTCTAGTATAAACAGTGCAGTGAAATGCTACCAATTTCTTATCATCTTAATCCCTATTTCTCTGCTGGTGCAAACAGTTTCTTCTTATAATTATATGGCTGAGTTAGTAAATTCATGTGTTACCCTATATTTAAATTCAACACTGACTGTAGCGAGGTAAGCAAGTTAGCAAGGTCTTATTTTCTGACTTAAATGTTCCTTTACATTGTACAGGCATATACAGAGACTGACACACGACCGTTTAGCTGTCGCCCAGTAAAATTTACTGTAGGCCGAAACTTTTTCGACAAGGATTCAATAGGTTCCTGACCGTACCGGCCGAGTGTAATGCAGGGGTCGTAATAATGCTTGTCTACTTGTCGAATCCAAGTAACATTTTCAAATGACAAGTAGAAATAAAATCTACTTGCTGCCGGCGACAACTAGAATAATGTCCATAAAAATTCTGGCTAAGAATGTCTGTCTAATTTATCGATTCCAATAAAGTTGGAAAAGGGGAATCTTTCATTTTAAAACAAATTAGGTGGTATTTAACACTACAGCACCCGACATTAGCTGTCTGTTTGTCTCCATAGTAGCATGGTGGCGAATTTGTTCCTGATTAACATGACAAACTCATCTGGTCATTTATGTTTAGTTCTATGCGCCTGGAAAAGGTTTCTTTACATTAAAATAGTAACACTACTGATTCTGTGAAAGCAGTAATGTCCAGGGTCGTAACTAGCTCAGAGCAACAAGGGGGGCAGGAAGTGTTCTCAGGGGTGCTGTAAAATTGACGGACAATGTATATCTATTGTTTTTATGGTCAACACTTTTTTCACAGGAGGGGGCGAAACTTTTTGCAAGGGGGGGGGGGGCTGCGCCCCCATTAGTTACGGGCCTGGTAATGTCATTGGCTGTTCATTCTTAATCACCCAATCTTAATCACGGTCAATATCCCATAACTCCATGGCAATCAGGGCTCACACTGTCGGTCTTCAAAGTGGCGATTTGCAATAAAAAAAAAAATGGAAGTGTTGAAAGTGTTCAAAATTGGACTTTAGCGATAATATTTTGAGGTAACTACTAAAAATCTGGATCGTGTCATTGAGTAATTATACTATACTGATCTTCGATTTTTGGTTATAGTTGATTGATAATTGTCAATGATATATATATAGCCTATTATTTGAGGTTTCGTTTTGTCTTAAAAAATAAAAGGAAATATGGCCGACAATTCTTTCGGAAGAGAATTAAATATTTTGATAGTTGAATTTCATTTACTGTGGCTTCTTTTGGCATGGAATATACAAGCAGCCTACATGTATAATTGGATATTGTTTCAAATTATTATTATCACCATGGGTCGGAAATGTAAGAAAAACGAACAAGTCGAATAGTGAAGATTCTCAAGTGAGAAAACGGTCTGTCATTTGTTTCATTACCTCCGCCAAAATATGTAAAGTGAACACTCAGTCTGATTGTACATGTCTTACATGTGAAATTGAAATAGAATAAGTTATTTTTTAATTAAAAACAAAAATCAATGGTGACAACTTGAAATGACCAAGTGACAAGTAAGAAATATTTCTACTTGTCACAAGTAAAATTTTACAAACATTTCAACCTCTGGTGTAATGCGACCTAGGTTCAGAGCTGAACTAGGCTAGTCTGTAGTTGTAGTCTAACCTTCTAACATTTAATCCTACTAGATAGGCTACATTAATAATAGTACTTTTGTACAGTTTTCAAATATATTTTCATATTAAAACATTGCATTATATAATGGGACTAATATTGAAGAGGAATTTAGAAGTGATATATCTAGAAAATAATTATTGTGACTTGTTTATTGTTTTTTTTTTTATGAACACAATCACAATTCACATTCACGAGACAGAAAAAAAAGAAGAAAATAGAATGAGGTGTAATCTGTTCAAAAATAACTAAAACCATAAATTACATATAATTTAGACATCGCTCTAACCATAACCGCTTGACTGGCAAAGAATTACGTTTGAAATCGTACATTTAGAAGAAACATCTAAATCGTTTTGCTTTTTCTTCGTTTAAGAATCCTCCATCTTTGATTGATATCCCAGGATTCATGCTATAACTGCAGGTATAGCCCTGGAAATAAATTGAAACGAAATTATATTTTACCATATTTATTTACGTGTAAACTATTTTCCTAAATTCTATTATACCTCAACTCTAATTTTAAAATATTCTTACGAGGTAATAAAGTATATATTGGACTTTTTTTTTTATTATGAATTCATTAAAGAACTATCTTTTCAGAATATTGGACCAGTCACATAAATTTTGTCCCCCGGTCATTCAACCAATGAAAAGATTTGCATTGATGAATATTAGAAGTAAATAGACTGAAATATGGCGAGAGAGTTTGGAATTAATGGTAAAATGATTTTTGACGGATTTCAGACCGTTCATAACACCATTTTTCAATGTATCCTGATCTAGATGTTCTGTGATATTTAATTTATGGGAGAGTGTCCGGAATAGAAATGAAAACAAGCTTTGACCAGTAGTACTGACACTGTGACTGTCCGATCCATGCTTGAGTAAATCAAATGATTTCTTGATTCTTCCCCTACTGACACTTAGCATATCAACCAAATTTTATTTTTTAAACAATTGGCACACAAATCCTCCCAAAAGTTAGAATTTTAAAACCGATTAAATTTTCAGAATCAGACTTATACCTTCTTTTTGACGATAATAATACGCTTTCATACCAGGTTGTCAGGGCTGTCGGTAATTTTTCATAACCAGACGCTAGAGATTGCCATTCGATTGAGACTTCTGGCGTATTTCGCTGAACATAACTGCTTTGAAATTGGAGTAAAAATGGAAACGATTGACCTATTTGTGTCAATTTGTAGGTCCCAAATATTAGCGATTTAGCTCCTTTAACAGTTTTAATGCATGAGAACCGTCGTACCTCCATATTCTCTTTTACTGTCTTGGTGGAATCTATCAGTTTCGGTACTATTTCAGTAACGTACCTCTACCAGTTCCTGTGATCGTAGAGACTTGAAATTTTCAGGGGGTGTTCACGGGGACTAGCCATGACCTCACACGAAATTTCAGCAGAATCAGTCAATAACTTTTTATTTTACCGTAGTTTAGCTTCTATAAGAGATAAATTTATCCGATTTTGACGCCATTTTGTTTGTTGACTATTTAGGCTCGAATGACGTCATATGTGGATTGTGGGTTAGGATAAGGGTTAGGGTAAGGACTAGGACCTGTAGATTTCATCATAGTCTCAAGATGTAGACAGGGCTAACCCTAACCCTGTCTTGTTATTCGAGTCTAAATAGCCAACAAACAAAATGGCGTCAAAATCGGATAAACTTTCTCGTTATAAGCTAAACTACGGTAAAATGAAAAGTTATTGACAGATTCGGCTGAAATTTGGTGTGAGGTCATGGCTAGGCCCCATGAATACTGGTAGAGGTACGTTACTGAAATAGTACCTCAGTTTCAATGCAGGATACCACATCGTACATTGATAGTCACTTTATCAGTTTCAGTCTATGAGACCACATCGCACATTATCGGTCACTTTAACAGCTTTAAATCAGGGTATATGATAAGGAAAAAAAATTGATTAACAATTATTGGATGTTTTAAAAATAAAGTGCTAATCAATCTGAAAATTGATTAGCTGTTCCTCTTCATTGAATAGCAAATATATAGATTTTCACAGTACTGTATTGAATGATCTCTAAGAGCCATACAACTAATGTTTGTGTGTATTAGACTTCAACTACAAATATTTTTATTTTATGTACATAGCATATCTTGTTCTGAATACAAAAAAATAGGTGCACCTCGCTATTTTTTATATTCAATTCCCGTACAGTATTCAAATTTATGCCTGTAATATTCCTACAAAATTAGTGGTTTTTGTATTTCAAATTCAAGCCAGTAATATTCCTCTAAAATTACGTGTCTTCATTTACACGGCAGGAAAAGAAAGCAAAATATCTGTGATAAGAAGAGTTTGTGATGTCGAAACATTGTCTTCATTATAAAATGGTATTTTAAAATTACATCGTAGCATCATGGACTTATAAGACCGGTGGTAATTACTGCCAGTGTTTAAGGTCATGAGATGAAGAAGTATATTGAGTTTCAACGATTTCCAATAATTACTGCCAGAGTTATGGTCCTTGATCACTTTGAAATATCTTGTGCCGATTGACTTTAAATTTATATACACATTGTTTTTTAAGGTCATGAGACGAAGAAGCCTATTGATTTTCAACGATTTTTGATAATTACTGCAAGAGTTATGGCCCTTGATCACTTTGAAAAATCTCAGGCTTAAGTTAATATCCGATTGACTTTAAATTTATACACAGTGTTTAAGGTCATCAGATGAAGAAACCTATTGATTTTCAACGATTTCCTATAATTACTGCCTGAGTTATGGCCCTTGATTACTTTGAAAAGTCTTGTGGATGCTTTAGAGACCATAGTTATCATCTGATTGATTTTATATTTATACACCATGTTTACACCTATATATAATCGTTTCGATTGACTTTAGGTTGATACACAGAGTTTAAGGTCTTGAGACATGTGTATTGATTTTCAATAATTTTTGATAACTTGAACAGCTAAATCCATGATATTAAATGTTTTGTATACTAAACAAATTCTAATGATTTTCTGATAATTACTTAATGAGTTGTTACTCTTAATCAGATTTTAGTGTATTATAAATGTTTCATTACCGACAAAAGTAAAAATATGCAACAACTCTTGTTGACTGCCAGACAATTTAGCTGCTGTGGGCGTATGTTTCGTTGCCTGGCAACCTATCTTTGAACAAAGTTAACTGCCATTGATGCTGGTACATTCTACCTAGAGGCTACGGTCGGCTAGATCTATTTGTTAAGACCAGCTCAATTTTCGTCAAGGTCGCTGAAATGTAAATAAGGTTAGGGCATGTGATTGTTGGCGAGATTGTAGGTTAGGGTTAGGGTAAGCATTAGGGCTAGGTCCAGGGTTAGGGTTGGGATTAGCGCTAGCCCTGTTTACATCTCGACCAAACTTGAAGTTGGCCTTATCAAATAGATCTAACCGGCTACTGCCACCGGTAAGCCCTACTACAACAATGGTAGTAGTAGGCCTACTATATACATGAAATAAACCATGCTTCTTACATGTATTTATGCTGATGGGGTTGTTGTCCACTATAATTACATAGAAAAGCACAAGTAGCTGAGATACCCTTTCTGGATACAGAAGAGTAGGCCTACCCGTTCGACTTAAAAATCTCTGTAATGGTACCTGACTTCCTGTATCCGTAAGGGTAGGCATAATTGAGTTTGTAAAATCTTGCAGCCAGTACACGATGCCCCTTTTGTCGTAAAAGAATTTAATTATTGCTACCCCAGCATGACTTTAGAATTCGCGTGAAATATTTCAACAATTCTAGGAAAACGCAGGATTGACAGTCATGATAAAGCAGCCCAGTATTGGGATTGCAACTTACCATTACAGGAAGTAAGCGCGTGAGAGAGAGAAATGGGGTTTAACATCCACTGGACACAAACTAGGTCATTTCAGGACTAACATATGGTTCAGTTTTATTTCAATAATCTGCTTGCGTGTAGGAGACTTTAGCAGTGGGTGAAAACCAAAGGACCCGGAGAAAACCCATGAGGTTGGACAGACGCCTCTACTTGTCACGTACAACCGGGGAATCGAAACCATGCCAATTGACTCATGACAGATGTTATAATACAGCACACACACGCTATTAAACCATTCGGCCGTCCAACCCCCTAGGAAGTAAGCACTGCATGATGTGCGCATACAGTACATGTATCAATATATTATGCAATATCTTGTTCGAGATCATTAAATATATATAAGAGCTTTATATTGAAACAATTGATCACCGGTCTACTACTAAATTCTGTTCGCAATGAATGCCTGACTGAGAGGATACTGCATCAACAAAAGCCTTTTGGTCTTTAAAACTAATAGACTCATAACATGAAGAAACCAGCAAAACCATTTAAAAACTGTACAGTTTTGACTACAACGTTATTTTAAAGGGAAACTATCCACAGCCTGTTTAAAAAGGGTCAATTTCTTGTGGAGGAATATTTTTGTTTGACCAATCCACTTGTCTAAAATATCTTAATCTCACAAAACCAATGGTAGCAATCCCTGAATATTCCTAGCCATTATTTTGAAAATTGCTAACCTACAAATATTATTTATTTAGTGTAAGATTGTTCAATTTTTATTTTCAGACCCAAACAAGTAATACAAAATGGTTACATGAATATTTGTATTATTGATGTTTATGATGAACAGAAAAGTGTCATTATATCTTTCAATCTATGTAACATTTTTGTATGATGTCATAGATTGAATAATTGACTAAAAATGAAAAAGAAAATCTACACCGATGTACTATTAAGATTAAACATTATTAGTTAGTGTTTTATAGCAACGTTAAAATGACACGGTTTCTGAATGTGTTCAATAGACACTTTCTTTTGTTGCTAGCGCTAGTTTTCCATCTTATGTTTACATCATGTGTAGATATACATCCGCCAATCAACTGTAACTCATCATCACCATTACATCGTGTAGATGTAGATTTCACCACATCTCGCATAAATAATGGTTTGTATAATGACTATTTTTAATTGAACTTATTGAATATTTTATCATATGAATGAGTATTATGTATTTGCTAACTTCTAAAGAGGTTTAATAGTACAGACTAATCATTTCTACAGGTAGTATGCAAATGTATAATTGCACTATACTTGTTGTTTGCAGCACACAATCATACATCAGTATTACTAGAAATCCCAATATATTATAGACCACACTGAGAAGAAGTTGGGATCAGCCCAAAGGGAACTTTATCTATAACTTATAAGCTTACATGTATCTACTTGGCTGATGCAAAATAGCATAGGTTTGGGCACTGATCAATAATAATTGTTCCCTGTGAAAACAAAGAGAAATCTGTCAGTATATACTTTTCTAATGCAAAATTTTATTCTGGTTCTAATATTCTTGGTTGCAGGTTATTGGTGTGGTTCTGGGCACCCATATATGCCAAATGTGTCAAATTGTTACATGCTTAATATCAATTTTTACTTATAAATCTTTGTCAAAAATACTAGAAGTAATTAGAGGTGTCATACAAAATTTGATTCAGTTAAGACTAGAATTGCTTTAAGTCTTAGTTCTAATGACTGAGAGAGGGAGCTAAGGTCAGAACCACAACTGCATGTGCCACCAGTTGCCCTGGGAGAGAAGAAATTATCTAAATTGAATTCAGTGAGAATATAAATTGTGTGCATGTGTATATAATACCAAGTAACTGTAATCACTAAATATTATTTCAGAATATATTGTTACATTTAATGGTTACTTTAAATCTCAAGCTAGAAGAAGATTTATAACAGCTGCTCTACATGAAATCGGCAGCACATCTTGGAGTATTGTACCCAGAAATAATCCAGCCAAAGAATTTCCTAGTGATTTTGATGTTGTCAAGGTAAACAAATAAAAAAAGTTGACACTATCTTTAGCCCCAAATAAAGTATGTAAGGACTCTTCAACTGATATATGGAAAGAAACGTGTAACATGTCTTCAGAAGCATAAAATAAAATTGTGTTTTCATATAGTACCTTCCATGAGATCGTACATGTATATTGCTATCATCCTTGACTACAGCCTACATTTTACATCTGATCTTTTTGAAATTTATGTATGTTGTTTATATTAGTTAGACAATAGCCATCATCTGCTTGTAAAAGTTAGTGAATGCTTGAGGGACAAAATTATATGAATCTTTATTAAAACCAGTGAAACAAATAATGTTATTGAATAGCAACAATTAATATTGTCCCCTGCCTTTGGCTAAGCAGAGATAAGCAATTTGATTGGTCCATATTTTGATTCTTATTGAGTGAGAGTGGTAATGAGCATTTTCTGCTCCGGTTAAACATACAATTACATTATGCAAGGGCTAAATCTGCCTATTGCAGGTCTTTCTTTAGGCCTGAAATGTTAGCTAAATTATCAATTAGACATTAATTAATTTATCCAGGCCATAATCAACTCTCGATGGCATCGGATTTCTCCAATATTAAATAGATTAGAACAGTTCAGCCATATTTTGATTTAAGCTAAAAAAAAATGGAGTCGCGAGACTTAGCTTCGAACAACCAGTGAGTACGGTGACTGAAATTATTGCACGTCTTGTCAAACCTTCAAAGGCTAATATCTTCGCTCGCAATAGAGTAATTTGAATGAAATTTTCAAATTATTCATTTTACATTATCTATTTTCGAACTATTATAGCAAGAATAGCTAGTTCTTTATCTAAATCTTGCATGATGTATCTTTAGAGATAATTAATTTGAATGGTTGAGACTTAAGAACATAATAACTTTGATTCTAATTGAGTGTCAGTGATGAAACTAGCTGCATAGTTTCATTACATCAATATTATAATATGTCTTAAGTTCGATGATGAGCATTTTCTGCTTAGGCTAAACAGAAATGAGCAAATTGATTTGTCAGTGCTTTTGAACACAATAACTCTGATTCTAATTGAGTGAGAGTGATGAAACTTGGAGTTTATATAGTTTCAATACATCAATACATGTACCACCATGACTAAGTTCAATAATGAGCATTTTGTTCCAAAACTATGATCCATGTTCACTTTGTAAAATCTTGTAAATGCTCAGGCAGAAAAAGTTATCGAATCTGATTGAAATTTATGTGCACTGTTCTGATTAGTGAAACGAAGAAGCTTATCAAAGTTCAACAATATCCATTACATATTTCTAGAATTATGACCCTTGCTCACTTTGTACATGGAAAAAAGTTCTGATAATTACTTATAGAATTACAATATATTGCCCTTGCCAAACATTATAAGGATTTTGCTTTTTATTTACTTAATGGAAAGATTCACAATGCAACAAAATTTATGGACTGCTCAGATGACTTAGCTAGTGTGGGCAGATGTTTTGTTGCCTAGCAACATCTCTTGTAAACAGTTCAATTTTTTTAAAATTAGTTCAAGGGTAACACAGATACAGGGTTGGATGCCTTGAAAGATCATCCACTTGTGAAAGGAGTGACCCCTCATAAAAAAGTCACCAGAACCTTGAAGTATACCAGAGGTAGATTATTACATATTTATCTAAGTATTCTGTGTATGATATTCATGTTAGATATTACTACATCTTGAGTATCATGTAGTTGTGCTGTTTTAGAATGAGTTTCTGTATTTAATGTTTAGTTTCAAACCATTGTAGGCAAATTGTTAAAATTCATTGAGAATCATAAAAAACATTGGGTTCCTCCTGTTGCATAGTTTAAAATGGTCCATCTAGATTAGATAATGAGTGTTGGGTTTACAACTGTTTACTTTCACTAACAGTGTTGAGTAAGAGACATGGCTGGTTGATCTTTAATCAGCCAAGGTGAGACTGGAGACAGTGTTAAAAGCTTTTTGCCTATTTTTAAAAAAAAAATAATGTTGCAAACATGGCAACTGTAATGGTAAATAGAGTTCTTGTATGATCTAGAACGGTTTAATATTTTTTTTAATTAACCAAGTTACAGCTAGTTTAGCCGAATAATGTTTTTGCAGAGAATTGGAATAAATATATTTATGAAATAACTTCTGTTAGTTACTCAATATGAGGAGAAATTAATATTTTTAGTTGTTTATAAAGAATGCATTTATTACATCAAGCCATGATTAAACTAGAATAAACCAATCTTGTGCTGAAAAATTGATTCCACCATCTGTATATTTATATGTTATTTTTAGTGAATGAAGGAGAAGATGATGATGATGATGATGATGTTGTTGATGAACCTATATCATCTACTCCACGGAATAAAACAGATTGGGATCGAACATTTCACTCATCTAGAACTATCAATAGAAGAAGTCTTTCTTTGGTAAGTATTATAATGACTTGTAGTAAGTGGCACAACTCTGGAGCAGGGAGGCGATTTCGCCCGTATATTCCAGACTTGTCCAACGCTATTTTCCATACGCCCAAAATTGTCGGACCGGGAATATGCCCAATCGGACATCAAGACATGGTGAATAATATTCAAAATTCCAAAATTAATATAGTGTACTGAGTGTATAACTACCACTCAACCCGATTATTGTTGATAATTGGCTGGATTGATTAGGTAATTAAGTGATCAAAGTATTTATCGTGTTATACCGTCCATACACCTACCTTGATTAACTACTTAATCTGCCATGATTGACTGACTTAATCCTTTGTCGGACAATTCATCAATCTAATGTTAAACTGAAGTCATTGCTTCTCCATTGTCAGACTATTCATCAATCCAATAAGAGTGATTATAATTTTAATTCACGTGTTTACCTGGTGGTTTCTCTATTGTCGGACATTTTAATCGCATTGATGTGAGCCGACAGCATCTATAAACTAGCCATAGATGTCACATATTGTAAGAGTATATCACACCCTAAATCAATGAACAGTCATTTTGTCTGCGATATCTTTTACGTCTTGTAAGAATCCATATAGAAATTCTTATCCACAGTGGCACTTTCCTGTGATCTCTATTTCGTACGAAAATTGCTTAACATATAAGGCAGTGCTAACTATGAAGCTACATGTATATGCTATGAGTCATGTACGCGATATGCTGACGTTAGCTATGCCTTTTCATGAGTGATTTAACTATCAATGTAATTTTAAAATACTGACTTATGAAAAAGGAAAAGGTGTTTTGTCATCACCACAAGTATTATTATTTCGAACGCCTTTCTTTCATTTGCTGCCGTATAAACCAAGACATGTAATTTTGGAGGAATATTACTGGCTGAGGTTGAAGCAGGTACGGATCGGCAAACTTTCATTTCATCGTATTACGAAAAGACGTAATTTTGTAGGAATATTACTGACATACATTTGAATACCATAACCATACGGGAATTAAATATGAAAAATAGTGAGGTGTTCCTATTTCTATTACGCATGGATTTGAATATTTTGTTGACATTTTATAAAGAAAAAACGATGTTCTAATATCACAAACTATTCTTATTTCGGAAGTTCTGCATTCATTTGCTGCCATATAAACCAAGACACGTAATTTTGAAGGAAGATTACGGTTGTGAATTTGATGCCGAAGCAGGATCGTCATCGATTTATTACGAAAATGCTTAATTTTGTAGGAATGTTACTGACATAAATTTGAATGCCGTACGAGAGTTAAATATGAAAAATAGCGAGGTTCAGCTATTTTTATTACGTACGGGATTTGAATATTTTGTTTACATGTGATTTTTAATTGTGGTATGAATTGAATACTGTACAGGGAATTAAATATGAATTTTTATTACGTACAGAATTTGAATATTTAAAATTCTTCTGCTTAAATAACGATAAGAGTTAAATAACCCCTTTATTTTCGGTAAAATGTCCAAGAAAAATGTTGAAATCCCATCACTACTCTGGAGCTCAAGTCTTAAGAAAATCCATGATTTTTAGATATATTACCATAACATGAATAATGTTGAAACTAGTATTCGGATATCCATTAACTGTTAGAAAATAACGGTTATGCGAATTTTCTGAAGTTCTGATGTGTTCTATATAAAGTGATTTTTACATTTGATTACTTTGAAATTTGGGAATCACGTGGCTAAGTGGGTAAGACGCTAGCTCGCTAGCCTGGAGGTCGGGTGTTCGATCCCTGCATTAGCCGAGAAAGTTCATTCAGATTTTCCGGCGTGATTCTCCCTTGTCAGTGATGCAGGACGGAGGGGCTGACAAGGAAAGCTGTCTAGTCGTTCGGATGGGACGAAAAACCGAGGTCCCGTGTACACATTGGCGTGCACGTAAAAGATCCCTTGGCAGTTGGAATTCGATATAAGAGTAGGCCGTGGTGCCGCTGTCCGGGCAAAATTTCCCTCATAGCACACTGTATGGCGTATGCCCGTCTTCATTAGCCCAGGTTAGGAGCAGAACAGTTGGACGTTAAACTCCATTTCATTTCATTTCATTTCACTTTGAAATTTTCCCCAATGCAATTGATCACATATGCAGTTCTGAGTACCTCTTAAATTTAGTATAAATATCAACATTGTGCCTTATTTAGCGATATTAACTTATTAGTTAATATCGCTAAATAATATTTTTGTACGCCCACATTGAAATTTCTATCGCTCCGTCCACACGTCAGTCCGCGTGTACGTCGTCGACAATTTCTTGCGACCACCCTACACAGACTACATTTAATATCTGATCTTTTTAAAATGTATTGTTGATATTAGTGAGACAAAGAATCCTATTTCATTTCAACAATTTCTGTTAATTACTTCTAGAGATATGGTCCTTGTTTCACTTTGTAGAATTTTGTGAACGGTCTAACGACCTGTATTAAATTTATATGCATTATTTAAATTAGTAAACAAAGGAGCCTATTGAATTTCAGCAATTTCTGTTTATACCTGAAGTTCTGGCCCATGTTTCATTTTTTATACAGCCACATTGAAATGCGAGCATATATTGGCGTCGTCCCCGTCCGTCAGTCCAGCTAAAGTTTATTTCCGATTGACTTTAAATTTATGCACAGTGTTTAAGGTCATGAGACGAAGAAACCTATTGATTTTCAACGATTTCCGATAAATACGGCCAGATTTATGGCCCTTAATCACTTTGAAAAATCTTGTGGACACTCTAGAGGCTAGAGTTAATATCCGATTGACTTTAAATTTACACATGGTGTTTAAGGTCATCAGACATTTGAAGAGGCTTATGGATTTTCAACGATTTCCGAAAATTACTGTCAGTCTTGATCACTTTGAAAAATCTTGTAGATGCTTTAGAGACCATAGTTATCATCTGATTGATTTTATATTTATACACCGTGTTTACACCTATATATATAATTGTTTCGTTTCAATTGACTTTATTTTGATACACAGAGTTTAAGGTCTTGAGACGTACAAGTATATTGATTTTCAATGATTTTTGATAATTTGAACAGCTAAATCGATGATATTAAATGTTTTGTATATTAAACGTTAGCTTGGACCAAACAAATTCTAATGATTTTCTGATAATTACTTAAACATACATTATGCAAGAGCTTAATCTGATTATTGCAAGTCTTTATTCAGGCTTCAGATGTCATAGAAATTATAAATTAGATCTTTATTTACACAACAAGCACAAAATCAACTTTGTAGACCCACGGATGGCTTGGATTCGGCTTGGATTTAAACAGGATTTCATTGATTGATTAAATTTTTAAATGGCGTCGTAAGTAGAGATTAACTGTTACGTTGACGTCATACTCCCGGAAATTTTAGATCAAGGCTAAATGATAGAATGTACGAAGCGAGGCCGCTGTTAAGCGAGGCCGCATGTCAATCAATTTGATTGAAAGTTTGATATATACGGCCTTGATATTATGTTTAGTTGTGGTTAAAATGAGAGTTTGGATGTTGGTATTATACGCTCTTTTGTCACTTGCGTTTACAGAAAAATTATGGAAATTGATAAACATCGCAGCTAACATCACCCCAGATTGGATCACTGTTTTCTATTTCAATTTTTCTGCTTCAGGAGTACACGCAGGCTAAAAAGATTGAAGAAGTCGGTTATAATTATGCCTCATTGATTTGGTCTATTCCTTTCAAACTTTCGCTTCTTATCTATATTAAAAGTCTTATTTTTAATTTGTAGTAAAAATAAATGTGATACGAATTGAATTGCAACCACGTCTCAAACCGAATAGGCTAACGGTACCACAGCCATTGAAAATGTTACTTGATAATAGAGATTATGTAGGTGGAGTTAACGCCTGTCAATCAAACAATCGGCCATTCTCGGAGACGGTGAAGAGAGAGTTGACTCCTATTTCTAGTCAAAAATTACAGTGGTGATAACTTTGTTCAGAATAAAGTAATTTGACTGAAATTTTCAATATATTCTTCTTTGGTCATCTATTTTTGGTCATCTCTGTTAAAATCTCCCATAATGTATCTTTAATGAGTTGTTACTCTTAATCAGATTTTAGTGTATTATAAATGTTTCAATACCGAAAAAAAGTAAAAGTATGCAACGAAAGAAGTAAATAAAGAAATATTCCTTCATTTTCGCTGTTTTTTTACTGGATATGATGCTAGAGTTTAAAATTCCCGCAATGAAATTTATTCATACCGACCAAGGTCAGGTTTATTCTCACTTACTGATTGGTTCAATAGCAGTAGATTACAAGAACGAGTAGAATGACCTTGGTGAAATAAATGTAACCTGTCATAGCGGTGTTATTGGTGTTGATTGAGATGAATGATAAGTGGCAGTTCAGGGAGTTGGAGGGGTAGTGATACAAAAATTTCTTCACCTCATTGATTTTTTGGATATTTCGTGGATAGTCCTAATAATGGCTAATATGTGGCTAAAGGCAGGCATGTTTTTTTCTTTTCACGGCTCAAAAAAATTCCAAATCGACAGTATTATTTGCCCACCGGTCACCAATTCCTAATTGATATACACAGACACTTATAACAAATAAGAAATCAAACGTATTCGGATCCCAAATCTCTATCCGATTCTCAACACTAATCCTTAAGGAGAAAAACAGTCACTTTTACACTTTTTGACATACAGAAATCACTTTATGTGCTTTATGGTTTTATTTACTATTTATTTTTCATTTTAATGTTATTAGATGTCTTTGAATGATATTTCGATTGCGTGGAAGGGCTGTTTTGGATTTTATCCAAATTTGATGTTAGGTCACGAGAGGATGGACCCAGTTGATATTCAGTGGTTCCGCACCCTTCTTAATTATGTGGAATTATGTCCTCTTTTCTGAAAAGGTCATGAGAGGACAAACCCTATTGATATTCAGCGCTCTGTAAAGCCATGTTCAGAAGTCTTTCAATATTTTCCACTTGAAGAGAATATTAAGACATCCTCATTTGTGTGGAAATTTTTAGATTGCTGTTATAGACAAAATAAATTTACTTCTTTAAATCTTTGCGAAATTATTGCACATATCATAAATAAAGGAATTACAATTCATTTGGTAAATTGTACATTTTGTATTAAAAGACATACATGAAAATGATATTATTTTTACTAGGGAACAGCTTATTGGCATTCTCCAAATCGTCATAGATCTAGACAGTTGAAGAGGGCTGTTCCTAAACAGGTGAGTATACATGTACTATGCTGATAAAATTATTCTTCCACAAGTCAGAATGTTCATATCTCAACTGTTAGAAATATGTGCTAATGTCAAGGTTGTTATTATTTGTCTTTAACCAAGTAAGAAATATTGCTAATAAAAGCTACTTAAGAAATATCCAAGTGAGAACAACACTTCATTAATGAATAATTATTAAAAGCCCCACTAATATTTCATATTTTAGTCCAATATATAAATTTTTGTGTATTCATGATACACTACCATAAATAAAAACATGAAATATGTATTTCATTTGCAAAGTTTTCGTGCATTATCAAAAATGACTGAGTGTGAAAATTTTGAAGTGGAAGTCCTGGTTTTATCTATTTATTTTGGGTTTATATCGATGTTGTATGTCTTAACTTTAAGATGTTTGATTGAAATTTGGTGCACTGCTGTAAAAGACCAATTTCACATTTCTTGAAGATCTGTTTACTGAAAATTCTGTTGTTCAGAATTTTGTTAAGGTCAAACTTTGAGATATTTGATCAAGGGTAACAAATCAAATTTGCCACACATGGGATTCTGTTAATTTTGTACTGCTGGATGGACATGTTTTGATTTTACGTAATTTTGGTTATGTATTCACAGAAATTTATTCGCTTTTTCAGCCTCTTGTTATTTCTTTTATTTATCTGAAACTCCTGCAGATGGCAGTGTGAAATCAATAGAAACTTACGTTAAGTTTTGAATTGACAAATTTGAATTATTTTTAGTCCTAAATGCCTTTTGAAAAAACCTTCATTCTGGCATGTTGGGGCTTTAGTTTATAATAATTATTTTTAAGTTAAGGGGTGGGGGGGGGAGAGGTACATAGGTCATAATTACTTTACCATATCATGCATGATATAATTCTATTTTACTTTCCTTATTTACATGAATGTACAGACATCACAATATGTAATATCACGTCTTTCAGATTGTGTCGGCTCTACAAGCAGAAATATTATGGAGTATGGGATATACAGGTATGTGCAGTGTATTCACAAAATTTGTAAAAATAACAATGCTGTCAGTAATGAATTTAGACAATAATTGTTAAGGGAAGCTACTCTAGTTTTCAATAATCTAGATTTTATATTCTTAATAGATTATCTTGAAAACTTTTCATACTTATTCCTTATACCCAAAGGATGACCTCAATATTTTTTGGGGTGCATGCGCGACCCCCTTGGACAGAGCCACACCTAACTTTTGTGTGTGTCTGTGTGTCATCTACAAGCCGCAATTCTTAACGGATCATTTTGAAACTTTGCATACCTATTCCTTATACCCTAAGGATGATCCCAATTGTTTTTGGTGAATGCCCGACCTCCCAGGATCAGAGCCACAGGCCACAATTCTTAATGAATTGTCTTGGAACTTGGCATATGTATTCATTATAGCCTAAGGATGGCAACTATTGATTTTGGTCTATGTCCCGACTCCTAGGGGGAGAGCCATGCTCAATTTTTGTGTTTATCGTATACTGGCCGTAATTCTGAATGTATCATCTTGGAACGTGGACATATAGTGTCATCGCCCCTGTCCGTCCGTTCGTTCGTCCATCCACAATTTGTTTGTATACACTCTGCAGGTCACAATTTTTATCTGATTATGACGAAACTTGAAATATAGCTCTATCTCCCAAAGATCTCAGTTCATTTTGATATTGGCATGTATCGGACCATAACTTCATAGATTATGGCCCCCGATTGTACGAAAAATCACGTTTTTAGATTGTGGACACTTTAGAGGTCACAATTTTGATCCGATTTTGATGAAAGCTGAAATGCATGTTTATAACCCAAAGATCTTGGTTCCTTTCGATATTCGCGCATATCGAATCGTAACTTCCTGAATTATGGCCCCTGATTGTACGAAAAATTGCGCTTTTAGCTTGTGGTCCCTCTAAAGGTCACAATTTTTATCCGATTTAAAAAAACATTTTAGTATATCACCGTTCCACCCAAATCGGACTAAAACTGTCAGACAAAATGGCCGCCCCTTGTACGCAAATAGTGTAAACATCTGGTATATCTTGGTAGTGGACCTCCTAGACGTCACAATTTTCATCCGATTTTGATGAAACTTGAAATGCATGTTTATAACCTAAAGATCTTGGTTCCTGTCAATATTCGCGCATATCGAATCGTAACTTCCTGAATTATGGCCCTTGATTGTACGAAAAATCATGTTTGAGCTTGTGGTACCTATAGAGGTCACAATTTTTATCCGATTTAAAAATATGGTATATCAAGGTTGTTGACCCTTTAGAGGCCACAGTTTTTATCCGATTTGGATGAAACTTTAAATATATGTTTTTATCAAAGATCTTGGTTCGTTTTAATAAACACACATATCCGAACGTAACTTCCTGGGTTATGGCCCCTGATTGGTCGAAAAAGAGCATTTTTAGCTTGTGGATTCTCGAGAGGTCGCAATTTTTTTTCCGATTTTAAAAACCTTTTAGATATATCACCATTACACCATAATGAAGATTCGGGAAAATTGAAATGAAACTTCCAGACAAAATGGCCGCTCTTTGTACGCAAATTGTGTATAAGTATGTAATACAAAGGTTATGGGCCCTCTAGAGGTCACAATTTTTAACTGATTTTGATGATATTCGAAAAATCCCAGTCCCTTTTGACATTTGCCCATTTCAGACCATAACTTTCTGGATTATGGCCCCTGATTGTACGAAAAATCGTTTTTGTTTTTAGCTTGTTCTCTATCCGTCTCTTGCAAAATGTGGGCGTATCCTGCCTGGCCACAATTCTGAATGGATTATCTTGTAACACATTAAACTTATTCCTTATACCCACACTCACTTTTTGTTAATATTTTGTCTGTAAATAATCTACAGGTTAAAATTATTAACAGATCTGATCCACCATAGGGTTGTACTTATTTATATTGTTCCATATCTAACCCCCAGGGGCGGTGTCACACCTACTTTTTGGTTAATATTTAGTCTGTAAATTTAGCAAAACAAATCCAACGTCTAGCCTTCTTTACCTCTGGTCATATTACAGTTAGTGCAGCCATTTTGTATTTCATTCTCTTCATTTTAAAAAGTAACATATCAATCAAAACAAGAAAATGGACATATATTGCAGTGCTACCGATACTCTAGTTTAATTACAGCCCTAATCTGGTTGATTGGTGATGATCTCATCACTGTCTATATACACCACCAGTTAACTAGTGCTTATTGACGGTCTAATTAACATACTGCCTGACTTAATCATTACCTCATAATTATGAATGCCAGATAACTCTTCCACAAGCAAACTTCCACACAAAAAGTCTAGTTTAGTCGTCGACAAATATCAAAATACATTGGTTGAGTCATCCTCACACACACAGCGACCGAGTTTGTTACTGGGCAAATGAATAAAAAAAATAAGGTTGCCAGGCAACAAAACATACGCCAATAGCAGCCAAATTGTCTGGGTGGTCGACAAGGGTTGTTGCATATTTATTCTTTTGTGGGTAATCGTATACCATAATGCATTTCTGCGCCATTTGTAACGAGGCTAGACATATTCCACAAGTCATGTCAAACGGTGACCTCATATTCTTATCTGGAGAGCATGCGCAAGAAATACTATTGGTGTAGACTGGAATAACCAGACATTAGAGATTGACATTCGATTAAGACTTCTGGCATATTTCGGCAAGCATAACTGATTTGAAATTAGAGTAAAATCGGAAACGATTGAATGCAAATCAGTTTATATACATTCATATTACATTGTTATATGCGTTGCGATCCATTTGTGTCAATTTCTAGGTCGCAAATATTAGCGATTTAGCTCCTTTAAGTGAATGTCTTGACTTACAAAATGTGATAGCTTTATATAAATTTAAATTATATCATAGCATGAGAATGAACAATATCACTTACATAAATTTTCTTTGTTTAGGTAGTGGTGTAAAAGTTGCTATATTTGATACTGGACTAGCATCAGATCATCCTCACTTTAAAAAGGGTAGAATAAAAGATAGAACAAACTGGACCAATGAAAAAACTTTGGATGATGGTAAATATTAATTTGTATTGTCCCCACAGCAAACTATTAAAACAGGTCTATCTGACGATTGAACTATTTGGAACACAACTGAGTTGTTGTGATGGGACTTGGTGTATAATTACATTTCATCCTTTGACAAGATTTGATGAGCATTTTTTATTCAGGTTAAGTGGAGTAATGAGCAATTTGATTGATCCCTTCTTGAATAATGAAGTTTGAAGAATATTAGGTACTGTAGGCAAAACTCCAAATGACTAGACAATTGTGTTGCTGATTCATCCCTTCCCCCACAAAGTTTGCTTGTAACATGTAATATAGCTATTTATGGTTTATCTGTCTGTGAATAGTTTTCTATGACTTGTATATTTTTACAGGTCTAGGACATGGTACGTTTGTTACTGGTGTTATATCTAGCTCTAATGAATGTCTTGGATTTGCACCAGATGCTGATATTTACGTGTTTCGTGTCTTCACTAATAATCAGGTAATGTTGTGTTTATTATATAATTAGTAGTACAACTTGTGTACTGTTTTGTTTTTACTTTTGTTTAATAATTAATTATTTCAAATAATTTTTACTATACTACAGGGAATATGTAACGGATATCCAAAAAGAAACAAATTGTCATAGCCAGCTAAATGATTCTTGTTTGGCTTGTATTGTATATCTTGCATTAAAAAATATCTAATTCATCATTGATATTAATGTAATTTTTCTATTAAAGGTATCCTATACATCTTGGTTTTTGGATGCGTTTAACTATGCAATATTGAAGAAGATAAATATATTAAACTTAAGTATTGGTGGACCAGATTTTATGGATCATCCTTTTGTTGATAAGGTACATTTATATAGAGGTTTATGAACTAATGTCTGAGTGATTGAGCTTGTGAGAATAAGTTCAGTTTTAGATAAAACAAAAAGTATAATAGTAGTATTATGTAATTATTACTAAGCTAATTTGTTTATAAATTGTTAATAAGTTAATGTACAATTTTGATAATCTACACTTAATGGGCTTTGATATACTAAAATACAACAAAAATTGTTAGCTGTCAGTAACTTGTAAGGTGGTTGTTGTTGATATTGATTTTAGATAACTTTGCTACTTGTGCCCAGTCTCTTCTTATAATTTGATTTTTTCAGGTTTGGGAACTTACAGCTAATAATGTGATAATGGTTTCAGCTATAGGAAATGATGGACCTCTCTATGGGTAAGAATTCTGACCTTTTCATGGTTAATGGTTCATGGTTAAGCAAGTAAAATTATGAATTATGACAAAAACAGTGATCACAAACTTTGATATATTATTAGCTATATTATTTATGTTTATATTAAAGGACATTAAATAACCCAGCTGATCAGATGGATGTTATAGGTGTTGGTGGTATTAACTTTGAGAATCAAATAGCACGATTTTCTTCCAGAGGAATGACAACATGGGTAAGATGTGTTATCATTAATAGCAAGTTAAATAACACAATTGGACCCAATGACCACAGAATTATGGGACATGACTATTTTAGTGCAGACATGCTAGATCATTCAATCAATGCATTACGTTTGGATATTGAATCGTAATACTCTGAATTGGTTCTTTACAATACACTAAGAATTATGATCAAACAGACCTATACAGAACTCTGTGAGATATAAGTTTCGTAGAGTGTAGTTAATTATGTTGTTGTGTTGAGTTCTCATTACTAGAAAACATTATTGTAATTTTATTTCAAAGTTTTATTGACACAAAATATATCAAGCATTCAGTTATCCTTCTGTTTTCTTTATAAATAATTACTTTGTTATACAAATCAATACAATACAAATCATATTATTGCTTGATAATCTGTTTACATATCGAGAATACAGTGCTATACCCAGCTCTACATAATATTCAGTTTTATAACTAGGTGTATTAGTATAGTACATTTTTATTACAGGAATTACCAGCTGGTTATGGACGTGTTAAACCTGATATTGTTACTTATGGTTCATCTGTTAGAGGTTCAGCTCTAAAGTAAGATTTACACTATACATTACAAATGGTCATTTTCAATGATATATTAACATATCTGGGCCACAATACTAAATAAAAAATCTTTCATTTTCCTCTTTGTACACCCACATTGAAATGTGAATCAAATAAATATAAAGAGAGAGGAATCCAAAACCATTTGAATAACATAAACTTAAATAGGATCCAAGTCATAATGAACTTGATGTGGTGACACCAGTAGTAGGGTATCACAAAACCAGTTATTTGTGGACGCTCTAGTAACGAAAGTTAATATCCGATTGAATTTAAATTTAGGCCACGAGGCGAAGAAGCCTATTGATTTTTATCGATTTCCGATAATAACTCCCATTGACCTCTTTGAAAACTCTTCTGGACACACTAGGAATTCTAGAGGCTACTGTTTATATCCGATTGACTTTAAATAACACAGTGTTAAAGGTCATGAGATGAAGAAGCCTGTTGACCTCTCTGAAAAAGCTTGTGGACGATCTAGAGGCTAAGTTAATATCCGATTCACTTTAAATTTATACACAGTGTTTATGACCGTAAGACGAAGAAGCCCATTGATTTTCAACAATTTCCAATAATTACTGCCAGTGTTGTGGCCCATGGCCTTTTTGAGAAATCTTGTGGATACTCTATGGACCAAAGCTATCATCCAACTGACTTTAAATTTATACACAGTGTTTAATGTCATGAGACGAAGAAGCCGATATCCGATAATTACTGCTAGAGTTACAGTCCTTGAGCTCTTTGAAAATTCTTGTTCTCACTCTACAGACCAAAGTTGTCATCCAATTGACCTTAAAGTTATACAGTGTTGATGGTCCTGAGATGACGAACCTTATTGAATTTTTAAACAAATTCTGATAATTATTGCAAGAGTTATGGCCCTTGATGACTTTGAAAATTGTTGTGAATGCTCTCAAGACCAAAATTATCATCCGATTGACTTTAAATTAATACACAGTGGGTTATGGTTATGAGACAAAAAAATATATTGATTTTCAGCAATTTTTGATATCTTGAAACGACTAAATCCATGATATTAAATGTTTTGTATACTAAACGTTAGCATGTGGCAGAACTAGAAGCCAAACAAATTCTAATGATTCCTGATAATTACTTAATGGGTTGATATTTGCTGTTTTTATTGTTATAGGGGTGGTTGTAGAACATTATCAGGAACAAGTGTTGCTTCACCTGTTGTAGCTGGTGCTGTTACTTTATTAGCCAGGTTTGTTTATTGTTAATTATCAATGAAATATAAAACTCATAACAAACAATAAGGTCAGCATTTTTATACAACCAAATTGAAATGTGGTTGTATATTGTAGTCACCCCCACCTGTGCTTTTGGATGCTTTAGAGGCTATGGTTTTCACCTGATTGATTGGACATTGATATTCAGTGTTTATGTTCGTAGATGAAGAATCCTATTGACTTTTAAAGGGACAATAACACTCTTGCTGGCTTGACAGCTCCAAAAAATAAAAAAATAGCCTTATTCTAAGTACTAGATGTGTTAGTGTCCTACCTGTTGTGTAAATTATCCATTAAATCCTATTTTACTTGTCCAGAGGGTTCAAAAATATTTTTAAATCTAAGTCACATTTGAAAAGCTTTACGTCAGGCTTTTCAAATCATTTAGTTGAATTTTTCCAATTTTTTAAATTAGGTGTGTTAAGATGAAATTTGCATCATCAATTAATTGGAATATTGTAAAATAGTACAATTTGTTGACCAGAATAAAGATTGGGACATATTATTCAGTTACAACAAGAGTGGTATTGAGCCTTTAACAATTTCCAATAATTACTGCTAGATTTATGACCCTTGATCACTTTGAAAAATCTTAAGACTCTGAAGAGGCTCAAGTTTTTGCCTGATTCTCAATGAAATTTTAACTATTACTTAATGGGCTGTTAATCTTGAAATACTTGCATTACCTACAAAAGAATACGTATATGACAACTCTTGAAATTGGACAACTTAGCTGCATGTTGTGGGCGTATGCTTCATAGCCTAGCAACCTACATAAACAGTATTTTTTTTTCTATGACAAAAGAAGTATTTAATTGAAATAATAGTCAGATTTTAGTAACAAATTAAGACGATTTAACTACTGATTGTCAAATATGTTGATCCTAAAATTTATATTTACAAACAATAAAAATACAGTAAAACTGAGAAAATGCAAATCTGTATTGTAAAATTTCTGTTATACAAATTTATACAATTTTTAGTGCTGTTCTTGATCGTAAAGATATATTAAATCCAGCCAGCATGAAACAAGCTTTAATGGCATCTGCCAGAAGATTACCAGATGTGAATATGTTTGAACAGGGTTTTGGTAAACTTGATTTATTAAGAGCTTACCAGACATTAAGAACTTATAAACCACAAGCAAGGTGAGTACAATGATATTCAACTCAGTATTATAGGTCACTCTCGTATACAGCCATATTTTAATTCTATATTCCATATAAATCATCCTCTGTAATACAAGTTGTTATGAATTGTGACTAATAAAACCTGCTCCACTCAGTCCATTTCATTATATTTCTGACTCGCAATAACAACTATGGTTTAGTCTTAGGTTCGTGATCAAAGTGGTATCAAGTTGCAGCAGTTATGACCATTTAACAAACTACTAATCACCAGTTCAAATCCACCTTTGTTGGTATTAATCTTTAGAACAATGAACTAACCAATGTTACGTCACTTACAACAAAGTCAGAAATAACCTATTTATGAAATAGGCTAAATCAGCAGAAATTATAGAAAACGTCCATGTACAATTTATAACATGATTTGTTACAGTGTACTATAAACAAAAATCACAAACAAAAACATAGTAACAGACTTGTAATCGACATTAAAGATTAGACAGCATTATTATGATATATTAAAGAATCAGTTTATAACACAAATGGTTCCTTCACCACATATTCCGATGTTACGTGGGTCAAACTATTTTGGAACCTGCGATGATACTGTAGCTAGTTTTTTGGGTAAATTATGGCTATGACATGACTTGACTAGGTTTAATGAAAGAAAAGTTTTATTTTCCCCCACCTTTCGAAGAAAGCAGGGGACTATTAAAATGGGTTCGTCTGTCTGTCTCTCCCTCTCTCCCTCTGCCTGCTTGCCTGCCAGCTCGTCTGTCCTCCCATCACACTTTTTGGGACACAATAACTTTCCTTGTGATTGAGCTAGAATGTTCAAACTTTGTGTAGGTGTTTATTAGGCGAATGTCTTGATGGGAGTTCAAGCAAAGATATTCAATTTGATAAGTTGATGCTTTTGGACACAATAACTTTAGTTCTAATTAAGTGAGGGTGATGAAATTTGGTGTATAATTCCATTACATCAATACCTTGACAAGTTTGATAATGAGCATTTTCTGCTCAGGGTAAGCAGAGCAATAAGCAATTTGATTGGTCGAGACTTTGGAACACAATAACTCCTTCAAATTGAGGTAGAATTTTCAAACTTGGTGTAGGCGTTGATTAGGTGAATGCCTTGATGTTGTTCGAAGATGAACATTGTCTGCTTAGGGTAAGCAGAGATAAGCAATTTGATTGGTTGATGCTTTGGGACACAATAACTTTAGTTCTAATTAAGTGAGAGTAATGAAACTTGGTGTATAGTTTCGTCATATCAATACCTTGACTAAGTTTGATTATGAGACCATTTTCGGGTCGGGTAAGCAGAGCGATCAGCAATTTGATTGGTTGAGACTTTGGAACTCAACAACTTTTTTTCTAGTTCAGGGATACTAGTGGAACTTTGTGTATAGTTTCATTACATCAATACCTTAAGTTTGATGCTGAGCATTTTCAGCTTGTGCAAAGTAGAGACTTCAATCTGATAGATCGAGACTTTGGAACACAATAACTCTCCTTCTAATTGAGGTAGAATGTTCAAATTTGGTGTAGGTGTCTATTACGTGAATGCCTTGACATAGTTCATTCATGAGTAATTTGATTGGTTGAGACTTTGGAACAGAATAACTTTGGTTCTAATTGGGTGAGAGTGATGAAAAAGTTTGAGTATAGATCCATTATATCAATACACTGACTAAGATCGGTAATGAGAATTTTCTGCGAAGGCTACCGGTAAGTAGTGATAAGCAATTTTATTGATCAAGACTTTGGAACATAGATGTTAATTAGGCGATTGTCTTGACTGAGTTCAATGATTAATACATGTATTTCCTATTAAAGCTAAGCAGAGCTTAGCAATTTCTTTGGTCAATGCTTTGGGACAAGATAACTTTGATACTGCCAGTTACTTCAAAACGTGAGTTTGATAGTCAACATTTTATGCATAGATAATCAGTTTGATTACTCGATACTTTTGAAAAAGATAAATGAGTAATTAATTAATATGTTAAATCTTTTTATTTTCGGATTTCGGCAGGGGACATGAGCCTCACTGTTGGCTTGTTCTCTACGACATTTGTCCAACTGGATCAAAATCCAACCATCAAATATCAAGGTTACTTAGCTATACGCGAAAATGGTGTCAAGCATGTCAGGGAATTATTGCGACATTTTAATGATTATCATCTCTCATCATCCAGTGTATACAAAAATATATACTCTTGTTGGCAGTCAGTCTTCTTTAAAAATGTGATACGCCAGAAGGGAGGATCATGTGGCGCAATGAAATATATATCACATTTCAAGGTTCTACATCATCATTTTATTTATGATGTTTATAGAATTGACTTAGATAATTTTCATGTGGACGTATATTGTCGTCGCCCCAGTCCATCCGTCCGTTCACATTTGTCTGTTGACACTCTACAGGTCACAATTTTAATCTGATTTTGACGAAATATGGGTCTATCTCCCAAAGATCTTGGTTACTTTCAATATTGATATGTATTGGACCATAACTTAATGGAATATGGCCCCTGATTGTACGAAAAATGACATTTTTAGCTTGTGGACAATCTAGAGGTCACAATTTTCACCTGATTTTGATGAAACTTGAAATGCATGTTTATAACCCAAAGATTTTGGTTCCTTTCAATATTTGCGCATATCGGATTGTAACTTATTGAATTATATGGCCATTGATTGTACAAAAAATTACATTTTTAGCTTGTTGTCCTTCTGGAGGTCTCAATTATTATCCAAATTAAAAACCAGTTCGAATATATCACCGTTTTGCCGGATAAAATGGCCGTCTCTTGTACGCAAAAAGTGTAAACATATGGTATATGAAGGTTGTGGACCCTCTAGAGGTCACAATTTTGATCTGATTTTGATGAATCTTAAAATACATGTTTATAACCCAAAGATCTTGGTTCCTTTCGATATTCGCGCATATTGGATCTTAACTTCCTAAATTGTTGCCCTTGATTGTACGAAAAATCACATTTTTAGCTTGTGGTCCCCCTAGAGGTCACAATTTTTATCCAATTTAAAAAATTGTGTAAATAAATCACCGTTGCACCCTAATCATGGTTGAGATCGAATTTTGTGAAAATCTGACCGAAACTGCCGGACAAAATGGCGCCCCTTGTATGCAAATAGTGTAAAAAATATGGTATATCAAGGTTGTGAACCCTCTAGGAGACACAATTTTGATCTGATTTTGATGAACCTTTAAATTTATTTTTATATCACAAAAATCTCGATTCCTTTTGATAATTGCGCATATTCTAACATAGCTTGCTGGATTATGGCCCCTGATTGCTTGAAAAATCGCAATTTTAGCTTGTGGACCTGTTAAAAGTTACAATTTGTATTCAATTGTAAAAAACGTTTAAATATATCACCGTTACACATCAATGAAGGTGAAGTTAGGATTTCGTTAAAATCTGACCGAAACTGCCAGACAAAATGGCCGGTACTTGTACGCAAATAGTGTAAAAGTATGTAATATCAAGGTTGTGGACACTCTAGCAGTCACAATTTCTATCCGATTTTGATGAAACTTGAAATATATGTTTACAATCCAAAAAACGTGGATCGGACAGTAACTTTTTTGATTATGGCCAATGTTTGTACGAAAAGTCATGTTTATAGCTTGTGGATCCACTAGACTAGAGGTCACAACTTTTATCCAATTTTAAAAAACGTTTAAATTTATTACCGTTACACCCTAATGAAGGTTGAGTTCCAATTTCTTGCAAATCGGACCAAAACAGTCTGACAAAATGTCAGCTCCTTGTATGCAAATAGTGTAAAAGTATGTCATACCAAGATTGTGAACCCAAGTCACAATTGTTATCAGATTTTAATGAAACTTAAAATTTATGTTTATGTCCCAAAGATCTCGGTTCCTTTCACTATTTGCGCATGTCAGACCATCACTTCCTGGATTATGGCCCCTGATTGTACGAAAAATCACGTTTTTTAGCTTGTGGATTCTCTAGAGGTCACAATTTTTTTTATCCGATTTTAAAAACTGTTTAAATATATCACCATTCCACCATAATGAAGGTTGAGTTCAAATTTCGGGAAAATCGAAATGAAACTGCCAGACAAAATGGCAAATTGTGTAGAAAATATGTAATACGAAGGTTGTGACTGGTTCCCAGAATTTTAGAAAGTCGGCTTTTGTAGAGCACTGCACTGCCTCCAGTGAACATAAAACGTCACTTGAACACGAAGATCGACTATTAAAAGATGTTCTACCAAAACAGTTCCATTAGAGTTCCGACGAGTATTTACGGGGGATGATGTAGATAAAGTAAGAAAATAGTGTACTTGCGATGAATTAATATTTCTTGTTATTGTTATATTTCATTTATGTATAAATAAATAAATGATGATTGATTACATGTGTTCCTTTATTGCGGGGTTGGGTAGGTGGGTATAAATGCTGAAGTGAGATTAAATTTCTGTGTGACTGTCCTTGACCCAATTAAACCCGATTGGCATTTCAATATCGTGTTATTTTGTGGCTTCTTATTGTGTGATAAAAATAGCACCATTTTCTCCGCGTGAAAAATGACCAGCTGGGAAAATTTTAAAGTGGAAGTCCTGTTGTGGACCCTCTAGAGGTCACAATTTTTATCAGTCCCTTTCGATATTTGCGAATTTCAGACCATAACTTTCTGAATTATGGCGCCTGATTGTACGAAAAATCGCTTTTGTTTTTAACTTGTTCCTATAAATCTCTTGCAAAATGTGGGCTTATCTTGCCTGGCAACCGCTGGTTTGAGATAAAAAAATGGTTATGCAGCCAGTTATTGATTCATCAGCATCTGAAAACTATTTTTTGCAGTGTCTTATAATTTTTTTTTTTCAGTTTAAGTCCAAGTTATATAGATCTAACAGAATGCCCATATATGTGGCCGTATTGTACACAACCTATATATTATGGTGGTATGCCTGTTATCGTTAATGTAAGTTTTATTTCTACTTATTGATGACTTATCTGTCTTATTACAGGTCTTTTTTCTGGCTTTAAATGTTATATAAACTATTATTTAGACAATTATTCACATAATGAGTCCATAATCAACTGCCTAGGCCATCAGATGGCTTAGATATTCAATGGATTAGAACCCTCTCGCCATTTAATGATTTGACGATAAATGGATGATGACGAAAATTTGTTTATTAATGTAGCAATGGTACTTGACAGTTAAGACTAACTTGACAAAATTTCAAACACTCATAGCTTTATCTAAATCTTACATAATGTATCTTCAAGGAGGTAACACTGACATTTAAGAGGAAAATGAAGGTAGCCTGATATACTTCTGAATGCCTCTGAGTGCCATCTTCCCAACGATCTTAAAATTTGAACATTTGTTAGTCCTTTTTGTGCTGTTTTAGCACTCAAAGTCCATATAATCAAACTTTTGTGCTGTTTTAGCACTCAAAGTCCATATAATCAAACTTTTTGTCCCCCCACCTTTCGAAGAAAGCAGCGGACTATTAAAATGAGTCTGTCCGGTACACTTTTTGGGACACAATAACTCTCCTTCTAATTGAGCTAGTATGTTTAAACTTGGTGTAGTATAGATGTTGATTAGGTGAATGTCTTGATGGAGTTCGAAGATGAGCTTTTTCTGCTTAAGATAAGCAGAGATGATCAATTTGATTGGTTGATGCTTTGGGACACAATAGTCGTTAGTTCTAATTAAGTGAGAGTGATGAAACTTGTGTTATAGTTTCATTACAGCAATACCGTAAGCAATTTGATTGGTCAAACTTAGGAACACAATAACTCTCCTTCTAATTGAGCTAGAATGTTTACACTTGGCATATTTGCTTCAATTCCCTCTCAAAATTTTGCATTCGCTGGGGATACCTGTAGCTATAAGTAAGCTGTTGTTAGACGTAATGTCTGTCAACTTAACTTCATTGTGGGAGGGTCCATTTTTCAGAATGTTTTTATCATTATTTACTGTACATTTACCATACATATTGAGGCCTAAGTAAATTCTTAATTATTTCTGTCAACTTCTTTTTCCGCCGTTTAATTGCATAGTCTTTGTACGTTGACACCCCTCAATGTTCCCAAAACCGCCTAACCATATGATCAAGAAATAAAAACCGTTCCCCCACTTAAGCTGGCACACAATAAGCTGGAAGATAACAGTCGGGTTGCCAGTTAGTGATACCCTGACAATTTTGCCCAGTGCTTGCCCCATGGGCGCTTTTCGGGTAATCCAGTATTTTTCTAGTAAGATTGGGTGTCTATACTTTCCATATATACCAAACTTGACATACTTTTATTGGAAATAACCACCCGACAAATACTTTTCTGGGAAAGTATCTTTAACAAAGTTCGAAGCTGAACATTTTCTGCTTAGGCAGAGACCTTAATCTGATTAGTCGAGACTTTGGAACACAATTAACCCTTCTTCTAATTGAGGTAGAATGTTCAAACTTGGTATAGGTATCTATTAGGTGAATGTCTTGACAGAGTTCGATCATGCGCATTTTCTGCTTAGGGTAAGCAGAGATAAGCAATTTGATTGGTTTAGACCATGGAACAAGATAACTTTGGTTCTGATTGGGTGAGAGCAATGAAACTCCAAGTATAGATTCATTATACCTATACCTTGACTAAGTTCGATGATGAGAATTTTCTGCTTAGGCTAAGTAGCGATAAGCAATTAAATTGGTCAAGAATTTGGTTTAACTATGCTTTTAATTGAGGTAGAATGTTTAAACTTGATGCAGATGTTCATTAGGTGAATGTTTTGACTGAGTTCAATGATTAACAATTCTGGCTAAAGTTAAAAAGACCTAAGCAATTTCATTGGTCGATGCTTTGGGACAAGATAACTTTGATTCTAACTGATGGAGAGGGATGAAACTTAGTGTATAGTTTTACTAACAGGTACTTCAATACCTTGACTGAGTTTGATCGCGAAAATTTTATGCTTAGACTAAGTATAAATAATCAGTTTGATTGCTCGATACTTTTGAAAAAGATAAATACATTTGGTTTTCATGTAGTTTGATAGCCCAGTGTCTAACTCAGACCAGACAAGACCATTTTCCAAACTCAAACCAAGACATCTGCCAGCCCCTACTTAAAAATTAATTGCCCACATTTTTATGTAAACCTAATGCACAAAGCTACCAGAATAAACCGACCGACAATACATACCAAATTTTACCAGTCAAAAACTACCACAAACCATAATACCAAACAGCATAACGTCTAAATGGACTAGAAATATCATATTTAACTATATACATGTACATTTTCCGAGGTACTTGATTAATCCAGTTCCAATAAATCAGGGATGATATTTCAAACTTTTACACATCGGACATTTTTAGTTGGGGTTAACTGAGTCCAGAATTGGGTCACCAGAAGTTGTCCGCTTCAAGAAATAAGGTCATTAAGTTTTCATTCCCTTTAATGGATTTCAACTGGAAATATTTCTTATGTCATGTAGCATAACATAATGTTCTGAATAATGTTTATGTTAAGTACAAAAAATTAGGTGGTCCTAATTTCTATACGTCCACATTCATAATGAGAACGTATATTGCCATCGCCCCTGTCTGTGTGTATGTATGTATGTATGGGTGGGTGTATGTGTGTGTGTGTATTTGCGTGTCTGTGGGTCGCCTACAGGCTGCAATTCGTAATGGATTGTCTTGAAACTTTGCATACTTATTCCTTTTACCTTAAAGATGATCCCTATTGTTTTTGGTGCATGCCCAACCCCCAGGGGAAAGGCACTTTCAAAAATTTGCATGCGCATAGGGGTCTTTAGCAGTGGGAGGAAACTGGAGGACCTGGAGAAAAACACACCAGTTGACTCTGTGACAGACCTTATGATACAACACGCACATGCTAACCATTCAGCCATCTAATCACCCACAATTCTTAAAGGATCATCTTGAAAACTTTTCATACTTATTCCTTATATCCTAAGGAGGACCTCTATTATTTTTTGGTGCATGCCCAACCCCCTGGAACAGAGCCATGACCAATTTTTGAAACTTTGCATACCTATTCTTTATACCCTATAGGCCGCAATTCTTAATTGATCATATTGGAACTTGGCATATGTATTCCTTATAGCCTAAGGGTAGCAACTATTGATTTTGGTGCATGTCCCAACCCCAGGGGCAGAGCCACGTCCAATTTTGTGTTTATCGTTTACAGGCCGCAATTCTTAATGGATTATCTTGGAACTTGACGTATGCATTCCTTATAGCCTAAGGACGGCAACTATTGATTTTGGTGCATGCCCTTACCTCCAGGGGTCAAGCCACGTCCATTTTTCATTTTTAGCATCTGAAGGCCACGATTCTGAATGGATTTGCTTTGAACTTTGTATACCCTAAGGACATCTACTATTTTCTGTAAATAGGGCTAAATAATCTACAGGTTGCAATTATTAACAGACTTGCATCCAATTTGGCATGACCCATCAAAGGGTTGTACCTGTTTGTATTGTTCCATATCCATCCAAACTCCCCCCCTCCCCCACACACACACTAACACACACACACACACACACACCCACACACATCCCGGGTTCGAACCACGCCCAATTTTTATGTTAATCATCTACAGGCTGCAATACTGAATGGATCATCTTGGAACTTTTCATATTTATTCCTTATACCGTAAAGACAACAATTATTTGTTTTGGTGCATGCCCCAACCCCCAGGATTACGAAAGTATATTGCAGCAGTACCAATGCTCTCTTTCATATTTAATTCCCGTACTGGCTTCAACTTTACATCAGTAACATTTCTCAATAATTACCTGTCTTCATTTGTACAATAGAAAACGAAATCGAAACATTCTTGATAAGAATAGTTTGTAATATCATTTCATTTTATCATGGTATTTTAAAATTACACTGGCAGTTTAATCATTTGTAAGAAGGTATAGCCCACTTCCGCGTATTATCGTGTCTGTTATTTGCCTACCCTATGTGATCTTTAGCACACAATTCGTGCGAAAATCAAAGATTTTACGATTTTCGTAGTAAGTAGGGCCTTATATGGTAAGCAATGATTTTCGTATGACAGCGAAATTGCAAGGGAGTGCCACTGTAGATGGGTATTTCTATATGGGTATTTCTTAAAAGATGTAGTTTCATTACGAAAAATAAATTATAAAGGTGTTTATTAATATTTTTCAGTGTATTAGGTGCACTTTTTTTTACCAAGTTCGACTCACCCAAATTTAATTCACAACCCGACACCCTGTTACCATACTTTTTAGCGGTTCGTCTCGTAGCCATTCTGAATAAATAATTTTTTAAAATTTGATGGAAAGTTTGTTGGTTTCTATACATTGCTGTAAATTTTACATCTAACCATTTCAAATTACCGATAGTTTTCATGCAACATAGATTCACTGATGATCCATTGTTATAATTTACCGGTATCTTTAATTATCTACCGGTGATTTGTCACCGTATGCTTTATGAAGTTGTTTGTAGTTAACAAAATCATTGTTTCTTTGATTGATATTACAAATGCTATTGTATTATTTTACTGATAGATCTAAATGGCTACAATCTAGGTATTGCTAAGACGCGTGTAGTGGGCAGGGCAATGGACGCCATCATTTGATTGTCAGTTGTTTGGATAGTATAAAGTAAACAAGAATTATTGTTTCTCTTTTACCGGTAGTCAGGATTAAAGTCGTGAGTAGCTGATCATGATAAATTATTTCTACCGTTAATATTTCATTTGTTTATCATCAATACCTAGTCTTCATTCAATAGTTGTGTAAGACCAAGAAGTTGACCGTTTGATTAAATTGACTGAGTTTTGATATATATATTGTGCACACTTCCCAAATCCTAAACATGAAAAAATGTTTTCTGTTGACTATTAAATGTTTTTGTGTTATATTTACAGGTAACTATATTAAATGGAATGGGTGTATCAGGTGTTATAGTAGATAAAGTGAGTATTGTATTATTATAGTAACTGTGTATGATTTGCATTTTATCAGAAAATTTTTAGTCAGTCTGATTATTTAACCTTTAATTAAAGATGCATTATGTAAGATTTAGATAAGAGCTGGCTGTTCTTGCTATAATTCAAAATTAATATATTCAAAATTTTATTCTGAGCGATGTTACACTGTTTAATGTTTTGACATAGATTGTTTATTGTCGTAGCAATGTTACTTGTATTTTGAGACTCAGCCTCGCTACTCCATTTTTAAATTAAATCTGCATCATCCAATGATCTAGAGAGTTGGTTTGTCATGTGAATAAATCTCTAAAATATATTGCTGGCACAATATATTATTGAATCGATGTAACACGATTCATCTCCCGATTCGCGTATTGAATTGCGAGATTTTATTTAAGATTCAACGTTTACAATATAGTAGTTTGCAAGGGATTCCTTTATTGCTCAAACCACGCAATTTATAGTTGCACCATGATTTGCTCTGTTCATCTACTCCTCACAAATCCTGTATATGTTTACATTAACACATATTCTGATAAAGGTTGTTACTTCACGTATTGTTGAATTTGTTTATCGACATAGCTCTCAGCAACTTCCTTTTTCAACTAACCCTATACATAAGATCTTGATATTTATATTGTGTGACTAAATAAACATTGTTTTATTCATTTTCAGCCAAAATGGGAACCTTATTCTCCACATTTTGGAAGTAATATCGAAGTATCTTTTTCCTATTCTCAAACATTATGGCCATGGTCAGGATTTCTTGCCGTTTCCATTTCTGTTGCTAAATCTGCTGCATCCTGGGAAGGAATAGCGCAAGGGCAAGTTACTCTTACGGTAGAGACGGCTTCAGAGGTAATTATTGGTTTATTTATTGAATTTGTGTTTTGAAAAAAAGAAAATCATTTTAAAATCTGATATTTTTTTTTATTATTCCTAGATGTAAAAGATATTAATGATGCTATACTGCTAGTCTGTCACAATAATAAATGATTTTTTAAAAATATTATCTCTCATATTTTTGCTAGGAAGAAGATGTTGACTCGAAGAAATCCACAATAAAACTACCCATTAGAGTTAAAATTATATCTACTCCACCAAAAAGGTAGAGATTACACATATAGCTCATTAGCTTATTTATTTGTTTCTGAACATACTTCATATTGTCCAGCATTTTTCTCAACCTTTACTCACACGTCTTGATCATATTTGGTTGTATATAGGATCTATACATTTTGGTTGCCATCCATAATCGTTCTTCACATTTTTCAGTCTAGCTCCTAGATGCATCAAATGATTTTAAAGCGATAGTTTATGTTTAAAATATGTTGAAATAAAGCCTTAAAACACATGGAATTTTTATACAGCCTATTATTATCCGATTAAAAAAAACCTTCGAATATATCGCCTGATGAAGGCTGAATTTGAATTTCGTGAAAATTAGACCAAAACTGCCAGACAAAATGGCCACCTCTCATACACAAGTAGTGTAAATATATGGCATATTAAGGTGGAACCTTGAGAGGCCACAATTTTCATGGATTTTGACGAAACTTGAAGTACATCTTGGTTCCTTTCAATATTCGTGCATATCGGATTGTAACTTCCTGAATTATGGCCCTTGATTGTATGAAAAATTGCGTTTTTAGCTTGTGGATCCTCTTTATCTAATCTTCCATAATGTATCTTTAAGTAAACATTTTTTTTATAGTCTATGGAGTGGTTGCTTTCAGTCTCCATTGAAACAATTGTTTTTGTAAACATATATATCCAAAGTAACTTTTATTGAATTCTTTCAGTAAACGGATATTATGGGATCAATATCATAATTTACGCTATCCTGCTGGATACTTTCCTCGAGATAATTTACGTATGAAAAATGACCCCTTAGATTGGTAAGTTCAATTGGTAGAAGTTCATTGTTATAATATTAGATATTTTATTGACTTAAATAGTGTTTAGCTATACTATTTTATCTCAAATATTTTGGTCAATATATTACACTGCATCTATTTGTTAGTCAGTTTATCAAATTGTATCTCTTTCTAAGTCAGTATATCAAATTGTATACGTCTAAGTCAGTATATCAAATTGTATCTATTTCTAAGTTGTAAGTCAATATGTCACATTGTATCTATTTTTTTAAGGAATGGAGATCACATTCATACTAATTTTAAAGATATGTACCAACATCTTAGAAATAATGGTTATTTTGTTGAAGTTCTTGGTAGGTCTAGTTATTTTTTTATACTTATGTTTGGAACTCTTAATTCCTATATTATGTATAGGATAATGTTAATATTGGTGAATATTGTTATTTGCTGTGTAGACTGTAAGCAGTCCTTACATATTTTATTAACACACTCTTTCAGTTTTATTTTTGTCCTTTTTTTAAGCTCTCACTTTGTGATACCACTATTCCTTTTTTTTGCAGTGGTATAATTTTCAATTTCTTATGAAAATTAGAATCATATTAGTATGACTGGGGTTTATTTTTCAGGTTCTCCTTTCACTTGTTTTGATGCTAGTCAGTATGGTAGGTAAAACAGAATATTTGAATTACATAAATATTTAAATGATGAACATATTATTCAGAAATAATTTCTAAATTTTTTGATATATCAACAAAATCATTAAATATAGTTTGCCAGATTGTAATCTTGTGACTTATTTTCTATCTAGTATCTGTGGCTTCTGAAATCTACATCTAATCTGTGCCTTTAGTCACTTTGTTAGTTAGAGTTAGTTGTATGTGTACTGTGTCTAAGAGTTAGTTATATTGTATCTAAACAGTCTTTGCTAACTCGCCATCCACTTAACTAAAACATATAATGTGGACTGTTTTTAGGTACCCTATTATTAGTTGATGCTGAAGAAGAGTATTTTCCTGAAGAAGTAACTAAGTTAAAGAGAGATATAGATAATGGTTTATCCCTTATTATATTTGGTGACTGGTATAATGTCTCTGTCATGAAAAAAGTTAAATTTTATGATGAAAATACCAGGTAAGAAATAGTAAAGTTTTAAAACATACATTTGAAATTTCAAAAATGAGATGTCTTCAAAGAAAAGTTTTTAATAATGGCAAATGTAAAATTGCTTCAGTCACACAAAACCATAAAAAAATAAAATAAATCAAACCATGTTAGTCTCAAATTAACTGAAATAGTATGTTTATGCGACATCATTCCCAGTTCAATTCCATTCTACTTAACAAAGTGCACTGTAAATCATAAAGTGTGCTATCCGTACAAGAAATTGGGTTCGATCCCAGGCTTGTATGTGAGGAGGTGAATGGTGACCTCCAACTTTAAAAGAACATGAATTATTGAAATAGAGATACATGTACTGGTATGAATATCAATGTAATGACCATGATAATCTTGAGTGGATGTTAAACCCTATTCTCTCTGATTTTAGTTGATTTCATGTAAGTTTTAATTGTTATTTTAGACAATGGTGGATGCCTGATACAGGAGGTGCCAATATTCCAGCTATTAACGATCTATTATCACCACTTGGTATGGCTTTCAGGTAATTATTCCACTGATTTGTTTTTAAATATCTATGAACTTGATAATATTTGGTAGGATAATCCATTTGTTTATGGTCTCTATGGTCAGCATGGTCACCCGGCTTACTAAGTAAATTTCTACTACAGCTATTCTAATAATTAAATTTTATCCTGTAATTGGGCCTATTTCTGCTATAGATGTTCTAATAATGAAATTATGTCCTGTACCAAAAGTTTAAGTTTTGTGTGACGACTCAGTGAACATGCCCTACGACACTTGTCATCATTATATTGTTGTTAATGTAATAAAGAGACTACAATTTTTTGCAGATTTTTATAGGCCTACATTTTAGTGTGGGCGTGTTATGCTATCGCATTTGTGCGTCAGCAATTGGCTTGTGAACAGGATACAGGCTACATTTTTTTCTTCATATTTAGTGTGAAGAACCATATACATATTCACCGTTCTGTGACCTTCCGTTCCTGAGTTACCCCCCTCCCTCCCCTTTTCTAAAAACCTTGGGAGTGCTAGAAGACCTACAGTTTTTAACAGATTTTTTAAAAATTTGGGCAATATTAGATTTGTAATAATCATATTTCTATTTCTATTATAGTGATCAAGTTTTAGAAGGTGATTTTAGTATGGGAGATCATGATAGTAAGTACTACTATTACACAATATATATCAGTGATATTCTAGAGTATCAAGACTCATCAAGTCTAAGATTGTATTTGCTCAATCTCCTCAAGAATAATGATCGAGTAATGCAGAGAATATTTGGTTACAAAACATGCACAAACTTAATAAGAAAGTGACTTCGTTAATCAGGACATTTGAAATATTCCGGATTTATAATTGAGTATCCTATCCATATCAATAATGGATAACTGCACTCACTGCAGTGAAGTAACATATTTATTTTTATTTACAGTGTATTATGCATCAGGGACTAGTATAGCCAGATTTCCTGATGCTGGTGTCCTAGTTACACATACTCTAAAAAATCAAGGTAACACTGCATCTTCATTTTTATCAACATATTGTTCCCATTGGTTTTTTAAACCATCTTATTTCATCAGTTCTTGTAGTTTGTTCTTTGATGTAATGTCTGTGGTTCTGATACCATTTGTCATTTGGGTAGGAATTTAGAACCAATTTTGAATGCAAGTCACATAACAATTCTCCAAGGCAGTAGGAACTTGTATCATAGAAAATAAATTAGTTTGTTACTGTGTTACTTCATTCATTTTTACACACCCACATGGAAATATGGTCGTATATTGCTTTCCCCTCTGTCTGTCAGTCCGCCATCCCCAATTTTTTGTGAACCCTCTACAGACTACATTTATCATCTGATTGTTTTGAAATTGATATATGTTGTTAACATTAGTGCGATGAAGAAGCCTATTTAATTTCAGCAATTTTCGTTTATTAGTCTAGAGTTATGGTCCTTGTTTTACTTTGTTGAACCATGTGAACGCTCGAACAACAAAAGTTATCATCCAATCTGTATGAAATTTATATGCATAATTTAAATTAGTGAAACGAAAAAGCCTGCCAAATTTCAACAATTTTGGAAATGACTTCCAGAGTGAAGGCCCTTGTTTCAGTTTGTAGAACCTTGTGAACCCTCAAACGACTAAAATTATAATCTGCTTATCTGTATGGAATTTTCTTGTAAATGCCCCCGATTACCTACAAAAGAATAAATATGTGATATCCTTGATCGACAGCTGGGACGATTTAGCTGCTGTGGGCGTATGTTTTGTTGCCTGGCAACCTATCTTAATTAAGGTGTATTGTTTGTTTCAGGATATGAAGTGTTAAAAGCTGAGACACAAATGGCTGAGAATGTACCTATATTAGGTTTATATCAAACACATAGTAAATTGACTGGTGGTAGAGTTGTATTATATGGTGATTCAAACTGTTTAGATACTAGTCATCTACAAAAAGGTACAAATTTCTAGTTAATTATATTTAATTTGTTCAAATGTATATTTTCAAGGGGAAAATGGTGGCTTTGATAATTCATGTGAATGTTTATATTGTTTTGTGTTTCAGATTGTTTCTGGTTATTAAGTGCTCTGTTAGAATATACTGCATATGATAATATGCCTTCAATGTTTACATCATTAGATAAAATACGTCTTCCATCACCTGCTGAATTACCTGATAGAATGGAAGGTAGGTGGAATGTCAGTATGACTTTAATATTGAACCAAGTCAAATAATTTATTTGGCAGGTTTAAGATGCAGAATGTTAGAGAGAGTTTACAAAGTGTTGACTCCCATCTATTACTATAAGGTCTTGTTACTATTGTGTTTGCAGTGGTTGTTTTATGTTAACAATTACTGCATATTAGTAAATTAAACATTTGAATTATTTCCTAATATATATATATTTTTAAGGAATATATAATGTGAAGAAAGACAATAAGAGGAATTTTTAACTATTGAAATTTGTATGTTTTACAGGAAATCATCTGCATCGTTATTCTAAAGTTATAGAAGGTAACCTTGGAACCCCAATATCCCGACCTTTACCCCCTTGTCCTAGTTTAATATGGGCACCACCACATCCCATCAATAAATCAGCACCAACGTAAGTTTCTATTAACCTATTTTATGTTTAAACATAATTTCTAGTTTGGCTATATATAGATTATTTACGTTTTGTTGAGAAATTTTGTAGTTGATTGAACCTGGTTGTAGTATAGCTTGTGCATAAACAAAAGAGGAGACTCTTGTCAAGTTGAATCTAAATGAGAGAATGCTGACATGTTCCAGGCAATGAAATTCCCTTTCTCATCTGAAAGAGTAAATCATTTAAATATAAATACACATACTCAAAGAAAAGATCATTGTTCATATTTTTTCTTTCAGGAATTTATACCAACCACAGAAATTAATGTCTGTAGGAATTGAAGCACCATTACCAATGATGAAAAAGGAAAGAGATGAATTGATTGATATTAAACCTGGTTTATTACCAGAACAACCTTTAAATGGACCTATTGTCTTACAGGAGTCATCTAATGTTTATCCTATTTTAGCTTTTATAGGCACAGGACTTGTAGTCTTATTTCTACTCAACCAATACTATCAGAGTCGTTCACGACCAAAACGAAAACGCACAAAGCCTCGCTCTCGGAAATTTCAGCAGTTGATTTATGGTGCGAAGCTTCCTGGTGTTTGAATAATCTGTGATATGTGAATTTATTTATGGAACCCTTTTCTGTGTTCAAAATATAAGGAAGTAACTTCAAAATGATGATAATCTACTATGTAAGATAATGCAAGGGAATTTGTTGTTTAAACTACCATGCAATAATATTGTATAATTTAAAAATTATGGCCAGAATCATAGTGTTAATCCAGAATGTTCTATATAGATAACAGGGTAAAATTCAGTATATTAATTCATTATTGTTGATGAGTAAAATTAATGGAACCATATGCAGTGTATTGTTAAAAGCTAATTGTTGTGTATACTTGTATATAGCCAATAAGACACAAGAACAAAAAAACTTTAATGAAAGGGTAGTGTGCCAGTGATGCTACTGGTACATCTCTTAAATTGATTCACTGGTTAAATAGACATTATGTAAGATTTAGATAAAGAGCTGGCTGTTCTTGCTATAATAGTTCAAAAATAGATAATGCAAAATGAATATTTTGAAACTTTCATTCAAATTACTTTATTCAGAGCGAAATTATCATTGTTTGAAGTTTTGAGAAGATGTGGCATAGATTATTATTATCATAACAATGGTATTTGTTGTTCGAGGATTAGCTTCGCTTCGCAATTTTTATACATGGATGTATATTGTCGTCACCCCTGTCTGTCCTGAGGACAGGTCACAATTTTTATCTGATTTTGACGAAACGTGAAATATAGATCTATCTCCCAAAGATCTTTGTTCCTTTCGATATTCGCACTTATGGTATCATAACCTTCTGGGATATGGCCCCTAATTGTACGAAAAATCACGTTTTTAACTTGTGGTCCCTCTAGAGGACAATATACACCATAATGATGGTTGAGTTCGAGTTATGTGAAAGTCGGACCGACACTGTCGGAATGCCTGCTCTTCGTACGCACATAGTGTAAAAGTACGGTATATCAAGGTTGTCTTCCCTCTTGAGGTCACAATTTTGATCCGATTTTGATGAAACTTGAAATACATGTTTATATCACAAACATCTCGGTTCCTTTTGATAATTGAACATATCCGAGCGTATAACTACCTGAATCATGGCTCCTGATTGTTCGAAAAATCACGTATTTGGCTTGTAGACCCTCTAGTGGTCAAACTTTGTATTCAATTTTAAAAACTGTTCAAATATATCCTTGGTATACCCGCAATAAGCTTGAGTTCGAATTTCGTAAAAATCCAACCGAAACTGCTGGACAAAATGGCTGCTTCTTGTATGCAAATAGTGTAAAAGTATGTAATACCAAGGTTGTAGACACACTAGAAGTCAAATTTTTATCCAATTTTGATGAAACTTAAAATATATCTTTATATCCCAAATATTCAGTCCATTTCGATATTCGCACATTTCAGACCATAACTTCCTGGATTATGGCCCCTGATTGTATGAAAAAACGCTCTCTTTTTTTTCTTTTTTTTTTAGCGTGTTCTCTTTCCATCTCTTGCAAAATGTGGGCTATCTTGCCTGGCAACCGCTGGTGGATAGACACGTATGGAATATGTACTGATATTCATGGGCTAAATATCCAAAGTTTCTTGTGAACACTCTTTAGACTACATTTATCATCTGATTGTTTTGAAATTGATATACGTTGTTTACATTAGTTTGATGAAGACCCCTATTTAATATCACTAATTTCCATTTATTTCTTCTGGAGTTATGGCCCTTATTGAACCTTGTGAACAAAAGTTATCATCCGATCTGTATGAAATTTATATGCGTCATTTAAATTAGTGAATCAAAGAAGACTATTTATTTTCAGCAATTTCTCTTAATTGCTTCTAGAGTTTTGGCCTTTGTTTTACTTTGTTGAACCTTGTAAACATTCGATTGACAAAAGTTTTCAGCCGATGTGTATGAAATTTATATGCATTATTTAAATTAGCAAAACAAATTTCTGTAAACTACCTCCAGAGTTAAGGCCCTTGTTTCAGTTTGAATAACCTATTGAGAGAGAGAGAGAAATGGGGTTTAACGTCCACTCAACACAAACTTGGTCATTTCAGGACTAACATATGGTTCAATTTTATTTCCATAATTTGCTTGCGCATAGGGGTCTTTAGCAGTGGGAGGAAACCGGAGAATAACCTATTGAACCCCTAAACAACAAAAATTATAATCTAATCTGTATAAAATTGTTTTTCAAATGTCCCAATTACCTACAAAAGAATAAATATGCAACAACCCTTGTTGACGATTTAGCTGCTGTGGGAGCATGTTTAGTTGCCTGGCAACTTATCTTGTAAATAGTCATTAATCCTTTTGTACATTTTTCATATGACATTTTTACATCAGTGGAGATGACTGATACACAAATGGAGCGGGATTTACAATATAATTCTCTAACTACCTCGTAATGCATGTGCTAATATGCTTACAGTAAGTTACTTTCCTGTAACTTCTTACTTACATAAAGCAGACTGGCTGTTTGAACATGTAAAAATGCAAATTTATATGAGGTACATGTATTTCTTTATGTTGCAAGCACTATAGTAGGAATTTATTACCAGGGAAGCATATGTAAGAAATAAGTCATACATGCATTGAGGTTTACAGTTAGAATTATGTTATGAATTCCACTCAGTATACTCAGTCACTCAATGTTACATTTCTAGTTTTTACATAAATATTAGTACATGTGATCATTTTGACCACCAACTACTCATATGGTCATATGAGGTGTCTTCTTATTGTTGTGAGTCATGTGACTGTAAACATAGTAATCTATATTAAATACAATCAAAGTTTATATGTGTGTGTGTATGTTCGCCCATCACGCTTCGTCACCGTGCTCCACCCCCATATATGTGGTATCAAATTCACCAGCATGACCACATGAATGGTTTATGTCATAATTTATGAAGGTCAAGATCATTTCTTAGTTTAACGGTTAACAGGAGGTAACTCTGTTTATTATACTAATTAAGTTTTATAATAGTAACGGATGATATTAGCTAGCGAGATTAGCTAGCGAGAAAGCGTTCAAGAAACCAGATGGAGAGTAAGATCTTGAGGGTGATCACTACCGGTACATACATGTTTTATTGTGCATTAATTTTGGTAATTTTTTATTAAAGAAAATGGCAATGAGTCTATGCAAGCCAGAATCAGAATAATTGTTCATCATTTATCAGCTTTTAATCATACTAATATGCATATTCATTTAGAAATTGTAACAGGTTCTTGGGTACTTTCAGTATTTGAAAATAATACCCATTGTTAATCACTCTATAATGTCACTTATTGTAAACAAATGTTATTTTGGTAGCCAATATAATTTAATAATTAGAGTTTTGAAACATATTTGAGAAGTATGGAGGGTTTTAAGATTCAATAAGTTTACAGATGACCATAGTATGTTTTAACTCCATGCAGAGAGTGAAAGTTGTTGGTTTTTATAAATTAATAACAATATGTCCAAGTAGTTCTCATATTAATATATTTCATTGAAATCATAAAATAAATCCTTTTCTGATAACTGATAAATGAAGGAAATTGGAAATTCAAGTTTTAAGCTAAATGATGAGATGAGCTTGATATGACTTGGTATATTAGATATACATTATTAAATCAATTTTTTGTGCAATTTTTATCTGTATATGTATATATATATAATTGTTTTTATTTAATTCATTTGATAGTATTGTATTTCACATTTTTTATAAGTACATGTGGAAACTACACAAATTTTAAATCAAATGAAGTTTTAGGTTTAATCTTAAAATGATATAATGCATGTTTTTAAAACAATCGTAGATTATAATTTTAGAAGATGGATTAGTTTCTGCTGAACAGAAGTACAGACTTGGGTGTAAATGATATAAAAAAGGATCAGTATTTGATCCAGCAGCTGCACAGATCTATTGGCTTCTCCAGTCTCTACTACTACTCTATACTTTTCCACAAAAGTATTTATTGGGTGGTTATTTCCAATACTATATATGGTAAGTGGAGACACCCAGTCTTTCTAGAAAAATACTGGATTCCTTGAAAAACACCCATGAAGCACGAATAGGACAAAAATGAGAGGGTGTAACTAACTGGCAGCCTGAAGATTAAGGGCTGTCTGCTCGAGTGACATCAAAGGTTGCACGCCAAGATTGTCTGAGATAAAAACCACAGAAAAAGACATCGACAATGGATAATCCAAGAATTTAATTAGGCTTCGATATTTATGATATATGGACATCAATGAAAGACATCATCTTTTATATGCAATGAATTCTCTTTTGGCTTCGCACCCGTTGCTAGGTACTGCGGCACCCAAGTCACGTGATACAAACATGACTTCTTACAGATTTTTCATACCTTGGGGTATTTCCTTGCGAATACAATGTTTTGAGAAAGATATGAAGCAAAATTTTGATAGATTAGTTTGAATAGTTTGATTTTTTGTGGGTTGATTTCAAATATACATTCATATAATATTAGATACTCTAATTATACTGGATGTTTGTAAACATTAGATCAGATCAGACATTGGTTAGATGAGTACCAGTAATGTCAGGCATTGTATTTACCATGTGCATCACACCAGTCAAATTTATCACATTATGTATTCATGTATATAAATGCATAATTTATTCAGGGGTTTCAGTATCTTCATAAAATAAAATATAACAGTGAACTGTTAGTTTGTATTTGTTTGTAAGTGGTAGTTCATTTTTATAAAGATAAGTGCTTATTTTATTGTTGATATAGATCAAAAGTTATTTATTCAATGTACTTATATATAAATGTATTCTGAGTATGTAGGTATTTTGTACATATGTTGCAGATAGATATTTTAATTTGATTGAAGAAAATGTATGTTATTTTGAAAAATAAAAATGAATTTTAAAATATTCTTTTGAGTTGATGCAATTCAGAGGTGTCTGGTTAACACATTTTATTAAATCCCAACGGTGTCTGGTTAACACATTTTATTAAATCCCAACTTAAACAATGATGCATTGGATCCTTGTGTTTTACTTCCAATTTAAATCTAAGACCTGCATTGAAGACAGACAAAATGTAGACCATTTAACTTATGAAATTGCTAGTCGTGTTCCATTGATCTGTACTTCATACGATTTGTTTCATTGGTGCTGCCCTGTTAAAAAAAAGCATGAATACTCGAGATCTTCAAAAAATGTATTTGTAAGCAATTTGTATATGGTTTCTGAAATCCAAGTTCCAAGTATTGCTTCATGTGCAAGAGGTAGGGTTGGCTTTTTACAGGAAATAGAATGCTTGAAAATGTTGGATTGTCCAATATGACATAATTCAAGAAGCGTATTGAAATTCAGAATTTTTCTAGTGCAAATTCTTTAGGTTTAATTTTCATATTCCCAGATTTAAATGTGGTCTTGTATTGCTGTAACCCATATCTGTCCATATTCATTGTTTATCTTACATGAAGAAGCAGGTTGGTTTCCCTTGATCACTTGTAGTTACTCTCTAGAGGCTAAAGATCAAAGCTACCATTGGATCAATTGAAATTTATAAGCATTGAGTTATGATCCTTATTCAATTTGAAAAATGCATTGGACACCAAGACTAATGGCTCAGTGAGTATGGTGCTGACTAACTAACTAAAAGGCCCTGATGATGGCTAAGAAAGATCCTTGGGATTTTCCAGCCTGCTTTTCTCTTGTTAGTGATGCAAGATGGAGGGCCTGGCAAAGAAAAGTTTCTAGACGTCCAGATTGTTCAGCATTAGGAACATGTTAAAGATCCCCTAAAGAAACAGTTGGAAATTGAAATAAGAGTAGGCTTGTGAAGCTGTCGGGGCAAAAATCTGTTTTCTAGCACACAATACTGCATCCCCATCAGCCCAGTTGTTTGAGAAGTGAAAAGATAGGTTACCAGGCAACAAAACATACGCCTACAGGAGCTAAGTCGTCTGGGCATTCAACATGTGTTTTGCATATTTTTTCTTTTGTCAGTAAGGAGAACATTTACAACACATGAAAATCTGATTACAAGTAATAACCCCTGAAGTAATTATCAGAAAACATCTGAATTTGTTTCGATTGTTTGTCTCATGATCTTATATTAACTTTAGCCTCTAGAGCATCCACAAGATTTTTCAAAGTGATCAAGGGCCTCAACTCTGGCAGTAATTATCGGAAATCTTAAAAATGAATAAGATTCTTTGTCACATGACCTTAAACACTGTGTATAAATTTAAAGCCAATCAGATATTAACTTTAGCCTCTAGAGCGTCCACAAGCATTTTTCAAAGTGATCAAGAGCCTTAATTCTGGCAGTAATTATCAGAAATCATTAAAAATGAATAGAATTCTTTGTCTCATGACCTTAAACACTGTGTATAAGTTTAAAGCCAATCAGACTTTAACTTTAGCCTCAAGAGCTTCTACAAGATTTTTCAAAGAGGTCAAGGGTGATAACCAGGGATGGGATTTTGCCTGTATATTCCGGACAAGTCCGACACTATTTTCCAAATTGTTCGACCGGGAATATGCCCAATCGGACACCAAGACATGGTGAATAATATTCAAAATTCCAAAATTAATATAGTGTACTGAGTGTATAACTACCACTCAACTATCACTGATAACTCTGGCATTAATTATCAAAAATTGCTGAAAATCAATAGGTTTCTTCGTCTCATGACCTAAAACACTGTGTATAAATTTAAAGTCAATCGGATATTAACTTTGGCCTCCAGAGCATCCACATTATATTTCAAAGTGATCAAGGCCCAAAATCTGGCAGTAACTCAATAGGCTTCTTCGTCTCATGACCTAACCAATCGGATACTAACTTTAACCTTTAGGGTGTCCACAAGCAATTATGGAAACTGGACGGATGGGGGCGACGACAATATACGATCACATTTCAATGTGGGCGCATAAAAAGTAATCCCCTTCTATTTCATTAAATCATATTTTACTTGTAAATCTAGAGCAGGAGATGAGAGGGAGGGGTGTACTAGTCTGCCACTTTAAAAAATACTATAAATATGGGTATCAAAAAAAAGAGCAGGACCTACTGAAGGTTTTTGGCCATGCATTGTCATGGTCAAAAGTCAAAATATTGTTACATGGGTATCAGAAGTACCGACGACCCCATTACCTCCTGAAGGTTTCTGAACATTTTATATGAGCATAACACCACGATACTGTAATACAACAAACCATAAGAACCGTATTTCGAATATAAGTAGAAGATATTGATCAATCGAAACAACTGTCAGAGTCGGTGTATTACATTTCTTTGTCAGTCTGGGTTGGTGCTTCACATTTCATTGTTAGTGTGGGTGCGTTACATTTCATTGTCAGGGTGGGTATGCTATGTCATTGTCAGGGTGGGTGCATTATGTCGTTGTCAGGGTAGGTGCGTTATATCAGCGTGGGTGTGTTTTGTCACTGTCAGGATTGGTGCATCGTTACATCTCATTATCAGGGTGGGTCATTGTTGGGTGGGTGCGTTAGTTCATTGTCAGGGTGGGTGTGCTAGGTCATTGTCAGGGTGGATGTGTTAGGTCATTGTCGGGGCGGGTGCATTAGTGTTGTCAGGGTTTGTTATGGGTGTGCATTTACATGTGATCATCAATCGTAAAAATGACAATCATTCCTATTGGCGGACTAGTGCACCTGTGGACTGGTGAGCATTCGCCCACCAGATACAGGACAGGTTTTGATTGCTTTTTTTAAAGATTGTTCATTGGTGTGCAGTTCCTGCCTGATTGTGTCATTGTTTTAACCCTAGAGCACAAAAGATGGAATTTAAAAACTAGGCATAATTGGCTTTATTTTATAGCTATTATGGGAGGCATTACAGCCAGTGACTTTGGGCAAATCCTTGTCTATATATTATACACCATCCAGCTAGGCCCTGGACCTAAATGTATTTACAGCAAGAAATTTAATTCATAGCTTTCTTTAGCTACTTTATTGTACCTGGGTACCGATTTATCTGCGGCTACAATTGATACACTATTCAAAGCTTTATGCTAGTAAAATTAGGTTCAGTTGCAAATTTTCAACCCTTATTATAACAGTTGGTATGGAAATAAGTAATTATGTTACAAATAGTGAAGAGAGGAACACTGAAATCTTAATCTTATCTTACAGAACAGGTTTTCTTTATTTTCGAGTGACATGAAATCATGTGATTCTGGTTCTGTGGCCATTTTTAAATGAACAGAAATTTCGCACAGCAGTAAGTTGGGTTAATCAGATCATATAATTATGCGGTTAGGTTTCACCTTTATTTCAATGGGAATTGGTGTATTATATGTTAAGCTATGTACAGTACAGTTTAGGATCAGTGTAATTGGAAATTAACTTAGTAACTTAGGACGATCCACTACTGTGGCTGGAGCAAGACGTAAGACATCAGTAGTGGAACCATTTCTAAGATCCCTTATGTAGGCCTACTCCATTACCCGTAAAAGATGTTGAATAACATTGATTATATTTATAAAGTATTTAATACAATAAATAAATGTACAATGTTGAATGTAGTCTTTCTTCTAGAAAAATCAAACATTTGGGCGGAACAATCAAACTATTGGGCGGAACATTACAAACAAAATGATGTTTGTGGACGGTCCTTTCAGCATGGAATGGAACAGTAAAATTATAATGTCAGATCAAACTGCTCAGCTAATTTTCTTCAAAATTTATTTCATCACGACCACAAGGCATTTCACTGTATGATGTTATTGTTAAGCCAGTACTAAGATCCACTGTCTTTCCCTCTTTCGCAGCTCTATAATCTAAAAACATATCTTTAAATGCAACAAAGTCACTAAAAGTCAGTAAAATTTCAAATATTTCACCATCTAATTCTGACTTCCTTTGGATTATTTGCTTAGTAAATTCTAGCATTGAAAAATTTGGAACCCTCATAGTTAATTCATCTTCAAGACATTTTTCTAACACGTTGACATATTCTCTATGGATGTCGGTGTAGATGAACTTATTCTCTTCGGTATCTTCAAATTCTTTATAAAACCTTTCCAAGAAACCATTCTGTAGCGTCTGGAATTTCTCCTCCATAATTATGTCTTCAATATATCCAATAATCATGTCGAACTGTGTATCAACAACATTGGAGTTTGAGCTTTCTGTAAACAGTTCTTCCTGATCTTCGCCTAAAGACAGGCAATGAAAATCTCCAGGAGAGTTTGACATCATCATGTCACCATTACCTTCATTAGCATCGTTGTATTTTGAGGCCATATCAGCTCATTTGAGTTAGCAGACTTGACCGGACGTGGTGTAAATGTTTAAATGAATGCAAAGCAACAAAATGGCCTTTACAATAGGATGCTAGTTACAACTGATCACAATATTATTAGTTGTATTCAAGTCAGCGGGAATTGTTTGCTGAAGCCTTTATTATCCAGTCCGCAATGTGGTCACCTATATATTATTTATTTGTGACGACGGGGTCTATCATGTAACGTGAAAATCGGACAGGATTCAACACGCGTGTTCAATCGGTAAAAACCAAACTGATACGCAGTTAATTTTCGATCGAACGGGTTACAGTCTATGGTGTGCGGAAAAGGTTTGTCTTACGCCCGCTTCCACCGTGGTAATATCAGCCGTTAACATGTATGTACTTCGAAGACTCCACCAAAAATTGATTAAAGCCGAATTTCGCACCAAACCAGTGACAGCCGGGCTAAATCCCGGTGATGAAATACTTAAAAAAAAACTCCATATTTTGGGATCACATAAACTAAAGTATTTATCAATTGGCTAATAGTATAGTCGGGTCACAACCCCCAGATCCGTGACCGTTCGTTTCTCGTTTCTCGTCACACAAGGTTTGACGATGGTTTCTGATAGAAGTGATCGACCCTAATGTACTATGTAGTGTGAAGATATTTGTATATTATGCTACCTCTGAAATCTACGGGTTAAGACAGTGGAGTCGAAAATTCAAAATGACGACCAAAAATGATCTGAAATTGACAGTGACTTACAAACATTGTTGGCGGAATGACCTGTGTAATATATCATTTTATAGGTTTAGTTGGTCACCGGTTTCCGATTAACCTCACTAACGGTTGATCCAATATGACCGCCAAAATCCAAAATGGCGACATACACGTGTGATATAGGCTATCCTTTCAGGGGTTGAGGGGGGCGAGCGAACCATGAATATGCCATTCCAAAGCTGATATAGGGCCTAACTAATTTGAAAAGAGATACTTCACAAACATTAATTAGGATTTTCACGACTATACGGACCTACAAGTCTTAGTGTAATAATAACAACAAAATGCATAAATTGTTCCAGATATCCATTAATATTGTTCTTCAGATATCATACATTATAATGCACTATATAATAATGTATTCCGCAGTATGACTCATTAATCTCAGAAAACATGCATCAAGTATTTTGAGTCATCTATCGGATTGCACACTTAGATTGAGAAGTAATGTTATTCTGGGAGTTATCGCGATCGACTGAGAAGTTGTTTAAACACTGAGACATACGGCATCAGTTTTGTATCATATACTTTCCAGTCACGCACACGAGGCGAGTGTGGATTCTGGAGTCTGTAATGCTGCATAATGTAGGATTGATAGCTTTAGCTCGTTTGACCTTTTCCCATACACTATAACGATCTTGTGGTAAACGCGTGGTACACAATATAAATCGTAGGCCTATGCTTCCAAGTCACTGAATATTTTGGGTTTTATTATTTCAAATATTGTGACTTCCGAATTGGGACCTTTATAGTCTTTTCAGAGTGTATAGTAGGCACTCAAGTTCCAACACATTTAAGATTCAAATAGCAGATACATTACCAAATCTGCGTCTTTTTCATAATGGCTGGATGGATATCTCTGAAACGCGGTAAAGATCACCATAAAATGATAAAGTTAAGTATTAGTCTGAAAGTAGTTGAAGAATTTTGATAAATAATGGCATGAAAGTTACTTAGCTTGCGGTTGTTGAGATTTGCTCAAATGAAATTGCTCGATCACATAGTTTTTGGTGCAGCAAAAGCACTTGATTGAGCAAATTTTGCCCCGTGAACCCTTTAATGGGTTTCAACAAAATTTTGTAGGTACTGTATTTTGATTGAGTGGTGCTTGTCCAGATTCGTTCATTATTTCATTATTTGTTGAAATTTGAATTTATCGCTGCTACCTTTGCTGTAAAAAGTTTATTTCATCTAATTTTACATAATTATATGTTGCTTTTCTCACATTTCTCTGTAGTAGCCCCGATACTTGAGTATTGGATTGGTGGTCGGGGTAAATAATGACCCAAGGATCATCATACTCCAGCATGCCACCGGCATTGACGCCACGAAGGGACATATTTAGACTTCTTGATTCTCCTAAAACTCGTGATGGACTACAGCTAAATTCAGAACTTATTGCCGGGATTATGCAGGAGCAGCTTTTGGTGGAACATTTGGATTTTAAATATTTCAATACAAATTTATCTTTAAAGCTGCTCCTGCATAATGCTGACAATAGGTTATGGATTTATCTGCAATCCATCATGACTTTTAGAAGAATCCCCCCCCCCCTCGCCTCCTTCCTTCAATTCAACGCCTCTGGTCAATTTTATGCCCTTGTTCACAAAGCGTTCTCAGAATTGAGTTAATAATTTACTCACCTTAAAATCACTGTTGATGAGAAATATGTTTGATCCAGAATCACAAAACCTTGCTCGATACATTAAGACAACAAAAGTTTTATAAAGGGCTATATTTTAATTAAAATCGGGCGAACAATTTTTAGTAAATTCTTAACTTAAGTCTGAGAATGCTTTGTGAATTTATCTTTTGAACAATATCACAACTGGAGGTTAACCGCCGTCCCATTATTCAGCATTAGCACGAGACAGAGTATAGCTTACTCTTTCCATACAGCATCACATTATTTTTCAAATATAGTTCCTCATTTCGGAAGTTACTTTACTATTATGTCGATTTGCCTATTTGTTTTATGGATGTTTTGTCTTATTTATCCCTATCAGGATTTATTACTACAGTATTATGGACTGTAATCAATCTGGGACTCCATGAAGAATATACATGTATTAAACTGTAACAAGAATGGTAAAATTGGTACATTATTTTCTATGGTTATGCATATGATATACAACAGACATACATTTTTACCAATAAAAATAAACCAGCCGTTCCCAGGCAAGATACGACCACTTTTTGCAAGAGATGGATAGAGAACAAGCTAAAAAGAAATCCATATTTCGTACAATCAGCGACCATAATCCAGGAAGTTATGGTCTGAAATCAAAACTTTTAAACTAAATGCGTACGAGAGGCGGCCATTTGTACGGCAGTTTTGGTCCGATTTTCACTAAATTCGAACTCAACCATCATTAGGGTGTAACGGTTATATATTCAAACGTTTTTTTTAAAATCGGATAAAAATTGTGACCTCTAGTGGGACCACTAGCTAAAAATGTGATTTTTCGTACAATCAAGGGTCATAATTCAGGAAGCTACGATCCGACATGGTGAATATCGAAAGGACCATCATCTTTGGGTTGTAAACATGTGTTTCAAGTTTCATCAAAATCGAATCAAAATTGTGGCCTCTAGAGGGTCCACAACCTTGATATACCACATATTTACTCTATTTACGTACGAAGGGTGGCCATCATTCGGGTGTAATGGTGATATATTCAGACGTTTTCTTTTTAAATTTGATAAAAACTGTTACTTCTAAAGGGACGACAAGCTTAAAACGTGATTTTCCATACAATTATGGGCTATAATTCAGGAAGTTACCATCCAATATGAGCGAATATCAAAAGGAACCAAGATCGTTGGGTTATAAACATGTATTTCACGATTCATCAAAATCGGATTAAAATTGTGACCTCTAGAGGGTCCACAACCTTGAATAACCATATTTATACACTATTTGCGTACGAGGGGCGACCATTTTGTCCGGCAGTTTTGTCCGATTTTCACGAAATTCGAACTCAATCGTCATTACGGCGTAACAGTGATATATTCGAACGGTTTTGTCAATCGGATAATAATTGTAACCTCTAGAGGGACCACAAGCTAAAAACGCGATTTTTCGTACAATCAGGGGCCATAATTCCGGAAGTTACGATCCGATATGCGCAAATATCGACAGGATCCAAGATCTTTGAGTTATAAACATGTATTCAACTCTCATCAAAATCGGATCAAAATTGTGACCTTTTGAGTGTCCACAAGCTAAAAATGTTATTTTTCGTACAATCAGGGGTCATAATCCATGAATTTTCGATCCGATACATGCCAATATCGAAAGAAACCGAGATCTTTAAGAGATAAACCTATATTTCAAGTTCCGTCAAGAATTGTGACCTGTAGAAGGGGCGGCGACAATATACGTCCACATGAAAATGTGGGCGTATAAAAACTTTAACATTCTATCAATATCATAAATCATGTCTACACTGATTTTACTTATACCTCATCTTACATCTATTGTAACCTACAGCACACTTTTCAAACATTATCTACTATGATAATACATTCACAAAATACATTCAAAATATACAAACAAATTCACACATGAGTATATCATTATATTTATATAAAATATTTACCACTCTGGGGCACTACATATAATTGTACCTGGACTTGTTATTGTGGGTAAGTTTTCAAATTAATTTAATTCCTAATGATAAATGAATGAATTGCTAAATTCACCTTGAATGACTAAGACATGCTCAAGATAGAACTAAGCGAGACTGTATTGTTAGGTCACATAAAGTATAGTACTAACTTCTAAAGGATTATAACATGGTAACAGTTCAGATTTTTAAAGCTATGATACTTTGACCTGTTTTAATCTCCAATCTTCAAAATGGCATACTGAAAATTCGAGTTGTAATTGGATACCACCAAATAAAAAGGTAGATGGAAACAAGGAGAGTCGTGTAAAACGGTAACAACATCACTACGTGACCTACCTAGAAACAATTGGGAATAACTACAACTACTGTTTAATAAGCTAAAAGAAGCCTTACGGAAAGATTCTACCCGATCCCTTTTTGTTAAAAGTAAATGAGCAGCTAAGAAAATTAACATTGAAATAAAAACTTTAAACTTCTAAATTAACGTCAAGTGCACTTCTCACTCAATATTTTAATTTTTTAACAACATTTGACATATTATTATAATCTTTCGATTATCTATGGTTTCGACTATAACTATAGCGACACAATAAATTGAATATATAAAATGGGCAATTATATTGGTTCAAGTGATAATTAATGATGACAATATGCCGATAGTTAAAACGATAAGAATGGTTTTACTCATTCTACACCCTTCTTGATTATATTTGGCTATACCAGATCTACCTGGGTTCGCCGATTGATATGTATAAGGAATGAATTTGTTATTTGCTGAGTGTTTTGCGATATAAAGTCCAATTTTGGTTTAGGCCTACTAATTCCAAATGTTAGAATTCTATAAAAGCGACAGTACGTCTTCTGAAAATAGATTTATCCTTAAGTACACTCACAAACAGGTTTTTTTTTGGGGGGGGGGGGTTATTTTAAAAAACCAACAAAAAACCCAAAGCAACCAAGCTTTAATTACTGGTTAAATCATTGTCTTTCTTGAACGCCCTGTAACTTTCCACCTAAACCTGTATTTCATATACACACACACACACACACCCACACACCCACACACGTAACGGTCCTTAGTATGTGATTATTCCAGAAACTATATTTTATCATCTCTAGTCCAAACCACTTGTTTCAGATTGAGAGCCAGTGCTTTTTCTGGAATAGATTAATAAAAAGCTTAGAAAGTTTAAGAATCCACCGAACGACGAGACGAGTGATTTGATTTGATACACGTGGCGGACCTACATTTCTGGGGCCTCGAAGCTTGAACAGAGCCCTTCGCAACAGCAACAAGTTTTGGATTACCACTGTGATCAATGGGGATGTTACATTGTTCCATGGCAGAAGTTCAAAAGAATTAATACAAAACCCACCTCGTCTATTTCAATAGGAACTTAATTCCTAACTCCTAATTCCTAATATTTCCAGAACACCCATGTACAGTGCAGTAATTATAATATTCCTATTCAGTGTAGTAACTGTCCGACCATTACATTAGACCTAAAGTTTTGAAACAATGTGGACTTGGGCCCTTAAGCACTTTAGGGAGCTAAATCGCCAATATTTGGGACCTAGAAATTGACACAAATGGGTCGAAACGCATCTAATAATGTAATATGAATCTGTATAAACTGATTTACATTCAATCGTTTCTGTTTTTACTCTAATTTCAAATCAGTTATGTTCGGCGAGATACGCCAGAAGTCTCAATCGAATGGCAATCTCTAGCGTCTGGCTATTCCAGTCTAAACCGATAGTATTTATTGCGCATGCTCTCCAGATAAGAATATGTCGCCACCGTTTGACATGACTTGTGGAATATGTCTAGCCTCGTTCTTCGAGTCCCATGTTACAAATGGCGCTGAAACGCATTATTGTACACGATTCGTGTACCAATGGTAAATGTTTATTTTGTCTTAAATATTGGATATCAGAAGCCCATCTTTTTCCTGTAAGATCACAACATCAATGTTGATTTAAATTGACAAATAATTTGTGTTTTCAATGTTCAAGACTTTGGTTGATATTGAGTTAGAGACTTAGCTACTTTAAGCTTAAGCTTCATTAGTTTCATAGTAGATCAACCTTTGCACATAATATGTAAAGCCCAGGGACTTTTGCGGGGGCGGGGATGCCATCAGTTCGGCCAGGCTGGAACACACGTTGAACAATTTGCTTTTATGTATTTACCGGAAGTAGGCCATATGCTTAAGGTGTTGTATTTTATTCCACTTTATTTGATATTAATTCATGTTTTTTTTACATTAATTTAACATTTCATAATATGGTATAATACCATATGCCTGCGTTCATTTATTTTCAACTTTCTTATCATACTTATCATTTTAATGTTTTGGCTTACCTGAAATCTCTTTACATACTTTTTCTCTTTAATTTCCTGGTGCTCCCACTCAGGTGATATACATAGAGAAATTCTCTGAAGTGAAAAATAGACAAGTAACGCATTTAAAATCTTGTACGGACAAGTCTGCCGACGGGAACTAATCTTGGTGAAGCCACTTAGCATGAAGCATCCAATGTTCTTATCATGGGGATAAAATGTAAACTATTTGATCGTGTTGTGATATAAGAGTTAACATTCACATTCACGATTTTTCAGCATTGTTCCATTTGTCAGGGTGCGAGACGGAGGGCCTGGTAAACTGTTTTGATTTGTGGGGAGGTGGGATGGGGGTAGCAGGTGTGCTTGTGTGAAGGGGTGGGGTGGGGATAAAATTGTCGGGAATTGAGTTCACGTTGATTTAAATGATGATTGTCTAAGAGCTTGATGAAACATCTCTAAATATGTTTAAAAGATTCCCATTGTGTGGGGTGGACACCGGAGTGGGTGCCCGTGGGGGAGGGGGGGGGGGTGGCAACATGGATTTTTGTGGACAGAAATCATTTCGTTCATAAATTAGCTGAAATTGGTGTCTCGTTAGCGTTTTCGTTCAAAATATCAAATTATAATGGTACTTTTCAAGAGATCTGGACGTTAAACCCCATTTCTCTTTTTGTCTTCATCAGAAGATTCAAATTCAAAAGTTCATATTAGCCAGATAAATATTTTCTTTGTAGTGGACCAACAGCTCGAATATCCTTTGGATATGCTTCAGAAACCAATTCACATTCGATCCATGCAGCAAAAGACCACGTATACGCCAAGATGGTAATAAAGAAAGGTCTGTTATTTTTTCACCCAGAAAATCTTTTCTTCTTGCCTCATCTGCTGATGTAAGTCGCCTTTCACGATATTTTCTACCTTTGCCCGTCTCATTATCGATCAAAATTTGCATATTTGGATCATCGTTTGCGAAAAGAATGATTGGGATGTCTATTTCGTAAGAGCAAGAACGCAAAATAAAATTTGTTTCAACCTCCATTAATTTGCAATGCGAAGAGGAGTAGGTAAGATATTTTGGTGTCCTCGTGGTTTGTTGTCAGTTCTAGGATATTCTCGATACTTTCAATACTAATCTTGATATTTTTGGATCCAATCAAGATTAGTATTAAAAGTGTCGAGAATATTTCAGCCTATGGTACATGCTTTCAGTGGTAACGACTATCTGTCTTTCTTTTTCACGATAATCCCAACTTTCTAACAATTTTTAAAGAGCTGGGATAGACAAATGATGTTTCCGATGACGTACTTGCTGGTTTAGAAAAAATTGTTTGTAGCTTGTACGGCGAAAACCGACTTACATCAGTAGATGGCACAACAAGAAAGATCTTCTGGAGGAATTTTAATCGTGATGAAAAATAACAAAACTTTCATTCTGTATTATACCATCTTGCCTGAGTAGTCTTTTGCTGCACATTAAACGCAATAATAATGTTGCAACAATAGGGAGACAGGCTGCAAAACCAATGATCGAACAAGATAACCCTGCGATACAAGGCTGGAATGAAGATTTACAATGTGAATGGGTATCTGAAGCATATCCAAAGGATATACGCAGGTTGTTGATCAGCCATCAAGAAGATATCTATCTCGCACATATTGTAAGAATAAACTAATATCTAAACATGTGTTTTTTATGTAAATTTCCAGATCTCTCAAAAAATACCATTATAGTTTAATATTTTGAATGACGATATTGGTACTGAGCCAAAACTCAAGAAAACACTTTTCAGATCAATTTTGAACGAAGTGGTTTCTGTCCCACAAAATACATTTACCCTCCCTCCCCGATACAATGGTGATCTTATGCACATATACTATTCAAAAAAAGTAGGGGATATTTGATTTTGGGGGCATAATACTAAAATATGCAAATGACTACGAAAAAAGTCACTATAGAACCTAACAGAAGAAACATTTCCAGTTACATGTGACGCCCAAACGCACCAATAGCTACCGCATGGAATGCAGGTGATGCTTGGGATCATCATGGGGGTCCAACCCAAGATTTGCACGACTCTGACTTTGAATGTTACAGTCATAGTGACATTGAATTCCAGGGTGGAAACATCAGTTTAATTGTTTTAGTGACCAGAAAACAAATTTTGATATGCGTCGGCTTACCCAAAATGAAAGGTTACGTGCCCTTGGCATGCTACAGATCGGCACAACACAGGCGGTTGTGGCGCGGACGATGAATGTTTCTCAGTCTGTCATAAGCAGGCTATGGTCCAGATACCGTGATACACAATCTGTACAGGACAGACCACGCTCAGGTCGACCAAGGGCGACAACTCAAGCCCAGGATCGATTTATCCGTACCTTGGCCTTGAGAAATCGTGTCATCACAGCAAATCAGATCAGCGCTCGTCTTCAAACAGACACTGGTGTGAGAGTGAGTGGCCAGACGATTCGGAATCGACTGCATAGGGGTCACCTTCGCGCCCGACGTCCTCGCGTGATCCCTTGTTTGAGAGATCATCACATTCAGGCAAGACGTCGTTGGTGTAGGGATCGTCAACACTGGGATAATCGACGCTGGAGCAATGTGATGTTTTCAGATGAGTCAAGGTTCACTGTTGATTTTTTGGACAGACGTAGGAGGGTGTGGCGTCGTCGAAACGAGCGCTTCCAAGACGTTAACGTCATCAGACATGATCGATTTGGGGGTGGTTCTGTTATGGTGTGGGGAGGCATCACTGTTGCTGGAAGAACGGCTTTACATGTTGTTGCAGGGCGTGTTACAGGCCAGTACTACCGGGACAACATCTTGGCAGTCCATGTTGTGCCGTTCGCACGACGTCATGGCCGCCGTTTCATCTTCCAGGATGACAACGCAAGATGTCACAGGGCCAGGATCGTTACAGGTTACCTCCAACAACAGAACATCACCACATTACCTTGGCCAGCACTGAGTCCCGACCTCTCCCCCATCGAGCATGTCTGGGACATGCTTGGACAGAGGTTACGTCAACGTCAACAAAGTCCTGCCAATGTCCAAGAACTTGCTGCTGCGTTGCAACAGGAATGGGACAATCTGGACCAAAATGACCTTAGACGTCTCATTAGGAGTATGCCACGTCGGATCAATGCTTGTTTGGCAAACAGAGGAGGATTTACCCGTTACTGACTTGGTTGTGATGCTGTGGTAACTTTGCTGTTTGACCCCGGCTATCATTTTACCCTTATAATGGTCAGTCTGTGCCTTACTTAGTCTAACGATCATTTGGAATAAATCGATGAATGTGAACTTCATTTCATTTTGTCATTTGTTTCTTCGTCAGTTTCATTAGGTGACTTTAATAACACTTAAAAATCAAATATCCCCTACTTTTTTTGAATAGTATATTTAGAGATGTGCAGTGGAATTAAGAATTAAAAAGTAATGTTTTTACCAAGCTCTAAGAAAATCATCATTTAAATCAACGTGAACTCATTTCATGCCAATTCCCCCCATCCACACACAAACACACCTGCTACCCCCCACCCCACAAATCAAACAGTTGTCCAGGGGCATCATAAACACTTCTTTAGAGATGGACAGTCCTAGAAATTTATTTTTTATTAATATATAACATGATCATCATTTATGTCAACATAATGACACCCCCCCCCCCCTGCCCTCCAAACACGCACACCTACACCTGGTACCCCCACCTCCCACAAATCAAAACAGTTGTCCAGGGGCATCATGAACACTTATATAAAGATGGGCAGACTAGAAATTTATGTTTTGTTAGTATATTATGTCTACATAATGACATTGCCCCCCCCCCCCCCCCCCCCCCCCACGATTGTAGACATTTGACCCCCTAAATCTCGAAAACGCCCCCTCAAACACCTGATCACCACCCAGAAAAACTTGGTTTCATAAATTCACAGATCGGGTGGCGATCCCCCCCCCCCCCCTTCATCCACCGGACTATTATAATAACTAAGAAACTATCTAGTCCAGGTTCAGTACTAGTTGCCATGATTAAAGGGTGTATGGCTATATTCTTTGGAACCATAAATGGGCCTAAAAGCACATATTAATGTAATATGAATGTATGTAAAGTGATTTATATTCAGTTTTTTATTTCTTTTTGTAATTACTAATCAATTATGTTCGAAGAATTACGCAAACAGTCTAAACTGAACGACAATCGTTTACGCTTAATTAGCCCATTCTTCACGTTTTTTAATTATTAATTTACCATTTGTGAATCAGCCATTACTATTTACTGCCGCATTGTAATTTAGGATATCTTTTTTTTTCTTCATTCCTTTTGCGCCCGAAACAATAGGATACACGACTCGTGTATGGATTTTAAACTGTTCATTGTGTCTTAAATATTGGATACTAGGATCCGACATTTTCACGGCAATATAACATTAGGATCCGACATTTTCACGGCAATATAACAACATCAGTATGGATTGAAATGGACCAATATTGAAGTCTAATTTGTATCTTTAATATCGAATATTATGGAACATATTAAGTTTGATACTTAGCTCCTTTAACTTGGATTTTTTTTGTATCTTAAATTTATAACACAAATTAAAATATAGTACTAACCTCTTTGAGACTCCCTGGTGTTGTGATTAGTTTATATACAGCATATGCTGGTATTAATAACATTATAGATAGAGCAATACACCAACCAATAATATTAGCATACAAAGGATAGTTATATGTTTTATCTGATGACGTATAAGATAATGGTACATAATCTATAATACTTGTTATAACTAGAATCTGAAATAAATACATTAAAGAATCTAAGCCTCTTTGGTTTATGTTAAAATACCGTATTGAACTGGGTTGATTTGGCACGTTATTTTGATTATAGTGATGGGACAAGCTTTATAGATTGCATTTTTGTTGCCAAAGATTAAACAGAAGACGGCTTGTTTATTAATATTTTTAAAATTTTGGCTTACTATCTCTACAGTCAAACACAGAATCGGCTTTATCTATGGACAGATTTTTTATAAAAAAAAAAAACAAACAAAAAAAAAACTCCACAAAACAACGAGTGAAATCGAAAAAAGAATTTTTGACACAAAACAAGCATTGATCAATTATTTGGATATTATACTGATCGAGAGTTCTCTGATGAAAATATTTTTACACGTTAACGATACCAAAATGTAGATCTATTTGGATGATAATGACTATTTACGATTACATAGACAGTCACATCTTTTCGTAAAAAAACAACAATTTTTCATTTTTGTCATTATTACAAAACATCTTACCAATAGCAAAATTGGACTAATAAACTTCCAGCATATTCTCCAATATAAACCTGGGCGACGACCCGTCATTTGTTCTAGATCCGAACTAAACTGTTCAATACCTGCAAAATAATCACCCAAACCAGTTTCATATCAGTCAAATAAAAGTAGACGTTATTCATTACATTGTATACAATTTATTTGATACAATCCACAATACTTTTAGAATTTCGAACATTGGTTGATACGCATCTAGTCTTGTCACAGAAATTGTGTTGTTTATTGTTAATTTCGGGTTCACATAAAACGTATAAGAGATACCGTATATTATTAGCGAAAGGTGAATTTTACCATAAAACCAGGAAACTGCTATTACTTGTGACATCACAGCAAACAGTATGGAAGTACCAGCTGCAAAATTATCTAAGATGTTGAACACATATGCACCACCCTGTAAAAGAAACAGTCTAAACAATTCTAAACTTTGGTAAACTGTACATCTTCAAATTATGGTTAGCTTTAGGTTAATTTTATGTGGATTAAGACGAAACGTCACTGCCCTGGCTAAGCTTAAACACATTGCATGCGTAACGAATTGCAACCTTTTTACCACGGCCCCGCGTTAGGCAGAACGTTTATCGACCACCAACGCAATTTGATTGTGATAGTTCATAAAACAGTGCAATTTGAGGTTGCTTTGGAGAACCTATTAAAGTTATAGCTCATTCACATAACAATAAGTCAATAAGTTCATAGAAGTGGATATAAAACAACCCAATGGTTGTGATATTGATTTTATTTTTCAATATAATCTCCCTGGACCTCGATGCACTTTGCCCATTTGTCTTCGAGACTGTCTATGCCCTTGCGGTAGAAGTGTTCTGACTGGCCCCTCCTCCACGCCTCAGTAGCTGCCTTGAGTTCATCATCATCGCCAAATCTTGTACCACGCAAGTGTGATTTCAAATTGCGAAACAGATAGTCGTTTGGGGCCAGATCTGGACTTTAGGGGGGGGGGGGGTTAAGTTGTTCAAAGCCACATTGTTGAAGTGCAGCCTGTGCAATACGATTCTTGTGCACTGGAGCGTTGTCATGAAGAAGCATAACTCCAGCAGTCAACATGCGGCACCTCTTCTTCTTGATCGCCGTTCTCAATTGCTTCAACAAGTCAGCATAGTAGGCTCCTGTTATTGTAGTATTAGGTGGTTTATAGTCTATAAGTATCACGCCCCTTGAATCCCAGAAAATGGTCGCCATGTCTTGCCAGCATAAGGCTGAGTTCTGAACTTCTTGGATGCAGGAGAGTGCTTATGCTTCCATTGCATGGATTCTGGCTTGGTGTCAGGATCCCAGTGATGAATCCACGTTTCATCCCCTGTAACCAGACAGGCCTGAAAGTTATCGGGATCAGCATTGTAGATGTCCAAGAGCTCACGACTGGATTCAACTCTCTGGTGTCGATATTGTGCATTTATGTTTCGTGGCACCCATCTTGCAGACACCTTGGATATGTGCAAGTGCTCATGAATTATGGTGCAAACACTTCCATGAGAAATGCCACACTCTGAAGATATCTCGTCCACCTTTATTCTACGATCGGACATGATTAAACCCTGAACGCGTGCAACTATATCATCTGTAATGGCTTCAACAGGCCTTCCTGGCCATGGGTCATCGCCCAAGGACCAGCGACCCTGCTTAAACTCAGCTGACCATTTTGCAACAGTAGAATATTGAGGGGCTTCCTTCCCATACACACTGGTCATACGTTTATGTATTTCGGTCGCATTCACCCCTTCTTTCGTGAGAAACCTGATAACCGCACGATGCTCAGTTTTAGAACTTTCCATGATTACAGGTGGGTACCTGTGTTCAATAGGCCGTAAATCCCAAGTAAATGATCTGGAAGGGTTGTTTATGGATTAAACTGTCGTCAGATGATCTATATCAATAATGACATCAACGATGATGCCTTTAGGGGTGTATCAATATTCAATTCTATGAACTTATTGACTTACCCTCGTATAAACATACCTCAGTAAGACATGGAAGAGAGAAAATAAATGCTGAACTAACGACACAGAATGTTAAAATTTCTCGAGAATAACGATGTTTCATTTTGTTTTTAAGCTCATCGTTTAATCCTGTTAATGGAGATTCTAGACCACCAAACTGAAAATAAATATCAATGCAGTATGAATGTGATTAAGGAATATTGATAACTAAACTGATATCTACAGATATATCCTTAAATATCTCTTACTATAAATTAGTCACTTTGCTTACTGTTGTGTAGATATAAAAGATAGCCACACCTGCACCTTATCCGAAAGGAAAACTTGGATGTCGAGCAAATTAGATAAGGATGTAGGATCCTTGAAGGAATCTAATCTCTAGGGTTCATCCTCTTATGACCCCAATGCTTACAACCAAAAATGTAGCCTCTTTTGCGTTCACAAGGTTTTCGGCAAAAGGGGGAGTGGGGAACTCCGAAACAGAAAGTCACAGAACGCTGAATATCGATAGGGTTTGTGCTTCACACGAAATTTGAAAATAATCCGTATAAAACTGTTCATAAGGTAGGGGGGGGGGGGGGTAACCCCGAAACAGAATGTCGCAGTATGTGGAAAATCGATAGGGTTCGTCCTCTCATGGTGCTTCACTCCAAATGTGACGGAATCCAACCAAAAATTGTAGTCTTTATCGCATTCACAAGCCACTTGTTGGCGGACATACTACGCCCTCACTAAAATGTGGGCGTATAAAACAAAGTAGACGCTACTTTTAATAAGATTGGAAAACGGATTTAGCAAATAATCGTAATATGTACTTACAGCACTATCTAAACCTAATGTTATTAACATAAGGAAGAAGATCATGGACCAGAAAACTGAACCAGGTAATGTACCAACAGCTTCTGGATATACTATAAATACTAAACCTGGACCTGAAAAAAAAACACATTGAAGTTTAAATACTACACTGCTTATTTCTTTTCATAACATAACATAGTCCACATCCGTAATCCTAATCTCAACGGAGTAAACATCTCATAATTTATAGGCTAACCCTTCGGTACGCATGCATCCCAGGTATAAACTAAAAATTTAGAAATGCCGATTGGCATAACCCTCCCAAGTTCAAAACAATGTTAGGAAAATTAGATTCTTTCTATTTCTTGTATATTTAAATCTGATTATCACCCTTCACTGCCTCGCATCTAATAGGTCTATCAGATAATTTAGTTTAATAAGACATTTACCTTCAGTTGCAACTTGATCAATTCCTTTCTGTGACGTAAGTGACATATAACCAAGATAGGCAAATATAACAATTCCAGAAAATACACTGGTAAAACAGTTTACTGCCATAGTTATAATACAATCACTGTAATAATGAAAAGGAAATGATAATAACTAAATACAGTTGTAAACTACTACACGATTATACTGCGACGCAATAGATTTCGAGGAATTATCATGGCCTCATCACACCTCCCCCTTTACAATGGAGAAAGGTTCACAATTTCATAGTGAACTGTCTACGATCATGAATTCTTTGAGGTCCTGAATCATAAATACAAATGATATTAAACCTATTATATACATGACTTACCAAGGTCAACTAACGATATAATCCCATTTACACTTAAATTTTACTCCAGACAGATTGTCTGCAATAATATTGTCTCTTACTTTTACGTGCTAAATATTCAGACTGTAATGTTGCAAAATCAGGCTCTATCGAAAGGACCTTTGGTTTTGATTGTGTGGTAACGGCTCTATGGCGCCCTGGGACTGGCGGTGACATGAAGTAGGTGTGGACTGCTTTATATCTAACCCTGTCACTATTTATTGTTTGAACACGTTAGACATGAAATTGATTCCCTGGTCTGACTGAATTTCTTGGCAGAAACCATATCTTGTGAAAAACTGACCAAGTGCATTCACAATACGAGGTGCTGTAATCCATTTCATAGGTAATGCCTCCAGATACCGGGCAGCTGTATCCATGATCCCGAAAAGGTACTAGTACCCAGTCTTAATCCTAGGCAGGCTACCAACACAATCGATCATTATATCTGAAAATGGTTCTCCAAACGCTGGAAGGGTACGAGTGGGGCAGGCTTGATTGCAGCCGTCTGAGGTTTACCCATCCTTTGACAGTATCACACGTGTTACAATAGTCAGAGATATCCCTCTGGACACTAGGCCAGTAGAAATACTTTGTTGTTCCCTGTCTAGTTTTGCGTAAACCAAATTGTCCGGCCACGTGTATTTCATGGGGTAATCGCATTATTTCTGTAGGATAGCACTTTAGTTACGACGATTTGATTAAACACGGCCCATTCCTCGTCGACGGGGCGATCGGATGGTCGCCATTTCTTCATCAGGACACCCGATTTTAACTAGTAACATGATGGGACATTTTTTATCTCTCGTTCAGAAAGAATCTCGGATCTCAAGGCATTGATTTCAGGATCTCAGCAATGATGCTTAAATATCGACTTCCTGCTCGTTTTCAAATCGCCAGACCCAGCAGCATCTAGTACCTCACCAGCCATGAACGTTTAAGAGAGACACACTCCCGTTTCCTCCGCAGGTTGCTCGGACGTATCCCCGTCAGCTTTAGCTTTCTTTGGATGAGCACGTGTCATGACGCAGCAGGGATAGATTATGTCGGAATTCTGACCATCGTCCATTACTGGTTTCAATACAACAATAGCATCGGGTGAAACCGCTCCGCCCGCGAAGAAGTCATTTCCGAGTAACAATTCTATCCCATTTGAATATGGCAGAGTGTCGACAAGGTCAAATTCAATTTCTCCCGTCACGAATTGACATTCCAGATGGAGTTTTACCAGTGGGACTAGAGTCAACTTATTACCGACTCCGCGAATAATCACGCTCCTCTAGCTCAATTCGTTCGGAAACAGTGACCTCAAAACCAAAGACTGCCCAGACCCGGTGTCGCGTAGTGTCTTGACACTTTTATGCGTACAGCCACTATCGGGCGAGATTTCACTGGTCAAAATTAACTTCTCTTGGGTCTCCACCACCTCAGGCCCGTAACTAGAGGGGGGCGCAGGGGGGGGGGGGGGGCTTTGCTGCAAAAAGTTTCGCCCCCCCCCCCCGTGAAAAAATTTTCAACCACCTTCAGAGTTTCAGTCTCTTCCGCGGATCTCACTTCCTGGTTTCTGATAGCGTGACGCTCTCTAGGCAACACATTTGTAGCTCAGATCAGCTTGAAACCTTCTCTACGTGGCCTAACTTACCACAATGGGTGCATTTTAGGATCCTTCTATTGGGCGCGTCTGAGGACGTTCGGATGATGGTCAAACGATCTACTGCTATCGGGGTGGCCGTTCGGGGCTTGTTTCCGGCCATTAGTAATTTCGTATTGATCGGCTCATTTTCAAATGATTTTTTATCCCTAGGGGCTCTGTACCATTGGTCAAATGTTTTCTCCAGCTAATAAGCGAATTCGACATGTGTCCGTCGGTCATCATGGAACCTTTTTAAAGGGCCACAAAGACATCTTGAGCTTTGCCCAGCAAATTGCTCTGAATTAGAATTGGCCAGAATTCGGTCGGCCATTCCTCACATCTTGGCCACTTTCTAAAAGTTCAAGAAGAAACTTTCCCCATCATGTTCATTGAATTTAGGCACGCAGTGAAGTTCTGACCTCGGACTCCCTGGCATTATTACTATTTCTAGAGGCCACTTCTAATTCTGGTCTCTTCATCTCCAACTCGTGGGCCATTCTTTTTCCCTCTATTCCCATTGCCCTTTCTCGGGCCCTTGTTTCCAACTCGTGGGCCATTTCCCTTTCCATTTTCCTAAAATCCGCTTCAATTCTCAACTTTTCTATTTCCAAGACAACTGGTTGTGTGAGACCTCCCGGCTGTGCTTTATCCTTTTTAGACTCCGATTCTACTATCACATGTCCCAAGAGAGCCACAATAAGCTGGACTGGTATTCAGTCCAATTTTACCAGTATTCGGTTGAAGTCTTCTTTGCTCTCGGTGCTTCTACTGCTTTGAAGTAGTAGTTTGTAAACAGTTCTTTACGAATTCCTTCTCGGCGTTGCCGTAGCCCGTAGTTATTCCAAAGTTAGCAGAATTACACAGGACCTTGATGACCCAAAACTAACAGGATGAATATTCCTTGAATGGGTATAACCCGACCTGGTAAGAATCCACAACAATAATCCTAAACTTGGATAACAACAGAGAGATAATTTCTCTCAAAACAGCACAATAAGTGAAACAGCACGATCGAGAATACAAACCACGTGGGTCAAACGTTAGTGCTATAAGAAGTGCTAAGAAAATTCTTCCCTTGGACTGGTCTGGTCCGGCTTATATAGTTTAAGGAATTTTTTAGAACTTTCTGGAACCTTCCAACTTATTCTAGAACCTTCCAACTTGTTCTAGAACCTTCCAGGGCCATTTAATTATTTCTAAACACTGTTTCCAGAGGTTTCCATACTTTCTAGAAGTTTCCAATTGACGATTCAAGAAAGTTTGATCGTCTAAAATGGTAATAAACGATAGATTTGGTTGAATTATCATGACGTCATCACAACATGCACTGGTAAAACAGGTGTTTCCCGTAATACACCATTAGTTATAACAACAAAACAGCATTGACGTCCATGTTATCATTTAAATTTTCCATCGATAATTGTTGCCTGGGAAACGTAATATTTTGAAATAAAACAACAATTATGTCATCCAAAGATAAAACAATTAACATAAAGCAATACTAATATATATATAGTTAATATGTATATAAGTAATACCTACCTATAACAGTTATTAGTAAATTTATTATAACTAGAATACGCGATATGGGTACCAAATCCTGCACCTACAGAGAACATCACTTGTACTGCGGCATCAATCCATACCTACAAAATAAAAAATCCTTATAATACAGCATCAGTATTTATATATATATTTAGTATCTGCGAACTTACAGCAGATATTTATGATACTTGTTTGAACTTTCCTTTGCTCTTTACAAGATAAGGTATGGACAGTACAACTTGCTTAATATATACATGTATATTAAAGTTGTCATAACCTACCTGAGGATTATTCAATCTAGATAAGTTTGGTTTTATAAAATATTCAATTCCTTCTACAGCTCCTGGCAGCATTACACCTTGTATTAGTAATATGGCTAATATAATATATGGTAATGTAGCTGTTACCCATACCACCTATAATATAACATACACCTTGTAATAATGTATGACACATCAAGTAAAATAATTTGGTCAATTTCCAAATACATGTAGCTGTTACCCATACCACCAATAATATAAAACACCACTCAGAAAATTAGATACACAGAGAAAAATTTGAACATAGTACTAGAGGTTAATCAGATATGTTAGCTATTTTAGGTTATGGAAGCTATCCAGTCTTACTGAACTGCCTCGAAGAAACACTGAACTAGCAAAGAAAGACAAAAACTGAAGTGTGATTCTGTCAAGTTCATGACTAGAGGGGGGAGAGTGGGCGAAACTAAGTCCAAAAAATTATGGCTGGTACCATCTGGTGTAGCCTCCGCCAGGGTTAAACTTTCCTCTTCATTGACTGAATGAGACGTTGGATCTTAGCCGCGTTAGTCTGTTACCTCCCTAAGTGCCTGCTCCAAATCGTCAAGATTCTGCACTAATGGATCCCATCTGATAGATTATGAATCCAAGAATATCCCAAATATGATCGATTAGATTTAAGTAAAGGCTTCTGGATGGGCAAAGTAATGTAGCAACGGACTCCTGGCGCAGAAAATCAAAAACGGTACACGAGCGGTGTGGTCTAGCGTTGTCTTCCAAAACGATTGGCTTTGTGAGAAGAGGACGATTGTTAAAGTGGAATACTGCAACCCTGTCCAGGATCTCTCTTTGGTATTGTTGCTCACTGAGATTATCTCTAACTGGTACCAGTGGAAGACAGTCATATGAAATGCCTCCTCATCTGATAGAGTCGCCCACGAATGGAACCTGCTCTAGGATATTTTTCTGTGCATATACCATGTTCCTGCGTCACCCTACCCGTACTCTACCATCCGTTATGACGCCATGTTCCAAGGATGCTCGGTACCATGCTAGTCGTGAAGCCTTATGGTTGAGCGACAAGAGAGATCGTCTGAGCTGTTTACCAACAAATCTGTAGGATACGGGCGGCGAGGTAACCATTTTCGTTTCAACATAGTGCTGGATCTTTTCTTGTAAACGTAATGCGATGCCAACCAAAACGTTTAAAATCCAATGCGTCATTAGTTTGTTGATGTTTTCGCAATAATCGGCTAATGGTCGAAGGATATTGGCCCAATTATTGTGCCATTTCTCTCATTGACCTCCCAGAATAACTTTCCATATTTTCGCTGCATTGAGTTGTCGAGGTCTCAATGGGAAATAAAGACAATCAACACAACGATTTTAAAACATTCTTCAATGATTTGGCTGATTTCCAAATCATACTTTTCATGAAGGAAGCGGTTCATGCTTTCACTGGTAGACCTATGTATGTAGGACAGAATACGTCAAAATTTTCATTTATTTACTTTATATTACGTAATACATTTCTTTTTTCTCTGTGTATAGGTACAGGTTTCATACTACCTACCTAGATCAATCTAGAGATTTGAGAGCAGGGGATTTGTGATTAACAATTAGCCTTTCTCAGTAAAAAATAAAAGTTCCATCATCGAACCTGAAATTTTATTAGCCTAATTTTTATACGCCTGTATTTCAGTGTAGGCGTATTATGTCTTCACCACGTCCGCTCGACTCCGAAATGAAATGGGGTTTTACGTCCTGCTATTCTGCATCGACTTTGCTCTTGAAGACAGGGAACGCGAAAGAGGGTACAGTTTTTAACATATTATTTATAAAACTAAATGCAGGAGAATAGCACTACATGCAAAACAAAACGGAATAGACTAGCCTGCGGACAAGACAAACTAAATAAATCACAAATATCAAATCATGTGAATGGATCCGGGGTAAGCGTCCACTACGTTTGTGATCACCATAAAGATTGACTATGTTTTTTGGGTTAAATCTGTTTTGTGGTCGTAGTTCCAGGTTTATTGTCTGACCTGCAGTTGATAAAGAACTATTCAAAGATTTTTCGTTGATGTGCTTATCAACATAACCCACAGCTTCACACAAAGGATTATCCCATTATACAAAATCATCATTTGGAGTTTCGTCCAATCCGACAATTTGGTAGCGTTAGACCAATTGCTTACAGTTACAGGACCAGAAAAAAAACATGCGCTATACGGACGATGCATAGGTAACCGGAAAATACTACGACGAACATTTAGAAAATCTCGGAACACTTTCTCGAAAATATCAATTAGATGTTAAGATGGGAATATGTAGATTCTTACATGAGACGAACATTATCAGAAGGCGGTATACAACCAAAGCTCCGTTATTTAAAGAAATGTGTAGTCTCTATTGCGTTAAAAAGAATCAGAAAAGGATGCTTAACTCGCTGAAAATCGATGGGGTTCGTCCTCTCGTGACCAGAATGCTTCACACCAAATTTGAAAATGAACCATAGTCTCTATCGCGTTCTCTAGCCAATTGTTGACAGACGGACGCACGGAAAGGTACGACGATATAGTATACCCACGTTGAAATGTGGGCGTATAATTAGATTTTTGAATAGTATTTCTTACCTTTCCTGAGCTTTTGACACCTTTCCATAAACAGAAATATAGTATGATAAAAGTGAAAAGTGTACATAAAAAGAGCGGCCATCTTATTGGTCCTAAATCTTCTAAACCTTCACTTTTATCTAACCTTAACATTCCACGCCTGAAAAAAAGAACATATCGTTCGAATTTGGAATCCTTCATTATATTGTTGTTAATGACAATTCACCATCGTTTTTATACACCCACTTGAAAATGTGTCTGTAAATTGCTGTGGCCTCCCTTCAGTCGTCCGCAATTTCTGGTGATCAATCAACCGCCTACACACGTATTGATGCTTATGAAGTTCAACAATTTCCGTTAATTACTAGAGTTTCACATTGTAGAATCTTGTGAACGCCCCAACGACAAAAGTTATCACCCGATCTGTATGCTTTATGCGCATTATTCTAATTGACGAAACGAGTGTCTGTTAATTACATTTAGAGTTATGGCACGTGTTTCATTTTGTAGAATCTTGTGAATGTTCTAACGACAAAGGTTATACGATCTGTGTGCAATTTGATGGGCGCACATGGATGCCTATTGACCCCCGTTGACTGCTTAGTTGCCGAGGCCCAAGTAGAGTTGATGAGGTTTTTTAGATAAGATGAGATAAATTAACATTAGTATGGGGTTTCTGACAGGGTTATATAAATTAAAGAAGCCTGACTCACTCAAAAAATTCCTTTGTTGAGGAAACAGTGTCATTTATACTTAATGTATTGTTGGTCTGATTCCTGTCCTTCCAATCATGTTGCCAACATTGATCACTATTCCATTCATGACCACACGTTGTCCATGGTAACTGTGTTGTAAACGATGAGAATAGATAGAAGAAAGCCCAACCAATGATGATATTATAGTAAAAGGCTACGATATAAGCCATGAAACAGGATGAATATCCAATACCTACGAAAACAGAAGACAGTTGTATTTGTTTTTGTTGTGTTTTTATACGTTGTGTTTTTGCAGAGTGTTTAGCTTTAATCGGCATTAACCTACAGGGAAGTGCACTTTTATTGATCATGGGATTATGAACTGCGATTATGTTTAAAACTGCCAAAAGTTTACAAAATGAAATTGCCCCATAATTGAAAGCTGCTGCAAAAAACGATAAATTGAGCTCAGTGAAGTGTGAATTTCACAGTTCATTTGCCCCTTCAGTGTATAGAATCCTTATAATGAACTAAAATAAAATGTTTCTTGCATACCTTTAAATATTGGCGACATTTTCCACACAGATATTGGACCAAGTCGATGATATTGGCCTAAAGACATTTCCATTAGAAAGACTGGACCAGCACAGAGGAACAATACAGTAAAATACGGTATCAGGAAAGCACCTGGAGGTTAAACAAATACAAGACCAAGATGGAAATATTAAAATGACCGGATATTGAGACGATTGGCTTTAGGTGGGTTGAGAAGATGGTCAGTCAATGCTCCTTGACCACTCTGACATGAGGCATGGACGATGGATGTACACCAATAATATAACTTTGAATTACTCTGTATAAAGATTATGTCCAAAATATAGTCGCATTGCCAACTGTCTCTTATCATTGTTACGTGCTAAAATTTTATACTAAAACCCGTTATGCAAAAGATTGATTAATACTGTGTACATGGTGTGTTTAGGGCTGTACTATATGCCGAAAAAAAACGAAACAAATCGACAAAAATTTTAAAAAAATACCGAAAAACTCCGAAATATATCGAAAAACTTTTTGAAACTAATTACCGAAAAATCAGAAAAACCCTAAACACCGAAATACAGAAAAACAACACTAATTACAGAAAAAAAACCTAGGCCACACATGGGTCAGGCTAGGCCACGCATAAAAATTGTGGGCAACTCTAGGTCACGCATGAAATTGATTGACATTCTAGGTGGGTAATGGGCCATGCTTGGACACACATAAATAATGTGAGACATTAAGTTGGTCATGGATCACAATAGGTCCCGGCGGCTTTTGATCTTTTAGTTTTTGGTGTTCAGCATTCAACCGACCGGCGATATGCCACGTTTGAAAGTAATAAACGTGACAAGGAGTAGGGTCGCCTGTCCAACCTCGTGAGTTTTCTCCGGGTCCTGCATTTTCGTTCTACTGCTAAAGACCCCTACGCGCAAGCGAATTATTGAAATAAAATTGTACCATATCTTAGTCCCGAAATGACCTAGTTTGTGTCGAGTGGACGTTAAACCCCATTTCTCACTCTCTCTTTGAAAGTAATAAAGAAAAGGAGAGAATACTTGGAGTAGCCTAAAAGTTCATCAAATACTTTCTCCTACATGCGAAAAAACTATGTAAGGGTTCAGGACTCCATTCACTATAATAAATGCAAACGTTGGTTTCATTCCACATGTGCACCTACGGTCTGGGGAGAGACATGTTATTTTCTTTAGTGATGATTTTACTTTCAACTATGATAGATCATTACTTACGTGAGTAAATTACTACTGGATGCAATCCCCGCCTGCTAGTTAGAAACCATTTAGAGCCATGAAAGTGTCAAAACCTTATTGAGCAGTCAAGAAATATATATGGCCATTTTATAGGGGGCACAGTTGTGGAAATATGGACTTTTAAAGTTACCCTGACTTAAATTTTAGGCGAATTGATCAACTTTCAATATCAAAGTTGGCATTGGTTCACTGGAATATATGCAATCAGCTTAAACCTCAAATTATTTATTTTCTAATTTTGCCTGGAAGCGATGACACGATCGACAGTGATTGGTGGACTGGGACACATAGGCCATCGGTTGTGAACTGGGCCACAGACCATGGGTGGTGGACTATGTCACGATAGACCATCAATAGTGGGATATGACACAATAGCTCATCAATAGTAGACTGGCACACACAGACCATCAGTGGTGGACTGAGACACACAGACCCTCAGTGGTCTACTGCGACACACAGACCATCAGTGGTGTACTGCGACACACAGACCATTAGTGGTGGACTGGGACACACAGACCATCAGTGAAATAATAGACAATCAAAGGTGGACTGGTCCATACAGACCACGAGTGGCGGATTTGGGCACACAGATTATCAGTGGTGGAATGAGTCACAGACCATCATTGGTGGACTTGGGCACAAAGACCATCATTTGTGGACTGGGCAACACAGACCATCATTGGAGGACTGGGACACAATAGACAAACAGTGGTGGACTGTAACACAATAGGCAATCATCGGTTGACTGGTCCACACAGGCCATCAGTGGTGGACTGGGCCACATACAATTCGTCATACCAGCTTCATATGGACTTAATCCAGTTAAATTTCATGGCTAATATTTGAAACTTTAACTCGGGCATTACAAGTGTTAAAATTTCAAATGAAACTAGTAGTAATCTACTCACCTAAGTAATTATCCATCATAGTTAAAAGTAAAGTCATCACTAAAGACACTAAGTTCACACGAAAAATAGCCTGCCTTTCCCCAGGACGGAAGAAAATCTTCAATATGTGCACATTTGGAATGAAACCAACGTGTGCATGTATTACATGGAATGCATTCCTGATCCCTTGTACAGTTTTTTTTCTGCACGTAGGGCATGGTCTTTTACCAGGAGGGGGCTGAAAATTATTTGATGAACTCTTGGGCTACTCCGACTTTTCTCTCTTTTTCTTTATTACTTTCAAACGTTGATTGCTGAACACCAAAAACTAAAAGATCAAAAGCCGCCGAAGACTGCTTATAACCTGCATTGGGGTGTTTTATGACTACTCGATAAAGAAAATGCCGCGCTGAATGGTGTAAACGGGAATAATTGCCGTCTGAAAAAAAACCCTATCCCATGACCCACCTGAGTGCCCCACAAGTTTTATAAGTGGCCTAGCCTGACCCGTGACCAACTACAGTGCAACACAAGTCTTATGCAGGACCCATTGTGATCCATGACCAACCTAGAGCGTTCCACTATATTTATGCGTGGCCTAGCGTGACTCGTTACCCACCTAGATTGTCCACCATGTCCATGCGTGATCTAGAGTTCTCCACAATTTGTATGTGTGGCCTAGGGTTTTTGGGTAATTAGTGCTGTTCTTGTCGGGATTTAATGATTTTTCGGTATTTGGGGATTTTCGGGTGATTTCGGTAATAAGTATCAAGAAAGTTTTTTCGGTATTTTTCTGGGTTTCTTTTTCGGTATTTTTCCGGGGGTTTTCTGGGGTATTTTTCGGATTTTTTTTCGGTATTTTTCGATTTGTTTTCAATTTTGTCTGAATAGAGTACAATTGGTGTGTTTATAATGATAAAGTACTTTATTCAACTAAGGGTAGCTATGTTCTTTCACATCTTGAGAAAGCATGGCGGTGTCCATCAAGCCAGCGGTTTATATGTCGCCACTTCTGTCCGTCGTCCGATCACCCGCCCGCCCGGTCTTTTGTTCAGCACAGACAATTTACATTTCCGTGCGAGCCATTATTGTCACCTACTCTATCAGTCTATGATGTATTTTAAAAGACACAGAGCCCCCCATCTCGCACAGGAGCAGGGATACTTAACTATCAGCTTGGTTATCAATAAACATAAATCACGTTTGTTCATAAGATTGTGTGTCTCAGTTATTACTTATTTCATGAATATTGAAATAAATCCTGAATTTTTACCGTTTCCTTAATATTGTAAGTTAATCTAAATATACAAAGCTAATGTATAATTGACCAAAAGTATCAAATTATATTTTCACCTACTTCACTTTTGATCTTACATTCTGTAATTTTGATCGTTTTTATACATGATGCCAGTCAAAGACTATACTTTTAACATTTCCTAGTTTTCAGAACAGAAATCAGACATGAAGAGCGGTTAAAAGGTAATACTATTATTGTTAATGAATTATCTTACGCCTGTTTCTATAACTGACAACACTATTTAAAATTCTTATAATTATCTTGTAGATAATTCTCAAAAGAAGTAATATATCTTTACAATGAAAACCCGTTTTACAGTTTACAGAATATGGTCGATTACTGATGAAATTTTTAAAAATCCAATTGTAGTCAAGGCCGCAAAATTTAATTTCAGACGCTCGTATCGTAAAGAGAAGAAACTCTTTGATGAAGTGCTATATTTGGCTGGTCTGGTATGTTACATTTTTATCGATTATTTATGCACATCCATAGAAATGTTTGTGTTTTTTAAAACGTAAGATAGTGAGATTTTGTATTTGTTTGACAGTAGGATACAAATTTTGGTTGTCAAATGATATTTATATCAGTTCCACTTAACAAATACCAAGTATGTCATTTAAAAATGAAAAACACATTCTTGTAGGGATTTCAGGATATACCATTTAGACCAAAAGGAGAATGATATAATAGAATGGATGATATTAACCATATGTAATTTATCTAAATTCTTGTTTACGACCATGTAAAAATAGTAGAAAACATAAAAGTAAAATATTTAAAAACAATTGGATTTCTACTAAAAGTCGACATTATCAGCTGCGTAGATTAGTTTAAAATGTGGCAATAATTATTAACCCTGAGCTAATAGTTCTCACGAAGATATATAGTTTAAATCTTGCCAAAGACTTCAGCATGAAAAGCTTTTTATAAAACCGTTTCATACTGTGATGACTAAATAGTCATGGCTATAATCTTATGCACAAGTAATGTACTATATTTACTTTCTAATGGGTTGCATATGTTAACTTCTTGGGCCAAGATTGCTTCAAAATCATGATTTACGTACCTCCAAGAAAGTGTTATTCAATCATCATCATCATCATTATATTATCACAAAGCTTAAAAGAACAAGACATCACTTCGGGAATTATAGCGAGTTGGACCCCAACCCGTCCGACAAAAATTGAAATTTCCAGTTAAATGTGAAGCCTAAAAACACTAATTTCAGCTTCTTAATCTAGGTGGCATTTAGTAGACGATAATCACATTACAACACACAATTATTCTACTTATAGATAACATTTACTAAATTTAGTCAAAACGACGATTCGGTGATAGCAACATTGTTGTTGAACCTATCGCTATATCATTCATAGTTTTTGATTATGTTCATTATTCTATCCATTAAATTTTGTTAAAACAACTTTATGTTGATTATTCTATCACTATATTTATTTAAAGCAGCGTTATGTTGATGATTCTATAACTTTATTATTGGAAGCGACATTATGTCGATGAGTCTATGAATTAGTTGATAAAGACCGAAAGGATCACCGTACCCGTGTCGCTTTGATTAAATCCGGTGTAGTTGTCATAGAGTTGTAATTGATTCTAATATCATTTACCTCCACCGTTTTTGTAACACAGATGAGGAAACCTCCAAACATTGGACAAATCAACGGCATAACCAATCGTAGACAACAAAAAATCCATCTTTTTACCCCAAACGTCTCGATCTTGTTTAGGTTCCAGGATTTGCTGTGTTTCATCATGGTTATTATCCTTTGGGTTTTCTGACTCAACCGTTTTGGTAAATGTATCATCGATGATGCTAACACGATCCCCGGTCATTCCAAAAGTTTCATTTTTCTCAATGTCCATCTCCTGGTCAACAGTATATACTCTGTGTAGGTCTACATCTCCCTCACCTTCTTCTTCGGCCATCTTGACCGATGCGCTTGATAGTTCGGCACTGTTGACCAAATCACTCGACTTGGGATTCTATCCGATAGAAAGATATTAGATGTTAATAAAAACCAAGAAATAGCCCCAAGGCCAACAATTCAAATAGTTAATCTATTTCTAGTGAGATTCTCTAATAAACGTTGCAATTAACACATAAGATCGGATTTTAAAGCACAATTAATTCGCGCTTGTTTAATGTCAACGAACTTTGATATTAGAGAATTCCCCCTTTGAAAGAAATAAAAACCCCAGTCCGCTGTATATCGTCTAAGTTTAATTAATGATATAATACATGTATAAATCAAAGGTACTCCCTGAAAAAACATTAAATACAATCAGTAAATAACTTCATGTATATATTCCCTACGGATTGCGAAGTTCCACATATTTTTATCCGACTATTAAAAACGCACAAGCAATCATCGTCTATTTTTTTTAAAGGCAACCGTAGACAGTAAATAACTCCATGTATATATTTCCTAAGGATTGCGAAGTTCTACATATTTTTATCCGACTATTAATAACGCACAATCGATCATCGTTTAATTTTTAAGACAACAGTAGGCCTACATCATATCATCCGACGTATTGTTAAATCCATCAGCCCGATTGTTTCAATACTATCATGTAAAGAGTGACATGTAAAGCCAGTCTGTGTTTTTGACAATAAAGTGTCAGATTGAAACTATTAACTTCAGCTTGAAATGTCATGGACAACTGAGGCCTCAAATTAGTTTAAAATAGGTGAGATCTTTTTATATAATAATTTCTATAAAGTATTATAATAGTGCATCCACCACTGAAGGCTATGATGGCGGGATTGTTAGCAAAATTTATTATCAAAAACTCAACATGTTTCTTTTGCTCACTCGGGTCAATCAATACTGATTACCTGAAACTGCTGTTGTTGCAATGTCGTGTCAACGCCGGATTAACTATGGGGCACCATGGGGCACGGGCCCCAGGGCCCCCCACATTAGAGGGCCCCCCACAAAAATCTCAGTTGCGTCCAGCCCCCTCCTCTAGAAATGCCATCATTTCATAGCACTCGCATTGATTGGTCCACTGAAATAACGCCAGAATGCGCTAATTTTGTGGCAGAATTTAATTTTTTTCTGGGGAAGGTACTTCTAAATGGCTCCACACAAGTGCCTGAAATGCCAGGAAATCACGTTTCCGGCCTCCAATTTCTGAAAAATTCCCGGGGGGAGCCCCCCCCCCCCACGACCTCCTTGCGGGGCTTCGCGACTCTGCGGTCGGTGATCAGGGCCCCCCCCCCCACATGTTCCAGGCCCCAGGGCCCCCACCATGGTTAATCCGGCGTTGTGTCTGGTACGTTAAAGTGTTACTATAATGTTCACATAATATTTGTCAATTGGAATAGGGACAATAGAATTTAAATTCTTTAAAGATTTATAGATTAATGAAACTATAGATAACATAATTAATAATAATGAATTGCAGATTAAATGCTGATATTCATTAATTAACTTGAACAATAGTTTAAGTGCATCACAATATGGATACGGAATGTTAATAATTATGTCACTATGTTTGTTGTATTCCTGTGTAATTCGACTTCACTTACTAAACATATTCCCAATTTAATGTTTTTTACCAGTTTGAAGTTTTCCAGTTTCAATGAATAAAGTTGGGTATTTGCAATGCGCCAATCGCAGTTAACTGACATGCGAATCTCAAATGGTGGCAATTACACCTTCGTAAATAATTTATACATATCTCCGAATCTACATTTAAAGAAATTTCAATGAGTTTGAAAAATAAATCTGACCTGTAGAGAGTTTTTTCATGACTACGGCTAACCCAATTTTGACAGGAAACCTTAAGGAAGCCAAATAGCAAAACAAAAACCGACTGTGACTGTGTCAAACACCAAACCTTCAAGAAAATTCAGTACGTGTACAGAGGAAGGCAAACAAAACGGAATGAACTTAAATGGGGTGTTACGTACTTTTCTGCACCAAACGTGCTGATGAAGACGGATATATTATATGCCATGAGGGAAAATCTGCTCGGACAGCGACGTTGCCCTAATAGAATCTCCATCGAATTCAAAAGTGTTGTTTTACAAATGTTTTTATGTAGCTGATCAGAGGGGTTTGAGGTGGTTGGTTAAGCCAGATCACAACCAGAACACATATCTGATAAGGAAGAATAAGTTTGGTCTTCGTGGAGTGTAGCCTAACAAAACATTATAATCGGAACGAAATAAAGCTATAAGTGTAATGAAATTGGGATCATAAACAAAACCAGATAAACTCAGTTTGGCACTTTACCATAACGATCTCAAAACTGCAAACAAAATTAGTCTTGGTTTAATCACACTTTTTATTTGTCGAATCACAACTAACTGCGCAGATGGCTAATTTAAAGACGTTACTGTGTAATTACCTTCATAGATTATCTGTAAGTTAGTATACAGCAGAGAAGGATCAAATTTGAATCTACTTTTTGTGAAAAAAGTGTTTGTAGTGATAAATGTAATCTTACGACAGGTGTATAGGGTGTAAATAAACTACCCGATTAACTGCTATGTGAACTATTTCTAACTATTCACGCACAACAAATACATATATACTGAAATAGTTTTTATCATAGATAAAATTTTGATGATTTAAGAAAGAATATCAAGACCTTGGCATAGGAATGTCATAGTGATAACGTAATAAGTTCAAATTCACAAATAAAAGGGCACCATTATGATTATAAAGTAATACTTTGACTATTTATCATATATAGAATGGGTTAATCAAGTAGATTAAAAAGTTGATGATCCACTATCGTTGGGTGGTTATACAAAAAACGGTAGAATTGAATTGTTTCGTTATTAAACAGTTTAAGAATCAAACTATGATATTTAAGGAAACGAATCGTAATGGTTAAAATTAACCATGGGTTTGTGCAAAATCTATCAATTTATCAATCGTCAGAACATGTTAAATTGACATTTGACAAAAGGAGCAACTTCCTGACCATACACTCTTGGATACATTAATATAATTATCTTTCAACCGTGGAATTTAAAAAATAATCAGTATCAATGAATAAAGATTGACAAAACATGGTATTTCTCATTTTTAGTTATGGCCATCGGTAGAAAATAAATCTAAAAATTTGTTATTGGTTCCAGGTAAAATTATTAAATTATTAAAAGAAATTGTGGATCCTCCGTCTGTTAAACAGCATGATTAACTTATATTAGGCGTCTGTCCATTGGCGTTATTGTAGCGTTAACATTCATCCTGCAAAAAATATCCCCAGGTGATCTCTAGGAGAGATTATTTCATTTATGATCTCTTAGTGAAAGAAATGCAGTGATTTCGCCAAGAACACCCATTTTAAATAACCACAAACTCTGGGGCTGTGACCTGTATGATCACTTTTATCAAGTATGTCATTCCACTATTAGTAAACTTTTAGGACATGGTACAAAGATTACCATGGTGATAATAAGTTTGTTTGGTGGAACCTCGATGTTTTCGGGAAAGGGAATTAATGATAACGCACACGGGTTAAACCACTAGACCCCTCAACTCCCCAAAAGAAATGAAATGAAATGGGGGTTTAACGCCCTACTGTTATTCTCCGACTGGGCTAATGACGACGGGAATATGTAGTCCATGTGACAGACAGATTTTCATTACCAATTTGATGAATAAATTTAACCATGATTTTCAGTTAGCCTTAGGTCTAAAGTGTCCAAAATTGGTTGATGGACATCCGGGTCACTTTGCCAAATGTGAGTTTGGCGGCCATCTTTAAAAATGGCCGCCATTTTTTTATTTGAAATAGTGCAAGTCAGGGAAACCTCCACAACTCCTCAACAGGTTCACCTATGGATATGTAAGATGGCTCAAAATGTTCATAATACAATTCTAAATCTGCTGGTATATGACTCATGTTGCTTAAGAAATGCTTTCGGTTTCAAAATAAAAGACTGATCTGAAAACAGCAATATTTTCGGGGGTTTTTTCATGATGTCTGTTCATAATTTTACTAAAAAAATCTTGTTCAGACCCATATAAGCCAAATTATCTATTTGGTCAACTAAAGTGATTTACTAGATATCAGAAACATTGATCATAAAAAAATAATCTCTAATATGAGTGTCCAAAATCCAAGATGGCATAAATTCAAAATGGCGGCCAAAAGTTGCTCAAATGGCCAATTTGTCAGATAATAGTTATTTCACAGTTTGATATTACATGTAATATCCAATTGAAAGGGATTACTGACATTAAAATTAACCAAAACACAGAGTGTTTAAAAAAATCCAAGATGGTGAATATTCATAATGGCGGCCAGAATTTCCGTAAAATTACAGTGTGCCATTACAGTGTGCTATGAGGGAAATTGTGCCCAGGACAGCGGCGTTACATCCTACTTTTCTATCGAATTCCAACTGTCAATGGATCTTTTACGTGCACGCCCATGTGTACACGGGACCTCGGTTTTTCGTCCCATCCGAACAACTAGACAGCTGCCCTTGTCAAACCAACCGCCCCGCATCACTGACAAGGGGAAACCACGCCAAAAATCCCGATGAATTTTCTCGGCCATACCGGGATCGAACCCGCGACCTCCAGGATATCGAGCCAGCGTCTTACTCAGTAGATGAATTTACCAAACTATGCCACCAAAACCTGATACCAAACTCACTGAGAATACACCAAATGAAGACGAAATGTCCAAATTATATATAAATATACATATCAATTCTTTAACCAAGCTGCATAGAAGATTCCTCAAGTTTTTCATTTGTGTGAAACAGTGCCATGAGTGCTACAACAGGAGTATATTGCTGATATTGTCTATAAGCCCAAATTTACTGGTTGATTAGAATTTCCCACTAGCTGAACAGATATTTGGATAACTAAAACGCTCTTGTTTTGTTTATCTGCCGTTTAAATGTTACAAACTGTTTCCCAATGACGATTACCATTAACCAACACATCAAGTTTTATTCACTAACTAATTCATTAATCATTTATCATTGATCAATCCCTATGTTTTGT